CTGCTGCTCGACTGCTGCGCAGGGGGCTGGCTGCTGCTCGACTGCTGCGCAGGGGGCTGGCTGCTGCTCGACTGCTGCGCCGGAGGCTGGCTGCCGCTCGACTGCTGCGCCGGAGGCACGCTGCTGTGGTCCACTGGCGTGACCGTGCCGCTGTTCGTTTGAGGAACAACGGTGCTGCTTGCCGCTGGGCTGGAGGTGCTGTCCGCCGGGCGGGCGGAGCTGCTGCTAGCCTGGGATTCAACAGGCGGTGCAACATTCGTGTTGGTAGGCCCCGAAACGCTGGAACTCGTGGCGGCGTCGGGCACCACGTTCTGCGCCGATGTGCTCATGGCGTGCTGGCCACTGCTCGCCGAGCTGGGGTGCTGGCTGTCTGTCGCTGCGCCACTCGACTGCGCGGGAGGGCCAGGAGGCACATCGCTTGTCGAAGACGCTCCATCTGGCGAACCTGCGGCGCTCGAGGAGGCGGCGGGGCCCGATGGAGCTGCTGTGCTCATAGGCTGCCCCACACTCGTCGTCTGAGCACCGGCGGGCGTCGAAGACGAAGTAGGCTGCTCAGGATTGACGACAGGGGAAGCCGAGGAGAGCGGCACAGCGGAGGAGCTCCCATGCACTGCCGACGATGTCCCTGCGCCGCCCGCAACGCTCGAGGAAGCCTGCGCAGGGCTCGAGGAGCCGTGCGTCACACTTGAAGAGTCGTACACCACCTGCGTGGAGCTGAGACCTGCCGCTGCGAGGGAGGAAGAAGCTGGACTCTGACTCTGTGTGCTCGTGGCCGCCTGTTGCGGTGTCTGCACTGAAGATTGCGTCGGAGGCTCTGATGCATGGGTCGAAGGCGAGGCTGGCTGCACCGAGGAGGTTAGTGGCGGCGTCTCGTTCGAAACTGCCGGCGATGCGGCGTCTGCGGATGAGGAAGCAGCTGCCGGCACACTCGAGGTGACCGCGGGTGCCTGGGTCGCCGAGGAGGATGCCGGCGGGCTGTCTGGCGTGCCGTGCGGCGCCGACGTTTCGGAGGGCGCAGGTAGGGCAGACTGTGCGGTGGACGAAAAGCCGACCGCAACGGACGAGCTGTGAGCATCAGAAGCTTGCGTGCTGCTCGTCACAGCGCTCTCGTGGGTGACCGTCGGCGTCGGGTCCGGGCTCGGCTGGGCGCTCGGCAACGTGGATCCTTCAAAGGACTGTGCCACAGACGAGCTCGGCAGTACGCTCGTTGTTCCAGGGTTCGTCGGCGCTGTAGGCTCGTGAGTCGGTGCAGGCAGACTCGAGCTTTGGCCAGGCGACGACGCGCTAGCGTGCGCCTCGTCTGACGGCGAGGGCGTGGCGATGCGCCCTGTTTCGGAAGTCGTTGTGCTTGCGCTCGAGTGATCGACGGTTGTAGCGAGAGGCTCTTCTTCTTCCTGCACGGGCTGGGAGACCTGACCCGAGCCGGCGGTCTGCTGTGGGGCGGTGCCACTCTGACTGGAGCTTGGCGGGGCTGTTGCGCTGGGTTCGATGGCCTGGCTCGACTGCGCGACCTGCGAAGAAGAAGGCGCGCCGCTCGAGAGGGATGCCGGCTGTGCAGGCTCGGGTGACGGCTGCACGGTCTCGACAGGCGACTCGGAGCCAGTCGGGGAGGCACTTTGCGGCTGCTCAGTACCAACCGTCGACGCTGGCGAGGTCGTCGGCTGTGCGCTGGGCTGCGCTGCGGCGGGCTGGCTCGCCTCTGGCTGTGAAGAGCCACTCGACGCTGACGGGAGCGCGGAGCTCTGCCGGTCTGCCTGCGAGGAAGGCGTCGTGGGCCCCTGGCTGCCCGCGCTGGGCGTGCTGCTTGCCGTCGCACTCGGCTCGCTGCCGGCCGCTGAGGTCGCTGAGCCGCTCTCGGGGCTTTGTGGTTGACTTGTCGTGACTGCCGGGGCCTCCGAACGGCTTGTTGTGACTGCAGGCGCCTGCGAGGCGCTTGGAGGAGTGAATGCCGAAGAGGTGCTGCCAACACTGCCGGCATCGCCCTCTGAATTGACGGGCTGCTGCGCAGGCGAGTCGTTGGAGCCGCTTGTCGGCGTGCTCTGCGCCGGCTCGCTGGAGGATGTGACCTGTACCGGTGCGCTGGATGACGTGGCCTGCGCCTGCTCGTTCGAAGACGCGGCCGGTGCCGGGCTACTCGAGGTGCCGGGGTGCCCGGGCTCGTTTGAGGTTGTAGCCTGAGCTGGTTCGCTTGACGACGTGGGCTGTACCGGCTCGTTGAATGTACTTCGTTGCGGGTCGCTCGCGGGGCCAGTCTGTACCGGCTCGCTCCCGGAAGTCGTCTGCGCTGGCTCGCTGTGAGCAGTCGTCTGTACCGGCTCGCTCGAACGGGTGGTCTGCGCCGGCTCGCTTGCCATGCTGGTCTGCGCCGGCTCGCTCTCGGAAGGAACCTGTGTGGGCTGGGTCGTTGATGCAGCTGGTGCGGACTGAGCCGAGGACGAAGCCGGCTCTGCCCCGTCCGAGTGCGCCGGAGGCTCTGCCGAGTCTTGCACCACAGATCCACTCGTGCCTGCCGGTACATCGGGCTGCTGAGACGACGTGGACTGCGGCGCGGGGGTAACGACGGGAGGCGAGCCACCGTCGGAGGCTGCATGTGTCGGCGTCGAGCTCGATGACGTCTCGTTGTTGCCGCCGTTGGATGCTGGGGTGGGCTGCAGGGTGGCCGAGACGCTCGTCGACTTGGGGGCGTCTGCTGGGCTCGACTCCTCAGGCGGGCTTGCTACGCCTGTCTCCGGAGGAGGAGCACCTGAAGCGGACGGCTGAGACTCGACAGGGGTCGTGGTGGGACCTGCCTCCGCGGGCTGGCCGGTGGGCGCAGAAGATTGCGGGTCGACCGCTGTCGTGGAGCCTGCGTCCGAAGGTGGTTGCTGCGTCTCTGTCGGCGCAGCGACAGAGGAGCTCGGGGGCACAGAGCCGCTACTCGATGCGGAGGCAGGCTGAGAGACGACGTTGCGGCCCGAGCTATCGTCTGACCCTGCAGGCTCCGTCTCTTGGACCGGCGGCGGCGACTGTGTCTGAGCAGGAGGCGCTGCGGAGGTCACGGAAGGCTGGACATCGGTCTGAGGGCTGCCACCGTCCGACGTGGCGGCGGCCGACGTTGAGCTAGCAAATAGGGACGTCTGGCTCGCGGAGGGTACTGTGCTCTCGGAGGGTGTGACTGTCGTCGGACCAGCCGACGACGTCGCGACTGGTGCCGATGTGGAAGAAGCGGGCGCCGGTGCAGTCGATGTCTCCGGCGACGATGTGCCAATCGTCGAGAGGTGCTCGTCCCCGTCGTCTCTTACGGTAATCGTGCGATAGACGAACTCCTGACGCGGTGACGCGCAGCTGTCGGCGTCGGCGGCTAAAACAGTAGTGGCCGCGCCGACGAGAAGAATCGCTAGTAGGACGCGCATGGCCGGACGGTGTCCGGGCATGCTGAGAGGCGAAGGTGAGGGCAAGAAGGGGGGACAAGAGGAGGAGCAAAGAGAGGTTCAAAAGCAAGAAATGGGCCAAGACCCAATGATGAAGGAGAGTGGGGCGGCGCGCTGTGGGACACCCGTGTCCGCACGACCAGACAGGGCGCCCTCGCAGCACAGGTGCCGCAGAAAGAAAGCAAAGGAGTGGGGAGAAAGGCAGACGGACGAAGGACAAAGCAAAAGGACAGAGGGAGAAGGGAAACGCGACTGAGGTGTCCCTCAGCCGGATGCGGGGGCCTCTCGAACCTTATAGTATACCGAGACAGGGTGTCGCTGCATCGGCCAGAGCGCGGCAGTCACATGCTTGAGTCGCATGAGCGCATGGCACCAGCCTCGTGTCCTGCCAGTGCTGGGCGGTCTCTCCAGGGTGCACCGAAGGGCTGGCGCGATCCCGCGGGCACGGCACCGGTAGAGATTCTCCCGGACATTCTATACCGAATTGAGTCGTACCTTGCGCTCAGAGAGAGGCCAAGAAGAGCAGCATCAGGCACTCCGGTGCCTGCTTCGGCCCGAAGGACGGTAGAGGAGCAAGAATGGCAAGTCCTGTACGCGATGCCGCTCCCCTGACGCGTCTCCTCAATGCACCTCAACGCACTGCCGCGCTGCTGAGCCATTTGTGGGTCGGGCAGCGCTGCCGGATCGGAGCAGCAGCAGAAGCAGGCGAGTCAGTGTCCCGGGCTCGCTCAGCGGCATGAGAAGTGCTTACTCGAGCCGGCGGGTAGCCGAGAGGCGGTGCTGATGGGTGCTGCCGGCGCGCAGCCGTGAGCCCGCTGCCGTGCCGAACGCGCTCCAGCTCACCCGCGGCCTCGGGCGGACCTCGACGCTCGGCGAGCGACCCTGTCCCTCGGGAGGCTGGGAATTGCGCCCAGAGAGACATTGCTCGCAGCGCAAGAGGTTGACGGAGAGGGCACGGACCGCAGGCTGCGGGAGCCGGAGGTCGAATGAGCCGCAGCGGCTGGCTGAGCGCGGAGCGGGCCGCCAGACGTCGCGCTGCATGCGGGCCAGACGGCATGGCCCGCGACAGCGACGTGCACGACTGTGTGCTCGCCGTGTCGGGTAAACGGACATCGGCGGAGCAGCGTGCGAGAAAGGCTGGCCTGGACGGCTGCCTGCTGGGAGCAGCCGAGGCGGAGGCAGCGGTACGGTGGACGCGCTGGACGCGCTGCGTCGCGAGCTTTGCCCGTCGCGCGCCGATGCCTCGCCGCTCCGCCACTCCGCTCTCTCGCACCACGCGCGGCGTGGTCCACCCTTGCCCGTGACAGCAGCGGCGGCCACTCGCCATTAGGTGCGCTTTTCGAAGGCGAGACTCATCCCGCTCGCATTACCAGACGGCGGACCCAGCTGCGCTTGACCCTGCCTCGGCATCCCCCTGGGTCGGCCCTGAGCAGTGCGCGAGCACGGCGGTGGCAGGCATGAACAGACGGAAGCGGCATGCGCAGGACCCGTGGCGCTGCTCCCTTGTGGGCGCAGGCCCGATGCGTCGCGGACTCGCGGACAAGCGACGTGCCGCGCGCGCGCGCGGCTCAGGCGGCGTGGCCGCGTGCGCATGTTACGCTCGTGCGTGCTCAACGCCTTGAATAGGGCCGGCCGAGCTTAGTTGTATGCTTGTGCGCTGACTCGAATCGCCATTAGAGCGCAGCCCAGGTGCGCTGTCGCTGCTGCTGTCGCGCGACCGCGCATGAGCGCAGCGGCGCCGCGCGCCGCGCCAAGGTGCCTCGTTGAGACTGCGGCTTGCTGCCGGCGCTCGGCGGATGGGAGAGAAAGCTTTGCCGCTGCGGCTCGTCGCTTGACCTGTGCCATCCAGGCTGGCGAGGCGTGCGTAGGTGACGCTGAGGTGCTGCCTCGGCCACGCCACACGCCCGGCGCGGGAGGGCAAGGTCCGAGGTCCGACGCGCGCGCGCCAGCCGGGCGCTCGCAGCACACGCCAAATACGCCATGTCACGTCGAGTGTGGCCGCGCCTCGCTGCGCACTCCGCCTTGCGGGCGGCGCTCCGTCGGCCTGGGTCCGCTCGATGCGCACGACGGATTCGTCGGTGCGCGATACAGCGCTGCGTGGAAGCGGCGGAGAGACCCGATGCGAGAGCGGCACGGCGGCGAGTCTGAGAGAGCGAGCGGGGCGGAGGAGAGAGCGGAGCGAGCGGGAAGCGTCTCGGCGAGCACGGCGCGCGCGGCGCCGCCTTCGCGCGGAGGCGCGGAGGCGTGGAGTTGGTCCCACGCTGCTCCCGGCCGGTAGCCTCCCTCCTCTTCCAGCATGACCCAGCATCGCTTCCGATTCTGGACTGAGAGCTTTTCCCATCAAAATCAGCAGAGGTCATATCCTGACTGATCTGGCTGCTTTGAGAGCGCAATCGCTCTGCTGTGGGCGCGCTCCACGCTTGTATGCGAGGAGCGCGGCCTGGCGTTCGACGGGGCAGGCCTGCCTCAAATCTCGATGCCATCCCTTTGCCATAGCCGTCCGCGCAGCTCGACGTCTTGCATGGTATAGGCAGCTTAGCACACCTGTGGCTCTCCTCGAGGCCAGCTCTCCCGCCGTTGTTCAAGGCGTCTGTGGGCGCAGCAGCTCCCAAGACGCCGATGGGCGGCGCCGAGCGCGTAAAGTGTTCGCCGCGTCGCGTCCCTGCGCCGCCTGCGCCGCTGCGCCAGCGGCAGGCGGTGTTGGTCTGGCGGTGCGCGCGCGCCGCGAGCCATGCTTCTCTCCACTCTCACCACCGTCTCGAACCACCCTCTGACCGCCTCTCATGGCGCTCGATGGCTACGAAGGACCCAGCGCGCTGCTGCAGCGCGCTCTGCCGCGCAATCTGACGCAGCTGGCGAGCGATCTCTTCGACGAGGCGCACGGTGCGTGCCGCGCCCAGACGAGCGCGAGATCGGCGGCGCCTGGTCCGCTGCGGCTCACACCGTTCGTGCTTAGACGAGCTCGGCATCGGCTTTCTTGCTTCACTGCGCGATCCTGTCTGGATCTTCAGTCCGTGCGTCGATTAGCCGTCGGCAGAGCAGCACACGCTGATGCGCAGCGATGCAGCGAGCACATCCGCCTGCTGTTCGCCCTGTCGCTCTCATCTGGCGCATCTGCCTCGCAGGCACAGCCGCCTCTCTCTACGCAGGCATTGACGCTGCTACGCGCGATGGCAGAGACGTACGCTGCATCGTCTCTGCTCGAGGTGCTGCCTCCCTTCGCGTCCTCATCACGGCTGCCCGTGGCGCGCGCCACGAGCGGGAGCTCCGACGACGAAGATGAAGCACGCGGCAGTTGGCTTCTGCGCTGCCAGAACGTGTGGGAGCACGTGATGAGTACAGCGCCTAGAGCCGAGCGGCGGTCGGCCAAGGCTGCGCCTCGCAAGCGCCGTCGGACAGGAGCGTCGGCGACGGATGCTGCGGAGCAACGAGAGTCAGAGGGCCTCACTGAGGAGGGAGCTCAGATCTTGGCGCTGCTCGTGCTGCTGTGGCGGGCAGAGCGGCGGGCCGCCTCGCCTGATTCTCTGGTGCTGCCGAAGGGCGCAAAGGGAAAGAAGCCAGAGACGCAGCTGCACCTGGCTCGACAGATGCGAGGGCCGTGGCCAAAGACGGACGTGGGTGAGGCGCTCGACACGCTCATCGCTGCGCTCAAGCATGGCAAGGTGGGCGCGGATCTGTGCGCTGAGGTGAGTTCGCGGCGGAGCCATCACGTCGTCTCAGCTGCCCGTGCTGACCTCGTCTGGCTAGCTCTTCGCGCTCGCCTCGATCGGCCAGCTGGATCTCGATGCATTGGTCGCCGGTCTCGCATCGCGCATGCCGATGCTTACGTTGCCGGAGCTCGAACTGCTGCTCCAGGTTAGGCGTGAAGTGCGTCCGAGCGCGATGCCACTGCTGATGCACGGCCTCGCAGAGTACTCGATCACCGGACTCTCTGCATCTGGCTCGCACCCTGCTGCAGTACCTGCACGCGCACTCGGACATTCCGGCGGCCGGACCATCGACGTCGCGCTACTTCGCGCCCGCGTCCAACGTGCCGACCAACGGACGCTCCACGCGCGCCGTCTCGGCCTCGCTGCTCGTCGAGCGCAGCGAGATTCATGAGCGTGCGCTCTCGGCGCTGCGTGACCTCGTCTCGGCTACGGCGTCGGTAGCACTGCTGCCGCAGGAGGACGTCGCCGCGAGCCTGCTGAGTGCAGAGACGTGCGCGAGATGGGAAGAAGCTCCGCGGACGCTCAAGAAGAGCGTCGAGAGCGGGGTGCGCGCATGGGAGGAGCGCATCGACGCCGCTCAGGCCGACTCGCAGCCGCCGTCCAGTGAGGCGCCGATTCAGCAAGCGGGCGAACAGTCAGCCGTCGGGCGGCCGGTGCGAAAGAAGACGGCGCCGATTTTGGAGCCACAGGAGCGCGCCACAGGGCGCAAGACTTCGGCCACAACCCCGGCGCCCAAGACTCCAGCCGCAAAGGCGAAGAGCGCCAAGGCGCCGCAGACCGACGCCGAGCGCCTTACCTCCCTTCTCTGTGGAGGCATGATCGCCGCGCGTCTTCGCCGGGCGAGCGTGCGCTACATGATCGGCGAGATTCTCCAGACAGCAGGCGGCGAGGCACACGAGTGCCGCGCTATGATGCAGGACGTCGACGAGGAGGTCGCGTGGATTGAGCTGGCGTGGAAGGCCTGGGCGGAGCAGACAGCAGCCGATGAGAGCGCGGGCATAAGGGAGGAGGATCGGGTGGAGATGGATGCGCTGCGGCACACGCTCACGCCGCAAGTCGAGGCCCTGCGCGGCAGACGGGACGTGCTGCAGCTGCGCCTCATGCTCCTCTAGCCCAATCACATTCAAGCGCCGCCGCGTGAGGGTTCAGCTGCTCAAGAGCTTGCTCGTCATTACGCGGGCTCAGCGCCGCTTGTACAGACATGGCTTGAGCACTTGTGGGCCCATGGCGATGAGCGACTCCAGCTGCGCCTCTCCCTCATCGTCGCCCGCGACAAGGCGGGCGACACGGCCGCGGTCGAGCGCAGTCTTGCGGAAGTGGAAGAGCGAGAAGTGCGTGTTGCTCGAGTCCTGAAGCGCAGTGCCCTGGTCAGCAGCGTGACAGGCGAGGTGGTCACGCAACTCACCTGCGTGAGGTTCTCGAAGCCCAGCGCGCAGATGACCTCGACGAAGGCGTCTATTGAGTCGTGACGCGAAGACACCTCGCTGATGAGCAGGTCGCCGCTGCAGATGCTGTCAGCTCGGCCTCGTCTCGTCGCCAGGATGCTGCTCACCCTGTCCGCAGCACGCGCTGCGCCTCGCTGATCATGCGCACCCAGTCGGTGCCCATCAGCGCCAAGCAGAAGACAACGACGTCGACGATCTGCATCTCCAGCGCCGGCGTCTCGTCCTGCCACGGCGACACTCCTGGCAACGGCAGCTCGCCGGCGCAATTGACGCGGCGCACCCAGCCGTCGGCCGAGTTGTCGAGGTCGAAGGAGAGCACCTTCCAGCGCGCCGGCTCCTCGCGAGCCAGGATGCGCGCAAGCGGTGCCTCTCCGGCACCAAGATCGAGCACTAGTGGCTGCTGCGCGCTCATGCCTCTGCCTCCTTGTGCGCCACTCGCTGAAGAGAGCAAGATGCGTGCGATGGCCTGCACAGGCACGAGCGGCCAGCTCTTGGTCTGTGCGCGGAAGCCGGCGTGGTACGCGGCCATGCGTTCCGCCTCCTGCGTCGTCTCGGCGAGCGCGTCGGCGCCAGACGTCGTGTACAGCGCCTCGTTGATCGTGCGGAAGCGCGAGCCCAGCAGCTTCTCCGGCAGCGATGTGTGCAGTGCTGGCAGAGCGGGAAAGGCCGGCAGTGCTCGGCTGGCGCCATTCGAGGCCGACGCGGCAGCAGCAGCCTTCTTTGCCTTCTTTGCCTTCGGCGCTGCCTGCGTCGCCGATGCGGCGCTCTCGCCGTTCGCCTGGCCATTGGGCTGATCGTTCGTCTGTCCATTTGCCTGCCCATTTGCTTGCCCGTTCACCAGCATTCCCTCGGACTTCGCCTGCCCTGGCTCTGCGAGGCCGTGCTCCGCCAGCACCTGCTGGCGACGAGCCTTGCGCGCCTTCTTGACGGCCTTCTTGCTGGCGCCCTGGGCCAACTCCTGCCCCGCCTGTATTGCCTTCTTCTCCGCAAGTGCATAGATCGCCTTGCGGCCTGCCTCGCTGCTTGGATCGAGCGCAGCTTTTGCGCCGGACACATCCGCCTCTGGAGCCTGTGCCTGCTGTGCAGCCGGTGCTGGCACAGCGGCACTCTTCTTCTTGCCCTTTGCGCTGAAGGGGTCGAGACCCTTGCGCTTCTTCTCTTGCCGTCCAGACCGAGACTCCTCTGCCTCCAGCGCCAGTGCCTGCTGCTGCTGCGCCTCGGTCGGCTCGGCTGGTACCAGCTCCACACGCTCGGCTTCACGCTCGCGCTTGCGGCTGCGTGCCGCTGCGCCGCCAGTGAGGGTGCCGCGCAGCCGAGCATCTGCCGAGGCGCCGGCACTGGGCGCTGCGGCAGACGGCAGGGCCATGCCGAGGCCCAGCGTCGGCGGGCGCGGCTTGGGCAGCGCCGCGCTCTTGCTGCTGGCCGCTGTCGAGCCCGAGGCGCCGCTGCTGGATGACTCGCCGTGCGGCTCGAGGTGCTGAAGGATGCGTGCCGAGAGGGCGGCGCGGTTGGCGGCCGCGCGTGTGGCCAGCAGTGCGAGGTCTTCGGCAGAGGACATGGCGAGGGTGTGGGCGTGTCGGAAGGAGCGAGCGAGCCTCTCGCAGCCTGATGAGGCCCACGGCGGCAACTTTTGGCGCCACGTGACTTGTCCCGCCGCCGAGCGCACGGCCCGCTGCCTCCACTTGGCCTCGCGCGACATCCTCGCCGCCTCGCTTCCGCTCCACCATCACATCGCTCAGCAGCGCCTCTTTGATGCAGCGCACCGCCTCTCTCATTCGCACCAGTCTCCGCACCTCCAGCCTCGCACCCCGTTCACAGGTCCGCAACATGCACATCCACCCCGTGCCCGTCCGCGACGACGTGCGTGCCGGCGCCTCGCCGCTGCCAGCCGCCTCGCTCACGCTGCAGCCCTGCACAGAACTACGCCTACATCATCCAGGATGGCTCGCGCGGCGTCTTCGTCGACCCGTTCGACGTGCCGGCCGTGCAGGCTGCAGCGAAGAAGCACGGCGTCGAGCAGGTGATGGGCTGCATCACCACGCATCGTGCGTCGGGCCTCGCTGCTGCAGACGGCCCAGCTGACGCTCGCTGGGCACAGACCACCAGGACCACTCGGGCGGCAACGACGACTTCGCCAAGGCATACCCGGACGTGCCGATCTGGGGCGGTTCGGACAAGTGTCCCGCCATGACGAAGCAGGTCGGCGACAAGGATGCCTTTGAGCTGTGGAGCGGCAGCAAGATCGACGTCAAGTGCCACGCCACGCCCTGCCACACGCAGGACAGCGTCGCATGGCACCTCACGGATGCTGACGGAAAGATGGGCGTCTTCACGGGGTGAGCAGGCGTGGTGTCGCGTGCGTCCGGCGCTGTGCTGACTCGACGGCGCCTTGTCAAGCGACACCCTCTTCGTTGTGCGTTGACTTCTGCGCAGGAGGAGAGGCAAGGAGCAAGGCTGACGTTCACTGCAGGGAGGCTGCGGACGCTTCTTCGAGGGCACGCCGCAGGAGATGCACCACGCGCTCAACAAGGTGCTCGCCTCGCTGCCCGACAAGACTGTGCTGTACTGCGGCCATGGTGCGTGTGCTGTGCGCCTCCCCTCCCGCACGCCGTGCTGACCACTCCCGCGTCAGAGTACACCAAGGGCAACATTGCCTTCGGCGCAGCCATCCTGCCCGAGCGGCCCGCCGTCAAGGAGCTGTTGCAGTTCGTGCGCGAGCGCAAGAACGGCGGCGTCACGACGGGCGCCTTCACCATTGGCGACGAGAAGAAGCACAACGTCTTCATGCTGGTGCGTGCTAGCCAGCTCGGCGGTCCAGGCCCGTGCTCACACACCTGAGGCTCTCAGGTGGACGACCCGGAGGTGAAGCGCGCCGCAGGACTCAAGGAGGACGCCGACGCCGTCGAGGTCATGGGCCGGCTGCGCGAGATGAAGAACGACGGCAAGATCAGCGCCAAGGTCTAGCTTCACCTAGGCTGTACCGGCGCACGACTGCACACGGCTTCTTCACGCTTTTGGCAATGCAACTCGATGACGATTACCCAGGTGACGCTCTCTTTCTCCCTACACACCCAGCGCCTTCTTGACTGCACCGAGCACAAGCGGCAGTACGACCTTCCGGCTGGCGCGAGCATTGCCCTGACGCCAAAGCGTGACGCGCAGGCCGGAGGCACGCACGCCTCTGGCATCCTTGCCCACATCCTGGCTCTTGCTGTCGCGCAGCAGCGTCAGGCCCTGCACCTTCTCGCGCTTGCCGCTGGCTCCATCGGAGCGCGCGCCGCGCCAAGGCTGCAGCAAGAGAGTGTCCTCGGCACCAGTCTCGAAGCGCGGCTTCTCGAGGATCGCGGTGATAGAGGGCCAGATGGCGTCCAGCCGAGAGGCAGAGAGCGTGTGCGGCTGCGCGGCGATGATGCTGATCATGCGGGCAAGATGAGCATCAGCAGGGGGCCTCGCAGAGCCTCGCTTCACACTCACGTCTCGCGCTTGTGCTTGTCCTCCTTTGCCGCACGTTCCTCTGCGCGCTCTTCCTCCTCGCTGCCACTGCGCGACTCCGCAGAGCGCGTCTCGCGGAAGCTCGTGCCGACGACGCAAAAGTCGAGGCTCTTTTCGCGCATCCAGCTCTCCAGCGAAGTCCAGAAGCTCTCCCATGCCGCCGTGCGGCCCGCCGGCGGCTGCTTGACGCCGGGTGAGGCGGGCGTGGTGCCGAGTGACACCTCGATGCGGTCGAGCCAGGTCGAAAGGCCCTGCGGCACGGACGCAAAGCCCACCTGCACCACTTGCTGCTGCTGCGCAGCCGGTACGCTTTCGCCAGAGGCCGGCAGCGGCACGCTGAACTCCTTCCAGTCGCGCCGCAGCAGATCGCGGCTGCTGAGCCGCGACACGTCCAGCTTGGCCGTGACGAGCTGCTGCCAGAAGGCCGTGACGGCAGGTGCGGCGGCTGCGACTGCGTCTGGCGTCGCCTTGATCTCGGACGTGTCCGAGGGTGCTGACAGGCCAGACGCAGACGAGGAGGCAATAGACGACAGCGGCGCCAGCAGCTTGTAGGACGAGACATCGAGCGGTGCCGCCTTGCCGTTGGGACACGGCCGGACCTGCCGCGTGTATGCCAGTCAGCCGACGCGCTTGAGCACGCGACAGATCAGTACTCACATCGTCGGTGTCAATCAAGATTGCCGACAGCAGCAGGTCTACCAGCTCAGTCGGCACCTTGCCAGCCTCGAAAGCCTCGCGATACAGGTCCGCAACGATGCTGGCCGCCGAGCCGATCGGCGGGTCAGCGCTGCCCGGGCCCTTGAATACACGCAGCGGCGCTGAGGAGTGCGCCGACTCATCGACGTGGTGATCGACGATCGCCTTCACCTCGGCACCGCCAGACGCAGACGAGGCCCACTGCGGCGCCAGACTGGCGTGGTCGACGAGGCCGAAGAAGGTGTTGCGGCTGCTGGCGAATGCCTCGGAGGAGGCCGCAGCAGGCAGCTCGCTGACGTGCAGCGGCGCCGAGAGCGACAGTGAGGCACGCTCGAAGGCCATTGTGTTCTCGGGGCGCAGCGATGCATCTGCGGGCTCGGAGTGCAGCAGAGGCACGATCACCGTGCCGGCGGGCAGCGAGAGCGGGTGCGTCGAGGGAAAGTGCGTGAGGAGGTAGGCGAGGCCGATGGCGCTGGCGGCCGAGTCGAGGTCTGGCGTGCGGCATATCAGCGAGCGCAAACCGACGACAATACTGACAAAGACTCACCGCCGGCCGTGTTGCCCATGACGAGCATGAGGCTCGACTCGGGCTTCGCCGCCGAGAGATGCTGCAGTGCCAGCGGCTTGGTGCGCGCCAGATAGGCCGTTACACTCTCGGGTGCCGCCGAGGTGGGCGCCGCACTGCCTTGCGTTGAGGCAGCCATGGCGAGCGGACGCGACTGCGTGTCGATGCGTTCGGCGAACTGGCGTTGCAGCAGCCAGAGGAGCAGAAGCGAGAGGAGGCCGAGGAGCAGCGTGCGCGGACGAGGCGCGCGGGTGCAGCTGCGGCGGCGTGAGGGCGAGGCGGAGAGGGCGAGCGGGAGGGTGGAAGTGACGGGTGGATAGACGTGCGTCGACTGGGACATGGACGTGCGGAGGAGAGCTCAGCACGGCGGGCAGTGCAGGCGGTTGAGAGGAAGGAGGAGCGAGGAGGCGCTTTTCGTGCACGTTCCTGCTGATCGGCGCCTCTTCGTGCCGCGGCCCGACTCGCCGGCCGGCTGCCCGACCTTCGCGCCGAGGCTCGTGCGCATCCTGCGTCCCAACCACAAACACCCAGCCGCAACACCCTGCCGCGCCTCGACGCATGCCATCGATACGTCGCTAGATGCCCTCTGCGCCGGCGACTGAGCCCCGATTCTCTCTTCTGTCTCGCCTCGGCGCCGAGTTTCAGCACCTCTCGCCCGCACGTCATCTCTCCGCAGACGCCAGCTCTGCTTCGCTGCTCTTCCTGGCACTTCTCGCCTTTGCGCTGCTCTTCGTTCTGCCCTGCCTCGATCGCCTGGCCGCGCGCCGCGTACAGCACGACGAGCGCGTCGGCGTGCCTCGTGCTGCTGCCCCTGGTCAGCTGTCGCTGCCTCTCGACGCGCTACCGGCACAGCGCGTCGAGCTGCTCTCGCCCGCGTCCAACGCTACTGCCGTCTGGCCACAGCTGAGGCAGCGCGCCAAGGCGCAACAGACGTCGAGTGAGGGCTGTTGAGCTGTATGGCGAGCAGCGAGGCGTCGAGCCGAAGCCGCGCCTCTTCCTCGACGCACGCGCATCTGGGCTCGGCACACAATGCACTAGGGTTAGTACTTGGCGCTGCTGTCAAGCATGCAAACGGGCGAAGCGCTGCATGCTGAAACGCATTCTGCAGGCCGACGCCTCCAGCGATTCACCTATACGTGCCAAAGCGGCTCCTTCCGGCTACGCACCATGAGGCGCTGCTGCTCGTCGGCTGGGCGGTGATCTCCGGTCCCACATGCGTTGTTGTTGTGGCAGCAGCGATGACTCATACTGCTGCTGAGACGCATGCACTGATGCCCATGACGGCCGTCCCCTCGGACGTCACGGGCTTGCGACCGTCCTTGCTTGGCATCTGTCAGCCAGGCGCGTCAAGCATGAGCAAGGGCAAGGCGCGCGAGACGCACGACGGTGAAGATGCCGCTGTGTGGGTCGAGAGCACGTCGCATGCGGCGGGCTCAAGCGCCGCTGTGGTGCTACAGACGTGAGTGAAGCACTCAGAGACGAAGTGCGAGGCTCTGACATGCCCTATAGCGTGCGCCTGCCAGCGGTGTCGAGCCCTGCTGCCAATCAAGTGCCAGGCGTCAGCGTCGTCGTCATCACCTACACGCCGCCGCAGTCCGCCGCGCTGCAGTTCCTTTCCCTCGAGCCGCTCGTGCTGCTGAAGCCAGCACAGACACTCGAGTCGCACGAGAACCCGGACGCGCAGCTGCACGTCCGCTATCGGCATTTGAGCCCCGAAGCACGAGCGCAGCAACTGCGCCTAGAACGACTCACTGCGCTCGACCCGACACGTGCCGCGGACCTGCGACCCGGCCAAGCGAAGCACACCGCAGCAGGGTCAGGGCTGCGCATGGCTGTCATCCTCATGAACGCCGCGGACGAGCCGTTTGCTCGAGGAAGGCCTCCAGACGAGCAGATGTACGGCGCAGCGGGAAAGGGCCTTGCGCTGCTTGTGCGCGCTTCCGCCTCGGCATGTCGTGCGCTATCGTCAAGCCTACGCCAGCCCCTGGTGCGAGGGCACAGCATCAAAGATGTGTCGGCGTCAGTGCGGCAGCTCGATTTGCGTCTGCGCCAGATTGCCGTCTGGCCAGCATTAGGTCGTCGGCTGCGCGTGCAGCGCCGACACGAGCGGGTGCCAGTGTGCGAGCTGAGTGCGCGCTACATTGGCCTCTGGAACGGCGTCTGGCTCGTCGCCAACGATCTCATTCTCGGCGGTGCCGTCGGCAGCTTCGTCTGCGAGCATCACGAGCAGATCGCGCAAGCGTGTGCCGGATGGCTGCGCGACAACACCATCGTGCAGGCCGACGAGGTGTTGGTCTGGCTGGGCCAGTGGCCCGGCGGCCTCAAGCTCAACGCCGAGCTCTCACTATTCTTCGGCGACATGTACCGCGGCACGATTGACGTGTACGCGCTCTTCGTCTTTGCGCCTCTCGAGCAGGCGCTGCCGCGCCTCGTGTATGCCATCGGGCTGGCGGGCAGCCTCGCCGGCCTGACGATGCTGCTCTCGCTCGCCGCGGATCTGCTGGCTGTTGCGACACTGCATCTCAGCATACTGCACCGCATCGCGCGCGCCATTCTCGGCGCCTTCACCTCGATGCTCTTTGCCCTCTTCCGTCTCTTTCGCGGCAAGAAGCGCAATTGGCTGCGCGGTGGACGCATCGACAACGCCACGTACGACGCCGACCAGCTGCTGCTCGGCACGATTCTCTTCACCATCCTCATCTTTCTCTTCCCGACGGTCATGACGTATCACGTCGTCTTCGCGCTGGCGCGCCTCGGCATCGTCTCGACGCGCGTCTTGCTCGACACGGCACTGGCGCTGCTGAACCATCTGCCGCTCTTTGCGCTCATGCTGCGTCTCAAAGATCCGGCTCGGCTGCCGTCGAGCGTGCGTCTGGCGTGGGCCGCGCCACCCGATGGCGATGCGGACGGACACGAGCCGCTGCGCGCTGCACACTTCGAGCTGCACTCGGTGCCACTGGGCCTCGGCGACATCTTCGCCGGCTATTCGGACCACCTCGTCGGCCTTACGGCGCTGCCACGCCTCTGCCTCGGCGTGCTCACGGGCGCGCCGATCGACCCCATCGACACGATCGCGCAGGGCTAGGAGGAGCGGTGATGGATATAGAGGGAGCAGAGCATGTTGTACAGGAGTCGAGGAGGCCGAGATGCCCTGGAGGGGAAGAATGCTACAAGACGTGCCACTCGTCGTCAATGTTCCGGACCTTGTCTCTGCGCGCCGAAGATGCCGCGTCGCCTGGCCCACCAAGATCGCCGGCGCCGACGACGACGCCGTTGAAGAGCACTCCGCCGGCGCTGCTGGGGCTCGCGGCAGGCTTGGCAGCAGCCGACTTTCGAGGCTCGCCCTGAGGCGTGGCTGCCGGTGTAGTCGCTGCGCTGCGCCGCGAGGCAGCACCCAGAGCCTCTGCTCGTGTCGACTTGCCGGCGCTCTTGTCCGGCCGCGCCTTGTGCGTAGAAAGGAAGCTCAGATCTGCCGGTGCTGCCGTGACGGCACTGGGGTGCGGGCCGCGCACGGGCAGCACGCTCGACTTGAGATCCGGACGAGCGGCGGCTGTCTTGCGCCCCTCGATCGGGCGGGCGTTATTGCTTGCTGCAGGAGCCGCAACGGCTGCCTTAGCCGGCGTTCCTTCGGCAGCCTTGATGTTGAGAATCGAGGCAGCCGCCTGACCCGCGTCGACGTAGCTCTCCTCCAGCAGCTTCGGGCCCTTGCGCGACGAGCGCTTGCTCGCTTCGGCCGCCTCGCCGCGCTCCTCGGGATTGTGCGCGCGGTGGAGAGCGGCATAGTCGAGCTCGGGGAAGGAGAGGTGCGCAATGTGCGCTGGCTGATGCTGCGTGGTATGGGCGCGGCTGAAGGAGGCGAGGGATTAGTTTGCTGCACGAGGCCAGACGAAATGCGGCGTCGGACGCACCTGCCGAGCTCAGCGCTGCCGACAGCGCGCGAGATCAAGCGCAGCGAGCTGCCTGCCGCCATTCCGACATCTATCCGCACGCCCTGCGTGTGCGCCAGGTAGGCTGCATTATACGCGAGCATCGTCAGGGCATCACAGAACTCTCGTGCCGCCGCTCGTGCTGGATCCTCAACGGGCGCAGCAGGCTTAGCTGCGCGTGCCGCATTGTCGGTGCTCTGCGGTGAGGCATTGCCGGCATTGGGATAGAGCGCAGAGGCTAGGCCCCACGAGAAGTGCGTACCGCCTGGAAGCTGCACAAACGACTCGAGTGTCGAAAGCGTCGAGGCGCCAAGCGCAGCCACGCCGCCTCCGCTCGTGCCAGGAGGAGGCGCTGCGAGTACGCTGTACGCCGAGCTGGAGAGATGCAACGAGGCCTTGCGTCTGGAGAGGTGGTCAGCACGGCGCGTTGCACTCGTCTCGGCCCTCGACCCACCCTGAGCTGATCGACCAGAGCGGATGCGGCCGTATCGTGCTGGCGCCAACGGCAGAGGCAACAGCGAACGGCAGCTGTATACCAAGATACGCGCTGAGGATGTGCAACAGATGCGCAGTGTGGGTGACGGCACCATTGGTCGCCTCGCGCGGAAATCGTCGAATGTCGTCGGGCACCGGCAGGACGAGGCCGACGATGCTCCAGTCGTTCGACTTGGCCGAGGAGGCCGTGGCCAACGCTGCAGAGGCTGCAGCAGCAATGCCAGTCTGAGCTGGCAGCGCCGCGCGGCCACGCAGGTCAAAGGCACCGGGCATGGGTGCTGCTGCGGCGGCGGCATTTGGCAGGTAGCGCTCGCGACTGCGCTGTGCACGCGCAAGCGCAGCCGCACTCGTGCTCGAGAGACCGCCGGCATTGGCGAAGCTGGCAGACGGTGGCGAGACGGCAAAGATGGAGAGCGCTTCGCGTGCGCGTGCAGCACGCGCTCTGCGAGGAGAGATGTCCGTCAGTGCCACGACAAGCAGGACAGAAAGACTCGAGCATCGCAGCCTCTTCGATCTGAACGAGTGACTCACCGAGCAAGCTCTGCCGCCACCTCCGCGCTCCTTGTCTGCAGCGCCTCGATCTCTGCGCGCAGCCTGACAGCATCCGGACTGCTGGTCGCAGGGTCCAGAGCCTCCGCCCCCGCCGCCGTCTTGCGCTCCGGCCACGCCCCGGGGCTGCGGCGTGTCTCCGAATGCGCATCAGGTCCGCGCAAGATGCGTCTGGCGCTCGCCAGCGCCTGGCGCCTCTGCCGAAGCGCCTTGGCGCGCTCATGCAGCTGTTCGCGACTTGCGGCCTCTCGTTCGCGGGCCTCGCTGGTCGCAAGCTGAGCCGCCTCGATCTCGAGGAGCAGCGCTGCCCTGCGTGCCTTTGCAGCGCGCGCTGCATGTCCAGCAACGGGACTTGGCGGAGGCAGGCTCAACGCGCTGCTGCTGCCCACCGCGCTCGCCTCCTCAGGCTCGCCAAAGGGATCGCCCAGCGGCTCGTACCGCCTCGGCAGGCGAGCGGTAGCAGCATCGCCGAGCGCCGCCTCGGCCCAGGCGCGTGCTCGGTCGCGCATGGCAGCCAGCCGAGCGACGTCGGTGCGATGTGCGGCGAGACGCTTCGTCAGGCAAGGGTCGGCGCAGTAGAAGCGAGTCTGTGGCGTGTGGCACTGCACACAGAGCGCCGTGGTCGTCGACGTGCCTGCCGCGCCGGCTGCTGCCGCCGCGGCGTCGTTGTGCTGCTGCACTTGCTGCTGCGGTTGCCATCCTGCAGATGGACCAGCGGCGGCGGCGGCGGCGCTCGACGAGGGCGCGGACATGGCGCACGAGCTCGGGCACACGCTCGCTCGCACGCCGAAAGGCGCCCGGGCGGGCGGCGGAGCTGTGAAGGCGTGCCCTGCTGGCGCGCCGTCGGTGAGCTGTGAGGCGGAGGTGGTGGTTGGGAGCAAGAAAGGCGGCGACTGCGCAGCGCACCTTTGGACGCGCAGCCGCGCGCACGGACGGCGCATCACCTCATGCTCCACCTCGCGGCGGCGCCACGAGCACCGCCTGCCTTCCTTCTCTCCTCCTCACCTTCACCACCCCTCCGCGCCGCTCGGCCAGCACGCGCCTTGCATGGTGCTCGAGTTCAGCGATGCCAGCGGCGCCGGCATCGATGCGCTGCCCGTGCTCGTGCCGCCGCTGCGCTTCTCCGCCGTGGCTCTCTCGCTGGCAGCATCGGCGAGCACCACGCAGCCAGCGACACCCGGCGAGCTGCCCGCCTCGCTGGCACAGGCCCTCTACCGCGGCTCGCACCCCAAGCCGCGCAACGTGCGCTTCCTCGCCCGCCTGCGCCTCCGCTCCATCCTCTCCCTCACGCCAAAGGCCCTCAACGCCGCAGAGCCGCAAGTCGCCGAGTGGGCGGCGCAGCGCGGCGTGCAGACCGAGTGGTTCAAGTGCGAGAAGCCAAAGGACGAGGCCGGCGGCCTGAGCAAGGAGGCGGCTGCCAAGGCGCTGCTGGTGAGTGCGCCACAGGCTAGAAGTAGGTGGAGCCTTTCTATGGCGGCTGATCGATGTCTGGTAGCACGTCCTCGATACGCGCAATCTGCCCTGCTACGTGCACTGCCTCGATGCGCTCAGCGTCACGTCGCTGCTGACGGCGCTGCTGCGGCGCGTGCAAGGCTGGTCGCAGGCCTCGCTGCTTGCCGAGCTGTCCCTCAATCTGGCCGCCGGCAATCCGGGCGGCGCAGACGAGGAGCTGCTGGCGTACCAGGGCAACTTTGTCGCCAAGTGGGCGGGCGGATCGGACGGCGTGCGCCTGCCGCCGCGCCGCTTCATTCCCAACTGGTGCTGGCCGGCGCCATACGTGCTCGCTCGCCTGCGCGATCCCTATGATGTGCTGGCACCGCCGTCGCCGACGCCGCTGCGGGACAAGGCGGCAGATCGGCCATCGACCAGCTCGGGCGCCGTGGCTGGCAACGGCCACGCCCGGCAAGGCAGCTCCGATACCTCGCTTGCCGTGCCGCCGGCGAGACCCACGACAGCGCCTGCCAACTACGGCGTGGGTGCTCTGCCTGTCACGCACCCGACGATGAAGCTGCGCTTCGATTCCGACCCGGACCTGCCGCCGCCGCCACGTATCACCTCCCCGCAGCCCGTGGCGCCTGTCGCGCGGCATCCGGCACGCGATAGCTCGCAAGCGCGTGAAGGGCGCGGCCTTGCCTCGCCCGCCAGTCCAGGTGGCAGCCGACCGCACAGTCGGGCGGGCAGAGCGCCGCCGTCGTACTCTGGCAGCTCCACGAGCGAGGGCCGCACGCCTTCGCGTCCACCAAGTCCGAGGCGGCGCACTCTGGGTGCTGGCAGTAGCGAGGCAGGCGAGCCGAGCTCGCCACCAATAGCGTCGCCCTATGCACAGCACACGTTGCATCGCACCTCTTCGCGGCCCCATGCGCCCTCGCATCTGTCGTACAGCTCAAGCGCGCCTTCGCCGCCCAGCTCGCCGAGTCTGCGCAACATCAGTCTGGCGCAGAAGCTACAGCAGCAGGAGCGCAGCTCGCTCGTGGCGTCAAGCGATGACGATGTCGAGACGCCAAGAAGAGGACAGTCGGTACTCGATGCAGGGCGAGGCTCGTCTCAAGGCCAAGACAATACTCCTCGCGCCTCCATCACGCCTACGGACTCGTCCTCGCCCGCCCCGACGCTTGTGCGCTCCCATACGCGCAGCCTCATCGGCGGACAGGAGGAGCGTGCTGATGTGGGCGCCTCGCTCGGCCGCATGGCGCAGAGCAGTCCGACGCCTCCGTCACGCCTCAAGCACCTGGCTGCTGCTGCTCCGGCACAGAGCGGGGCGATTGCTGTCGCCGGCGCACGTGGTGCAGCAGCATCAGGCGGCGCAGAGCAGCATGTGTTGCCTGAGCGCACCTTCTCTACGAGCCCCGAGGACTCGACGCCCGTGCCGCATGCCTTGCGCGCAGACAGCGACGACGAGGAAGAGCAGCTTGGCCTAGGCCTGCAGATGCCTACTGGCGTGCGCGGCACCGCACATGTGCCGCGCTCGACATCAGCAGAGAGCGTCGCATCGGGGTCGAATCAGCAGGCAGAAGGCCAGACGCGTGATGCTCACGAGGACGACACCACGAGCGAGTCGCACGCCGAAGAGGCGGAGTCAGAAGAGGAGACGGAGGAGGAGGAGGAAGAGGAAGAAGAGGAGGAAGAAGAGGAAGAGGAAGAGGAGGATGAGGACGACGAGCAGGACGCTGACGAGGCGCGGGCGCTCGAGGCCCTCGATCTCGACGGCTGGTGAAGGGCAGCGAGACGCAAATGGACCCGTCACCCGCACGCTCGGAACAGCTTGAGATGAGCATTGCACCGGGACAAAGTATATGTCGAGATGTGCGCAGACTCGCACGCGCGATGTGGCGGCGAGCTTGCCTTGGGTTGTATGTGACGCGGAGCGGGAACCAGGGGGATTGATGGAGGGGCGGGGACGCGAGAGAGAGTGGAAAGGGATGGGAGAGATTCGAGAGTGCGGGGAGAGCCCTAGGGCTTAAGGCAAAGCCGCTCAGTCGCGACGAGGGCGCGCCGGCGCCGAGGCGGCGCGCACGATGCGCTCCTTGGCGGCGAGGACCTGGTCGCGCGTGCCGCGGATGATGACGGTGCCGTTGCCGGAGCGCGGGATGTCGATGTGAGCGCCCGAGGCCTCCTCGTGCTGCTTGAGCGCCGAGCCCTGCTTGCCCACCAGGCGCGGCACCACGGAGCCGTCGACGGTCAGGCGGCCCTCGTGCGTGATCGCGCCCGTCTCGTCGGCCTCGGCACGCAGACGCGCCACGCCGGCCGCCAGCGTCTCCGGGCTGCTGGCCGTCAGCGTCCACGTCACGTCCTCGCCAGCGACGGGCGGCAGCTCCACGATGGTGAAGCCGAACTCGTCATCGTCGTCGCCTGCGCCGAGGTCCACGGCATCGTCGAGGTCGATGCGGGCCGCAGCCGCGCCGGCAGACGGCGCCGCCTGCTCGGCCGCCGGAGCAGCGACGGGCGCAACGCGCGGGGCATCCGCAGAGACACCCGTGGCACGCAGCGAGCGGAAGAACTGCTGGTTCGCCAGCTTGGCGTGGGCGGCGCGCGAGATGGTGACCTGCTCCGAGTGCGCCGTGAAGCGCTGAGCAAGCTCCCTGGCGGCAGCGTCGCACGCAGCGCGCTTGCCCACGAGCAGCACGACGGAGCCCTCGGCGGCGTCGGCAGTCTCGGCGCTGTTCACGGCTTCCTCCTTGGCGGCAGCAAACTCGCGGAACGAGGGCATGAGGATGCGCACGTTGTGCGTCGACTGCAGCTCGCGCAGCGCGCCCATGAGGCCACGCTGCGACGCGGGTGCCACCACGGTGCCGACGGTGACGCGGTCGGCCAGCTCGGCGGCGGCGGCCGCCAGCTCGTCCTTGACCTTGCGAGCGACATCGCCAGGGCCGCGCACGATGACCGTGTCCGGGTCGGCGTTCTTGTCGCCGCGGCGGGGGAACTGCACGAGCTGCGCACCCAGACGCGCCTGGTCGTCGCCGCTGCCGCCACCGCTGGCGCGCGCAATGATGTCGCGCAGGTTCTGGCCTCCGGAGCCCAGCAGCAGACCGTGGAAGCGCGAGGGGATGTTCAGCGAGAACGTCTCCTCGGCATCGACGTCCTTGGCGATGGCCAGGATGGCGCCGCGGGCAGCATCGATTGCCTTCTTCGTGCCGCGGATGCGGATCGTCGTCGTAGCGCCCTCGGCCTCGTCGGCGGCGCGGTCAACGTCGATCTGCGCCTCGGTGTCGTCGCGGATCTTGTTGACGGTCGCGCCGCCCTTGCCCATGATGCGCGCAATCGACGAGCGCGAGACAACAACCGTCGTCGTCTGGTTGTTGGCCTCCTCGTACTGCAGCAGCTCGACGATCTCGCGGCGCGCCTCCTCGACGCCCTTCTTGCCGCCGCGGATCGTCACCTCGTCGGCCTTCTCGGCGTTCTGCGAGGGGAAGTTGACGCGCACGCCGTAGTTGTCCTGCAGGCGCGTCACGTACTTGCCACCGCTGCCGATGATGGAGCCGTGCATCGACTGCGGCACCTTGAGCGTGATCGTCGTCTCGTCGGCCAGCTGCGCGGCCTGCGCGAGAATGCGCTCCTTGCACGCCTTGACGTTCTCCTGGCGGCCCGTGATGGTCACCTTCGTCTTGGCGCCCTTGGCCTTGGGGCCCTTGGAGGCGCCGGCCTCCGGCGCGTCGTCAAAGTCGATGCGCACGCCCAGCTCGTCGCGCAGCTTGGCGACCGAGGCGCCGGCACGGCCGACGAGGTGCCGCACGTGCTCGGCGTCGACGCTGAACTCGGCAACGTGGCCGTTGACGATGGCGTCCTCCTGCACATCCTTTGCGACCTTCTGCAGCTCAGCGACGACGCGCGCCACCTCGGCGGAAGGGCCGCGCACGGTGATGGTGTCGTCGGCGGGCGACGGTGCCGGCGCGCCGGCCGACGGCGGGCCGCGGCCCTGGCCCATGCGCACGCTGACGAGGCGGTCCTCGCCCGCAGCGCCGAGGATGGCGTTGAGCGTGGTGCCCTTGGAGCCGAGGATCTGCGCGTGGAAGCGCTGCGGCACGTTCAGCACCTCGGTGGTGAGGTCTGCTGCCTGGCCGGCAGCGCGCTCGACCTCCTCGGCGATGCTCTGCAGCAGCGACTCGGCGCTGGCCGCCTTGGCCTTGGCATCGCCCTCGCCCAGCTGTGAGGCATCGGCAAGGACGAGGACAACGTCTGAGCGGCCCTCGGCGCCCGTGCCGGCCTCGTTCGTCGCAGACGGCGCGGGCGGGAAGATGACATCGACGCCGCGCTTGGCGTAGGCCTGCAGGCCCTTGCCCTGCTTGCCAATGATGAAGCGGTGCAGCAGCGGGTCGACGTCGATGATCTTGACAAAGCTCGGCGGGACGCTGCGCACGAGCGCCTCGAGCTGAGCGCGCACGTTGGAGACGGCCTCGGCATCGGCGCCGACAATGTCGATGCTGAGCGGCGCCGCGGCGTCGCCACTCTCGACGAGGGCGTTGCGCGGCAGGAAGACCTGCACGCCGGCCGGGCGCGGGATCTTGCCGCCGAGCGAGAGCCAGCGCAGCAGGCGCCGCGCGTGCTCCGGCGGTGCGCCGCGGTGCGCCGAGCTCACCTCAACGCTCTCGACGCGCACGGCGCTGGCCTTCTCCATGGCCGCCGTCAGCGCCAGCGGCAGCTTGGCCGGCGGGCCGCGGATCGTGACCTGGTCCGACACATCCTCCTGCGCCGCGAGCTCGACGCTGCAGCCCGTCGACGCCAGGATCTCCTGTGCGGCGTCACCAACCACTGCAGGGCACAAGGGGTCAGCATACATGCCTAGGCCATCGCACACGATACGCACGGAAGCGGTGCTGGCGCTTGGGAATGCTGATGGCCAGCGTGCGGAAGGAGCGCTTCATCTCCTGCACCTGCTCCTCAATGGCCGCCACGACCTTGGCTACCTGGTCCTTGTCGCCCGAGACAACGATGCTGAGGTCGCGCTCGCGCGGCTGGGCGCCCTTGGCACGCTCCTCCTCCTCCTCCTCGCGCTCGCGCGGCGGCAGGAAGGCGGCGCGCGGCGGCACGCGCACGCTGACGTCGGCACCGCCCACCTCGGCCTCGAGGCGTGAGGCGTTGGCGCCGCGTGCGCCGGCGATGAACGGGTAGAGCACGTGGTCGACGTGCGTCAGGCGCTGCGTGCTGCGGCTCGTGCGCTCGGCGACGAGGGCGCGGATCTGGCGCGCGGCCGCCTGCGCGTTGATCTCGTCGCCGTCGATCGTGACGGCAATCTGCGTGTCGGCGTCGTAGTCGTAGTCCTGGCCGGGCGTCGGCGCCGGCGCCTGCGCCTTGGCGCCGTTGCTGGCGGCGGCGTCGCTCTCCTCGCGCGGGATGTTAATGCGCACGCCCGTCGCCTCGGTGATGGCCTTGATGTTCTTGCCCTTGGCGCCGATGACGAAGCCCTGCAGCGACGAGGGGATCATGACGGTGAGGGTGACCTGCGGGCAAGGCGATCAGTGGCAGTCGGCAAGGGCGAAGACTCCGCTCCGCCGCCGCAGCACCAGCCTCCGCTGCACACGCACCATCTTGGCCAGGCCGATGGTGAGGTCCTTGCGCGCCGCCTTGACGGCGCTCTCCGTGGGGCCCTTGAGGACGAAGGTGGTGGTGCCGCTCTTGCGCGTCGAGCTGGCCTCGATCTTGACGGTGCGGTGCTTGGCCTTGACGCGCGACATGACCTGGCCCAGCTTGGCGGGGTCGCTGGGCGTGGGCACGCTGAACGTGTCCTGCGTCACGGGCGTCGCCGTGCCGGTGCGGCGCGCGCCGCCGGGCGCCAGCAGCGGCGTGCTGCGGCCGGACGACGGCGCCGGCGAGGCGCCGCGCGGCGACGAGGCGGCAGGTGTGCCGAGGCGAGCGCCCCACTGGCCCTTGGGCGCCGGCGCGCTGCCGCCGAGCGACGGGAAGGCCGACTGCGACGAGCTGCGAGGGACGTCAGCAGGCTGGAAGCGCTGCAGTGCGGCAGTGGCCAAGCCACGGAGAGCTCCAGCGCGGCGCCACGTGCAAACAGCGCCCACAAGGCAAGTCTGGAGCCGATGCTGTGATCTGCTGCCCGCCTCGCATGCCCCATGTCCTTGCGTCCACTCACAGGTCCGGCTGCACCTCACGCGGCTGAGCCTTTGCCTTCTGCGCGCCGGCCGCGCCGTGCGCCACGGCGGGCGCCGGCGCCGGGAAGGGGTCTTCGCTGAGTGCGGGGAAGGGGTCGTCCATGGGCTTGGGCGCCTCTGCGGCGCTGCCGTTGCCGTTGTTGCCGAGTGCGGAGGTGCCGTTGTGTGCGGGCGCCGCTGCCTGCGCCTGCTGGGCGTGGAGCGAACGCAGCTCGGCGGCCGAGACCATTGCGAGGGAGAAACAACCGGGGGTGGAGTGGGCGAGGTGTGTTGGGTGTGGAGCGGCGCAGCGAGGGGACAGCTGAGGCGGCTCGGAGGGAAGGGTGGGGAAGCAGGCGGCCAGGCGGCGTGCTGGAAGAAGCTCCAGCTCGGTCGGGTCACGCCAGCGCAGCCACCGCGCGCACCGCACCGCACGAGCCGAGCTCGGCGGCCTCTCGCTGTCACCGCGGCGCTGCGCGGCTGGCTTGGGGCGTGCGCGCGCGCGCGGCCTGACTGCTCCCGTGCCCGCTTCCACGGCCTGGCAGGCCCAGGCACCGCACCGCCGGATGGGCACGCGCCACCTTCCCCCGCGTCCACAGCACGTCGGCGCCTCGACGCCGCTCCGTCCTTCTAGCCAGGCATCGCCTCTCCTCCTGCTGCTTGTGGCGAGCTCGAGCTGTACGCTCTGCGTGCTCCCAGTCCCTACTTTGTGCCGGGCACAGCAGGCAGCCTGGCCCGCCGAACGGGGCGCCAGAGCAGCTCCGCGGGATGCGGTCCAGGGCCTGCGAGCGCGACTCCGCCAGATCTGTCCCCTCGCGCGCTAACTCTCCAGCCCCTGATCTCCCACGACGCGCCGCCTCATCTGTCCATCTTGCTCGGGCGTGCGAAGACCAGTGAGTATCATTGAGCGCACCGAGCTGATGAAGCTTGAGAAGGACATGGCTTTCTCCCCTCTTGAGGCTGATTCGGGGCGATGATGAAGCAGGGAAACATGTGATCCGAGCTGGGCGCGGGGCGTGTGCCGTTGCTGCGCGGCGGGTGCGGCGCGCGTCGCAGCGGGCCCGACGGCCGGCGCGGCGTGTGTGATGGCGGCGCTGCGCTTGCTCGCTGCCGAGCGCCGTCGCCGCCGGAGCTTGCTGCTCCACCCTCACCGCCTCCACGCTCGCCTCACACTCTCTTGTCTGCCTCGACTCGTCGTCTCTCACACTACTTCTCTCTTCAAAAGCCGGACCACAGGCGCCCGTGTTGCCGCTGTCCGCTCTAGACGCCGCCGCCTGCGCCAGCAGCTCGTCGCACGTGCGCGCCTGCCTGCGTGCCAGTGTCGGCCCCGTCTCGTCCCGCCTTTATCGCCGCGCCTTTGCACACATCTAGCAGCGCCCGTCGCTGCTGCCTCACGCCGCCATGGGTAACATCTGCAGTTGCTGTGAGTGCCTTAGCTGCGCAACCGTCTGCGGCGCGAACGGCCTCGCGAGGGTCCGGCCGGCTTGAGCGCACGGCACGGCAGCATGGCTCTGCGTACCTTGACTGTCATCTCGCGGCTGCTGCTGTGCCGTGCGCGGGCTTTCATTCCGGAGGTTGTGCTTCCGGACAGCGCTGAGCTGCGCCGCATCTCGCCTAGCACTGACACTCGCTCCCGCGCGCAGGCGGACGATCGCGCAATGCGCAGTACGAGCCGCTGCTGCTGGACAACGAGCGCGATGCCGTTGCGGACCTGCTGCAGTACCTCGAGAGTGAGTGGCGCAGTGCTGCAGTAGCTCACCGCATGCAGACACCTGACCGGGCCTCTCGTTGCACAGACCGCTCGGAGACGGACTTCTTCACGGGCGACCCGCTGCGCTCGCTCAGCACGCTGAGCTTCTCGGACAATGTCGACCTGCAGCGCTCTGCGGCGCTGGCGTTCGCCGAGATCACCGAGAAGGAGGTGCGCGAGGTGGGCCGCGACACGCTCGAGCCCATCATGTTCCTGCTGCAGAGCCACGACGTGGAGGTGCAGCGGGCCGCCAGCGCCGCGCTGGGCAACCTGGCCGTGAACTGTGAGTTGCATGTGGCGAGCCGGACTGATCTCATCTGACCTCGGCGCCTGCAGCGGAGAACAAGCTGCTCATTGTCAAGCTGGGCGGTCTCGAGCCGCTGATTCGCCAGATGCTCAGCCCCAACGTCGAAGTGCAGTGCAACGCCGTCGGCTGCATCACCAACCTCGCCACGCACGACGACAACAAGACGAAGATTGCCAAGTCGGGCGCCCTCGTGCCGCTGACGCGCCTGGCGCGCTCCAAGGACATGCGCGTGCAGCGCAACGCCACGGGCGCGCTGCTCAACATGACGCACAGCGACGAGAACCGGCAGCAGCTCGTCAATGCCGGTGCCATTCCCGTGCTCGTGGGCCTGCTCGGCAGCAGCGACACGGACGTGCAGTACTACTGCACGACGGCGCTGAGCAACATTGCCGTCGACGGCGCCAACCGCAAGAAGCTGGCGCAGACGGAGCCGCGCCTCGTGCAGAACCTCATCGGCCTGATGGAGTCGAGCAGCCTCAAGGTGCAGTGCCAGTCGGCGCTGGCGCTGCGCAACCTGGCGTCGGACGAAAAGTACCAGATCGAGATTGTGCGCTCCAACGGCCTGGCGCCGCTGCTGCGTCTGCTGCGCTCCTCGTTCCTGCCGCTCATCCTCTCGGCGGCGGCGTGCGTGCGCAACGTCTCCATCCACCCGCTCAACGAGTCGCCCATCATTGATGCCGGCTTCCTGCACCCGCTCATCGACCTGCTCAGCCACGAGGACAACGAGGAGATCCAGTGCCACGCCATCTCGACGCTGCGCAACCTCGCTGCCTCGTCGGAGCGCAACAAGACAGCCATCGTCGAGGCGGGCGCCGTGGAGCGCATCAAGGAACTCGTGCTCTCCGTGCCGCTCTCGGTGCAGTCGGAGATGACGGCGTGCGCGGCGGTGCTGGCGCTCTCCGAGGACCTCAAGCCGCAGCTGCTGGAGATGGGCATCTGCGAGGTGCTCATCCCGCTCACCGCCTCGCCGTCGGTGGAGGTGCAGGGCAACTCTGCGGCGGCGCTGGGCAACCTGAGCAGCAAGAGCGACGACTATGCGCCCTTCAACGCCGTCTGGTCCGAGCCCGAGGGCGGCCTGCACGGCTATCTGGTGCGCTTCCTCGAGTCGGCCGACACGACGTTCCAGCACATTGCCGTGTGGACCATCGTGCAGCTGCTCGAGAGCGGCGATGCGCAGCTGGAGAGCAACGTGCGCTCCTCGCCGCACCTGCTGCCGCTCATCCGCAGTCTCGCCGACACGCCCGCCGGCTCCGAGGGCGGCACGGCGACAAATGGCGACGGCAGCGACGACGGCGCCGATGCAGAGGGCGAGATTGCCAGCCTGGCACGGAAGATCCAGGAGATTCTCATCGACGAGGGCGGCGGCCTGACGGAGGACTCGAGGTAGTCCGCTGATGCCGTGCCCCATGATCCCCTGTGCTGCGTCGGTGTGCCGTGCCGCGCAGCCACCCTCACCCGTCCGTGTTTCCCCTCTCGCGCGCTCTCCCTTCACCCATAGTCTGAATGTCCTGTAACGAGCTCAATCGATCCGATGATCTGCAGCGAGCCGGGCCTGATTGGGAGATGCCTCTGGCGCCTCGCCAGGCGATTTGCCCGCCTCGAGCTCGGTCTGTGCGCCTGCTTCCCCGCGCGCCGCGCCTTCGCGCGCTGCATCTTGCGCTTGCTCCACATCATCCGCCGCGCTTTCCCGCTCACTCCCGACCGCACCACCACCTCCGCACCGCCCATCATGCCGGACAAGGCTGCGGAAAGTAGCGAGCATGTCGACCCCGTCATGCTCTCGCTCTTTGCCGCGCGCTTCATGTCCGTCGCCGGTGCGTGCTGCTGCCGTGCATGGCCGCTGAGAGTATCGGCTGAGGGCAGCGAACAGAGGCGATGGGACGGTGTCTGGAGCAGACGGCCATCAGGTGAGTGCGCTACCGCTTTGCATCATCAGGCCTTCTGCCTCTGACGCTCGGCGCAGCGTCAACATCAAGCTGCGTCTCGACTTCTCCTGCGCCCTCTTCTCGCCGACGGGCGACCTGGTGGCCAATGCGCCGCACCTGCCCGTGCACCTTGGCAGCATGTCTTTTGCCGTGCGCTACCAGATTGCGCGCGCAAAGGAGCTTGGCGAGCCCATTGAGGACGGCGATGTGATCCTTGCGAATCACCCGGCGGCGGGCGGCAGCCACCTGCCGGACATTACGTGCATCACGCCCGTGTTCGGCAAGAAGGGAGAGATCATCTTCTTTACCGCGAGCAGAGGGCATCACGCTGGTGAGTGCAGGCGGCGGGTCAGGGGTAGGCGGCAGGCCCGCGCATGGCCTGAGCCCTTGCCGTTCAGACATCGGCGGCATCCTGCCTGGCTCTATGCCGCCGACCAGCAAGACGCTGTACGAGGAAGGCGCACAGATCAAGTCCTTCAAGCTCGTGCGCAAGGGCGTGTATGACCGCGAGGCTCTCGTGAAGCTGCTGTGCGACGATCCGGCGCAGTATGCCGGCTGCAGTGGCTCGCGCTGCTTCCGCGATGTCGAGAGCGACTTGCACGCGCAGATTGCGGCGAACCGCAAGGGCGTCCAGCTCATTGACTTGCTGGTCGACGAGTGGGGCCTGGAGACTGTGCAGGCAGTGAGTGAGGAATCGCACTGCGCTTCCTGCTGGTGGCTCATGCTTGTCTGCAGTACATGCTGCACATCCGCAACAATGCCGAGCTTGCTGTGCGCAATCTGCTACGCGAGGTGGCGGAACGGCAAGGCTCAAACGAGCTGTGGGCTCGCGACTACATGGACGACGGTGCGTCGCTGTGAGGGAGCAGCAGCTCTTCTGATGCTGACGCGGCGCCATGTAGGCTCGCCCATCGAGCTGCGAGTCACGATAGATCCTGAGAAGGGCTCGGCCATCTTTGACTTCGAGGTGCGACTCTACTCTGTGGCGCTGCGAGGCCTCGCGCTGACTCTGCCACAGGGCACCGGACCAGAGGTCTACGGCAACACGAACTGCCCACGCTCAGTCTCGCACAGCGCCATCATCTACTGCCTGCGCGCAATGGTCTCGACCGAGATCCCGCTCAATCAGGGCTGTCTCGAGCCGATTGAGGTGCGCTTGATCAGGAGCACTGACATGCTGTTTGCTGACCTACTTCGGCAGGTGCGCATCCCAGCTGGCTCGCTGCTGGACCCCAGCGACGACGCTGCCGTGGTGGGCGGCAACGTGCTCACCTCGCAGCGCGTCACGGATGTGGTGCTCAAGGCGTTCAAGGCCGCCGCCGCCAGCCAGGGCGACTGCAACAACCTGACGTTCGGCCGCGGCGGCCAGACGGCCGACGGCAAGCACGTCGAGGGCTTCGGCTACTACGAGACGATTGCGGGCGGCAGCGGCGCTGGCCCAACGTGGCATGGCACCAGCGGCGTGCACGTGGCGATGACGAACACGCGCATCAGTGGGTGTCCTGCCTACTCAGCCCGTCTAGTGCAGGCTGACACATTCTGCCTACAGCGGATCCGGAGACGCTGGAGCGCAACTACCCTGTGCTGCTGCGGCAGTTCAGCCTGCGGCCTGGCTCGGGCGGCAAGGGGCGCTTCAACGGCGGCAACGGCGTGGTCCGCGAGATTGAGTTCCTCAACAAGCAGATCCAGGTCAGCATCCTCAGCGAGCGGCGATCCTACCGGCCATTCGGCATGGAGGGCGGCGGCGATGCCCAGAGTGGCCGCAACACGTGGGTGCGCCACCAGGGCGACGAGGAGCGCAAGGTCAACCTCGGCGCGAAGGCTACGGCACTCATGGGCCGCCTCGACCGCATCATCGTCGAGACGCCAGGCGGCGGCGCATGGGGCGCGCCCGGCAGTGAGGCAGACGACGAGCCCAGCAAGCAGGAACGGCATCATGGCGCGCGCGGCAGTCTTGCTGATCGAGCAGCAGAGCAGCTGGGCGCATAAGGCCGAGGCTCGCTTTGATGGGCAGCAATGCATTCAGCGTCACGACACCTCGATCTCGAAGAGCAGTGCAAAGACGAGCAGATGCAGACAGGCGGCATATGCGATGAGCAAGAGGCGCGAGCGGCGATGCCCCAGCACGACTTGCAGCACGCGGTGCAGCAGCCGCTCGAACGGGTTCGTCAGCGAGGCGATTTGTTCCTGCAAGTGGCACGTCAGCGAGGGGAAGCCAGGCAGGGACACAGGCCACTGACCCGCCCGCGGAAGGCCTCGAAGGGGTTCATGCTGGCCTGGTACTTGTCGCGGTACTTGTCGTCGTCGTCGATGCGGATGGCACTCTGATGCCGTGCGCTGACAGCTGCCGGCGGATAGTGGCGCTCGGCCGACGTACTGCTGCTGCTGGCACCTGCCGTGGCAGAGTAGGCCTGCAAGTAGCGCACCTTTTCGTACAGCGCCAAGTTGTCCGTCTGCAGCTGCTTGACCTCGTTGCGCAGCTCGGACAGCGTCTCGAACTGCCGTCGCAGCTCCTGCGCGCGCCGACGTCAGCTCTGTCGAAGGGACTCGAACCCGCGCGGAACGCACCTCTTCGAGTTCGGCGTTGCGTGCACGGAAGCGGTCGCGCTGGCTGGTAATGATGGGCAGGATGCTGCTCTCGCCGGAGGGCGCAGCAGAGGGCGTACCTGGCGCTGGAGAAGCTGGAGCCGGCGCGAAGGGGATGGCGCGATCCGTGATGGGCGCAGCACGGCTCTGTGCGGTGGAGCCCTGAGGTTGAGGTGTGAGCACCCGCTTGCACTGCAGCGGCAGAGACAACTCACCCCTGCGGCCTGGCCAATGCGATCCATCTCCGCCAGCGCCTCTTCTGCCGACATGCTACTCTTGTCACGCGCCTGGCTCGTCGAAGGCCTCGCCGTGTCAAAGTTGACCAGGTCATCCTCAAGCCTAACGTTCAGTGCGCGCAGCCGCTCCACCTCCGCCTGCAGCGCCGCGAGCTGCTTAGCCGAGGCGCTGGCGCCCTTGCTGAGCGCCTCGTGCTCGACGCGCATTGTCGTCGCCTCGTCCTGCAGCTTGCGGTTCTTCTCGATGAGCAGCGCCTCGAGCGGCTTGGCGCCCGATGCAGCGCTGGCAGCCGAGCCTTCCACCTCTTGCGCGGCAGGCCCGTCTGCGCCGTCTTGCACGGCAAACTCGACATACTTGATGATCTGCAGCTCACGCTTGATCTCGTCGTAGTCCTGCATGCCCTCGATGCGCTTGCGCAGCACCTCGACCTCCTTGACACGCTCGCCCAGGGCCCGCTCTTTCTCCTCGCATCGGCGCTTCTCCTCCTCGATGAGGCGCTTGCTGCGCGCATCCTCGCCCTCGAGCGCCGCAGCCAGGCGTCTTGCCTCTTCTTGGCTCTCCTCCACCTTGCGCTCCCACTCGGCCTGCCTCTCCTCCTCGCCGCTCGTTTCCTGGGCGCGAATGACTTCGCTGCGCAGCGACTCGTTGCGCCGCTCCAGATCCGCAATGCGCTCGTTGGCTCGCCGCAGGTCGTCTGCGGCCATCTGCATCTCGAGCTCCTCGACGCGGGCGTCCTTCTCCGCGCCGGCCACCTCGCGCTCCGTCGCCTGAGCATGGGCTGCCCGCAGCTCCTTGAGCTGTGACTGCGCCACTTCAAGGGCGCGAGAGAGATCCTTCTCGCGCGACACGAGGTTCTGCACGCGCTCCTCCCAGCGTGCCGAGAGCGAAGCCTCGAGTGATGAGGTGCGCTCGGCGACGCGCGCTTCGAAGCCCTTCTCCAGGCTAGCGACCTTGTCTGACAGCCGCGTTCGCTCCGCCTCGAGCGATGAGAGACCGGCAAGGCGCGTGCGCAGGGCGCTCGTCTCGGACTGCAGGGCGGCGTGCTGCGTGCGCAGAGACTCGAGGTCTTGCAGCGACGCCGTTTGCTCCTGCAAGCGACAGATCAGAGGCTGCTCATCACATCGGCGCCATCGCGAATCCTCCATCTCCAGGCGCTCCTGTCACTCACCAGCATGAGCTCAAGCCAGTAGTGCGGATCCGGCGCGCCCTTGAGGCGGTCCGCGACGCCGAGGAAGACATTCTCGGCACGCTTGGCCCGCGTGGTCAGGGCGTCAATCTCAGCCTGGTAGGCCTTGAGCAGCGGCTTGACGGCATCGCCGCGGGCCTCGTCGGGCAGCTTGCGGAACTCGCGCGTCTGCTCGGCGAGGCGCTTGCGCGAGATGAGACCCTCGGTCTGCGTCTGCACCAGCGCGGGGCCCACTTCGCCCAGATGCGCCAGCAGCGTGGGCAGCGAGATCTCTGCCGGGCATTGCTGTCAGAAAACAGAAGTAGAGGCGAAGAGCAGCAGCACTCACCTCGCCACGAGGTCAGTGCCGTGGAGAAGTCGGCGGCCGACGAGGCACCTGCTGCAGCTGCGCCGGTGCCATTGCTGCGAGCCGGCGTCGCAGCCTCATCGGTGGAGGCGGCAAAGGCGGCGATCTGGTCTGCCATGGCGGCCGCGTAAGAGCGAGACGCCAGGCGCGCAGCAATTGAGCGGAGGAGGAAAGGTGATGTGGTGTCGCAGGGATGATGGAGTGAGATGGAGAGCTGGCTGTACGCGAGCAGAGCACCCTCTGACCGCGGCCAAGCGAAGCACACGAAACGCACGGACGCGAAGTGCGGCCGCGGACCCGTTGGCGCCGCCTGCTTCCCAGCCACCACACCGCAACGCACAGCGCAGCATGTCCGGCCCCTCACCTGCGCCACGCACACGGCGGAGACAGCGTCTGCTGCTTGTGTCTGGCTTCTTCTCGGCACTTATCGCGCTGGCGCTGGCCGTGAGTAGCGCATCGCACGTCTCACCCAGCAGGGCCCTCTGACACGCCTGCGCGTGGCACAGGCGATCGCAGCGCCCCTCGTTGCGCCCTCGCTCTACGTCAGTGCCGAGCAGAGCGAGCAGCTGGAGCGCTTCTTTGCGCGCGGCCAGGCGGGCACGCTGGCGGCGGCCGATGGCGGGCATACCAACAACTGGGCCGTGCTCGTGTCGGCGAGCAAGTTCTGGTTCAACTACCGCGTGAGTGCGGCCGTGTGAAGGGCAGCGAGGGCTATGGCGGCAGACTGACATGCGTGCGGCAGCACATGGCCAACACGCTGGGCATGTACCGCACCATCAAGCGCCTCGGCATCCCCGACAGCCACATCATCCTCATGCTGGCCGACGACGCCGCATGCAATGCGCGCAACCGCAGCCCCGGCTACGTGTGGGCCGAGCCGGGCCGTGTGCTGGACCTGTACGGCCAGAACGTGGAGGTGGATTATCGCGGCTACGAGGTGACGGTCGAGGCTGTGCTTCGCGTGCTCACGGGTGAGTCCAGAGGCTAGCTCTTCAGTGGGAGGCGGCGAGGAGCCGCAGACTGCCGGCATGGGCCATGCGCTCCTGCCCTCGTCTCAGGCCCGCTGACGCCACACCGCAGGACGAGTGCCCGCCAACACGCCGCGCTCGAAGCGGCTCGAGTCGGACGCACGCTCCAATGTGTTCCTGTACATGACGGGCCACGGCGGCGACGAGTTCCTCAAGTTCCAGGACTACGAGGAGATCTCGGCATTTGACCTGGGTGCGTGCACTAGAAAGCAAGTGCCCACGTAGCTCTGACACGCAGCTCTCAGCCGACGCCATCGAGCAGATGTGGGAGAAGAAGCGGCGAGTCGCCTGCAGTTTTTGGCCTGCCACATGGCATGCGCTGACTGTGGCCTCAGCTACCACGAGCTCTTCTTCATGATCGACACCTGCCAGGCCAATACGATGTACAGCAAGATCTACTCGCCAAACGTGCTCGCCACGGGCAGCAGCCACAAGGATCAGAACTCGTACTCGGTGAGCGCGCCTCTTGCTCCGCGCCGCGCTCGCCTGCTGCTGACACTCGAGCAGCACGGCACAGACGACGATCTGGGCATCGCCATGTCCGACCGCTTCACCCTCGAGATCCTCGACTTCATGGAGGACGTCAACAAGACGTCCGAGCGGACGATGCAGGATCTCGTGAGCACGGCAGCGCAGCAGCACTTGCAAATCGCCGCCTGACCTCATCCCTCTTCAGTTCAACAGCTACGACCCGGCACGCATTCACTCGGACCCGGGCGTGCGCACCGATCTCTTCCGTCGTCCGCTCGACAGCGTGCGCATCACCGACTTCCTCGGCGGCGTTTCGCAGGTCGAGCTCACCACGACGCTCGACGAGGAGCCATTTTAGCATAGAAGGGCAATGCATTGCAGACCCGCACACGCATCAGCGCCGCTTGCTTGCGTTGCCAGCGTCATCGGGCGCCGCACGCTTGCCGAAGCTCAGCTTGAACTTCTCGCCGCCCAGCATGCCTGGCGTGCTGGCGCCCGACCCAGGCGCGCTCGTGGCGACGGGCACGGCGCGTGCGGGCGCAAAGGCCGGCTTCATCGTCGGCTTCGGCGGCGCGGGAGCGGGTGATGGCGGCGGCGGTGCCTCGCCGCCGGGCGGCGGAGGCGGCGGTGGCGATGCGGGCGGCGGCGGGCTGGCGGCGTACGGCGAGTCGGTGCCCTGCGGCAGAGACATGACGGAGGAGAGGCCGTCGACGTACTCGGCCACGCGGCTGGCGGCGCCGCCCTTGGCCTTCTTCGGGCCCTTGGGCGCGGCGGCGTCTGCAGTGCCCTCGCGCGCCTTGCCCTTGCCCTTGCCCACCGGCTCGCGCGCGATGTTGGGGCCGAGCAGGTCGAGGTCCTGCGGCGCGTTGTTGCGCGCGCCGACGCCAATGACCATGTGCGCCTGGCCCGAGCGCTCGGCACGCTCGGCGAACGCGCGGCTCATGCCCGTCGGCGTGTCGCCGGCCGTCATCTTCTCGCGCTTGCGCTCCTCCTCGATGCGCCGCAGCGTCAGCTCCTGCTTCTTCTTGCCCGGCATCTTGCCGTGGAAGACGTGGCTGAGATTCTTCCATGCCTCGTGCTTGTTCAGCACGCGGCCGTGCTGTGGGAGAGGGGAGAGGGTCAGCACATGGACGTCCTCTTCTCCCGCAAGACTGCACGCACCTCGTCGTGGTACTTGATGTCGATGTCCGGCTTGTAATTTTTGAACTTCTCGAGCGCCAGGCGCGCATCCTCGGCCTCGCGCATGCGGTTCTCGTACTCGCGCGTCGCCTGGTCCTTGGAGCTGCCCTGCGCCTTGCTGGCATCGCGCTCCGCCTGGCGCATGCGGTCCTCGCGCCGGCGCAGCTCGAGCCAGGCGTCGTACTGCTTCTGCTTCTGCTCGCGCTCGCGCTGCTCCGGCGTGACCTCCTCGATCATGCCCGAGTTGCGCAGCAGTGCCAGCGTCGCCGCCATGCCGCTCGAAACGAGGCCCTCGGGCGCGCCGATCTCGACGCCGTCGGCATCCTTGGCCTTGGGCACGGGCAGCTCATCGAGGTAGGCCATCTCCTCGTCGGAGATCTCGCCGTCCTCGTGCGGCGCGTCGCCAGCCTCGCTCTCCTCCTGCTTGACGCGCACTCGCTGCTCGCCGTTCGACGCAGCGTGCGTCTCGTCGGTCTCCAGCGGCTCCGACTTGATGCGCGGAATGGCACCACCGCTGCCCTCGCGCATCTGACGCTCGGCTTCGGCCAGGCGGCGAGATGAGGAGGCCGCCGCCGCTGCTGCCCGCCGGGCGCTCGTGCCGGGCGACGAGTCGCGCGTCTGTATTGTCCGCACAAACTCGCTCGTGTCGTCGAACGTCAGGCCTTCCTTCGAGTCGCCGTTCGTAGCGCCCGCGAACGCCGGCTCTGCGGCATCGTCGCCTTGGTCTGCTGCCTCTGCTTCCCGCTGAGCGGCGACTGAGAGAAAGGAGGGTAAGCAAAAAGCACATCGCTGCAATAGCTTTTGACACGCACGATTCTTGGCAATCTGCTCGGGCGTCATCTTGTTCAGCGTGCGCTTCGCCTTGCTGCGACGCGCCTTGGCCAGGCTCGCGGCCAGCTCGTCGTCGTCGACGAAGTTCTCCGTCGTGAGCTGGCGCGGCACACGCGGCGCGGCCGGCTCCTGCTTGACGTCTGCCATGTCTGCATCCTCCTGCGCGGCAGCAGACGGCCCCGCCGCAGCAGCCGCGCCTTCGTCGTCGTCCTCGATCTTGACGCGCGTCGCTGCACGCTTCTTCTTCTTGGTCTGAGGGAGCATGGATCACACGCAAACAGGCACGAGGGAGAGAGCGAGGCACTGGCGTCAGAATGCGAAGAGATGCGGCAGAATGCGGCCGAGCGCGCGTTCAGTCTTGCTCAACGCGCGCGCGGCATGACAGGCGCTGACTCACCTTCGGCCGCTTGAAGCCTACGTCGCCCTCCTGCAGGTAGTCGGAGACCTCGCCGTTCTCTGTAGAAGCGCACGACATCAACAGACTGCGCCGCACTGCAGCTCTCGCAGCACACTCACTCTTGTAGTCGAGACTCAGCACCGTGCGGTTGAGCATGCGTGCGGCCTCTGCCTTCTGCTCCTCCTCTCTCGCTCGCCGGTCTTCGAGCGGCTCTGCACCAATGCGGAAGCCGCCATCGCCAGCCTTGGGCGGCACATCATCGGGCCCGAGCGCAGCGTCGTACTTGCTCAGCACGCTACGCTTGCTGCCCGGCGCATTGTCGAACTCCTCGTCGTCGAGGCCGGTGTAGCCCTTTGCGCCGCGCTTGCGCTCTGCATTGGCGCGGTCGCGCTCCTGCTGGCTGATGGCCGAGTCCATCAACTCGTCCTCGTCGCCATCGAGGATGCGGCCATCGCGCAGCGTCAAGATGCGGCCCTCGCCGCCGGCAGCCAGTCCAATGTCGTCGAGGTCGTGTGCCACACGCAGGCCGGCCAGGTCAGCAGTGTCGTACTGCTCCTGCGCCGCCTTGTCCTGCTCCTCCTGCTCCTTGAGCCGCTGCGCCGCAATCTGCTTGGCGCGCTTCTGCGACTGCTTGAGCCACTTGAGCGTGTCCTTGCCGCCGCTGCCGCTCGGCGCACCCAGCGACGCCGGCTCAGCCTCGTCTGCCTCGCCGAGCGTCGGGCCGCGCAGCTTCTTGGCCAGCTCGCGCCGGTTCTGTGCCCTGCAGGAGAAGCGGTCTCAGCCAATGGATACCACTGCCGCAGAAAGCATGCTCTGCCGCACATGGCACGCGCTGCTGCACGTAGCATGCTGTGCCGCCACGCTGAACTGCCACTCACTTGGCGATGCGCTCCCGGATCTCCTCCTCCTCCTTCTTGCGGCGCGCCTCCTCCTTGCGCTGGCGGTAGTTCTCGTTCGCCGTGTCCTCCTGCCGAGCCAGCGGGTCCGAGCTCTCCTCGCCCGCCGCCTCGTCGTCCGAGTCGGCGGTGAGCGGCTTGAGGCCGAGCTGGATGCGGAGCTTGTTGGACTCCTCGAGGGAGAGGGAGGACTCCATGCTGGGCGGGCGCGGCGCGCTAGGCGGCGATGCAGCCTAGAGTAGAGGCAGAGATGCGCTGAGAGCGAGCGCTGTGGGTGAAGGCAGTAGAATGGAGTGCAGGTGGTCGTCGGGAAGAGGGCGCAGCGGACTCTGAGCGCAGCGTGACAGCCGCTGACGCCTTCCAGCTGCCGCCATCTCTTGCTGTTCCCACGCTCTCGCGTCAGACGAGCGCGCCACGCCTTGCACGCCTGTCGTCGACGCAACCTCAAGCTGTACTGCGGTACGCATGCGGAACCTCAGAGTGCTCTCAAATTGGGCAGACCGAAGCTCTTTAATGATGACTTGGAAGAAGACAGAGAGCGCAGAGTTGCAAGAGAGACTGGTGGGCGCAGCGATGCTGGTCTGTGTGGCTGGCTAGCTTACGACCGACGGCACAAGTTGCAAAGTCAGTAGCCTTGAGTAGCTCAGGCGGCATATGTCAGATTCAGCAAGTCTCTCGAGTGCAAAGTAGGCGGCAGATTCACTCCACTGCTTCGCTTGTTGGGACTGGTCGCCGGGCCTGGCGTCCGGGTGAGCATCGTGTGAGCCGGTCTTCTCGAGCGCCAACGACTGAAGGGCTGACTTGAAGATGGGAGCTGTGAGCGCTGTACCGCACGACACCAAGACTCTCTTACTAGCCTCACTCTGACTCACAACGCTCCACGCTGCCCCGAGCACTGAGCAGCTTGCCTTGGTGCTGAGTGGCCCTCCACATGCCGCACCAGCCGTCCATCCGTCTGCGTCCCTGAGGCAGACGAGGCAGCCACCTCGTATGCAGGCACCGGCTTTCTCGCCGTGGCGCTGATCCGAGACTGCACCTTGACCTAGCGATGGCTCGTGAGGCACGAGGTCAGTCGTCCTCTCCGGAAGGACAGTCTCGCCTCTTCCGGAAGAGCGTCGGTGCAGCACGCGAGGCAAGGCTGCCTCATCGCGCAGAGAGGATCGGCGTGGTGCTTCCATGTGGGAACATCTCACAGCGAGCAGCCATGTGACGGATGTCGAAAGTGGCAGAAGTGCATGGGCGGCCAGAGCGCCAGGGTCCGAAGAAGTTCGAGGCCGTCGGAGGTCGGAAGCTCGCTGCGCGCCGCGCGCGAGCTGTGATCACAGCGCATGAGCATCAAGGCGTACCCGCCATCTCGACGCCCGGGCCAACGGATCAGGCGCATCAAGCATAAGCATCGCACCTCCGCCTGGGAGCCCATGTGGGCCAGACGATCTGGCCCACATGGGCGGCGAGGCGGAGTTGAGGAGCGACAAAGGACGATGGAGGCAGCGCCGCCAGCGCCAGGCCCACACGGCGCCGCGCGCCGCTCGTCGCATGCGGCGGCGGCGCCGTTCCCGCTGCATGCAGCCGCGCGCGCGAGGGCGAGGCGTGTTGTGCCCGCCGCGTGCACCTCGGCGCCGCGCGCGGATGCGGCCGCCTCGGATGCTTTGGCAGCGCGGTCGCTCTTGCCGCTGCCAGCGCAGCCTATATGCCGATGCGTCCATCTGGAGCTAGATTATGGTTCGCCGGCTGGAGGTGCGAAGGAGGCTAGACGCACGGTGATGGACGCTGGCAGCCGGCCGTTGGCGTGAGAGCTGGGCAGAGTGAGGGCTCAGGCACGGCAGCCGCGAGACGCGCGCGCGTGCCTCGCGGCGCGCTTACGCCCGCGACTCCCTGGCGCGCCGCCAGCCTGCGCTGAGATCACGGCGCATCCGCCTCGGCCAGCTTCGTGTGTTCCCGCCATCATCCCTCCCGCCTCATCCTCCAGCTCTGCCTCGTGTGCAGCTCTCTTTCATACCTCGCGCCTCTCTCTCACCTATACCTCGCTCGCCGCGCACCTCTGCGCCGCTGCCTGCTCGTCTGCGCCGCCGCCTCGCCGCTGCGCATCCGCACGCACACTCGTCTCCACGCCGCGCCGCACTCGGCCAGCTCGCACGTAGCCCGAGTGCTCTGCAGCAGCCAGCAGGAGCGCATCTCTCTGCGCGCACTGCATCCGCTGCGTCTGCGTGTCTCGCTCTACGCGCGCACCGCCTCGCCCGCTCGCTCGCCTCTGAGCCGCACAGACAGACGGCCGACAGCACCTTTCCGCTGCGCCACGTCTGGGCCCGCTCTGCCGCACTCTGAGCAGCGCCTGTGCGCCCTGTGACTGCTGCTGCCGCCGCTGCTTCCAGCTGCCAGCCGCCGGCCATGAAGGGTCTCAAGGACTTCCGGCGCTCCTTGAACAAGGACCGCACCTCGGGCGGCCGGCCCGGCGCCTCGGCGCCGCCGACGTTCACGGGCGTCAAGAACGCCGTGTCCATCCAGCCGCCCAAGAAGGTGATCCGCGCCACGCGCGACTACCGCTCGCGCGCGCCACAGGAGCTCAGCTTCCACAAGGGCGACTTCTTCCACGTGCTCTCTGACGAGGCCGGCAACCCGGACTGGCTCGAGGCGACGAACCCCATCACCAATGCGCGCGGCCTCGTGCCTGCAGCCTACTTTGACGTGCTGACAAACAACCGGCCGCCGGGCGCTGGCGGCGGCGGCGGCAGTGCGCTCAGCTCGCCGACGCTCGGCGCGCCGCCGGCGGGCAGCATGGGCGCGCGCAGCGGTGCCACCTCGCCCGCCGTGACCGCAAAGGGCGGCGGCGGCATGTATGCCATCGTCAAGTACGACTTTGCGGCAGAGCGTGCCGACGAGCTCGAGGCAAAGGCGGGCGAGTCGATCATCGTGATTGCGCAGTCGAACTTCGAGTGGTTCGTGGCCAAGCCCATCGGGCGTCTCGGCGGGCCAGGCCTGATTCCCGTGGCGTTTGTTGAGATCAAGGATCTGACAACGGGGCGCGTCGTCGAGAACGTGCAGGAGCTCATCGAGAGCGGCGCTGTGCCAAAAGTCGAGGAGTGGAAGAAGATGACGGCCGACTACAAGAAGAACACGATTCCGCTGGGCCGCTTCGACTTCCAGGGCGCGGCGCCCGTCAACGACTCGCCGTACGGGCAGCCAGCGCCGGATCCGCCGAGCAAGGACTCTGGCTACGGGCAGACGCAGCACAGCGATCAGCTGCTGTATCAGCAGCAGCAGGAGCACCAGCAGATGATGGCGCAGCAGCAACAGATGCAGCAGCAGCAACAGCAGCAGGGCCAGCCCGAGCTGCCGCCAGGCATGCCGCCGGGCGAACCGCTGCCGGCGGGCATCGTCACGTCGGCCACCGTCGACTCGTTCCACTACGAGCAGGGTGACTACTGGTTCCGCATCCAGGCCGCGCACGTCGCAGGGCCCAGCTCGTCTGCGCCAACAAGCGTGCCGCGCGCGCCGGCAGGCGAGGAGCGCGACCTGATCCTGTACCGCCTGTACGAGGACTTCTACGAGTTCCAGATCGCGCTGCTCGACCACTTCCCTGCCGAGGCGGGGCGCGAGGTGGATGCCAATGGGCAGCCGAGCGAGCGCATTCTGCCGCTGATGCCCGGCCCGCTCGACACCGTCGACGATGTGATCACCTCGCAGCGGCGCTACGACCTCGACGCGTACATCGTCGAGCTGTGCGCGCTGCCGCAGTACATCCTGCGCTCCGAGCTCGTGCGTCTCTTCTTCGAGCCGCGGCCCGGAGACCACTGCACGACGCATCCGCTGAGCCAGCAGGCACAGGCGGCGGCTGCGGCAGCGGCGAGGCAGAAGGTGGACGCGAACCAGCTGGGACAGGAGTATGACTACCTGTCGAGCCACGTGGCGGACGAGGCTCGGCCGCCGGTGCCGCCAAGTAACGGGACGAGGTGAGTGGAGAGAACGCGCAGCGCGCGCGCATTTGCCTCTGCCTCGGCTCCTGACGCATCTCTGCAGCAAATACGCAGAGGACCAGCCTGTCGGGCCGCGCTCGAGCGTGGACGACATGGCGCGCAGTGTGGGCCGACTCAGCATGGGCGCCGGGCGGTCAAGCGGCGGCGGGCAGCGCAACTCGGGACAGTCGGGCACGGACTCGCGCAGCAGTGGGGCAGCGCGCTCGGCCGGCGGCGGCGCAGCGTCACATCTGCAGCCGCACGGCTCCATGTCGCGCAAGCACTCGGGCACCACTGTCGACTCGCAAGGCTCGGGCACTTCTGCACATGCGCAGCAGGCACCGCCGGCGCCGCAAGCAGGCGCGCCGCCGTTCATCAAGATCAAGATCTTCCACCGCGCCAACGACGACCTCGTGGCGATCCGCGTGCCGCCAAACGTGACGCACGCGGCGCTGCTGGAGAAGGTGCGCGAGCGCCTCGGCTCTGACCTGGCCATTCTGCGCTACCGCGAGCAGGCGCCAGAGCCGGGCGCCAGTGGCCTCATGCGCCTCAGCGACGACGAGGATCTGCGCGAGTGGCTCGCCAGCGGCGCCAAGCTCGTCCTGTACGCCGATGTGCGATAGCCGCCGTCGCCCGCTGCAGATGTCCCTCGCATTCTCTCTCTGCGCGTGCCGCATGCATGGCCGCCGCCCTTCTCGAGTCTTCCTCGTCGCTGTGCTAGACCTCTCATACCTCGTGCGCTCCTTCCATTGCTGCTCCATCTGCCGGCGTCACAAGTGCCTCATGCCTCTCTCCCCATGGACCCCTTTTTTCTCTTCTTCCCTTGGGCCTGCTCCACTTCTTCGTCTTCTCATCCCTCTTCTATTCCGTCTCACGGCTCTTCTACCCCACTTGGCTCCATTCGCCTGCACCCCCTGCTCTCGGTGCGCGCGCGCTTGCGGGCGCGCCCAAGAACGCCCGGCATCTGCGTGCGCCCTCCACTGCCTCCTTCGGATGTCCCCTCATACCACACGCTCCGTGTCCGATCTGCAATGAAAAGGCTGCATCATCTCACCCATCGTGCGTCGGCGCCCAAGGTGCGATGCGTGGCATTAGGAGGAAAGAGGATATGCGTGCGTGACGAGCAGCAGATGCGGGCCGCAGTCGTGTTGAGGTGTAAAGGCGTCGATGCGCTGCTGCTGCAAGCCTAGATGCCCATCTGTCGTTTCATGCCCATCCAGACGGCAAAGCTGCGCACGGGCGTCAGTGCGGCTGCAGAGCGACACGCCAAGAGCAACTCACGAGATACTCGTCATGGGCACGACCTTGAGGAAGCCAATGCTGAGGCCCACATAGAAGCCGCGCCAGCCGCTCGTGCGCCAGATCCACAGCGCCGTCTCGTTCATGCCGAGCATGCTGCCCGGCCGGATGATGCCGCCGACCTGCTGGCGGCGGCGAACCACCTCGAATGGGTACGCGGCCGTCTGGCTGATGGCGCCCGCCAGCGCGCCCGCCGAGAGGTCGATGACCGTCTTGCTGGGCCACCACCACTGCCTCCGGGCCGCCAGCTCGCGCGAGTCGGTGGCAGTAGGCTGCGGAAAGGCGCTCTGCAGCAGCGTCTTGCAGCGTCCAAAGACGAGGAACGACGTGCCGGCGTACGGGATCATGCCCATGACGGTGACGCTGAAGCCGCGGTAGAACTTGAGGATGGGCCACTTGGCCAGCAGCGCGCCGGCAGCCTGTACCGCCGGCCCTGGTGGTGCCGGCGGCACAGGAGATGCGGCCGTAGCGCCCGCTGCGATGGCCTGTGCCTGCACGGCGCTCGTCGTGAGGCCGGCACTGGCGGGCATAGCCGCCTTGCCCGCTGCCCGCCCGGCGCGTCGCCGCGCATCGCCAGAGAAGGGCGCCTCGGTGCTGCCCTCGCGGTAGATCTGGCGCACAATGCGCCCCAACGAGCCCGACTGCCGCTTGCGCTTCGTCTCGAACGCTAACCGCACGCGGATGAGCTCGAGCGGATAGGTCATGAAGACGCTCAGCACGCCCGAGCACGAGCCGGCGAGGAAGAGCCTTGCCGATGTCTCGGCCTCGGGCGTCGGCATGAGCGCCTGTGGGCGAGGCCAGCTGGTCAGTCAAGCGCCGCAAAACACAGACATGCGCTCGCCTGCACAGCCATGGCTAGGCTTTGAAAGGGTGCTCTCTCAGCTTGGCAGCTGACCTTCGCTCCCGCCGCTTCCACCGGGGTCCACCCTCCAGCCCACCCTCTCTTCCAGAGTTGGCCGTTCCCTTCGTGCCACTCACGAAATGCAGTTTATCGTACGCCATATACTTGATGGCCGCGTACGGGAAGATGCGCAGCAGCGTCGCAGAGTGTCCCTGAAAGAGCGCAGCGGGGCCCTGCGTCGAGACGATGCTGGCGGCGGCCGTAAAGACACCCGTCCAGCGCCCGCTGTACTTCTGGAACTCGGGGTTCTGCGCCTGGAAGAGAATCTTGACGCGGTCGAGCGGGGCGATGGCTGTCTTGGCCTGGTGCGGTGTCAGCATGCAACATCGCGGCAGCATAGACGGTGGATCTGGCCGGCCAGACAGAGGCGCGGAGCGGCCCAGCACGTCCCGAGCTGCCTCCACACACGGTGCCTGCCACCTGGCCCTGCAGCTGTCGGCAGACCAGATCGCTGTCCATCGCTCCGCGGCTGCACGGCATGTCGATCCACTGCCTCTCCTTGCTCCTGGCTCTGCCCGCTCCTGCTTCTCCTCTTGCGGACCAGCCCTTCCAATCCCTGCAGCCATCGCTCGTGCTGCGCCCAGCACTCACCACGCATCCGGCCACGCCGCCGGCAATGCCGCTGCGTATGACATAGTCTGCACTGCGCTTGTCGATGCGTTTCCGGCGGCCCTCGGTGGGGGCCGAGGAGGAGGAGCCCGAGGCGAGGGCGTCGTGTGCTGCAGTGGAGGCGAGCACGGGCGGCGGCGGGTGCGGCGCGTGTGCATCCGTCTCGCACACGGGCGGCGGCGCGGCCATGGCGAGTGCAAGAGTGCGAAGAGACGAGGCGAAGAGGCTGGGAGCGGCAGACGATGGAGGTGGAGCTGCAGCAGGGTGCGACGATGCGGGGAAGGCGAGGCAAAGCTTGGCCGCTGCACGCACATGGCATCGCGCAGCAGACGATCGCGCGCCCCGCCGGCCGGCCGGGCAAGGCGGGCCAAGCGCGCGCCGAGCCGGTGCCGCCGCTCCGCATCCCACGCCCGGCAGCGTCCGGCTGACGAGCTTCGTCCGTCACAAGTCGGCAGCGCTGCGTCAAGATCATCTCTGCTGCAGCATTGCTGCTTCTTCTTCATGCTCAGCCAACAGCGAGAGCACAGGGACGAGCGCGGGAGGCACAGCTGGCGCAGCGCTCCACTTCTCACGCGCCAGAGGGACGCGCATTTCCAAGCGGCCAAGGCTGCTCCCAGGCGCGACTCGCTCGCCGTCGCTCTCGCTGCACGGCCCTTGCCTCCACTCCACCACCGCCGTGCCCTCCGCCCCTGCTCTGCTCTCCCTGCGCCGCTGCTCTACTCTCCACGCTCGCTGCCAACAGCTCACGGCTGCAGCATACGCTTCTCGCACGCGACGCGCCGCTAGCCCGCACCGAGACAGCGGCAGCATGGCCGCCGTAGCCTCGCAGCCGAGCGGCAGCGCGAGCAGCAGCAGCAATGCCGTCGCCTCGACCTCGGCGCTCCCACCGACTGCGTCGACCACACGAGCGCGCTACGCCAAGCTCGCCAAGGTCGGCGAAGGCACGTATGCCTCCGTCTTCCTCGCGCGCGATCTCGCCACCAACGAGAAGCTGGCCATCAAGAAGATCAAGATCGTCTCGTCGGCCGACGGCCTCGACATGACGGCACTGCGCGAGGTGCAGTTCCTGCGCGAGCTGCGGCATCCCAACGTCATTCGCCTCGTCGACGTGTTCAGCAGCGGCAGCGCCACGCCGAGCTTGAATCTGGTGCTCGAGTTCCTCGACACGAATCTGGAGGCACTCATCAAGGACAGGAGCATTCTGTTCCGGCCAGAGGACATCAAGAGCTGGATGGCGATGCTGTGCCGTGGCTTGGAGTACACACATCGCAACGGCTGCCTACACCGCGTGAGTGGCTGAACGGGCAGCAGAGTAAAATCTGGCGTGCTGGCCGGTGCGACGGCTCGCCTGGGCAGCGCATGACTGACTCATGCTCGGTGCTGCAGGATCTGAAGCCGAATAACTTGCTCATTGCGCCGTCGGGCGAGCTCAAGATTGCCGATTTCGGTCTTGCGCGTGGAGCAGGCGAGCCGGGACAGAAGATGAGCAATCAAGTCGTCACTCGGTGCGTCCTCTTCGCTTGCAACACACTTGCGACGCCTCAGCTAACGCGTGGCGCTGCTCCTCAGATGGTACCGCAGCCCCGAGCTGCTGCTCGGCGCGCGCCACTACGGCTACGGCGTCGACATGTGGGCCGTGGGCTGCATCTTTGCCGAGTTGCACCTGCGTCTGCCGTACCTGCCCGGCGAGTCGGACCTCGAGCAGCTCACGGTCGTGTTCCGCGCGCTGGGCACGCCGACGGAAAAGGAGTGGCTGGTGAGTTGGCTCGCTCACTGCAAGCCTCAGATGAGGGCATGGGCTGATGCGTGCATCGGACAGAAACACAAGTCGTTGCCGCATTACATGAACTTCGAGCAGCATCCCAAGCAGGACCTCTCGCAGCTCTTCAGTGCCGCATCGCCCGACACGCTTGACATGCTCGCCAAGCTGCTGCTGTACGACCCGATGCGGCGACTCAGTGCACACGGCGTGAGTTGCTGCATCGTCTCTCGCTCGAGCCGCCTTGCACACTACGTCCAACTGCTGACTCTCCTCGTCTTGCTGCAGTGCCTGCACCACGCCTACTTCCGCACCGCACCCTCACCAACGCCCTTCGCCGACCTGCCACGACACGCAGCCGCCGTGCCAGCCGGCCACGTGCTCCTCTCCGACTCCGAGACCAAGGACTCGCGCCGGCGCGCCGGCGCCGTCAGTGGTGGTCTTGCCGGCGAAGGAGAGGCAGCAGAGGAGAAGACGCGCCCGAAGAAGCGCGCGCTGGATGAGAAGGAGAGGGACGAGCAGCGCAGGAGGATCGCGAGGAAACTGGCTTTCGAATAGGCGCTGCTGCTTCGCGCGAGGCCTGTCGACGGGGCCAGAGCTCACGCGGTCCCTCTTGCGAGGCTCGAGCGTTTGGTGTCGGACAAGCCGACGGCGGCGGGCCGGTTCGTGTGCGTGCATGGGCTCGCAAAGGGGCCGCCGTACTCGAAGTAGTACGCTACATCTCGACTCGCTAGCGCGACAAGCGATGGCTTATTGCGCCAGCATGTCGAGATGCAACACCCTCGACTTCGTGTGTCGCTGCCCCCTTTGCGAGCTCACGCATTCGCGTCAACCGGCTCGTCTCCTTTCCCTTTACGTACACACGACACATCTGTACTTGTATCCCGCGGCAACACATCACACGCACAAAGGAGGGAGGCGTGACGATGGATGATGGTGATTGCAGTGCTGGCAGAAGGGCCGAGTGGGTGGATGCTGGGTACAGAGGCGGCGCGCATGGCATGGGAAGGAGGAGCTTGACGTGTGGGAGAAGCATGTGTGGCGGGCTGAAGAAGGCGGGAGAGGGGCAGGGGGCCAGACATGGCGTGGGCGATCTACAAGGCAGGGCGGGTCGTGCAGCAGAGACGAAGCAGAGTACATGGCGGCTGGTGGAGCCAAGCACGATGCAGGGACAGAGGGCGGGCCTCTCAGGCCATGCCTCGGCCGCCGGCGGTGAGCACGAGCTTCTTCTTCTTCGGCTTCGCCTTCTTGCTCTGCGCCGGCGTCGGCGTAGCAGGCTCAGCGTCGGACCTCTGGCCCTCTGCGCCACTCGTCGTCGACGTCGCGTCGTCGGTGGCGGCACCAGCGGCACTGGTAGTCGTCGACGGCGCACGCCTCGTCGAGCTGGCAAGACTGGTGGCGCTCGGGTTGCGGCTGTACTTGGGAGTGTTGGTGCCGCTCCTTGGCGTCTGGCGATTGAGGCCGCGGCTCTCGCGCATCGCGCCCGAGCGGCCGCCGGAGATCACGTCGTCCTCCCACTCGAGGAAGCCCCAGTCGGGTCCCTCCTGCTCCTCCTCAACGGCACGGCGACTCGACGAATGAAGCGTGGCGGCGAAGCTAGGACGTGCCGCCGCAGTGCCCCACACCGTCTGCGGCAGCGCAGGCTCGTCGAGACGCGAGGGCGAGATGCGCGCGACAGCTGGTGGCGGGAAGACCTCGGTGACGCCGGGATGGATGGGAAAGTCGCGCTCGGCGCCCCAGAGCGCTGCCTCGCGGAAGCTTGGCGAGGCCCCGTTGCTAGCCGCCGACGAGGAGCTCATCGCCGCCAAGCCTCCGCCTCCCACGCTCGAGCCGACACTGCTGCCGAAGCCGAGCTCCGGGTCCTCGGCCAGACTCGCCACGGCGGCCTCGCGTCTGGCCGCCGCCATGGCGCCGCCCGGCCGTGCAGCAGCCTCGCGTTCCTCGAAGCGCAGCTTTGCGCGGTCGTCGCGGCGCTCGCGGTCGCGGCGCTTGTGTCTGCGCTGCCGCAGCCCTTGCTCGTAAGGCTGCAGCGTTGTCTTGCGCACCAGTGGCGCCTCGACGATGTCCTGCTCGCCGGCCGCAGCAGCAGGCGTCGACATGGCCTCCCAGTCCACCTCGACGAACACCACGTCCGTGCCCGTCGGCAGGTGCGTAAGGTACTTGCATCGACGCCGTAGCTCCTCGTTCATGCTGCCCTCGTCGGCGCCCTGAATCTTGAGGCGCAGCGTGCGCGGGAAGCGCGCGTACGAGCCGAACTCAGAGAGCAGGATCTTGATGTCGAGCGGATGCAGGTAGATGTGCTGCCCTGATGCCGCCTGATAGAAGAAGTAGGACGAAGAGGACGGCGACGGCGGGTTGAGGTTGCGCCGTGCCGGCCGTGGCCGAGAGGCTAGCCGTCCTGATGGCGTCTCCTCCTGCGCGGGCGCCACTGCGCCGCCAGCGGCAAAGCGCAGAGCGAGAAACTCCTCTGTCCCCTCGGTTGCCTCTGGCGCTGCTGCATCTTGCTCGCCGGGCTGAGGCGCAGGCGCCTCCTCGCTGTTCTGATCCCTGCCATTGGGCAGCGCTGCCTTGCGCGCCCGACGTCTCTCCTCCTCCTGTTCCCTCCGCGTCTGCTCATGCAGCTGATGTTCGCGCAGCTCAGCATGCGCCTGCGCCTCTGCCTCGCGTACGGCCTGCGTGTCGAGATCGCGCTCGACCATCTGCATCTGCTCCTTGACCTTCTCGAGCGCCAGCGCCACGAAGACAAGGCTCGGCTCGTCGGGCCCAGAGAGGTCAAGCAGCAGCTGTCGCTCGGCGCCGAGCTCGGCGGCATCGCGCGCCAGATTCTGCAGCAGCAGCGCCGGCGTGGCGAGCATGAGCTTGGCGAAGCCTAGCACGTCGGGCTGGAAGTGCCATGGCGCAGAGTGATGTGGGATCAGCGGCGGCTCGTTGCTGCCGCTAAATGACGCCGCCGGCCACGTCGAGGACTGCGGCAGCGCCATTGTGGTGAGATGTGGGCGCTCAATGAGACGCATCGTCAGGCGCTCGCCTCCGTCCGGTGGGGCGGCGCGCGGCAACTCGACGGCGGCCTCGTGCTCCTGTGCGATGGCGCGTGCATCGTGGAACGTGACGGCCTTGACGTCGCGCGCGTAGATGGCGTCCCAGCAGATGGGGCAGCGCTTCCACTTTGGCGGCGCAGGCGTGTGCGTGGGCGGCGGCGCATGCCGCACGAGGGCCGAGCCGTGCGTGCCGGGCGCCGCCCCGGGGCGCGACGAGGGCGTGCTGATGCCGCTGCTGCCGCCCGACGCGGGCTCGTCGTGCGAGGAGAGGTAGTGCAGGATGCACGGAAAGCAAAAGACGTGGCCGCACTTGGTCATGCGCGGTGCCGTGGGCGGCGAGAGGCAGATGGGACAGGCGGCGCCCTCGTGTGTCTCGAGATGCGGCGCCGTGCTGCTGCTGCCAGTGTTGTTGCCGGAGAGCGAAGCAGAGGAGAGCGCGGAGGAGGTGGGGATGAGCACGGAGAGAATGTCCGCCCAGAGCAGGTAGATGTCGGGATCGGCAAAGTAGGCCGTGTAGTCGCCCGTGGGCTTGACGAGGAAGCGGTACTGCGCGTTCACATAGCCTGACATGCAGCTGTCAGCACATGCAGGCGGTGGCAGCTGCGAGAGGCGCCCACTCACGCTCCTTGTTGAACGGCACGCTGTAGCCGCTGCGCCGCGAGCGCCGCTGCTGCGCGGCGGGCGGCGGCCGTGCGCGAGGCGGCAGCGTGAAGGCGAGCAGCTGCGGCGGCGAGGATCAGCATGGCGTGCCCAGGCCGACGCAGTGGCGGCCAGGTTTGCTGAATGGCGCGCAGCGGAGCGATGCCGCTCCACGGCTCTCGATGCACGCCTCGCTGCGCCCTCAGCCCCATGGCGCTGGCCACTCACATGGCTGATGTCCTGTCCACGACTGCGTCCGCCTGCCTGCTGCTGTGCGCCCTTGGCACCGGCCCCAGTGCCGCCAGTGGCGCCCGGCGGCGCGGGGCGACGAGGTGCGTGCGACATGGTCTCTGCTCTGCGCGGTGTGCGAACAGCAAGTCGAGGATGCCGGCACAGCTCGAGCCAAAGAGAGGAGTGGAGAGTGTGTGGGAGAGGTGAGCGGTGGGGGACGAAACTCCGGTTGCCCGTCGTCGTCGTCGAGAGTCAAGCAGCGGCGGGCGCGACGCGTCGCTGAGGCAGCGCAGCGCAGCGGGCAGAGAGCGCCGCTGGCGCGCGCCGGCAGCAGCGGGGCGCAGAGCGGCAGGCGGCCGGCCTGCAGCACGTAGCAGCAAGCGCGTCTCGGCTCGCCTCGGCCCACCGCCCGCCGCCGCGCCGGCGCCCGCTGCGCGCCTCTCGCTGAACGTGCCCCGGACGCCATCGGCATGCTCGGTGTACCTGACTGGCGCCGCCGTGGGAGCACGAGTGTATCGTGCGAGAGTCACGACGACGAACACACAGCCTCCTCTGCAGCCGCTTGCTGTGGGCTGCTCGACGACGACAAGGCGAGGCAGCGAGCTGGCGGGGCTCAGGCGCGCAGCCGAGGTGGAGGCCGCGCCATGATGCTCTGCTGCTGCGCGCGCGACGAGGCCCTGACGCGGGGGAACAAAGGCGGGCCTCGGCTGCCTCCTGACCTCCCACTCCCACCTCCTCCTGGCTCCTGCACCTCACACTCCTGTCCCTCCTCGTCGCCGCATGCTGCGCGGCACCTCGCGCCTCGGCGCCTCGGCGCTGCGGCCATGCCTCGCCTCGGCCTCCGCACCACGCGCCGCGCCCGCCCTGGTGCGCCATGCCTCGCGCCTGCCCACGCCCTCGGCACGGCCCTCGCGCGTCGTGCGCCGCACGCATGCCGAGCACAACGCACCCACGGCGGCTCATGCGGCACGGCCATCGCATGGGCGGCAGCATGGTGAAGCGAGCGAGAGCAGCGCTGCGTCAGCAGCAGCGGCGCAGCCATTGCAAGCCACCGATGCAGCTCCAGCATCGACGCCTGGCAGCAGCAGCAAGCCGCTCTCCTTCGAAGACGCCGTCGCCTCGCCCTCCTCTGCCGCAGGCGTCGAGCTGTCAGCCAAGCTCAGCGAGGCGCTCTCCGCGCCCGTCTCGCTGCCGCACGACGAGCATGCCGTGCTCGACCCCTCGGAGCACAAAGCTGTCGCGCACCTGCTGGGCCAGAGCGCCATCGTCGTGACGCGCCAGGTGGAGATGATGAACATCTTCCTCGGCTACGAGCAGGCGAACCGCTACCAGCTGCTCTCGCCGGACGGAGAGGCACTGGGGTTCCTCCTCGAGAGCGAGGGCAGCATCACCAGCACGATGAGTCGCCAACTGCTGCGCAACCACCGGCCCTTCAAGGCCCTCGTGCTGGCGCCGGACGGCTCGCCGCTGCTGCGCGTCCATCGCGGGCTCACATGGATCAACAGCACGACGCGCATCTTCGCGTTGCCGCCGAACACGGCGCCTGGCACGGGCGAGGAAGTGGGCGAGGGAGAGCGGCTGATTGGCGAGGTCAAGCAGGTGTGGCATGCGTGGCGGCGCCGCTATGAGCTGTTCAGGCCGGACCAGGAGGGAGAAGAAGGCGCGATGAGACAGTGCGCCAACGTCGATGGTGGCCTGTTGACGTGGGACTTCAACCTGCAAGACGAGCAGGGAAGGACCGTCGCCAGCTGCAGCAGGAACTTCCGCGGGTGAGTATGGAGAGGCCGGCTGCCCAGCCAGGCCAATGGCTGACTTGTCTGGGCGACAGCTTTGCGCGCGAGCTCTTCGCCGACGTCGGTGAGTCGTGGCTCTTCCTTTGTCGCGCTCCTGACATCGCTGACCTTTGTCCTCTCCAGGCCAATACGTCGTTTCGTTTGAGGCGACACAGCCCAATGCGGGCGCACTGCCGATGCCGGAGAACAACGACGACAAGGCGCTCGTGCCCTCTTCCGAGGCCGTGCGTTCGCTGCCGCTCGACGAGCGTGCGCTGGCGCTGGCGCTGGCCTTCACGCTCGACGTCGACTACTTCTCACGGCACTCTTCGGCGGGCCATGGCGGCATGATGCCGTGGCTGTGGATGCCGGGCACGGGCGGCAGCACCGCGGGCACGAGCAACGAGCCGGCGCCGCAACAAGGCCAAGGCCAAGACTCGCGCGACATCGGGCCCACGAGCGAGATGCCGGGCACGACGAGCGCCGATGCGGGCGGCCTGGGCGGCGCAGCGGGCATGGTGGGCTACGATGCGTGGTCGCGCGGCTCGGACGACGGCGCGACTGTGCGGCCCGATGCTCAGGCGCCACCTACCTCCACGCAACAGCCGGACGCATGGGGCTCGGGCACGGACGCCGATCCCTGGGGCGCGCCGCCGTCATCTGGCGACTCCTCTCAAAGCGGCGGTTGGGACGCTGGCAGCGGCCAGGTCGGCGCCGGAGAGGAGACGTGGGGAGAGGGCAGCGAGCCCTTCGAGGACGCTGCCGGCAGCCTCGGCGACGGCGGCGGTGGTGGATGGGGCATCGGCGACTTGTTCGATGGCTGGGGCTCTTAGACTGCATGGACTGCAGCTTCATCTCTCACTCTCGTCTGCACGCTGGCGCTCCGAGCAATACCACCTCTCTTGGCAGATCAGCGTGAACAGATAGCAATCTATGGCACACGAGGCATACAGCGAAGCGAGCGGGCAGAGAAGATGACGTGGGGCGGGCGGCGGTGACAGGACGGCGGTTCACCGTCTACTTCTTGACGCTGGGCTGGCTGTAGCCGGGGAGCGTGACGCGGTAGATGAAGACCTGCGTGTCGGCGTTGCCGTACTGCTCGGCGTACGGGTCGGAGTAGGGCTGTGCGACGTCGAGTGGGTGAGCAGGCTGAATGCGGTGACGCAGCGCAGGGCCCACTCACAGCGACGACGTACTGGCCGCGCTTCTGCTCGGCGGCCTGGAAGCCGTTCTTGGTGCTGCAGAGCATCACGGCGTCAGTGCGGCTCGGAGAGCGGGCGAGGCATGCGGACACGCACATGAAGTCCGAGTCGGAGACGACGAAGAGCAGCGCGTCGTCCGAGTTGGGCAGCTTGGCGAGCGCCAGCGACTCGAGCTTCGAGGCGATGAGCGTGCGGTCAAAGGCGCCGCCAGTCTGCAGGCCGAACTTGGCCTGAGCGGGTCAAGACGTCAGCGCTGTGGCGTAAAGTGGGGCACAGAGCAGCACGCACAAGCTCCTTCTTGTTGACGAGGTCGACGAAGGACTGGTACGCCGTGGGCGTGACGCTGGCGTCGAGCACACCGCCGGGTGCGACGGGGTTCTGCGGCTGGTCGTACTTGGAGCCGGCAATGTCGGTGGCGCCGACGGTGCTGATCAGGTCGGCCTGCTTGTAGCTCGAGTCCGAGCTGGTGTCGCCAAAGCCGTTGCCGTCGCGCGCCAGCACGAGGAACGTGTTGCCGTCGACGATGTGCAGCTCGCTCGAGGCGCGCGTGCGCAGCTTCTTGCTCTGCGGCAGCGGCACGACGTACTCGTGCACGAGACGGGCGCGCAGCGGGTTCGAGACGTCCCAGCCGAAGAGGCGGGCGTAGCGGTTCGTCTCCTTGGACGACTTGGTGCTGTCCTGCACGAGGGCCGACTGCATGAGGCCCCAGAGCAGGCCGCCCTTGGACTGGTCGAGAGTCAGACCCTCGAGACCCTGGTTCGGCGCGCGGCCGCTGTCCGGCACCGTCTCGCTGGTGAAGTTGGCCTTGCCGCCGATGAGCGGGATCACCGCAGCGGGAGGCGTGATCGTGCTGACGACCAGGCCCGTGCGCTGCTCGACGACGTAGACGTTGGCGCCGTACTCGTCCGAGACGTAGTAGAAGCCGCGGCGGTCAATGGCGAGGCCCTCGGGGTCGAACGCTGCAGGAAGACGAGTGAGTAGGTGCTCCGCAGCGGCATGCCGTCAGCTGGTACTCACACACGTGGTTGTTCGGCGCCGCGATGGGCAGCAGGATGTTGCGCTGGAGCAGCGGCGCACGCGAGCCCGTCGGGTCGAGGCCCGTGGTGAAGTTGAGGCCGAACTTGGGGTCGGCGATGCGGTAGAGCTGCGTGTTCTTGTACGTGAGCGCCACGTTCTCGGCCGGGCCCGTGGCGGCAGCGTCGAAGGTGCCCGTGAAGCGGTGGTGGCGCGCCCGGTAGTCCGTCGTCACCTGCGTGTTGTGGCCGCGGTCGGGCTGCATGAGCAGGCTGAACGTCGCCTTGCCGGCGGCGTCGGTGGAGAAGGACTCGAGCGCAATGGCGCTGCCGAGGCCGCCGAGCGTCTCGCCGAACGAGTCGCGCAGCTCGCTCGAGACACGGCCGAAGCCGACGAGGCCCTTGTTGACGAACGTCTTGCCCTGGAACGGCACGCTGACGTCGCGCTTGGCCAGCGGCGACGCCGACACGAGCGAGAGGGCGGCGAGAAGGGCGGCGGCGGTGAGCTGCATGGCGGAGAGGGGCTTGGAGGAGGTGTGCGGATCGTCGTGAGAGGGAGGCACGGCGCACCTCCTTTTGAGGTTGTGCGAAGCTTCTCGCCCGCCGGTGCGGAGCGGACCGCTCCTCGCCGTTGCTCAGGGTGCTGCCTGTGCCGCCACAAGCACACCACCTCGAGGCAGTCGAGTCAGGCACCGGCGCAGCACCTCTCTCACGCACGCATCTGCATCGGGCAGTAGCGCACGGGCGGCATTCTTGTGTGCGGTGGGCCAAGCGAGTGGCGCGCGAAGAAGCGCAGCGTCGGCGAAGGCCTTGGCGTGTGGGTTGGTGACCGGGCGCCTTAGCGCGCCTCGTGATGCGGAGGAGAGCGGTGCGGTGCGGCCTTGACATGCGTGAGCTTGAGGCTTCATGCACGCTGCACGATGCGAACGTGCCGGCGGGCGTATGCCGCGCGTGCGGCAGCGGCACCGTCGGGGTACGGCAGCGGCAGCGGCGGCGGCGGCGGCGGCGCGTGTCCAAGGCGTGCTTCCTCCGCCGTTCCCGCTCGGCACTGCACCCTGAGGAACGTCTCCATGCTGCGAAGCTCTCGCTGTCGACACGTCTGGTGCGCCACGGCTTGCTGGATCGTCGCCGCAGAATACCTGCATGTTGCCCAGCCTTCATGCAGCAGCGCTGCAACGCCGAGGCGCCAGAAGCATGCCGCCGGCACCCCTCGCCAAGCCACGCCTCGAGCCGCCCGGAGCCGAGGAACGCAGCGTCCAGCGCCCGCAACTCGCGCTCACAGAACTTCCCACCTCGGCGTGAAGAGCAGCAGACTTTCAAATTGTCAGCTCCGCCTTCAGCAGCGAGCAGTGCAGGCTCGAGAAGGAAGGCCTGCACGTGCGCATGCCAGCCGAGCCAGCTGCGGAGCTTGCGACTCACCGCCGGCAGCACCACGACCAGGTTAATGGCGGCATCTGATGGCGAGTGCGACCACGTTCCTGGTGGCCCCGGACGCCGAGCGTGTGGCTGCTGCAGCTGAAGGTGTTGGAGCGAGAACTGCCTTGGGTCCGGAAGACCTCGCCCTCACTGTCTACCCGGGCCCTTCAAGCGCACCCGCTCCTCATGCCTGGCGCAAAGTAATGCTTCTCGCTCAGAGGTCTGTGATGCAGCCAGCAAGTCCCGACCGTCCGTGAGGATGACCCAGAAGCATGGCTCGTGTGGCCGCCTTTCATCTTGCGGCCCGAGCCGCACCGCCGTCGTCAGGGGTACCGCGCCGCAAGGCACGCAGGGCCATCGGGATCGCGGCACGACCGTGGCAACACTTAGCGGATCGTGTTCTGGACTGCACAGGCCTGTTTCCGCTAGGAGATGCCTAGCTGCTATTCAGAGCGGCGATCGCACGACAAAGGAGTGTGCGAGCAGACGGGGTGAGAGAAGGAACTGAAGGGCGGCAGCAGCCACCGAGCACTCGACTGGCTGCGAGGCACAGCACGCGGCGCGCGCCGTGCCGTTTTGCTTCCGCGCTCCCACGCACGAGCCAGCGTCGGTCCTGCACTCACCAGGGGTGCGAAACAGCCGCTCGAAAGCTTCCGCTCCTTCCTGCACCGCCAAGTGCACTCTCGCTGCATGCTGTGCTGCCGCATGCTCTGGAAATACCCTCGGTGCGTGTCTGCAGCAGGCCTGCCTCTCGAATGCTCCGGAGCTGGCTTCCGTCGTTCCTGAATGCCATGCAGGCACGCGCACTCGGGCCACTCCCTGTCCAGCGATTCACACGGGCAAGCCGACGTGGCAGATACGAGGTCGAGGCTGTGCTCGCCATCCTCCTCTCCACCACCATCTCCCAAGATCAGCTCAACTCGCAGCCATGGTGACGGCGCCGCAGACCTTCACATACTCGCAGGCCTCCGGCCTTGCGCTGCAGCTCGACTACTACGCGCCTCCCTCCGGCAGCGCTCAGCCGGCGCCATTCCTCTTCAGCATCCACGGCGGCGGCGGCTCGGGCGGCGACCGCAAGGATGTGCGCCTGTGGAGCCTGGCGCTTGCTCAGGCCAAAGCATGGGGTTTCATCAGCGCCGACTACCGCCTCATTCCCGAGTGCGATGCTACGTGTGCCGTGCAGGACATGCTCGAGGCCTGGCGCTTCACCACGCAGCAGCTCAATGCTACAGTGGGAGAGGAAGTGATCGACGCTGCCAAGGGCATCGTGCTCGGCATCAGCGCTGGCGGCTGGACGGCAACGCTGCTCGGCGCGGTGAGTGGCAGCGCAGTGCGGCTGAAAGCGACACGCTGCTGATCGGCAGTCATGCGCAGATGGCAGAGCCGCGTCCGGCCGCCTACGTCAACATGTACGGCACCTGGGACCTCATCGCCGGCGGTAAGAGGCGAACGCTCGGCGCTGCAGTGCCATGCTGACGCCTCATCTGCGCTCCAGAGTGGGGCAAGCCCGCGCCGGTGCCCATGGCCATTCCCGGCATCGAGCAAGCCAAGCCCTTCCTCGACGGCATCATTTCGCAAGCCAAGGCCGGCGCCGGCAAGCCGCTGAGCGGCAACTACCTCAACATCTTCCGCTTCTTGCAGCTACCCGACGCAGCCATCGAGCAGATCTGCCAGGCCAATGGCCTTTCGACGCAGCAGCTGCAGGAGATCGGCCTCGATGCGCCCATGTCGCAGGAGCAGGTGCTGCGCAACATGCTCAGCCCGTACAGCTGTGTGGGTGCACCGCCGCGGAGCTTGGGGCGTCGACTGACCGCTGTAATCTGCAGAACGAAGGGCTGCTTGACGGCATGGCTGAGGGCCCTGAGGGCAACAAGGCCGACTGGGAGAAGTACCCCGGCTCGCCGGCGCACCTCTTCGACGCCAAGTGTGCGTGCCTTGTCCGCTCCACACCAGCCGTGTGCCTGACAGCCGCTTCTCAGACCCGCCGACGATCACGCTGCACGGCACCAAGGACGTGCTGGTGCCGTTCCGCCTCGCCGAGCAGCTCACGGCCGCGCTCGAGAAGGCCGGCGTGCGCGCTGAGCTCGTGAGGAAGCCAGCCGCCGCGTCACAGACCAGCTCGCTGACTTGCACATGCGGCAGATCGTGATGGAGGGTGCGGATCACATGTTCGACATTGTGCGTCGGCAGCGCAACGCCCGAGGCATGCCTCTCGCTGATGCGCTCCCTTCCCTCAGGCGTGGCACCCACACGTCGAGCAGGTGCAGCAGGTCGCCGCCTTCCTCGACAGCGTGCTGAAAGCGTGAGAGGGGCGCAGCCGTGCTTAGCTAAGCGCGCGAGCAATGTACGGCCTTGATTGAGCTCGCTGCGGGACACTTCGGCGGCTGCGAGGGGTGCTCAGAGAGGAGCAGAGGCGCAGATGCCGCAGCCGTGGGACAAAGTGGCTGGCGGGTGACGTCGGCGCGCAGAGCGTGCAGCCGCTGCCGGCCTGCCCGATCTCGGCGCCGCACGCCTACATTCTTTTTTGCAGACGGCGGCGGCGCGCGCCCTCCACATCGCCGCGGCAGCAAGGTGGCTGCAGCTTGTACCGCGGCCGGCACGCCTCGCCGCACCGGAGCCTTCAGCGAGCCGCGGCACTTCTCATGATGGAGGGCTCGCAGGTGCAGAGATGCAACGAGCGGATCGTTGCAGCTGCAGGTCAAGGCGGCCGCGGCGAAGGCAGAGAGGAGGAGGGAGCAAGCCCGGCGGCGGCGCGCGTCGCTGCGTCATCGCGCGCGTGGGACCAAGGCCGGCCGCGGCACACGCGCCTGCACGCTGCACCCTGCGCTCTGCCGCACGCCGGCGCGCCGCCCTCATCACCGGATCTGAGCCGCCGGCTCGCTGCCTGCGCCTGTCAGCCGCAGCGGACAGGGAGCCGGGCCAGCTCCATCGCACGCTCGCTTCTCTCCGTCCTTCGCAACACCACCACCCGCGCACCCTCACCGCACTGCACCGCGCAGCCACCTCACACCCTCAGCCGGGCGCCGCGCCCCTGCGGCACTGCCCCTCACCATGGCATCCTCCTCGGCGCATCCGTACCTCGCGGGCAACTATGCGCCCGTGAAGCGCGAGCTGCCGCTGACGCCGTGCACGTACACGGGCGCCATCCCGCACGAGCTCGTCGGCGGCCAGTACGTGCGCAACGGCGGCAACCCCAGCGCCGACGCCGACGGCGAGCGCGACGCCCACTGGTTCGACGGCGACGGCATGCTCACCGGCGTGCTCTTTGCGCGCCGCCACGACGGCAGCGTGCAGCCCGAGTTCATCAACCGCTGTGAGTAGCCACGCGCATGCTCTGCACTGCCACGCCGCTCACGCTGCGCAGACGTCCTCACCGACGTGCTCATGGCCACGAGTGCCTCCGCCACGCGCCCGATCCTGCCGAGCATCGCCACGCTCTCCTCGCCGCACGTTACGCTCTTCCGCGTGCTGCTGCACGTCGTGCGTGCGCTCTGGCTCTGCCTCTCGACGTTCCTGCCGTGGCACCCGGCCAAGCTGGCGGTGCAACGCATCAGCGTCGCCAACACGAGCATCTGGTGGCACGACGGCAAGGCGTACGCCGGCTGCGAGAGCGGGCCGCCGATGCGCATCCTGCTGCCCGGCATGGAGACGGCCGGCTGGTGGACGGGCGCCGAGCACGATCCGCAGTCGGCGCGCGGCTGGAGCAAGGCCGGCCTGGCGGGTCTCTTTGCCGAGATGACGACGGCGCACCCGCACGTCGACCCCGTCAGCGGCGAGCTGCTGCTTTACCACATGTCCTTCTTCGAGCCGTTCCTGCGCGTCACGGTCATTCCGCCGCGGCAGCGCGCCGAAAAGGCGCCCGTCTGTCCGGCGCCGATCATCGGCCGCGCCGTGCCTGGCCTGGCACAGCCAAAGCAGATGCACGACTTTGGCGTCTCGGCGTCACACACGCTCATCCTCGACCTGCCGCTCTCGCTCGATCCGCGCAACATCGTGCGCGGCCGGCCGATCCTGCACTACGACCACCTCGGCCCAACACGTTACGGCATCTTCCCGCGCCACGCACCAGAAGCGGTTCGCTGGTTCGAGGAAGCACAGGCCTGCCTCATCTTCCACACGGCCAATGCCTGGGACGACGACGCCGCCGCCACCGTGTCGCTGCTGGCCTGCCGCCTCAACAGCGCCACGCTCATCTACAGCGCCGGCCACACGGTGCCGCCGCCGCATGCGCTGCCGCTCAACGGCGCGCCTGAGTCGTGTCGTTTGCACTACTGGCGCTTCACGACGGATCCGTCGGACGCCTCGCTGCGCCCGCAGGCGTCCTTCGCGCTCTCTGCGATTCCCTTTGAGTTCCCGACGATGAATCAGGCGTACTCGACACGCCGCGCAGACTTCATCTACGGCGCTTCGATGCGCTCCGGCTCCTTTGACGCCGGCCTCGGGCGCAAGTCGGCCAAGATCGACTGCCTGGCCAAGATCGACGCCGGCACGCTGCTGGCGCGTGCCGCCAAGATGAGCGAGGCGGGCGAGACGCTCGGTGTCGACGACGTCGTCGATGGCCGCACCGTGCAGGAGCTCATCGCCGCGCAAGAGGCGGGCGAGGGTGCCGACTCCGCCGTGCGCATCTTTGCCCTGCCCGAGCACCACTACGCCCAGGAGGCGACGTTTGTGCCGCGAGCCAACGCCACTGCCGAGGACGATGGCTGGCTGGTCTTCTTCGTCTTCGACGAGAGCGCTGGTCTGGACGCCGACGGCGTGGCGCTGCCGAATGCGCAGAGCGAGCTGTGGGTGCTTGAGGCGCGCGGCATGCAAGACGTCGTGGCTCGCATCCGTCTGCCGCAGCGCGTGCCGTACGGCCTGCACGGCCACTTCTTCGACGCCGCCGAGATTGCGGCGCAGGAGCCGGTGCCGCACGAGGCGGTGCGGACGTGGGCTCGTGCTGCGACGGGCGGCGCCGCCTCTTCCGCCATCGTCCCTGCGGCAGCGGCATCGACGGCCGTCGTCGCTGCGGCGGCCTCGGCTGCCGTCGTCTCTGCTGCGGCGTCCCCGGCTTTCGTCGCTGCTGCGGCGCCGTCTGCCCTCGTTCCTGTCTCGACTTGATACCACCGCCTCGCGGCCTGTACCATAGCGCCTGTCTCGTTCCTGCTCCACACTTGCATTTGTCACACCACACACACGCGACACTAATCCACACATCTGACCCACGCAAGGCCAGTGCGGCAGCGCAATGCTTTGGCTACTCTTGAAGCATGAGAGCACGGTGCGAAGGAGGAGGCTAGCCCCCTGGGCAACGTTCGGGAGTCGGCTAGGCACGGCCTGCCCCTGCGCACGTGCGCGAGCCAAGGCGGAGTCGGAGTGTGGCGGTGCCGCGGCGTGCAGCAGCGTGCAGCCGCCAGCTGCAGCGAGTTGGAGATTCGCGATTGCCCGTGCCGCTCGGCACGCTGCGGGAGATGGCCGTCGCCGCATGCTGCACGCTGCCGCCTGTCGAGAGGAGAGTGCCGCGTGAGGGTGACAGGCAGGAGTAGCAGGCGTGCGAATGAGGCGCTCTGGCTGCGACGCCCAGGGCCCAAAGTGCGGAGAGGGCGCGGCTAATTCTGGCACGCCCTCGGCGGGGCGCTACGGCGCGCTGTGGCTGCATGGCGCACGGCGGCGGGCCAGCGGAGCAAGCTGAAGGCGGCGTCGCCTCGGCGAGCTGCTCGGCGGGGCCCAGCGCCTCCCTGTCCAGCCAGCGCCGCTTCATTCCGCACCACAGCGCTCCTTCTGTTCTTCTCACCATCCTCTCGCTCCGTCCGTGCGCCGTGCTCAAGTCGAGCCAGCAGTGTCGCGCTCTCACGCCCAATCGCGCCCGACTGCGGCCAAGCTGCGCGAAGCGAAGCGGCACGTCTCTGCGCCAGGCATTGCCGCCTTCCTCACTCGTCGCCTCTGCTCTTCCTCGCTGCCGACTGTGCTCTCGCCGCGGATATCTAGCGCTGCTGCGGGTGCACCTACCTCGCCATGCCCAGTGCTGCCCACCCGGGCGCCACGCCGCTCTACGAGCTGCCGCAGCCCAGCTTTCCGCCCGAGGGCAGCGGCAGTGGGGCGCACGCCGCCATCAGGGAAGCATCGCCGGGCCCAGCATCGCCGCATAAGCGCCGTTCGGTGCCTGTCGCTGCCGCGATGGCCGCTGGCTCGAGCCGGGACGGACACGCGCATGATGTGCACATGGGCTGGGAGGGCGGAAAGCGGCCGGCGAGTCCTCAGTGAGTAGTCAGGAGAAGTGACCTCGCCAGCGAGATGGAACGTGGTCCAGCAAGCAGCTGCACTGCCAGCGCTGAGTGGCTCTCGGCTGTTGCGGCTTGCAATCAGGACCAACTCTCCTTCCCCTAGCCGCGAGTCTCCCACTGACACTGCACCGCAGCATCACCACCGCACACCCGCGCGGCTCGCTCTCAGTCTCGCGCCGCGTCGGCTCGCCCGTGACGGTCTTCGACCGCATGTCGTCGCCGATCGACGACGATGAGCTGCACAAGGGACACGCCGGCACCTCGCCGCACGGCTCGTCGCCGTTGCTCGCTATCCGGCGAGGCTCGACGCCGAGCATCTACCGGCCGTCGCGGCAGGGCTCGGGCTCGTCCGAGGTGCCCACGCACCCGCTCTCGCACACGACACGCGCCACGTCCGCCTCGCTCTCGAGCATTAGCTCCTCCGGCGACGGTTCGGCGAGTGGGCATCAGAGTCTGTCTCTGCCGCTCAGCCCGCCTGTGCGGCCAGCGGCACGGCGCGGAGCCGTGCGGCTGCGTCGCGGCGCTCGCCGCACAAAGCTGCCGCCGACGCCGCTGCCGCAGAAGATCGCACACGCCTTCTCCTGTGCCGCCCACATTGTCTCGCACCCGCGCTCCTCGGCGCACGCGCTGCTGCTCGACGTGCGCGGGCGGGCCCGAGCCGCAGACAAGGCGTTCAGAGACGAGCAGGGCAACCGCCTCTGGTGGCCCGAGTGGATGAATGCCTACACGCCGCTGCTCATCTGGCTCGTCGTGAGCCTCTCGAGCACGGCGTGCGTGCTCACTTGGCATACGCAGGTCTTCCAAGGTGAGTGCAGGCATGCTGGCTATGACGCCGGTGCAGCTTGGCTCATGCATTGCCTCTCCTAGGCCTGCACAATCTGTCAAAGTACCTGCAAGGGCTTGGCCTGAAGGGCCGCATCATTCTCGGCTCGCTCATCTTCCTCACGACCTTTCGTGAGTAGTGCTGTTGTGCTGATGCTGGCGCTCCTCTGACCTCGTGGCCTGCGCAGCGCCTCTGCCGCTCTACTCGACGCTCATCGTCCTCGGCGGCTTCTCTTTCGGCTTGCTGCAAGGCTTCATTGTGGCATACATCGCGGCCCTGAGCGGCGCCATCGTTGTGTTTCTGCTCTCGCGCACGTTCCTCAAGGGCTGGATGCGCGGCCTGCTCGAGAAGAGCGGCGGGCTCAAGAAGGTCAGCGCAGCTGAGCCAAGCGGTAGACTGCCGGCTCACATCGCCTGCACTAGGTCGTGCGAGCCATTGAGAAGCGCCCGAAGCTGCTGTTCCTCGTGCGGCTCGCTCCGTATCCGTACAACCTCATGGTGCGCGATGCAAGGCTTCCTGCCCCTGCACTGGCTCACAGACCCTCTTGCAGAACACGCTGCTTGCTTCCTCGCCCACGCTCACGCTCAAGACGTACACGACGTGCACAGCGCTTGCGCTGCCCAAGCTCCTCGTGCACACGGGTATCGGCACGACGATCAAGAACTTTGCCGCGTACAACGGCGCCGCCGGCGAGGGCGAGGCGGCGAAGGAGGCGCCGACCGACACGGCACGCACGCTGAAGCGCGTCGCGGGCGTCGTGGGCATCGGGCTGTGCATTGGCGTCTTCTTCTACATCTTCAGCATCGCGTCCGCGGCCGTGGACGAGCTGGACAGCGACGACGAGGCGTCGGACGGCGAAGATGAGGACCTGGAGGAGGAGGAGCTGCCGTTCCTGCGGCGCTCTTCGTCTGACTCGCAAGAGGCGCGGCAAGCCGAGATGCGCCAGGTGCCGCTGCGGCCGCTCTCGCAGGCCGACATGGCCTCGTCGCTGGCCGAGCGGCGCGCCAAGCGCAACAGCGTGCGCTTCGCGCAGAGCCCCATGATCTCGACGCTGGGCGCCGACCGGCCGTACTCGCCCATGGCGCACGCGTCAGAGAGCAAGGCGGACCGCCAGGACTGGGAGGCCGAGGAGCCGCACGACACCAGCCTCGTCGACAGCATCGACCACTTTGAGCGCGTCGCCGCCTCGTCTGACCTGCCCCGCTCACGATGACCCGCACACGCTCGCTCTTCCGCCTGCTCCGCCACTGCACTGTCACGCTGCTAGACCAATAGACACCCTGCTGCACTCCAAGGCCCGTTTGCGTGCTCTATGATTGCGCGTGTGTGGGTGGCTACGAGAGCAGGAACGCGGCCTTGCAGAGCGCTGCGAGGTCAAACTCCTCTGGCCGCTCGTGGAAGTCGGCGAGCAGCTTGGCGCGCGTCTCTGCGCCCTCCTCGCCAGCCTTGGTGGTGGGTGGCATGTAGAAGCGCTGCAGCGCCAGCACGAGGAGCTGGGCGTCCTGCTGCGTCATTCTGGCCTCGGCCTGCAGCGGCGCCTTGAGCTTGGCCTGCTCCTCCTCGCTGGCGCCGCGAGCCGCAGCAGCGGCAGCAGCGGCGAAGCCCGTCGGCGCTGCAGAGGCATTCTCGTGTGCCGTCACATCGCCTCGCATCAGCACGATGCCCTTGCTGGCTGCCAAGTCGGTGTAGTGCGTGAGCACGAGCAGCGGCTGTGCAAATTCTTGCCGCAGCTTGTACTCGGCCAGCGGCGTGAAGAGCACCGTGCTGGGACGCGGCGCGGGGCCGTCCTGCGTGTTGCTGCCTGGCAGTGCCGGCGGCGGCGGCAGCGCAGCCCACTCGCAGAGGTGCATCTCGTAGCCCTGCTTCTTCTCCGGCGGCAGGATGTCGTCTGCCTCCTCGGCGGCGGTGATGGTGCGCGGCAGCGGCAGCACGAACTGCGGATAGCGCTGTCCGCGCGCGAACATCTCGCGGTAGAGTGAGGCGGGCATCACCGCCGAGAGCTTGTTCTTCAGCGAGTGATAGCCCGTCCACAGCTCGCTGATCGTCGCAGCGTCTTGCGAGGCAACACGCTGCAGGTCCAGGATCTGCGAGAGGGGCTGGTGCGGGCAAAGCCATCAGCACAAGCCCGTCATCCTCGCGTCGGCGGCCCTCACCTTGACGCTCCCTCGCCCACCCGGCCCGCTGCCCAGCTCGCCGCTCTCTAGTTTCCGCTTGGCCTCCTTCTCCGCTCGCTCGCGGATCTCGGATGCCACGCGCATGTCGCGCTCCTCGATGGCGCTCATCTTAGCACGCTGCTCGGCCGTGACGTCGGCGTGTGCAGCACGCTTCGCCGCGGCGCTGGCAGCAGCACGCTCGCGCGCCTGCGCCTTGAGCTCGTCCAGCGAGAGGCCTTGCCTGAGGCACCAGTCGGCAGGAAGCGGAGGGCAGGGTTGGGCCGTCGTGAGTGTGGCGACAAGATGTGCCGTCGATGGACCTTGTTGCGAGCGAAAGCACGGCGAACCACCTCCACGCCGCAGCCAGCACACTTCTGCGCCTTCCACCTCGCCGGACGCCTGCCCTGCACTCACTCCATAGCCTTGATGCGCATGCGGTCCTCATACTCCTTCAGCTTGCGTGCGCGCTGCAGCTCGATCTCGGCGGTGAGCTCCTGCGGGCTCAGGTTGGCGCGCCGTGCACGCTGTGCGGGCGTGAGTGAGGCCGAGGAGCCGCTGGCGTGCGGTGCAGCGCCGTCGAGCACCTCGGAGAGCGTCGGTGGCGAGACGGACGCAAAGGCGCGCGAGAGGCGCGGCAGCGGCAGGAGCGGCCGCAGGAGGAGCGACATGACGGGAGAGGGCGGGAGGTGGAGGAAAGGAAGGAAGCAGCGGCTGCGGCACGCCGCGCTAGGCCAGGGCCGCGAGAGGGGTTCTGGCGCAGCGACGGCAGCTGACCACATGGTTAATATATTCTCCCTCGAGCCCTCTACAGTTGACCCCACCTGTGATCCAGTGGCTAAGATGTCAGATTTTGACTTTTGTTGATTGGTCGAGTTCTGAATGCCCCGGTTCGAACCCGGGCAGGTGGTTTTGCCTCTTTTTGCTCTTCGCCGCCTGAACTTGCGCCATCTTTTTGCATCGCCTGCCCTCCCTCCCTCATGCGAGCTGCACCTCGCTGTGCGCAGGGTGATGCAGAGGAAGCGAAGCTCAGTGCTAAGGTGGGCGTGTGGGCGAGAAGTGGGGCGGTGTGGCACGTTTCAGAAGCATCACCCTCCTCAGGTGCATCCTCACCCCTCGCGCTGCGCGCCGAAGCTGCCGCAGTGTTCCGCACCTGGCCCAGGCTGCCAAGTCTATTGCGGCATGCAATGCTACCGCGTCTACACATCAGCTGTGTGCTTCGCTTTCGCGTCCCTCTTCCAGCACGTTGCTCTCCTGTCTGTGTTGCCTTGCTCCTCTCATATGCCATGGGGTTCCTCCGTGTGCAGCCAGCCATGCTCCTTCTCTCTTCGCAGCCGGGTGAAGATGTGCATTGAAGCGGGGCAGTTGCTACAGCGCGCAGTGATGAGACAGAATGATAGGGACAAGTGAATGAATGTGGTGTGTGGTGCTCAGGCATCCTGCGCCGGCAGCTGCACGGGCCGAGCAATCGGCGTGAGTGCTTCGCCATCCTCGCTCTGGCTCGGCGTGGGCAGGCGCTCGTGCGCCAGCGCCGAAGCAGACGACGCGCTGCCGCTCTTGTGCATCGCCGCGCGCTCCGCCTCCTCGACGGTGAGCGAGTCGCGGCCAGTCACGTAGCCGCCCTCGGTCTCAGAGTCGGCGACCGAATCGATCTGGCCCGAGCTCTCGGTGCTGAGCGCCGGTGCGTCGACGGTCTCTTCCTCTTCCTCCTCCTCGACAAAGGCCGACAGCCGCCGCGGCAGGCGGCCAAAGCTGCTCGACTTGTACAGACGGTGCGGCGGCGTGCGCCACGTGCCGCCGGGCGAGCGGCCCGAGCCGTCGGACGTGCTGGGCGAGAGCGGCGTGCGGCCGGCGCCGCGCTGCTCAAATTCGTCGTCGCTGCTGCTGGTGCCGTCGAGCTCCGAGTCGTACGAGTCGTACGACGCCGTGCTGGCGCGCGACTGCACCAGGTCCTCGCGCTCGCCGTCCGGCGGCGTGGCCGGCCGGCCGCCAAATGTCGAGTCGAACTCGCCCGGCGGCACCTGCGAGTTGGCGACGGCGCCACTGAGCGAGCCGTTCGAGTAGCGCTGGCCCGACGACGACATGGACAGCGTCGAGGCGCGCGAGCCCACGCCGACGCTCGACTGCACGCTGTCGCGGTCCCAGCGCGTGCGCCGCGCTGCGTCCTCGTCGTACGAATCGGAGAGCGCCGCGTCGGGGTCGTGCCCCACCGGCGGCTCCCAGCGCCCGTCATCCGAGTCGTCGTCCGCGTAGATCAGGTCGCCCATCGACGGCGGGCGCTGCATGGCGCCGGTGGGCCGGTGCCCGAAGCCGTCGACGTCCTCAAGATCGTCGAGGAACGAGCCGCCGACGCCACGCCGCATGCTGTTGCGGCTGGCGGACCGGCTGACCGGCTGGCTCGGCGTGCCGCTGGACGTGCCCCTCGAGGACGGCGGGTCCTGCGCGACTGCAGCGACCGGCGGCGCAGCGCCGGGCTGCTCCTCGTCAGAGGTCTCCGACTCGGTGTCGGTGCTCAGCTCGCTCGGCGTCGTCGTGCCGCTGCCGCTGTAGAACGTGCCTGTTGCCGACGACTCAACACGCACGCCCGTGTCGGGCGCACTGTCGTTCTCGATGTGTGCGCGTGCGTCCTGCGAGGCGGCCGAAGAGTCGGACACCGTGCGGCTGCGGCTCGCCTCGAAGCTCTGGCTGCCGCCAAAGGTGGGCGTGTCGAAGACCGCCGGATTCTTGGCAGTCGGTGTCTTGACCACAGCAGCGGGCGCGTTGGAGAAGGCCGTCTGGCGCGGCGAGGCCTGAGCAACGTTCTCGCCGGATGCCTTGCTCTGGATGCGCTTCTCAAAGACGGACAGCGGGATGCCGGCCGGCTTGCGCGAGGTTCCGCTGGCGCTGGACAGCGATGTGCTCGACGGCGTGCTGTGCAGCGCAGGACTCAGAGACGTCTCGGCGGCGGCGCTTTCGCTGAAGGGCGTCGGCGTGACCGAGGTGGGCGTCGCTGCAGCTAGCGCGGCAAGTGCCGAGTCAGTCGAGCGCGTCATAGTCGGCTCAGCTGTGCGCGGCCGCGGGCCCAGCGCCGTTCCGTTCCATCCGCTCGAGGAGCTACCGCCTGCACTCGCCACCGAGCGCATCTCGCTGCTGGCCGTGATGCCCGCGCTGGTGGAGGCACGGCTGACGGGCCGCTCGGAGTCCACGCTGGGCGTTGCGGCGGTGGATCGTGCCTGCGCCGAGTCCGCCGAGGTGATGCCGCCGAAGCGGCGATCCAGAAACGTCGGCATCGACGCGTTGGAGCGGATCGTGAGCGCCGGAGACATTGTGCGCGCCACTTCCTCCGCTCCGTCGGGGAGCGGAGGCAGCGGCGGCCGCACAAAGGGCGCGGCCTTGAGCGACGTGACTGCGGCCGCGAGGGCCGGCGACGGCGCGCCGTGCACGCTGCGCGCCTGGCTGGAGTAGCTTGTGTCCATCGACGCGCCGCGGAACTCGCGCGGTGCCGCTTGCGAGTCTGCCGTGTTGGCGTGGTCCAAGGTGCGCGCCGATTGGTGCGACATGCGCGCGTTGCGCGGCGCCGAGGCAGGCACAGGCGGAGCAGTGCTCGTGGCGAGACCAGCGCGGGCTGAAGACGACGAGCGGTCCAGCGCAGTGGCACGCGACATGGACTGACTCTGAAAGGCGCTGGCGAGTGCAGCGGCGCCCTGCTCTTCCGCACCAGGCATCGCGGGCTGCTTCGACTTGCGGCCGAAGCGCTTGCTCTTGACCTTGCGCCCGAGCGACTTCGTGCTCGCGGGCCGGCCGGTCACAGTCGCGTCGTCAAGCACGTTGCGCGGCGTCTTGAGGCTCAGGTCGCAGCCCGCCTGGACAAGCACGCGCTTGAGATCCAGGTGGCCGCGCACCGTCACCATGCGGTGCGTGAACGAGCACTGCAGGCCGGGTCCGAGGATGAATTCGCCGCCGAGCAGCTTGAGGTCGCCCGGCATGCGCAGAGGCATGTCAAATACGCCGCGCTGTGTTATGGAGTCAGCGCGCGGCCCACGCTTGGCTCTGCCGCCACGCTCACCTTCATCGCGATCAGCGTGCCCTTCAGCGCGCCACGCGTCTGGTACTCGGGCCGCGTGCACGCCGGTCCGGCGTCGTTGGTGCGCAGCGTCATGCCCAGTGCCTTGTAGATTTTCCTGCGAGGACAGTCAGCCAAGTCCGGCATGCCACTGGCAGCAGCACTCACCGCGTCGGGTCCGCATACATCTGAATCCACGCAGGCACATTCATGACCTCCTTGTATGCGCGCGTGACGTGCCAGTGGCCCTGGCCAATCACGACCAGGTCCAGCTCGGCGCGCTCGAGCGGCAGCGGGTCGAGCAGCTGCAGGCTCTCGGTGAACATCTGGCAGAACGGGCAGAGCCAGTGGCGCAGGAAGCAGAAGATGGTGCGCCGGTTCTCAAAGAGATCGCCGAAGCGGACCTGCTCGCCGGCCTCGTTGAGCACAGGCAGCTCGGCGGCGATCGCGAGACTCGCGCGCGACGGAGGCTGAATCGCGTATGCGCCCGCGGGAGCCTCGACCGTCTCGTCGCCGTCCTCGTCCAGCGTGATGGCGTCCTCGCCAGAGAGCCGCCGCTCGCCCTCGCTCGGCGGGGCGATTGCGGCGCCGGCGCTCGAGGCCTGCGAGTCATTCCGCGAGTGCGCGCGCTTGCTGTTGCGCGACCACTTGCTGAGCTTGGAGCGCACGCTGCCGTTGGCGCCAGCGCTGCTGCGCTTGCTGCCGCCCTCTGGTGTGTGGAACTCCTCGCTGCGCGGCGGCGGGCCCTCTGCGGCATAGTCCGAGGCACGCTGCTTGTCGCGCGACTGCGACATGGAGCGCGCCGCGACGGGCTCCTTGCCGCCTCCCGGCGACGTCTCAAAGAGGTGCCCATCGATCATCCATGGCTCGTCGCGCTTCGCTGGCGCGCGGACGGTGTCGTGCGACGTGACAGAGGGCGAGCGCACGAGGCCCAAGCCGCCCTCGGATGCAGCAGAGGATCTGTCGGCCATGCCCTGCTTGGACGGCACTGGCGGCGCTGCACCGCCGTCTTCAGCAGCCTGCTTCTGCATCCGCGCTCCGCGGCGCAGCGCTTCGTGGAAGCTCTCGCTGACTGCGTCCTTCTCCGCGTCGCTGGTCCGGCGGCGGCTCAGGCGCACCGGGCGCATCAGCGGGCTGTGCAGGTTCGGCGACGAGACGGGCCGGCCGCCGCGACTGGTGCTCCACGTCGCCGCGCGGGCGCGGATGCCCTCAATGGCGCTGAGACGCGACTCTTCCGAGGGCCGCAGCGGGCGGTTGCTCGTCTCGGGCGAGTTCGACGCCGAGTCGGCGGGCAGCGGCGTGTGCGGCACGTCGGGCGACGGCATATCGTCGCGCTCGGCGAGCATCTGCATGGCGCCGCGAAAGTGCCGGGGCGACTTGGGCGGCAGAGGCGGCGGCGAGGGCGTGTGCGCCGGCAGCGCGAGCTGGCGGGCCAGCGGCGTGGGCGCGTTGTCCGACGAGCCTGCGCTGCCGACGGACAGAATGGGGGAGAGCACGTCGCGCTCAGCCGTGGGGGTCAGCGAGTCGGACTCTTGCGCCTCCATGCCGTTGGGCGTCGGTGCGCGCTCAGCCAAGGGACTGAGAGCGGCGGGGTCCTGCGCCTCGACGCCGTTGGGCGCGGGTGCATGCTCGGCTGCACTGTCAGCGCTGACGACGAGCAGCGGCGCCGGAGCTTCGTCGTCGCGCACGCCGTGCCCGCTGTCGCTCATCACCGAGGTGGGCCCGTCGGCCGCAGTGGCGCTGTCCTCGGCGGCGTGCGGGCTGCGCACGGCGCTGCCGTGGTTGTGGTCAAGGCTGCGCGTGCTGCGAGCGGCGCTGCTGCTGCGCTTGCGGCGCATGGGCGGGGCGAAGCCGACGCGGTGCAGCGTGACGCGGTGCTCGGCGCCGCCCGAGGAGCGGCCGCGCCTGGAGGAGCGCGGCGAGCGCGGCGTCGAGTCGGGCGAGGGATGCTCGGCCGCGGCGGCCTCGAGCGTGGGCGACGCGCCGGGCAGCGAGGTGCTGCGCTCAGGCGTCGCGCTCATGGCTGCGAGTGGTGGGCGAGGGAGGTGGTGGTGGTGGTGACGCAAGAGCGAGGCGGCGAGATCAGGCACGCGATGGCGATGCGAAGCTCGGCGAGCAGGCACAGAGAGTGGGCGCCGCGCGCGGCACAAGACAAGAGCAGGAGGCCGCGAGTCTGTCCGCTGCCGCCTGCGCACACCGTCAAGCTCAACAAACAGAGACGCCTCGCCTCGCCCATCGCACCTCCCGCATCAGCCCACACAAGCAGGCCTGCATGCTGCTGACCCGCTTGCAGCGCTCAGGGAGCAGCGTGCAGAGCGACGGCGCTCGCCATCAGTATCCGGGGCTTGCTGTGCGGCCGGCGGAGGCGCGGCAAGGGCGCCGCCGCCGTTCTCCACTCCGCCGCGGCGCAGCCGCTCAGGCGCAGCGGCACGGCAGCGTCGGCCTCTGGTGCTGCTGCACCTGCACCTGCTGCAGGCACGACGCCGACGCCGCAAGCAGCCTGGCGCCGGCGCAGCTTGCCGGATGCAGCAAGGCGTGCGCGCGCGGCAGCCGGGCGGTGTGCCGCTTAATCGCAGCGCCTGCAGCCTTCGCCCGGCGTGCGCACGATGAGCGCAGCGCGACCGCCATCCGCCGGCATCGTCCAAGCGGCAGCAGAGAAGCATCGGGGGCGGGCTCGCACGCTCTGCTGCGCGCGCGGAGGCGCATCAAGCATCGCGCATGAAGGGCCGCTGATGAGAGCTCAGCCATGCGGCCATCCGGGACGCGGCAGATGAAGCACGAAGGGGGCAACAGCGACTTGGCGGGCGAAGATCATGCGTCACCCAGGGGTCCGGCCGCGCAGGTGAGACACAGCCGGCGTGGAGGGCCAACAGGAGGCGCGCTCGCCGTGCATCGGATCTCGCACCGTCGTCGTCCTCACTCGTTCTCACGCCAGCGCAGGCGCTCTCACACAGCTCAAACGGGGACAGGTCACAGATGCATGTCATGTTGAGCAGCAGTCGACATCACAGACGGCCTCAGTTCTGCGTCGACGCCGCTGGCGCACGTCCACCGCGTCCACGAGCGGCCGGCGCAGCACCACGTCCGCCCCGTCCGCCCGCCGCGCCACCTCGCGGCTGCGTCGGGACGGCGGCGTCGGCGCGCGGGCCTCGGGGCACATTGCCGCCCAGGGCGCCGTTCTTCGACAGCGAGAGGGCAGCGAGGTGCGGGTTGACGTTGCGCTGCTGCTCAGCGTGGCGCGCAGACGGCTTCTCCTTGCCGCCCGCAACACCGGAGAAGGCCACGTCGGGACGCACGGGTGCGGCACCGGCGGCGGCAGACGGACGCTGCAGGATGGCGACGCCGCCGGGTGCGCGGGGAGCAGCGGGCGCCGCGCGCATCATGTTCGGCGGACGAAAGGGCTGGCCCACGCCATTGCCGGCACCGCGGCCACGGCCACGGCCACGGCCGGCCGAGGCACCTCCGCGGCCGTTGCTCTCGCCGACGGTGCGCTCGAGCGGCGACGCAGCGTTGCCGTTCGTGGCGGCGGAAGTGGGCCCGCTGACGAACTGCGGCTGCGTCAGGTTGAGGATGGCGTCGAAGGCCAGCGTGGCGCCACGGTACGGGCTGCAGCGGTCGCCAAGGCGCGAGCCCGAGAGGAACGGCAGGTCGAAGACGACGTCGACGCTGCTGGTGTTGAGGCCGATGACCACGCCGCGCGCGCTCATGGGCACGTTGCCCGAGTCGGCCACGACGATGACACGGTCGCCGAGCTCGAAGCGCTGCGCCTGCAGGCGGAAAGGCGCGTGTGCCGGCTTGAGCAGCGCCGTGCGCGGCATGCCCTTGATGATGGCCCGCTTGATGCCCGAGCTTGTGTTGCCGTCAGCGTCGGCCTGAGCGCGCGCCGCCGCCAGCCGCGCCGTAAAGGCCTCGATGACCTGCACCGTCTCGCGGCCGAGCTGCTCGGCGTACAGCGGCACAGCCTCAAAGTCGCGCACGCCCTTCTCCTTAACCCAGGCGGTCAGCGCACGCATGCGCGTGTCGACCTCGCTGGGCGCAAAGAACTGCGACGCGTCGCGCAGGTCGCCGTTGCGGTTGTTGAGCACGTCGATGACCTCGGGGAAGGCCGCCTGGGAGAGAGTCAGCAAGGGGCAAGGAAGCAAGCACCATGCGACGCACCTTGTACTCATTGACCAGCGCAACCGTCTTGTCCGAGAACTCCCAGCCGTTGGCAGACTTGCGCGAGTAGCCGAGCACCTTGCAGCTGCGCGCCTCGAACTTGAGCGCCAGGCCGACATTGACGCGCTTGCCGTTGTGGTCGAGCAGCATGGTGCTCGTGAGCTTCGACAGCGCCAGGCCGGACATCTGAACCTTCTTGGCCACGACGTAGGACGGGTAGTAGTGGTCAAGCGTGCGCTCGGCGACGAGGTTGTGGATCGCCGTGTTCTCCTTGACCTGGTTGGGGAAGAAGGCAATCTCGATGGCCAGGTCCTTCTTCGTCGCGGCCACGACGGCCGCCGGCGCACCGTACGGGCGCTCGCCGAGGAAGAAGACCTTGCTGCGCTCAGGGAACTCAATCGAGAGCTCCTCGGCGCGGCGCTCGACGGTGCGCGTGTCCTCCTGCACGACCTCGGAGACGGCGAGCTGCAGCACCTGCTCGACCTCCTTGTCGGCCGACGACTCGTAGTCCTTGACAAACGAGCCGTCGTCCATGCGCTGCAGGCCCTTGAGCGGGCGCACGTGCAGCAGCACGTCAACGGGGCCCGTCACGATGCCGTAGCGCTTGCTGTAGTGCTGCTGGATCTGCAGCGCCTTGCGGCGCCAGTTCGAGTCGGGCTTGTGCGGCGTCGACACGACGCGGCCCTGCACCATCTCGTAGCGGAAGAGCTCGTCGGAGATGGCCACGCAGAGGCCCTCTGCGAGATAGGGGTAGTGCGTGAAGGTGCGCTGCCCGACGAGCGCCGCCGCCACCTCCTCGCTCTTGTGCCCCTCGTAGCGGTTCTGCACGCGCAGCACGACGCTGGCCGCCTTGCTCTCGCTCTGGAACACGTTGATGCCGTGGAAGTCGATACGCCCAACGTGCGGGATCGTCTGCATGCTCGGGAAGCCCGCCAGCGCGCGCTTGCCCAGCTCGACGCCCTCGCACAGGCCCTTGACGAGCTCGCGCCCGTTGAGCGCCGGCAGCTGGAAGTCCTCGATCTTGGCGCGCGAGTGCACGATGTCGGGGAAGACGCCCGGCAGCGAGCTCGGCAGGAAGTACTCGCGCTCCGTGTCGAACGTGAGGCGCGTCGCGGCGCCGAAGCCGTTGCGCGAGCGCTCGTCGGCGGTCAGCAGGCCCTGGCGCTTGTCGAGCGCGCTCAGCAGCCGCTTCTCGTCGATGAAGGGAATCTTCACGACGGCCTCCCAGTCCTGCTTCTTGCCGTTGAGGTCGGCCTCGAAGTCCGAGGGGTAGAAGTCGATGATGGGCGAGGCCGGGTCCGTCATCAGATCGCGGAACGCCTCGGGGATATGCGAGCTGCTCAGCGCCGGCAGCACGCCCATGAGCTGGTCGAAGGGGCGGAACGGCTTGCCGAGGTCGAAGTCAAACTTCATGTCGAGCACCGGCAGCAGATCCGAGATCTTCGGCGCGTAGTGGTAGTCGTAGAACCAGCCCCACGAGGCCACGCCGTCGTAGTAGTAGTGCAGCACCCACTGCAGGCCCTCGATGTAGCGGAACGCGAGCTGGCGCATCGCCTTCTCGTCCTGGAAGTCGATGTGCAGCTTCTCGCGGTAGTAGTCCGTCTTCCACACGTGCATCTTCTCGCCGAGCTTGCGCAGCCGCAGCTCCTCGGCGTCCTCCTCGTCCGACTCCTCGCTCTCGGCCGCGGCGTGCTCGTAGCGCTGCAGCACGCGGTCCGAGGACTTGATCTTCTCCGCCGAGTTTAACAGGACGCCAGACTCGGCCTCGTACGTGATGGCCGTGGCCGGCGCGTCGGCGACGGGGTCGTACTCGTTGAAGCTGACGCCGAGGCCGAGCGCCTCGGTCAGGCCGGAGAGGAAGCGCTGGTCGCGCGCCGGCAGCATCGGCGGCAGGAAGAGCTCCTGCGGCGCGTCGACGGGGTCCTTGCGCAGCGCGAGCACAAAGTCGCGCACCTGCTGGAAGAGCCCTTGCTGCTCCTTGGAGAGCGCGAGCTTCTGCTTCTTGCCCTTGGGCTTCTCCTGCTTGCCCTTGTACCTGCAAGAAGGGGTCAGCGGTCGCCGGGCAGCACATCAACGCACAACTCACCAGCTGGAATCTGCGTACTCGTTCTCAAACTGCTCCGCCTCGAACTTGGTCAGCTCGGCAAGAACCAGCTGCAGGCGGTCGACGCGCAGCGTGCCGTCCTCGTTGATGTAGCCGCCGGCGACGGGCAGCACGCTCTTGTAGATGGCGAAGAGCATCGGCAGTGCGCCCTCGTTGATGTGCAAGCCGGGCAGATGCGGCAGGAAGTCGTTGCCCACAAAGATGTTGAGCAGAATGAAGTCGTCTATGATGCGTTCCAGCGAGTAGTCGAAGGGCAGTGTCGAGCGCAGCTCCTGGAACTCCATGTCGAGGTACTCGCGGAAGAGGGAGAGGTGCAGCAGGAAGAAGTTCTGCGACTCGAGCCTGCAGCAGGTGTCAGCAGTGACCAGTCACACGGGCCGCGCGCGCGCTCACCCGCCCCGAGACTTCTTGCGCGGGCCGAACTGCACCTCCTCGCGCAGCAGCGCAAAGTGCGGGTCGTGGCTGAGCAGGCCCAGCATGATGAGGTCGGCATCGAGGCCGTAGAGGCAGTGGCGCACGTTCGGGTTGTAGCCCGGCTGTGCCTTGGCGAGGCGAATGTACTCCATGATCTTGTGCTCGCCCTCACCCGGCACCTCGTGGCCGGAGAGCACCACCTCGACGCCCCGCCAGTTCGAATCCTCCGTGACCTTCTTGGCGAGGAAGTACTTGAGCTGCTGCGACAGGCGCGCCATGAATGGTGTGCCTGGTGCAGCGTCAGTACGGGCCACCGCAGACGCGCCAGCATCTAACTCACCCGGCGTGATGCAGTTGCTGTCGAACGCAGCCTCCTCAGGCATCTCCTCGCCCCGCCGCTCGGCCTTGTCGCGCACCTCCTTGGCCTCCTTGGCCGTGCGGAAGCGGCGGCTGCGCTGCTGGTTCATTTTCGCGCGCGGCGCGACGCCGTCGACGGCGAGGAACATGAGCTTCTGCGGCTTGATCTTGGTGAAGATGTGCTCGATGTAGGAGAAGACGGCGAGGAATATGTCGGCCTCGGTGATGCGGAAGTGCGCGTCGTTGTCGTCGGGGTGCGAGCAGTTGTGGATGATGCCGTTCATGTCGAGGTACAAATTGTCGAACTCGGGGATCTTGTTCTCCTCGACGAGCTGGCTGATGAGCGGGTAGCGCTCGCTCATGCTGCGGAAGAACTTGGGGATACCTGGGGTGGGGTGGTGAGCAGAGGCGCGGCGGGTGTGTGAGGCGCAACTCACCCATGGTGGCGGCGGTGTCGGGATGCTGGAAACTAGAGACGGGTGACCGGGATGTGGCAGGCAGGTGACTGGCGTGCAGATGCGAGGGTCGAGGTGGTGGTGGCGGCGAGCGCGCGTGTGAGGGCGGTCAAGGGCAGGCGCGAGCGGCAAATAGCGGGACAGGCAAGCGGAACGGGCGGTCGGGGAATACAGCCAGAAGCACAGCGCGAGGAGCCAGATGTCGAGAAGCGAGGCGAGTGATGGGCCGGGACAGGGATGTGGGTGGCGAGAAGGAGGGGCGTGCCAGGCGGAGGCGTGACTCTTGGGTGCGTGCGCCTGCTGCAGGCGGCAGCTCCCCCACGCTGCGCCACGCTCCGGCGCCTGCCTCTGCCAGTGCCAGCGCGCCGTGAGGGTCCAGGAGGCGCTTGTCGGCCGAAAAGCAGCGCTGCCTAAGCGCACCCCGCCCCTCCACCCAGCAGGCCCAGGGCGGGAGCGACTCTGCGCTGACTGAGCCGCGGCTGCGCCGGGCCGCGCCGCTGCGCAGCCCGCCGTCGCAAGCCCTCATGCGGCTGCGCAGCTTGTCGATGCTCGGAGTAGCCTGCGACAGAGAGATGTCGCAGCAGCACGGTGAGGGAGGCAGCAGCAGCGACGGCAGGCGCGGTGTGCCTATCGCGTGCCGCGCGCGCCGCCGGACGTAAGGCCGCGAGGCTGACGACGCGCTTGGGACAGCGGAGCCGCGCGGCGGCGGCGGCGCAGCGCGCGCACAGGCGCCGTCGGCCTCGGTCAGCTCGGCGCTGCGACCTTCTCGTCGTCGTAAGCAGCTGCCTCAGCTCCACCACCACCACCACCCGCCGCAACCGGCGCACACTCTCGCTTCCACTGCACCTGCCACTCCCGCTCCCGCGCGCCGAGCGCCGTCCACCCCGCCTTGCCCTCGCCACTCCCTGTCCCTCCTCGTTCCTCTAATGATCCCCTCGCCGCAGCGGCTGGCGGCTGCGTCGCGCGTGCGTGCCGCCTTCGCCGCCCGGCCGCACAGCAGCGCCCATGCCTCCTCCTCGCTGCTGCCGACGCCGTCGCGGGTGCTGCGCCCGAGCGCCGCCGTGCGCCCGGCCCGCGCCGCCGCATTTGCCACGTCGTCTCGCCACCTGGCACACGCGCGTGAGCCGCTGCTCGTCATAGCTCCGGCCTCGCTGCGCGCCTTCTCGAGCGCGCGGCCAGCACTGCTGCCGCGGCACAAGAGCAAGCTGCCCGTATTCGCAGAGCAGGACGTCGATGCTGAGCAGCAGCGCGTCTCGGACGCGGCCGAGAGCGCCGTTGCGGCGCGAGGGCACGGCGAGGCGGCAGAGGTGCGCGCCGACTCGGAGTCGTCGGGCTCGTCGAGCGGCGATGCGTCGGGCTCCTCGGGCGAGCGCAGCAGTGCCGGCGGCTCTTCCTCTGGCTCCGGCAGCGGCAAGTCGGGCAGCGGCGGCAGCGGCAGTGGAGGCAGCGGCAGCGGCGGCTCCAACTCCACCGCCATGTCGCGCCAGACGGTGCCGGCCGTCTACCCGCAGGTGCTGGCGCTGCCCATCACGCGCCGCCCGCTGTTCCCCGGCTTCTACAAGGCCGTCGTGATCAAGGACAAGCAGGTGTGCGCGGCGATCAAGGAGAGCATGAAGCGTGGCCAGCCGTACATCGGCGCCTTCCTGCTGAAGAGCGAGGACGACGACGCAGACACGATCACCGACCTCTCCAAGGTGCACCCCGTCGGTGTCTTTGCGCAGATCACGAGCGTGTTCCCGGCAGAGCGCGACCGCAGCAACCGGCCGAAGGACGGCAAGGCCGAGGACTCTGACGACGAGGGCCTCACTGCCGTGCTGTACCCGCACCGCCGCATTCGCATCGACGAGCTGATCAACCCGGATGGTGCTGGCGCTGTGCCGCCGGTCGGCGCTGTTCCCGACGTGCCCTCGGCGATCCCGGGCAACGAGTCCGAGAGCGGCAAGGGCCGCAGCGCTGAGGATGCCGTGGCGACGCGCGTGGCTACCGAGAATGACGCGCCGACGGAGCACATTCCGTCGCACGGCGCGCCGTTCCAGACGTCGTTCCTGCACGACTACAAGGTCTCGCTCGTCAACGTGACGAACCTGCAGGCCGCCGAGTACAAGAAGGACAACGAGGTCATTCGCGCGATCAAGGCGGAGCTGATCACTGTCTTCAAGGACATCGCGCAGCTCAACCCCATGTTCCGCGACCAGATTGCCAACTTCAGCATCTCGCAGGGCGCCGGCAATGTGTTCGAGGAGCCCGACAAGCTCGCAGACTTTGCCGCGGCCGTGTCGAGCGGCGAGGTGGGCGAGCTGCAGGCCGTGCTCGAGTCGCTCAACATCGAGGACCGCCTGCGCAAGGCGTTCGAGGTGCTCAAGAAGGAGCTCATGAACGCGCAGCTGCAGAGCAAGATCTCCAAGGACGTCGAGGCCAAGATCCAGAAGCGGCAGCGCGAGTACTTCCTGCACGAGCAGCTCAAGGGCATCAAGAAGGAGCTCGGCCTCGAGAGCGACGGCAAGGACCGCATGGTGGAGAAGTTCAAGGAGAAGGCGCTGGCGCTCAACATGCCCGAGGCGGCGCGCAAGGTCTTCGACGAGGAGCTGAGCAAGCTGCAGACGCTCGAGCCCGCGGCGAGCGAGTTCAACGTGACGCGCGGCTACCTCGACTGGCTCACCAGCATCCCGTGGGGCGTGCACTCGCCGGAGAACTACTCGATCGCCAACGCGACCAAGGTGCTCAACGACGACCACTATGGCCTGAAGGACGTGAAGGACCGCATCCTCGAGTTCCTGGCCGTCGGCAAGCTGCGCGGCACCGTCGAGGGCAAGATCATCTGCCTCGTCGGCCCGCCCGGTGTGGGCAAGACGTCGATCGGCAAGTCGATCGCGCGCGCTGTTGAGCGCCAGTTCTTCCGCTTCAGCGTCGGCGGCCTGAGCGACGTGGCTGAGATCAAGGGCCACCGGCGCACGTACGTCGGCGCCATGCCCGGCAAGGCCATTCAGGCGCTCAAGAAGGTCGGCACCGAGAACCCGCTCGTGCTCATCGACGAGGTCGACAAGATCGGCCGCGGCCACAATGGCGACCCGTCGTCGGCGCTGCTCGAGATGCTCGACCCCGAGCAGAACGGCAGCTTCCTCGACCACTACATGGACGTGCCCGTGGACCTCTCGCGCGTGCTCTTCGTCTGCACGGCCAACACGCTCGACACAATCCCGCAGCCGCTGCTTGACCGCATGGAGGTCATCGAGGTGTCGTCGTACACGGCCGACGAGAAGCGGCACATTGCCAAGGGCTACCTCGCGCCGCAGGCCAAGGATGCCAGCGGCCTCAAGGACGCCAACGTGACGCTGTCCGACGAGACGATCGAGTTCCTCATTAAGCACCACGCGCGCGAGAGCGGCGTGCGCAACCTGCGCAAGATGCTCGAGAAGGTGTACCGCAAGATTGCCTTCAACATCGTTCGCGACCACGGCGAGGCCGTCTTCCCGGAGCCGACGGAGGAGAGCAAGGCGTCCGCCGCCTCGTCTGCCTTCCCGGGTGCTGAGCCTGTGGCGCAAGATCCGGCGACGGCAGCCGGCGGCGCCAAGAGCGATGCTCAGTCCGTCGTGCCGCCGCCGACACCTGGCGCGGAGGCCGAGTCGTCGAGCAGCGGCAGCAGTGAGGGCGCAGATGCTTCGCGGACACAGGCGCGCGACGCGCCGCCGCCGGCTGCGGCCAAGACGACGACGGAGCCGCGCAAGCCCATGTCGGTGCCGGACTCGGTATCCGTGGACATCTCGATCGAGTCGCTGCGCGAGTACCTCGGCCCGCCGGTGTACCACAAGGACCGTCTGTACACACGCAGCATGCCCGCCGGTGTCAGCACAGGCCTGGGCTACCTCGGCAACGGCAGCGGTAGCCTGATGCCCATCGAGACGACGATCATGCCGGGCAAGGGCAGCCTGCAGCTGACGGGCAAGCTGGGCGATGTGATCAAGGAGAGCGCCAACATTGCGCTGAGTTGGATGAAGAGCAACGCGCATGCGCTCGGCATCACCAAGGAGGAGAGCGAGCGCCTGCTCGACAGCCGCGACGTGCACCTGCACATGCCCGAGGGCGCCATCGGCAAGGACGGCCCGAGTGCCGGCGTGGCGTTCGTGACGTCGCTCGTGAGCCTGCTCACCGACCGCACGCTGCCGACGGATCTGGCGATGACGGGCGAGGTGTCGCTGCGCGGCATGGGTGAGTGATCCTGCCGTGGTCCATGCTGCCGCAATGCTGACCAGCCCGCGCTCCAGTCCTGCCCGTCGGCGGTCTCAAGGAGAAGCTGCTGGCCGCACACCGCGGCGGCATCACCAAGCTCATCCTGCCGGCGTCGAACCGGCCCAACGTCGAGGCCGACGTGCCCGAGGCCGTGCTGGCGGCGCTCGACGTGCACTACGTCGCCAACGTGTGGAGCGCGCTCGACGTGGCCTTTGGCGAGGGCCCTTGGAGCGAGCGTGCGCGCGAGATGAAGGGCCAAGAGGACGCCGAGGAGGCGTCGGACAAGCAGAAGCGCGACGAGGCACGCAGCCGGCGGCAAGAAGAGGCTGCTCGGAATCAAGACGGGTGAGTCGTGCTTTGTGCCAGAAGTTGTGCCTGTGCTGAGTCCCTTCGCAGCGCCAACCAAGATCAGCCGACCGCCTAGACCGCTCTGTACCGCCGGGCCTGCATCGACGTGACTCCTCACCGCTCCGCACAGCACGTGTCATATCCTCATGTCTCTCTTTCATCGCCGTGTGCCCACGAAGCAATCACCGCATGCCACCATTCACCCGCCAGCGAGACGCGCGTGGCGCGCTGCACATGAGAGAGAGAGGCCGTGCTGATTGTTGCATTACGAGGGCATTATGAGGTTACGAGAAGGACATGTGCGCGCAGGGCGATGCCGTGTGTGCTGAGAGCAGGACGTGCGTCAGCTGCGTGGCCCGCGCGTGTGCACCTTCGCGGCGTCCCACTCACACGCCGCTCTAGGCCTTGCCGGCCGTCTCCTTCTGCAGCTGCTCGGGCGACTTGTCGTGGTTGGCGCCCTTGACGGCCTCCTCGGAGTGCGTGGCGCCGCCCTGCTCGCCGCCCTGCGACTGCTGCGCCTGCTGCGTGGTGCGCTTGGCGAGCTCCTCGGGCGAGAGCGAGTGGTCGTCGTGCTTGGCGGCCTCCTCGGACGCCGTGGGCTTCTGCAGGACAGGACGCGCGAAGCATCAGCGTGAGGTCCTCTGGCGCAGAAATGGCATGCGCAATGCCGATGTGGCGCAGCAGGAACGCAGCAGGTGCTGCCGCTGCGCCGCTCGCAGTGCACACGCTTCTAGCGGCCCGCGCCGGTGCTCACCGAGTAGAAGCGCACGCTGGCGGGAGCGGCGGCGCGGGCGGCGGCGGCGCGCGAGAGAGCGGGTGCGATGCGGGCGAGCATAATGGCTTGTGAGAGAGAGGGTGTTGAGGTGTGTTGGCTGGTAGTGGCTGCTGGCAGATGATGTGGAGAGGAAGGTGGGTGCAGCGAGGCATGCGCGGCGCTCGAGAGGCGCGCACCGCCCGCCGCAAGGCCGGCGCACCGCATCGTCACCGCGCCCCAGATCTGCGCCTGACGCTGCCCTCGTGCTTATGCACCCGCACGCCTCGTGCCCTGCATCGAAGCCCTTGGCCCCGCGCAACAGGCAACTCCGGCGGGCCCGTCCAGACGGCGGCGCGTCTTTGGTCAGCGGCGCGCGTCGACGTCGGCGCCGGCGGGGCGGAGCATGCGGCGCATCGCCTCGCTGGACCCCCGACGGCCATGCCCCGAATCGCATGCGGCTTCTCCCGAGGCTGCATGCTGGCCCTCGGAGCTTTGCTGTGCGTCGAGCCTGCCCGCAACGTGCGCAGCCGGCGGCAGGCGCGCTGCTGCTGGCAGCGGCAGCGGCGGCGGGTGTGGAGGCCACGCGATGCTCCGCCAGCGCGCCGCCGCCGCCCGCTCGCAGACCCTGCCGCTAGCGCACACCGCTCGCGACGCCCTCGAGCCGCGCCGCTCCCTCGCACGTCTTCGAGAGCTCTCAGCTCGCTCACTCACATGCAGTTGAAGCCTCCAGCAGCGCACTCAACGCCCAGGGATCAGCGCCCAGCGATGAAAGGTCTGCGGACGAGGCGGAAGAAGAAGGTCAGGCATGCAGCGCATCGCGGCATGACGTCACGCGTGCGCGTCGCACGTGATGCGCTCCGCCGAGACGCACCCCTCACTGGCCCCTCGACGGAGCTCGCACATCGATGAAGAGAGATTGACGGGAGATACTTTTGGCCTCGAAATGTAGGTAGACATCTCTGTAACATTCAAGCAGAAGCTGAAGCGCCGAGGCGATTCTCGTGCTGCGCGGGTCACGATCTCGGTGTCGTCGAACATGCAGCATGCTGGGCCTTCAGGCCGCTCAGCCATCCGAACAAAGCTGCGGCAGGGCAGCTGCAGTTGCATGCCCCTGAGTGAGCCAGAGCCGAGCCGGGCACGTACAAGCGTCAGGTGCAGGCTTGCAGCATCGCTCGTCAGCGGGCGGTCCTGGTCACACGGATCAGTCGAGAGGGCGAGTGGCTGATTAGAATGTGCTTGCAGATGCGGCAGGCAACGAGTTGAGCGTTTGAGGGTGATACAAGTGGGCTAGTGGACCGGGACGTGATACTGAGGAGCAAGAAGGTGCGATGATGAGAGATGCTGTGTGACGTCGAGGAGCGGGCAGAGGCGGGAACGAGGCAGCACGAGGCGAGGATGGCAGCGTGCGCTGCTGCAGACGCGGGGGGCGCCTGGTCTAGGTACGGAATGGGAAGCGAGATGACTAGAGGACCTGGCGGTTGACGCCGTCCTGTGACCGCTTCATCGCGGCTTGTTGATGAGATCCAGAAACTCCTGGCGCGTCGCCTTCTGGCTGCGGAATACGCCGAGCATGCAGCTCGACACGGTCTGGGCGCCGACCTTCTGCACGCCGCGCATCTCCATGCACATGTGCGACGCCTCGACGACGACGGCGACGCCCTGCGGCTGGATGGCCTCCTCGACGGCTAGCGCAATCTGCTTCGTCAGGCGCTCCTGCACCTGCAGCCGGCGCGCAAACGTCTCGGCGATGCGCGCCAGCTTCGACAGACCAATGACGAGGCGGTTCGGCAGGTAGCCAATGTGCACCTGCAGAGTGTCAGATGTGCGCCACTCCTGGCAGCAGCAGCACTGCTCACCTTGCCGCGGAAGGGCACCAGATGGTGCTCGCACAGACTCGAGATCTCAATGTCGCGCACAATGACCATCTCGTCGTGGTCCTCGTCGAAGACGGCGTTGGAGATGACGTCTGCGAGATGCGGGCCCATCAGCAGCTGTTGCGCGAAGAGCCGAAGCGGCACGCGTCGCGCCAAAGCAGGACGAGCTCTGCCCTGCCTGCGTCCGCTTCTGCCGCGACTCACCACTCAGCCGCTCCTCATAGCCCCGCGTCATCCACAGCAGCGCCTTCGCATAGCGCTCCGGCGTGCGCTTCAGGCCCTCGCGGTCCGGGTCTTCGCCCAGACACTGCAGAATGGTGTGCACGGCGCCCGCCAGCCGTGCCTGGTTCGCCGCGGCCTGCGCCGGCGTGTGGTTCAGGCGGTCGAGCGTCGCCTTGGCTGCGAAGGAGAGAAGCGTGAGTACGTCGCGGAGCCAGCATTCAGAGCCTGCTTCCACGCCCCGCGTCTGCCAGGCGTGAGCACCTCGCTCTCCACTCACCGGGCCAGCCGAGGCCGTCCTTGTCCATGACGGGCGTGCGCGTGCCGCCGAAGCTGCTCTGGCGGCTGAGCAGCGCCGTCGATGGCCCGCCGACACGCGGCTGGGTACCGATGCCTGCGAGGCTCAGGTCGCGCATGCTGGCGACGCTCTGGCCCAGCTGGTCCTGCGCCTCGGCACGCCGCGCCTCCTCCTCGGCGTCGCCGTCCTCGGACGCTGCGGCGCCGTTGAGGGCATCGCCAGCTGCCAGCTCGGCGGCGGAGGGCCGGCCAGAGCCGCAGTCGAGGCCGTTTCCGGCCAGCGCGTGCGCCGAGGACGAGGCTGCGCCGGGCGACGGCCGCAGGCTGGCATCGTCGAGGTTGGCGCGCTCGAGGGCGCCGGAGAAGAAGCTGTCGAAGAAGGCGCGGCCCTCGGCCATGCTGGGCGTGTGTTCGGCGGAGACGCAGCTGAGAGAGTGGCAGAGGTGACGCGGCAGTTGCGGTCGAGCTTGGGCGTTGTGAGGGTGCTGAAGGAAGCAGGCTGGCGAGAGGGCGCCAGCATCAGTCCCCTGCAGCAGAGTCGAGTGCAAGCGGCCAAAATGTGGCCGCCGGACGCTTCCTGCTCCGGCCGCACCGCCGCTCGGCGCGGGCACGCCGCCAGTCTCCGCACGCCGCTCGGAACGCGGAGAAGCGGCCGCAGGCCGTTCTTCGCGCCGCCGCCGCCGAGCCAGCGCTCTCTGCCCTCCGCTCTGCCCTCGCTTCCAACGCTGAGCTGCAGCTGAGAGATGTGGCACGTTCCTCAGGCTAGACATGCAGCAGGCACAAGTGGCTGGCCCGGCGACGAGACCGTGCGACGTCTCTGTCTGGCACCGCACGGACGAGTCTGCGTCAAGAGACGTGCGGCGCTCTCGGCAGCGTCGTCGGGCAGACGAGGCGGCCTCGTGGCCATTCGTAGTCTGCGCCTCATCGTGGATGGGAATTGACGCTGACTGCGAGGAGCTGCTGCTGCGCTCTGGTGCTCCCTGCGGAGGAGCAGCACGACGCTTCATGCGCCAGACCCTTGCCCGAATCAAGATTTTCGCGCCGCCGTTCTCACAAAATTTCACAGGCGCGGCGCGCGCCCAGCTGCGCTCAGCGGCATGGCCAGTCGAGCTCGACGTGCGGGCGCCACAGCTCCGTCTTGTGCAGTGAGCAGAGCATGTGGCCTGTGTTATCACTCCAGCCCACTGCTGCTGCTTCAGCGTCCTCGAGCGGGGCGAGGTCCAAGGATGCGTCGCTGAGGGAGCTGGCCGAGAATGCGGGTCCGACGCGTCGCGCGCGTAAGCCGCGGCCGGCGCCGCGCGGCGCAGCGAAGAGGCGGCGGCACGGCAGCGGCGAGCGGCAGGCACGCCGCCCGCGGCCATCTCGTCGTCCCAGCAGCTCCGGGCGTGCCCCGTTCCGGCGCGGGCGCGACGCGGCGCAGCACCGTCTGCACCACACGCTCCCTCGCCTTCGCAGGCCCCTCATTCACCCACGCCCCGCGCACACAGCACCGCCGCCGCATACCACATACCCCGGCTGCCGTGCCGTGCCGCGCATCACCCACCCGCACACTCGCCTCGCCGCCGACGCCGCCGCTGTCCGTCCCACGCGCGCGTCTGCTCCGTCCGTCCCTCCGACCTGCACCCTCCATCCAGCGCCGCCGCATCGCATGCACCCGGCCCCGCACGCGGCCACGCGGCACGCCTCATGATCTCGCCCACGCGGGCCGCTGCCGCGCCGCAGCGCGCCTCACCGTCGCTGCCGGCGGCAACGCAGCACGCGCAGCCCGTGGCGTCCACATCGGCACACACGCTTGACGCCGCGCCGCCGCCGCCGCCGCAGGGCGTGTTTGCCGCTTCGCCGCGGCCGGCGCCATCGCCCGCGCTGCCGGCGCCTGCCGCTGCCGAGCCGCAGTCGCAGGCCGATGCAGATGCCGCGGCGGACGCGGCGGCGGAGGAGGCCATCGCGCGTATGGGACTCAGCCCGGCCGATGCTTCGCTGCTCGCGTCGCTCTCTGCATCAGACCACAATGCCGCGGTCGAGCTGCTCGCGGCGCTGGGTGCGCAGATCAAACCTGAGCCGGGCGATGACCAGCAGGCACTACATCCGTACGATGGCGCTGCTGGCGCGCCGGCCGGCGACAGCGAGGGTGACGGCATGCGCGACCTCGCCGCGCTGACAGGCATCCCGATCGCGTCGGTCTGGTCGAACTCTGCGCCGCCGAGCCTCGCGGCTCACAGCATGCACTCAACGCCGCAGCCCTTCTCGCGCCCGCGCTCGCCCGATCCGCGGCCAGACAGCGAGCCGCCGTTCCACTCCTTCTGGAACACGCCGCCGCCGTTTGCGCATCCGCTTGCGCCCGATACGGCAGCACCTGCGGCGTATGAGGCGGCGCCGGCGTCGCTCGGCGAGCTGGCGCCGGAAGTCAAGGCGCCGACGCCGCCGCGGGAAGCGTCACCCGGGCCCATCGCAGCGTACGCAAAGCTCGAGTTCCCGGGCTTCAGCTACTATCTGCAGACCCTCTCTGTCACCATCGGCCGACGGCCGGCGCACATCGCCGGTCCCGAGCCCGGCGCGGAGAAGCACACGCACCTGACGGGTCTCGATCGTGTCGACGGCGACGTGGACGTGGATCTCGGCCCTCTCAAGTCTATCTCGCGCCTGCACGCGCGCATCTTCTATCGCAGCGCCGCAGAGGTGCCGTGGGATGCCTGGAGCCTTGCGCCGCGCGAGGAGGCCAGCTTTGTGTTTCAAGTGCTCGGGCGCAATGGCGCGTTCGTCGATGATGTCTTTGTTGGCAAGGACGGCATGCTGCCGCTCGGCAAGCGGTGAGTAAGGCAAAGAGCGGCATGGTCAGGCTCGGCTGCAATGCGTGCTCCGGCTGCAGCGCTAACCTGACAGACGCTGACGCCGGTCGCACCCCACAGGACAAAGATCCAGATCGCAGAACGCGTCTTCTACTTTGTCTTGCCGCCCGCAGCCATGCCCGCCCAGCCGGCGCCGCCGTCGCCGACGCGCTCCATCATGATGGGCTCCGTCTCCTCGCTCTCCGACCTCTCCGCGACCTCCTCGTCCTCCTCGGACGAGAGCGACTCGTCCGACCTCTCGTCTGCCGAGGAGGAGGACAGCGGCGACGATGACAGCGACGACGTCGAGGAGGTTAGCGCCGCGGCTGCTGCAGCTGCTGCCAAGGCGCGGCCACGGCTGGTGCTCAAGAAGAAGGCCAGCACCGACGCCGTGTCTGCAGCGGCAGGGCCCTCGCAGCCGCGCGGCGGCAAGGGCGGCGGCAAGGCGTGGCATGGCAAGTCTGTCAAGTCACATCCCGTGCCGGCGCCTGCGCCGCTTGACAGCGACGACAGCATGGACAGCCTTTCCAGCAGCAGCAGTAGTAGCAGCAGCAGCAGTAGCAGCAGCAGTAGCGACGACTCGGACGCGCAGCCGGCCGGTGGCAAGAAGGGCAAGTCGCCGAGAAAGGGCAAGAAGCCGGCGGAGCCCGCGGCCGGGGCGCAGAAGTCGACGCTGCCCAAGAAGGTTGCGGCAGTGGCGCCAAAGTGGACGACGGGCGTCGGCATCGCTGGGCGCAAGCGCAAGCGTGGCGAGGCCGTGGAAGAGGAAGACGCGGCAGCGCTGCGCGTGGGCACGCCGATTGGCATCGAGGCCCTCGACGCAGAGCGGCGCGCAAAGGCCGCGAAGCGCAAGGCTGCCGCCAGTGGCACAGCGACGCCGGCTGCGGGCACACCCGCGCCGACAGGCGCGCCCGATGCCAAGCCTGGCGCCGCACTGGCGGCGCAGGCCAACGACCCCTCCGGCAGTCTCTTCTCTCCTGCGCGCGCAAAGGCGCTGCTGGCGTCCTTCTCGCCGCCGCCGGCGTCTGCGCCTCCGCGCGCCTCTCCGCTGGCCGGTGCCGCCGCAGTGCCGGCAGCGACAGAGAGCGCGTCGCCCGCCGTCTCCAGCAAGCCACTCGATGCGAGCGCAGCTCTCAAGGCAAAGGTGAAGAAGGCCAAGCCCACACCGCCCCCCGCGGCTGCTGGCTCTGCGCAGCCGTCTGCGAACGGGGCACCCAGCGCGGCTGCAGCTGCAGCACCGTGGGCCAGCATTGCGGGCGGCAGCGCGCCTGCAAGCCCCAGTTTGCAGCAGTCTGCTGCGATTGCACAGGCGGTGCAGGCGTCTCTGGCGCCGCCAGGCTCAACAGTGTTGGGCCCGCCTGGGCGCGTCTCTGTGCAGGCTGCTGGGACGCGGCCTGCTCAGCCTTTGGCAGCTCCAGGCGCTGTTGCGGGTGCGGCGACACCCCGGCCAGTGGTCGCCGGCGCTCAGCCTGCAGGCGTGCAGCGGCCTTTGGGCACGACAGGAGCGGTCGCTGGTGCGCCTCGGCCGCCGACGGCCAATGGACAGCCAGCCGGCGCCCCTGGGATCGCGGCTCGTCCTGCGGTCCCTGGACAGCCCGCCGCGCCTCGCCCAGTCGGGCCGCCAGCTACAGCGGCAAATGGTGCCATCCCGCGGCCTGTCGCGCCCGCCGGCACAGCAGCTGTGCCTGCCGCGGCGGCACCCGCGCGCGCTGCCGACGGGACGCCCATTGCGGCTGCTGCGAAGCCGGCGCCGGGGCCAGAGGAAAAGCCGGATCTCACGAACCAGCAGGTCATCAAGCTCGCGCTCGGCTCGGAGGAGGCGGCGCAGCGCAGCGGCAAGATGACGCTGCAGGACGTGTACGACTACATGACGGCGCGCTGGCCGTGGTACAAGAACAACAACCGCACCAGCGGCAAGGACTGGAAGAGCTCCGTGCGCCACGCCATCACGTCGTCGCGCGACTTTACGCGCATCCCGCGCGCAGCCAACGAGCCGGGCAAGGGCGTCTTCTACGCGCTCTCGACGAGCCAGGCGGCGATCCAGTACCGCGCAGAGCAGGCCGCAGCCGACGCCGCCGCTGCGCGGAACGGAAGTGCGCCTGCTGCACCTGTCGCAGGCACTGCACCAGCTCCGACGGCGCAGGTCGCTGCGCCTGCGGCCGGTCCGAGCGTGCCAGCCGTGGCGCGGCCCGCGCCTGTGGCAGCGCCGGGTGTTGCTGCTGCGCCACGACCAGCCGGCGCGCCCCTGCCGAGACCTCCAGGCAGCGTCGCTGTTCCTGGCCAGGCTGCCGTGCCGCGGCCGCTGGGTGCCCAGACTACGCCGGCGGGTGTGGCGCGGCCGCCAGGCGCGCCTCTCACTGCCGCGCCTCGGCCGCCTGGCTCCACGTTGCCCGCTGCAGCGCCGCGACCGGCCGTGGGCGCAGCAGGTGCGCCAGCTGCACAGCCGAGACCGCCTGGCACGCCGCTTCCAGCAGGTGTCAGGCCAGCTGTCGCGCCGGGCACGCAGCCACGACCAGCAGGCGCACTCCCGCCGGGACAGGTGCGGCCTCCGGGCGCGCCGCAGCCGCGCCCGGCCATGCCGCCGGGCCAGGTGCCTGCCGCCGTAGCGCGCCCGAATGGCGCTCCTGCTGCGACACCAGCCACCGCATCGGCGCCTGCACCCTCGCCCGCGGCTGTGCAGAGCAGCGCCGCGCCCGTTGCTCGGCCTGCCCCAGTGCCGGCGCCTAAACCCAAGGCAGCCTCTCCCGCAGGCACAGCCGCACGGCCGAGTCCGGCCGCCAAGAGCGGCGCGCCGCGCGTGCCGATCGTCATTGGCAACCCGCCGGCCGCGGCCAAGCCTCCGGTGCAGGCCAAGAACGCCATGGCCGGCTCGATCGACGCGCTCTTCGGCGGCCCGCCCATCGTGCATCACGAGGGCAAGCTGTACCTGAGCCCGCAGGTGTTTGGAAAGCTGCCCGCCACCGAGATCACGCGCATTGCCGGACTCGGCGCGCAGGCGGCGCTCCAGGTCCTCCAGTCGCATCTCGTGGCCCACCTGCAGGAGCGCATGCGCTCGCAGGGACAGAAGTCTGCTTCTCCAGCTGCAGGCCGCGCGGCGTCTGCGGCATCGCCTCCAGCTCCGTCACCTGCAGCAGGCGCGTCCACCGCTGCCGCCAGCCCGCCTGCGCCATCTCCCGCACCAGCAGCTGCACCAGTCGTCGCGCCGCGTCCTGCTGCGGCCGCTGGACCACCTCGTCCGGTGGCTCAGGGGACTCCGGTCGGTGCAGCGCGTCCAGCGGCGCCCAGTCCCGCAGGAGCTGCGCCTGTGCGTCCGCCTGCAGGTCAGACGCCGGTTCGCGCTGCCGTGCCGGCTTCTGGTGCAGCTTCTGCGGCACCGCGCCCAGCTGGTGCTCCTGTCGCCGGACAGACGACGCCTCAAGCTCGTCCACCTGGGCCGCCTCGTCCCCTTGCGCCCGGCACACAGCCTGCTCGTCCCGCGACGCCAGTTGCAGGTGCTCCACGCCCTCCAGGCGCCGTTGCGGGCACGCCCGTGCGCCCAGCCGGCACGCCGACTGGCGTTCCGCGGCCCGCTCCCGGGCAGCCGGGATACCGGCCGCCTCCGGCCCCTGGACAGCCAGGCTATCGGCCGCCGCCTGCCCCTGGCCAACCTGGATACCGCCCGCCGGGCACGCCTGGGCAGGGACCGCCTCGCCCCGCGCCTGCGCCAGGCCAGCAGGCAGCTCGGCCGCCGGTAGGCACGGCGCAGCCAGGCGCGCGTCCACCGACGCCTGCTGGTCAGCCTGGAGCACGTCCCCCCACGCCGGCGCAGCCAGGTGCGCGACCTGCTCCCGGCACTCCGGTCGCGCCGGGTGTGCGACCAGCACAAGCGCCTGGCACGGTCGCGCCTCGTCCGCTGCCGCAGGGCACCCCGGGCGCTCCGCGACCTGCTGCTCCTCCAGGCCAACGGCCGCCCGTAGGAGCAGCAGGCGCCCCACGCCCTCCAGGTGCGCAGCCAGCAGCCGGCAGTTCACAGGCGCGGCCAGTCGGCGCAGCAGGCCCGCGTCCTGGGCCGATCGGCACACCAGGCTCTCGACCAGCCACGCCTCAAGGTCCCGCAGGCACCGCCGTGCCACGGCCGCCCGGCGCGGCAGGCTCGCCTGGCATGCGCCCAGCGACTGCACCGGGTGTTGCCGGCGCGCCTGGTCCTAGACCAGCCGGCTCACCTGCCGCGCAGATGGCTCGACCAGCACCGCCGCCGGGCGCACGACCTGCGCCCGGCGTTTCAGTACCAGGCGCAGCGAGACCGGCGACGCCTGTTGCCCGCCCCCCAGGAGCTGTGCCTTCGCCGGCCGGAGCTCCAAGGCCTTCGGCGCCTGGTGCAGGGCCTGTACCCGGCGCTCCTCGTCCTGCGGGCGCAGCAGCCGCGCCGATCCGGCCTCCTGGACAGCCTGGCGCGCCTCGGCCGGCTGGTGTGGCGCCTCCGCGACCTCCATCTGCGCTAGGCGCTGGCCCGCCGCGTCCTCCGCCTGTCGCAGGTGCAGCTGCACCGCAACCGCCGCGACCTCAAGGCGCTGCGCCTTCCCCAGCAGCTCGGCCGGCAGCGCCCGCGCTAGTCAACGGTGTGCCTGTCAATCGGCCTGTCGCACCGACCGCAAGACCCGCACCTCCCGCGCCCGGCACGCCCGCGTCAGCGAAGCCTGCAGGGCCGACACCCACGGCCTCGCCGGCCACTGCGCCGCCTCGAGCTCCCGCGCAGGCGCCCGTTGCAGCTGCACCTGCGCCAGTAAAGGCTCCGCCTGCACCTGCGCCTGCCGCACCGGCGCCGCCGGCGCCTCCAGCAGCCGCTGCTCCGGCCGCACAGACGGCGGCGCCGAGTGCGCCCGCTCCGAGTCCCCAGCCTCCGTCTTCCTCCAGCTGATCCCCGTCACGCGCGCTCCGTTCGCGCGCAGTCACTACCCCGCTCCTGTGGTCCTCCCTGTAATCCAGACTGTACAGTAGTCCGCCGCTGGCTTGCAAGCATCTCCTGCCACATTGCACGCGGTGCAGCGTGAGCGCGCGTGAGGAGGGCTCTTCACTCGATGCAGATGCAAGCCCAGTAGATTACAGCACGACACCCTGCGAAACACGCTCACTGCAGCCCTGCGGCCGGGCCCTGGCAGATCTGGATCTTGATCGCCGCCTTGCCGTCCTCGCCGACGCCCTTGGACGTCGCGTCAAATGCCCTGCGGAGGTAAGAGCGTCAGCACAAAGTGCGCGCGTGGCGGACCAGTGCGCGCTCACTTGATGGCGTCGTCGAAGGTGTAGCGGTGCGTCACGATGCGCGCGACGTCGATCAGCTTCTCGGCAACGAGGCCGATGGCCGTCTTGTACGCGCCCGAGCCGTACCGGAACGAGCCCGTCATCTCAATCTCGTTGGCGCCGATGCGGTGGATCGGGATCGGGATCTCGCTGGCGCCCATGCCGACCTGACGCGGAGTTCAGCCTGTGCGCGCGCTGAGCTCAGCGCGTGTCGCACTCACCTGAACGAAGCGGCCCTTCGGCTTGGTGCAGAAGATGCCCATCTGCACGCACGGCGTGGCACCCGTGCACTCAAGCACGAGGTCGGCGCCATCAGCCTCGACCATGTCCTCGCCCAGCTGCGCAATGAGCTCCTTGGCGTTGCGCTCGGCCGCGGCCATGCCCGTCTCGTCGCCGCTCGGCCGCGAGGGGATGAATGTGTGCGTGGCGGCAAAGGACTTGGCAAAGTCAAGCTTCTCCTGCTGGATGTCAACGCTCACGCTGCGAGAGCACCAGTGAGCTCCAGAGCGCAGACGCGAGCCAGTGCCCGACTCACATGCGCTTGGCGCCGTACGCCTTGCACACGGCAGCCGCGAGCAGGCCGATGGGGCCTGCGCCAAAGACGATGACGTTCTGCAGCGCGCGCACGTGGCCCTGCTTGACGGCGCAGTGCACGGCGACCGAGAGCGGCTCCATGAGCGAGGCCTCCTCGAGCGTCATGTGGTCCGGCACCTTGTGCGCGAAGGAGGAGTGCAGGTTGTAGAACGTCGCCAGCGAGCCGTCAAAGGGCGGCGTGGCGGCAAAGGCCATCAGCTTGCAGAAGTTGCTGAGCGCGCGCAAGGGTCAGTCTGGAGCGTACACTTGCGCGCAAACGTGCGCCTCACTAGTTGCCAGCTGAGTGAGGATAGAGCGTCAGCAGAGGCTCGAGCGACAGCGCGCGCCAGCAGTGCTCACCCTTGCACACGTCGCAGCTGAAGCACGGCACTCCCGGCTCGAGTGCCACACGGTCGCCAACCTTGTGTGTCCGCACGCCGCTGCCGACAGCCGTGACGATACCAGCAGACTCGTGACCGAGCACCTGGGTGCGCACGCGCAACATTAGCAACTGCTGGAGACCGTTCGCGCGCGCATGCAGCGCCACTCACCATGGGCGCGCGCACGACAAAGTCGCCAATGCGGCCGTGCTTGAGGTAGTGCACGTCGCTGCCGCAGATGCCGGTCTGTGGTGTGCGTGTCAGCGAGACCAGTCGTGTGAGGCCAGCGACTGCGCCCTCGTCGCTTGTGATCGCGCGCGGCTTGAACAGCATGCTCCAGCGCCCGGGCCATCGCTCCTTGCTTTGCGCGCGCTCCCCGCACACCCGACTCACCTGGCGCACGTTGACCTGCACCTCGAACTCGCCGACGGGCTTGATGGGGCGCTCCTCGAAGGACATGCGGTTGACCTCGTGCAGCACGAGGCTCTTGTTGCCCTTGACGGGCGCCACGGGCATGGCGTTGTCGAGGCCGAGCGGCTGCGTGCCGGGCGCGGGGTCTGCGATGGGGGCCATTGTGAGGATGGAGAGGATCGGCGGGGGCTGGCGGGGTGTTGTGGTGGTGCGCAGAGAAGAGCGGCCGGCGCGGCTGCGTGTGCTTTATGGCGCGCTGTCCTCTCTGCCTCTCTCCTCTTGCCTTCCCCGCAACTTCGTGGCAAGCGCGCGGCCTTCTCGTCTGTCGCGTGCCGGCAAGAATGCCGAGAGGAGGGGCGCCGCAGATTGCCGGCGGGCGGCCGCACCGGTGCGCCGGGGCCACCGCACGTGCAGCCGAGCCGCGCTGCTCCCACGCCCCCTTCCCGTGCCGCGGCTCATCTTGCCCCGTCGTGTGACTTTGCGCCGGATGAACTCGAGCTTGGCGCCTGCTCTTTGGGGTCCAGCGAGGTCTCCGGTCGTGCGCTCGCTCCACATCACCGTATCGCTCAAGGCCAGGACGTCAGAGCTCCGAGGCTTAACAGCAGAAGCGCTTGTGCAAGGAAAGCATCACGCTTGCTCTCCGTATGGCGCTATCTGCACTGCTCGCGGCTTCGGGCCGGCGGGTTGCGGTCATCGACGGCGGCTTGGTGCGTCGCGGTGCTCTGCCGGTCAGCCGCCAGTGCTCATAGCTGTACTGCAGGCCACACACCTCGAGACCGGCCTCGGACAGGACATCTCCTCGTCGCTTTGGAGCGCAGGCCTGCTGCAGGACGATGCTAGCGGCTCGGAGGGAGAGGGCAGCGGCAATGCTGCCATCGTGCAGGCACACCTAGACTACCTGAACGCCGGCGCCGAACTGATCGGCTCCTGCAAGTGCGTGCGACATGTGCGCTGCCGCAGCCACCCTGCTCATGACTCCTCCTTGCAGCTACCAGACTGCGCATCAGACCTTCGCACGCATCGGGCTTGGAGCAGCCGAGGCAGAGCGGCTGATGCTGCGTGCCATCTCGCTGGCTGCACAGGCACGCACGCGCTTCCTTGACAGTGCTGCGGGCAAGGCACGCACAGCGGCTGGGCACAAGCGCCCTCTCAGTGCGCTGAGCCTTGGGCCGTACGGCGCCACACTGTCCAACGGCGCCGAGTACACGGGCGTGTACCCCTCTCCGGCCGATACGGGCGCGGACATGAGCATGGATGAGCTCGTGGCGTTCCACGTGCAGCGCTTGCGTCCATTTGCATCCAACACCGAGGCCTGGTCTGCCATCGACGTGCTGGCGCTCGAGACGCTGCCTCGCGCGGACGAGGCACTTGCTTGCAGGGTGAGTAGTGCTCGCCCACCAGCCTCTCCGCATCGCTCAACACTGCTCTTCCTGTCACAGCTGGCTCTGAAGCAGCTCGAGAACGAGTGTCTGGCGAAGGATGCGGCATGGCAGCGCAAGGAGCTGCTGATCTCGTTCGTCTTTCCCGCCGGCGAGCAGCTGCCATGGCCGAGCGCCAAGCGCTCGCTGGCGCAAGAGTGCGAGGCGCTACTCGATGCCACGCTCGGTGCTGTGGGCGAGGCTGGCGCTCCACCCGGCGCAGCGGCCATCGGCATCAACTGCACGAAGCCTCACTTCCTCCAACCGCTCGTGGCCGCTCTGACGGAGGCATTGTCGCGCCGTGCCCTCGCAGCGCATCCGCACCTCTTCGTGAGCGCGGCGCCTGCTTTGCGGCTGAACGAGGCACTTACTTCTTCATCTCAGCTCTACCCCGACGGCGGACAGGTCTGGGACGGCATCAACAAGACATGGAGCGCAGGGCCCGACGTGCCAGCCGAGCACGCCACGCCCGCAGGCTGGGCGCAGGCGCTGCTGACTTCGGCGCGCCCGGCGACCGAGAACGCTGCATGGGGCGGCGTGTGGCTCGGCGGCTGCTGCAAGAGCGGCGACAAGGAGATCGCAGAGCTCAGTCGCCTCGTGCTGGAGGAAAAGAAATAGCAGTATGTCACAAAGGTATCATCGACGGCTGCGGGAGGAGAGCTAGAGAGGCTTGGTGTAGTTCACAGGGAAGACTGCGAGCTGCTGTCAGCGAAGGCACGCTGGAGCGACACGCCAGACGTCGACTTACTACCGCTGCCGGGCTTGCCGAGAACGCTGCCCGTCCACCAGCCGTCAGACTCGGCGTTCTTGACGTCGATTACGTCTCCGGCTGCGAAGGACAGGTCGCCGGGCTCTGCGCCTTCGAAGTCGAAGAGCGCCGTGACCTGCGCCGGCAGGTTTGCTGCCGCGCCGCCGGCAGCTGCGGGCGGCGCAGCGCTCTCAGCCGAGCGGTCAGTGGCTCCCGCAGAAGCAGCAGCGTCTGCGTGGCACTGTCAGTCGGGCAACAAGCACATCAGGGTCAGACATGCTCACCCTCAGCGGCGTACTTGCGCCGGAGCTGCTCCTTCTCGTCGCTTGCATTGGGCACGAGCGGCGCAGTTGCCGCGTCCGAGGAGTGTGCCGGCGGAGCATCGTACGGCGGGGCGCTGGCAAGGTCTGTCAGCGGCGCGATGCTGCAGACAAGCCGCATTGCTCACTCGTATCCCGGCGGCGCATCCTGCGGCACGCTGGAGCTCGCCGGCTTGTTGAGAGCGGCGCCGGCAGCAGCAGTGGTCGCCGAAGGTGCAGGCGGCGGCAGGCGACGGCCCGTCGAGCCAGTCTTCTGGTCCTGCAGCGCTGGCGTGGCAGCGCTACCTTGGTAGCCAGGCGGCAGATTTGCCGACGTGTGCGACGCGGACTCAGCAGCGTAAGGGTTGCTGCCGTGGGCTCCTTGCGATGCTGCGGCGTAAGCTGCGCCAGCGGCGCCCGCTGCGGCGCCTCCTGCTGCGTATGGCAATCCATCAGGAGCGTGTGACGGCGGCGCGTACTGCATGCCCGATTGAGAGTGGACTGGAGCACCTGCGGCGTATGGGTTCGAAGCGCCGTGCTGCTCTTGTGCCTGTGCCTGCTGCTGCAGCGCCGCCTTTTCCTGATCGGTGATCATCGTGTCGCCGGGCGCGGGGCCCTGGGGCACATACTGCGTGCCCATGATCTGCGGCCGACCCTCGGCGGCGTATAGCGTGGCGAGCAGCGGCCGCACTGCCGCCGCATTGGCCATGGCGCGCCCCTGCAGGATATCGCGCACGCTGTAAGAGCCGCCATAGAAGCGTGCGTTCGCATCGTCGCGCTTGAGAATGACCGAGCCGTCCAGCTGAAGGCCCACGTATGCGCCTGATGTTCGTGTGTCAGCGAAGGTTCAGCACACGATATGCGCGATCCGCACCCTTCGACTTGGTGTAGGACCAGCAGGCGGCGCCGTTTGGACCGCCCTCGAGCATGGCGCCATTTCCGACCGGGCCCGCAGCGACAGAGAACTCGACACCGAGCGACACCTTGGGCTTCATGAACTCCTCGAGCGCTCCTGGCTTGCGCAGGACGAGCACGACGTCGTACTGGACTGCGGCATCAGAGGATTGGCTGCGAGACGGGCGTGCCACGCGACTCACGACATCCAGGCCGATGAGCCAGCCGAAGCCGATGGTGTGCACGAGCAGGCCCGAAGGCGGGCTCCAAGAGCCATCAGGCAGACGTGCCACGACGACACCGCTGCCACTCGCGCCCGACACGCCGAAGCCCGTGCTGTAGGTCGGAAGTGAGCATGGGACAGCGCAACTGCGCCCTGCTGCACGCACCGGAAGAGCGTCATGATGACGATGCCGCACGCGCCCTGCAGCGCCTTGGGCGGGATCTTCTTGACGACCTTCTGGTGGCGCTTGTCCTTCTTGCCCTTGCCCTTGGGGTCCGCGACGCCGCCGGAGAGGTCGCCGTCGTCGTCGGCCTGCGCGCCGTCGCTGAAGGAGCGGAGGATGCGCGCGGCCTTCTCGATCTCGCCCTCGGCCAGCTCGGTGGGCCAGAAGCTCTCTGCGCCGGCGCGGTTGGCGAGCCTGTTGACGCCTGCGAAAGCCCGTCAGCACACATGCCGCCGGCGCCGAGGCGGCAGCCGCGCACCCTTGCCGAGCGGGTCGAGGGCGCGCCAGATGCCCGTCTCTGCCTTCTTGTACCACTCTGCGCCCTGTGCGGCGCGCGGGTCCTGGCCGAGGGCCTTGATCTTGTCGCCAAGTCCGGGCATGCTTGTGTGTTGGGATGCGGTGGTGGATGAGAGGCAGGATGAACGGATGCCGAGCTGAGGCAAGATGCAGCAGCGGCAGCACAGCCCCAGGCCCGTCCCCACGCTCGGCGGGCTCGGCCCGGCCGGCCGCGCGCCGGGTCGAGTGGAGGTCGGTGGCCGTCGGCCGAAAGCTGGGCTGCTGCTGGCCGAGGGTGTGCTTCTGCTCGCTCGCCCCTTCTGCTGCTGCTCCTTCCTACCCACATCCTCCCGCCGCCGCCCGCATCGCTGCCTCACTCACGGTGCCCGCCGCTGCCCGGCGCCTCGACGCCGCCCGCTCCCGAGTGAGACGCGCGACCGCGGCGCGCCAGGATGGGTGTGCAGGGCCTCTGGTCGCTGCTGCAGCCATGTGCGCGCCCCATCAAGTGAGTGCGGCGGACAGTCTGCATGGGCAGCCGCAAGGCGCTGCGTACGGCGACATGCTGACGGTGCCACACTTGCAGGGTCGAGTCGCTGGAGGGCAAGCGCCTGGCCATCGACTCGTCGATCTGGCTCTACCACTTCCGCATGGCCATGCGCGACAAGGAGGGACGCACGCTGCACAACGCCCACATCCTCGGCTTCCTCTGGCGCATCCTCAAGCTGCTCTACTACGGCATCCGCCCTGTGTTCGTCTTTGATGGCGGCGCACCGGTGATGAAGCGCCAGACGCTCGTGAGTCTCGCCAGTGGGGCATCGCGCGTCTGCAGTGCTGACGCGACGTGCGACCGCAGGTCAAGCGCAGAGAGCGCCGCGAGGGCGCACGCGACTCGCACAAGGTCACGGCGCAGCGGCTCCTCAACGCCCGCGTGCGCCAGGCTGCCATTGAGCACGCGATGGGCGGCAGTGGGCGCGGCAAGGGCAAGGGCAAGTCCGCGTCCGCCACCGACGCTGCAGACGACGCCGCGGCGCTGGGCAACGCCGTGTACTTCGACGACCTCGAGAACGAGGCGGGGCCAAGCTCCGCGCGGCCAAGTGGCAGCCTCTCTGCGTCGCCCGAGAAGGGCAGCCGCAAGAAGGACTGGCACAAGGACCCGTACGCGCTGCCCGCGCTGGAGCAGGATCTCTCCTCGGTGACGGCCTCGACCTCAGCGGCTGCGCGCAAGTCGAGCCGCGGCCAGCGCACCGACTTTCGCTTCGCCAGCGAGGCCGAGATCCGCAACGTGCTGCGCCACTCTGACATCGACGTCGACTCGCCGGAGTTCCGCATGCTGCCGTCCGAGATGCAGTACGAGCTGGTCGGCGAGATGCGTGCGGCGAGCCGCGGCACTTCCTTCGCGCGCCTGCAAGCCATGCTGGCGGCATCGCCCACGGCCATCGACTTCTCCAAGGCGCAGGTCATGGCGCTCAAGACGCGCAACGAGCTGACGCAGAAGTCCTTCGAGGTCAGCGACGCCATCGGCGACGCCAACATCAAGGTACCAATCCGCGTGGCTGGCGCACGCAACCGCGAATACGTGCTCGTTCGCAACCCGGGCACAGAGGGCGGCTTCACCCTCGGCGTGCGCGACAGCGGCGCGAGCGCAACGCAGGCGATCGACGTCGACGCAGAGGAGCCTGTGTACAGCGACGTCGAGAGCGACACGCACGGTGGCGAGCTCTCGGACGAGGCAGACATGGAAGAGGTCGAGGTGGGACCTGCGCCGCGCGCTGCATCGCCTCGCACGGCAGCTGCGATCGCAGACTTTGCACGCAGCAACGATCCGGAGGCGCGTCGCCTCGCTGCTGCTCGCATCGTGCGGGCAAGGGCACAGCAGCATGCGCGCGAGCGCAGGCGCGAGCTGGGCATTCGCGACGATGGCGAGGAGCTCGAGGAGCAGCTGCGGATCGCGCGCGCAGGCCAGCGAGCGCGCGATCTCTTCCGCCAGCGGGGCAAGGATGCGGCGCCCTGGAGCATCCCGGAAGGCGACGACGCAGCCGAGTGGGAGGACGCGGCGCTGTTGCTCGACGATGAAGACGACGACGAGATGCTCGATGCACTTCCAGTTCGCGCTTCTGTATCGGAAGATGAGGAGGAGGACCTCTCGCGCGCGCTCGAGCTCTCTCGCGCCGACATGCCGGATGCAGCTGCGCCACGTGCGGCTGTATCGCCTCCATCCGGCGACGAGTCAGCGCCGATCGCTTTGGACAACGACGAGCCGATCGATGACGAGGACATGGAGATGGACGACGTCGAGCCAGCCGACTTCGGCGCTGATCTGTACGCCCAGCTGCATGCGAGCATGCCTGTGCCCCCGCCCGACGCGGACGAGGCAGACGACGATATGGGCGATGAGGAAGGTGAAGATGACACTGAGCCGGTCTGGATGCGTCTTGCGCCTGGCGCGCCTGTCCCGGCGTCCGATCGCTCCACAAGCAAGGAGCCAGTCGCTGCGCCACCGCTGCCTGCGCCACAAGCACGCAGACCCCGGGGACGCTTCGAGGGCCTGGTGCACTCGAGCGGCCCGCGCTCGCCCGCCATGGACGCGGGAACGCGCAGCTCAGGGCCTCGCGCCACTGTCGGTGGACCTGCAATCGCCTTCCGCCTGCAAGACCGCACCGGCGAGCCCGAGCGTCTCGATCCACGCCTGTTCCAGCGCCGCCCACCGTCGCCGAAGCCACCTGCGCAGCAGATGGCTCCGCCGCCGAGACCCTCGCGTACGCCGACTATCGTCGATGTCACCAGCGATGATGAGAGCAGCACTGTGGAGATGCCTTCCGCGCACACGCAGTCGACATCAGTGCAGCCCTCGGCGGCCTCTTCGGACCGCATGAAGGAGCTCGCATCGATGCTGCGCCGAGGCTCCAAGCGCGTCGACAAAGACGCACGACCATCTGCCGCCACCTCCGGCTCGCCAGCAGAGCGCGGCTACTCTGCACAGGAATCGTCACCTCAGCTCGACGTGCCGGAAGCGAGCTCCGTCACTTCGACTCCGCGGCTCGAGACTTCGGATGACGTCGATCGACCTCAGCTGCAGCGCAAGAACTCGTTGCTTCCGCCGAAGGCCCCGCCTAGCGATGCGCGAGCGATGGACGCTGCGCCTGTCGTCGAGACGCCGCTGCACGAGCCTGCGGCAGCCAGCATGCCGGAAATCGGAGACTCGCCTTCGCCGGTGGTAGAAAGCGAGATGTCACACCTCGAGGCTACAGAGCAGCAAGCTGCGCTGGCCGCTGGCATCGGCTACGACGATGAGCTCGGCGATGCGATTGCCTCGCGTGCCGGCGGCCCACGCTCGCCAGATGCACCAGTACAGCCGCCGGAGGCGACCTCTTCCAGACCTGCAAAGCGAGCAGGTCTGCAACTCGACGAGCAGTTTGCCATGGACGGGAGCGAAGGTGCCGACGCTGCTGCCGCTGTCGATCCCGTCGCTGCTTCAAGCGAGAACGGCTCTGCGACGATCGAGACGCCGCCGCGCAGCGCGGAGAATGCGCGCGAGTCGGACGGTGCACGTTCTGCCGACTCGCTGTCTGCTGCGCCGGAGTCGCCGTCATCTTCCAAGCGCCGCGCCAGCGACGACGAGGAGCCCGAGCAAGGCTTGCGCCAAGCGGCCGAGCCGGTGCTGACCGCCAACGATCTGCTCGGATCTGAGGCTGACAAGCTCGGCCATGAGGTCACACTCGACAACATTTCGTCGGCGGTAGACGAGCTGCCAAATGAAGCTCCACGCTCGCCCGCCGCCGACCTCTTCCGTCGCAAAGACGACGAGGAAAGCGAGGGCGAGGAGATCGAGTGGTCGCCTTCGCCGTCTCCAGCACCGCAAGCGCTCGGAGCGGACGGCTTTCCTCTGCCGACGCTCGAAGAGCTCGAGGCGCTGGAGGTGCAAGACGAGGAAGAGATGGGCCAAGTGGCCGGGGGCGACGTGGCGTCCTTCCTGAGCCGTGCGAAGGGCCAAGGACTGTACGAGGCGCAGCAGGAGGCTCAAGCCGAGGTCGACAAGCTTCGCGCCGAGGCTGCCAACTCGAAGCGCAGCGAGGAGGACATCACCGTCACCATGGCGCGCGAGATCCAGCACATGCTGCGCTGCTTCGGCATCCCCTACCTCACGGCGCCCATGGAGGCCGAGGCGCAGTGCGCCGAGCTAGTCAGCCGCAACCTCGTCGACGGCATCATCACCGACGACTCGGACGTGTTCCTCTTCGGCGGCACGCGCGTGTACAAGAACATGTTCGCCGACAAGAAGGTCGTCGAATGCTTCCTGCTCACGGACCTCGAGCGCGAGCTGGGCATCGACCGCGAGAAGCTCGTGCAGCTCGCGTACCTGCTCGGCAGCGACTACACGGAGGGGCTTGTCGGCGTCGGGCCCGTGCTCGCCATGGAGATTCTGTCGCTTTTCAGCAGCCGCGACGGCCTGCTGCGCTTCCGCGACTGGTGGAGCAAGGTGCAGGCAGGCAAGGACACGCCGAAGGACACGCGTGGCAAGACGATGCGGCGCATCAAGAAGACGCTGGCGGAGAAGGTGTTCCTCGACGCCAGCTGGCCTGATGCGCGTGTCGTGGATGCGTATTACGAGCCGCAGGTCGACTCGAGCGACGAGCCGTTCCAGTGGGGCTTGCCAGACCTCGACGCCATCCGCACGCTGCTCAACGAGTACCTCAGCTGGACGCAGGAGAAGACGGACCAGTACCTGCTGCCCGTCATCGAGCAGCAGACGCGCCGCTCACGCGCGCGGGGCAACCAGAGCTCGCTAGACCGCAGCGGCTTCTTCGACCTGACGGCCGGCACGGGAGCCTTCTCGGCGCGCGAGAAGCCGCAGTTTGGCTCGAAGCGCCTGCAGAACGTCGTGCAGGCGTTCAGGGAGACGGAGAAGAGTCGCCGCACGGCCCGCGCAGCTGCCGCCACGTCGTCTGTCTCTTCGTCGAAGAAGCGGCAGGGTCCGCAGACTCCGCAGGAGGAGGTGCAAGAAGATGTGCCGGAGGAGCTCGTCGGCAAGGAAATGGGCAAGCGGCGGCCGATCGTCAGCCGCGAGGAGCAGCGCCACGAGCGCGCTCGCCAGACGCTGGACACGGAGCGCGATGGCAGCGAGTCCGACAATGCGCTCGACCGCGCTGTCGAGGCGCTGGACGGCTCAGTCGGCGCCAAGGCAGCACCGAAGAGGCGCAAGACGGCAGCACGCCGCAAGGTCATCGACACCGAAGCGGCTTCAGACGCCAACGAGGAGGCCGAGAGGCCGGGTGCTCGCAAGGGTGCGAGCAAGCAGAAGGGCAAGGCGAAGCGCAAGACTGCGCGGCAGAAGAGCGGAGAGAACGACGCTCCCGGCGAGCCCGACGCGGGCAACAGCTCAAGCAGCTCGGAGGAGGAGTGGAGGCCGTCTGCGCGCGGCAGCGCACCCAACACGCCCTCGAAGCGCAAGCGTGCACCAGCGGCCAAGCGCGGCGGCCCGCCGGGCTCTACCAGCGCAGGTCCAGCACGCGGTGCAGCAGGTGGACGCGGGCGAGGCCGAGGGCGCGGCCGCGGCAACGCAGGCCCCGGTGCGACGACGATCGCCGAGGCGCGCACCATGAGTCTCGACGATGTCGCGCGTCTGCCGCCGAGTCGCAGCGCCAGCTCCACGCCTGGCCCGTCCAACACCCGCCCCTCGCTGCCTCCTGTCGCGCCCGCGCCGGCAAGCGGGCCGCGCCGCGAGCACATTGAGATCTCCGAGGATGAGAGCTCGGACTGAGAACACCCAGCATTCCCGTCACCCTAGCATGTAACATAGCGCCGCCCGCACATCGCAACGAACGTCTGTCTGAGAAGCGATGTGATTGGGTGTTGCGCGTGCCAGGGGCCTTCACTCGTCATCGTCGCCCTCCTCCTCATCGCCCTCGGACGCAGCCTCGTCACGAGCCTGTCGCACGTGTCAGCAGCGGCAAGGCGCGACGAGGCGCCAGTCGAAGCACTCACAGCAACCAGCTCGCTGCCCAGCTCCTTCGCCAGACCGCCCCGCGGGTACGAGCGCAGCGCAGCCGGACGGTCCGGCACGCTCATGTACACGACGCCGGCGAATGCCGCAGCGATGAGTGCGGCAAGGCCGAACTGGCGCACGGCGGACGCCGGCGGCACGTCGTGGACGTCGGGCGCCCACACGCCGAGCACATCATCCTGCTCGTGCAGCTGTTTACGAGCGCCGGCAGCAGCGTCAGTGATAGTCCAGGAGTGAAGAAGGAGCAGCTGCTTGTGCCAAGAGAACCAGCCCCCTTCTGGTGCCAGATCGCGCTTGCACCCTTCCAGCAGCCTAGAGAGGCCGCGAGGTCGCAGCCGCGCGCAGGTCCAGCCTTGTCTGCTTGTCATTTGAGATGCGAGGCAAGCGGAGGCGCTGACACCGAGCTGAACACCCAGGTTGCAGCACGCATGCACCGCACCTCTGTCGAGCGCTCGCACTCGGCACAGTCTTCTTGGAAGCAAGACAGGCCCGCGGCGTGCCCGTATCTCGTCACAGGCCCGCGCGGTCGTCTCGCACTCCACCGCCCGCGCCTCTGGACTCCGCCTGCGCCACTCACCGTCTCGCCGAAGTTGCGCTTCTCCTGCGGGTCCCACCAGCTGGGGTCGTAGCGGCGGCGCTGCAGGCTCTGGTACGGCAGGTCGGGGTAGTCGCCGAGCTGCGGGTCCTTGGGCTCGCGGCCGTCGGGCTCGGCGCGTGCCACGGCGCTGACGGAGAGGGCGCGCACGGCGGGCACGCCGGCGACGGCGCGCACGCTTGGCCGTGCTGCGAGGCCGAGACGGGGAAGGAGACGCAGCGACATTGGAGAGAGGCGGATGTGGAGAGGAGCGAGCTGCAGCGACGTACGGCGGCCGTGGAGCTGCTCGCTGCCAGCCGGCCACAGCGACGACGGCTCTCGCTCGCTCGGACGCCCGCCGGCGGTGCCTCGCGCCCGCTGCCGGCGCGCTGCCAGCGGCGCGGCGCGCGTGCGACTCCTCGCAAGTCAACCGACGAAGATCGTCCATTCCCGCGCCGTCTGCACGCCAGCGAGCACGCAAGAGCTTCGCAGCCGGCTATGGAGTGCTGCTAGCGGTTATCATCAGCTCAAGGGTGCTGTCATTTGCTTCGGAGGCTGTGCGGTGCAGAGGAGAGCGGTGCTGCGCGCGCGCGGACAGCCAGCGCGGCGGCGCGCCGTGCGCGTCGCTCGTCGTTGGCGGCCGCTGGCCGAGATGCAGGCGCCGCCGCAACCGGCGCCGGACGCCGTCTCGCTCCACCCTGCCCACCACCACCGCCTCTCGCCTTCTCCGCACGCCTTCGTCACGCCCTCGCTGCTCGCTGTGCCGTGCTTCGCTGCGTCCACGTCCTCTGCGCCTGCACACATACCCGCGCGCCTGCCCTTGCCGCGCGCCCGCCCAGTCTCCGCGCCCTCCGCCGGCAAACACCGAGGCGCCTCTGCTCGCTCGGCCGTCTGCTGCTCTGCCTCTCGCCAGCTGCGCATCCGCCTCTGCTCTGCTCGCATCTGTCTCTGCGTCTTGCATCTGCCGCATCTGTGCAGCCCGCGGCGCCGCCTCGCCCCCGACACTAGACAGCCATGGTCGAGATCTCTGAGCAGGATGCGTGGATCTCGCATCTCGGCGAGTGCAAGCAGCTGGCCGAGAACGACATCAAGCGGCTGTGTGATAAGGTGAGTGGTGCGCGTGGGGCGTGTGGCTGCGTGACGGGCGAGCGGCGTTACGAGGGCGCTCGGCGTCGGTGCCGCGATTGTCCGTCTCGCTAGGGGCTCGGGCGCAGGTGGCAGCTGCAAGCGCGAGGCGTCCAATGTGTGCCCAACACCGCCTCGTTGCGCATGGCATTTCTCTGTGCTCCTTCTGCCACCGAAGCATAGAGCTTTGGCGGTTGGCGCACACGGCATGGAGGTGCAGCGATGGCGTTGTAGAGAGGCAGTCGAGGGGCTGCTGCGCTGCGCGATGTACAGAGTGCTGCGCTACGCTTCCTCTTGTTCGTCGAGTCGATGGCTGCATGATAGCGCACAGCGTCATATCGAGCGCTGCAGACCGCTTGAGTACCGTGGCGGATATCAGGCCACGCAGCCTCTGCGAATGAGGATGTCTGGTCAGCGCCAGGAGCGCTCGGGTGCTGTCGCCGCATTTAGGCGATGGCGACGATGTGTAGCACGCTGTCTCGATCGGCGGCTCCGCCCGTGTGGCGTGACCACGTGCTGATCGCTGCGTCACTCAGGCCCGCGAGATTCTGCTCGACGAGTCCAACGTGCAGCCGGTGCGCTGCCCGGTGACCGTCTGCGGTGATATCCACGGCCAATTCGTGAGTGCCTGCGGCTGTGCGCAGCGCTCCGAGCGTGTGTTGAGGCGCGCGGGGCCCCGCAGCACGACCTGTCCGAGCTCTTCCGCATCGGCGGCAACTCGCCCGACACGAACTACCTCTTCATGGGCGACTACGTCGACCGCGGCTACTACTCCGTCGAGACGGTGACGCTGCTCGTCGCGCTCAAGGTGCGCTACCGCGACCGCGTGACGATCCTGCGCGGCAACCACGAGAGCCGGCAGATCACGCAGGTGTACGGCTTCTACGACGAGTGCCTGCGCAAGTACGGCAACGCCAACGTGTGGAAGTACTTCACAGACCTGTTCGACTACCTGCCGTTGACGGCGCTCATCGACGAGCAGGTGAGTGGCGCGCGGCCGAGCTGGACCCTGCAGGGCGCTGACTGTGCTGCGCGCGCGCAGATCTTCTGCCTGCACGGCGGCCTGTCGCCGTCGATCGACACGCTCGACCACATCCGCTCCATCGACCGCATCCAGGAGGTGCCGCACGAGGGCCCGATGTGCGACCTGCTGTGGTCGGACCCCGACGACCGGTGCGGCTGGGGCATCTCGCCGCGCGGCGCCGGCTACACGTTCGGGCAGGACATCAGCGAGGCGTTCAACCACAACAACGGCCTCACGCTCGTGGCGCGCGCCCACCAGCTCGTCATGGACGGCTTCAACTGGTCGCAGGAACGCAACGTCGTGACGATCTTCAGTGCGCCGAACTACTGCTACCGCTGCGGCAACCAGGCGGCGATCATGGAGATCGACGAGAACCTCAAGTACACGTTCCTGCAGTTCGACCCGGCGCCGCGGGCCGGCGAGCCGCTCGTGTCGCGGCGGGTGCCCGACTACTTCCTCTGAGAGGCGCCGCGCCGCGCCGCGCCGCAGCTGCCACGTCCCCCGTTCCCCGACCCCCCACGCCCCCTGCCCCTGTAGCACGATATACGCAAGAGACCCAGGAGAAAGAGTTGGACACGACGCGGAGAGCTGCGGCGTGCGTGCGGCCGGAGCACCTGCCCTGCTGGTGTGGCGGACAATGCCAGAGCATTCCGCTGCCTCGAGTGTGAGCGTCGCCGGCAGTGGAGTCGGACGGCTAGGGCCGGGCACAAGGGCGCATGAGCCATGTCTCGTGGCGGATGCACCCGGCCTCCATGCTAGGCGCTGCAGGTCCACAAGAAGGCGGACCGGCACGGCTCTGCACCTCGAGCTAGACTCTTACTTGTACCGGTCCTGGCCTGCCTCTCTCAGGCTACGAGCAGCTTGCACTTGCGGCGGCACACGCACGCGAGCCGCCGGCACGCCAGCCGCGGCGGCGCCGCCGCCTCGAGCCGCGGCCGAAGCCCTCGCCATCTGGCGGCCGCGCGCATCTTCCTTTCCTGCTTCCCGACGACGACGACCCCACCTCGCAGCCGCTCTCCCGCGCGCTCTCAACGCCGCTCTCTCGCCTACATATATCTCGCAGCAGAAGACTGCCGATCGCTGCCTACCATGGCGTCCGTGGGAGGTGAGCAGGTCTGCACAGCGCCGCTTGCTGCCCTCCACATGGCATCGGGCATCGTGCATCCAGCGCTCTGACGCTCTGCGTGCCTGCCTCGCCTCGCGCAGACTGGATCTTCCTCACCATCTGCCTCGCCATCGCCGGCGGCATCTTCTGGCTCGCCAAGGGGCAGGCGGTGCAGAAGTCGCTCGATGCGCAGGCACAGGGCCTCAAGGTGAGTGCTGCTGCTGCGTGTGCTGCGAGGTGATAGCGAGGGAGAGGTGCGCCATTGCGCTCGGCTGGCTGGACGCTGCGGCAAAGCCAAGTATAAGGAATGCTGGCTACGCTTCTTGAAGACGATGCTTGCCCGCCCGAGCGAGAGCAGCACCGCTGGTGCTCTAGCTGTGCGCTGCCATAAGGGCGCTGACGACCATTGCAACAGGCGCGCGGCATCAGCCTCAGTGCCGACGGCATCTCAGTGAAGACGAGTGAGTCAGCACGAAGCCAGGTGCGGCTGAACAGCAGAGCTGAGGCGATCGTGGTGCAGACCAGCGCGTCATGACACATGACGAGTATGTGGTGAGTGGGCACTCCCCGATGTGCAGACAGGCTGTGTCTAAAGACATGCTTCACCTTTGCAGGAGAAGTCACAGGCGTCGCTGGCACGGGGGCAGGATGCGATCAAGAAGCACAGTCACGCCTTCTCACACGGTCCGGCGAAGGGATGACGAGGTACAGCGGTGGGCATGCGGGCGTGCGCCACGAGACATTTCTATCGTTTGCCAGCCACACGCATGCGTCTGCTCAGAAGGCTGGCGTTCCGGCGCGGGCCAGCGAGGCGGTGAGATAGGCAGCGTAGCTCCAGGTGAGGTCGCGTGCGCCGCGCGAGTAGCCTGTGCTGGCGTCGAACTCCTCGGAGAGCGAGGCGTTGGTAAAGCTGTGCGACTCGACAATCTGCATGAAGCCGTCGGCCATGGTGCGCATGCCGCCGGTGAGCGTGCCGTACGTCGACGAGCCCTGCAGGAAGATGCGTGAGCCTCCGACAAGGCAGAGCAATGGCAACGGCCGGCGTACCTTGTTGTAAGTGCCGACGGCGACGCTGGACTGGAACTGCGCGAAGAAGGCCTTCGAGATCGACGTCACGGCAAGCGAGCCGACCTTGTCGAAGACGTTTGCGGCGTCATAGAGGAGCTCAGCCGCAGCCGACGTGGTCAGGAACCTGGCACAGCGGTCAGCGCACGGCAGCAGGGCTGGCATCGCCGACACTTACCACGGACGGCCCTTGGACGTGCCCACGCCGTCGTACACGTCTGCTGAGCGTGAGCCAAGCTCGCAAGCTGATTGTCGCATGACTCACCCTCGGGATAGCGGCCCACGGCCGCCGCAGCCGGTGCGCTGTTGCCGTTGTTGATGGGGTACAGGCTGCGGAAGGCGTCCGTGTACTGCTTGTGCGTGGCGAGCACGCGGTCGCACGCGACGCCAAAGGCGCTGCAGTCCGTGCCGGCGCCCGCTGTCTGGTTGAAGGAGTGCAGGAAGCCAAGGATTGCGGCGCTGTCGATGCCCGAGCGGCCGTCGACGTTGTAGTACGCCTGCACGCTGCAGAGTGAAGTGTCAACGGCGGAGGAACAGCGTCGGGCGTGAGTACCGCTCACCGGCCGACGCCCGGGTCATAGAAGCCAGGCAGGCGCGAGCCGATGGCGGCTGCCTGCTGCGAGTAGTAGGACGCCGCCGCCGTGTCCTTCATGTCGGTCGCAAACGCAGCGCCCTCGATGAGCGCACGGCGCTGCACCATCAGCGTGAAGAGGTGTGAGTTCTGCACCTCCTCCCAGAGGTCGAAGCTGCGTGCAAGTCAGCACAGCGCAGGCAACTCTTTCCATGATGCGCCGCTCACCTCGAGTCCTGCCAGTGGTGCGCGACGTACTCGAGGTCCGACTTGATGATCGAGTTGGCGGAGAGGTCGGACTTGTACAGTGTGGCCGTGTACGAGTCACTGAGCCCGATGGCGCGGGCGTAGCGCATGATGGCCGTGGCACGCAGCGCCGGGCCGTCGTTCTGCGGGCGGCCCCAGGGGCCCGTGAAGAGGCTGCCGTCGGGGTTGAACTTGGGCTCGCCGAGCGACGAGCTCGAGGAGCGGGCGTTGGCCGCGTTGACCATCTCGCTCTGGATCCAGCGCTCGATGAGGGCACGCGTGACGCCGTGCTGCCCCTTGATGTATGCGTCGATGATGACCTTGAACGTCATTGCTGAGTCTCTGACCCATGAGTAGTAGTAATTGGGCGCATCCGTCGACGGCGAGGCGATGACGGAGCCGCTGGCCGCACCGGGCACGAGCGTGGCACTGCTGGCACCGGCGATGTTGCGCAGCATGGCGTTGAAGCGCGTGTTGTCGAGGCTCGACTGGCGTGCCTCGAGCGAGGCCGGCGCCGCAGCCGCCGAGGAGGCAATGGCCAGGGCGCCGATGAGCGTAGTGAGAGAGGCACGCATGGTGGCTGAGGTTGTGAGGGCTACTTGGACAAGGACGAGGCTGGCGAGAAGAAGCAGCCCGATGGTGACGCGTCTTCTTAAGCCTCGAGGAGGCGCACCGCACGGCGGCGACTCGTGCGCTGCCGGCCCGGCGAGCAGCGGCGCCGTCTCGCGAAGGGCCCTCGCCATGCTGTTGCGGTGCTGGAGGTGCTGATGGCCAGCTGCTGTGCCGGCGGCCTGGCGTGACACGGGGCCGAGGCCGGCGGCAGCGTCAGGGGCGTGCGGGGAAGGACAAGGCCGCCGCGGAGCAAGCTCGGCGGTGCGCTAGCGCGCGTAGCGCCGGCGGCGCGGCCGCGGCTCGGAGCGCCGGATGTGCCGCGCCTGCCGCCGCCCCGCACTCCATCTGCTCCGACTCGTCCAGCATGACAGGCTCCTCGGCCCAAATCCTCCTGCTCATGCATCTGCCGCAAGCCGATGCTGAGCTCACGCACGCACGCAGTTTCGCCGTCTCTCTAGAGAAGCAGCCGACCAAGACCTGCCGATGTCGTGCCGCCCGGGCCCTGCATGCTCCTGCAGCGGCGCATTCACCGAAGTCGGCTGACAGCGTGCAGCTGAGCGCATCGCTCGTCATGCTCACAGACAGGATGAGGGCAGCTCGACGTCCGGACCGCAGTCGAGTCCGTGCTGGCCGGCACCTCGCCGTTCGAGAGCTATTTGCAATTCAGCACGAGTGCGAGCCACGACCAGGGGCCGTGCATGCTTCTGCCAGCCTCCTGGGAGCGCACCTGCTGGTCTCAACCTTGAGAGCGCAGCTGCACATCGGGCCTCCCGCAGAGGCGCAAGAAGGCCTGGTGCAGGCTGCAAGGGGCGGCGCAGTCCGCACGAGGCCAGCTCTTGTTCTCTCTGCACAGCCGCTGCATGTTCCACCAAGCCTGAAGCTTCAGTCACTGCCGGCACGACTGCGCTGAGCAGGAGAAGCTTGTGGAGCAGAACGGCGTTACTGAGGGACCTAGAGTACAATGGATGAGTGTGCGAGAGAAGCTGCGCGTTGCCGGCATGCACGTGCGTGTCGCATGTCGGAGAGGAAGCAGAGAGGTGGGACCGAGAGAGCTCTCAGGCGGTTTGTCGCCGCTCGTGAACTGCAAAGAGCGGAAAGGAAAGGTCAGCACATCTCGCGAGGCCGCTCTGTACAATGAAGGGTGCGCAATGCCAACAACGGAAGCGCTCTGCGCAGCAGCTCGAGGCTGCAGTGCTACCAGGCCTCGCTCGGCACTGGCAAGCGTGGGCAGCGCTGGCAAGCGCCATCCGCGCAGGCCCGTGCCGCCCGGTCTGTCGTCGTACGCCCCAAGCACAAGCGCCATCCACACGACGTCCATGTGGTTGACGTGCAGAAGAGGCGGCATCCGCAGGCTGCGAACATTCGCCATCGTGCGCAGCCGGCCCAGCATAGCAGTCCGAAGTCGCAGGTAAACGCTCCTTGAAAGCCCGGCAATAAAAGACACTACGCCAGCCTGGGCGATGGCGCCAGTCCTGATGCCCCTGATACCTGCAGCGCCCGTGCGGTCTTCGTGGCCATCGTAGGACTCGAGGGCCTGCGCGCACCCACGATCTGCCGCCGGAGTGACCGCGCTGGTCACGCTGAGCTCATCCGCGCGCATGTGTGCCGCAATCTTGCTACAAGTGACAAGCAGGGACGTCGCCTCTTCGCCTATTCGCCTCTTCGCCGCTTCGCCTCGCCTCCGCCCCGCCTTGCACCCCTGCAGCCGCCCGAACCCGGCCCCTCGCGCCCGCGCGGCACTCACTGTTGTAGTGCAGCAGCTTCTCGATCAGGTCGACGTGCGTGAGGACCATGCGGCGGCAGCAGTAGCGCTTGAGGCCGAGCTCGGTGAGGGCGTCGCCCTCGGTCTTGCCGGCGATGAGGAGCGCCAGGTAGGCGTTCCACTTGTCGCCGATGACCTTGCCGCAGGAGAAGCAGCGCACGGGGATGATCTGCGTGGGGGCCGGCGCATCAGCGGGGTGCGCCTCTGCCGCACGCTGCGCAGGCGCCGCTCACCATGGCTGCGAGGCAGGACGCTGGAGGTGGGGCGGAAGGTCGTCGGCGTCGTCGCGGCTGCCGCTCGAGGCCGCCGCGGCAGGAAGACGTGCGCACGTGATCGCCGCGCGCTCAAGTTTTCCCGGGAAGGCGCGGCGCGGCGAGTCACAGAGCGCTGGCGGAGGACGCCGGTGGCCGCCGGCAGCTGTCTTCGCGCGACGCCTTATCTGCTCTGCTGGCCGCGCCTCGCCCTCGATCGATTTCACACCATCCATCCAGCGCCCCCACTCTTCAGCCCGCCGTCCCTCCACCCACTGCACCCAGCAGCACCGCTGCTCCACCCTTCGTCCTGCGCCACTCCCGCCGACCCGTGCATGTTCACGCAGCAGACCCGCGACGACTACCTCTCACTCGCAGTCTACAAGGCCTCCTCGTCTGAAGCGCGAGCGTCGCAGTCGTCTCTCCTCTCCGCCCACCTCGCAGCCCAGCCGTCCCTCTCCTAATCGCCGCCCGCGCCATGTTCGCCGCACACCTCTCCCTCCGCCGCAGCCTCGCCGGCAGCGCCAGCCTCGCCGGTGCCCGCCGCGGCCTCGCCTCGGCCGTCAAGCCGCCGCCGGGCGGCGGCACCTTCACGCAGTCCGTCTCGCCGGCACCCGTGCCCTCGACGCTGCACCTCAAGTCGGGCCACTCTTTCGTCGGCCAGTCGTTCGGCGCGCCGCGCACGCAGTTCGGCGAGGTCGTCTTCACCACGTCCATCACCTCCTACACCGAGTCGCTCACCGACCCGTCGTACCAGGGCCAGATCCTCACCTTCACGCAGCCGCTCATGGGCAACTACGGCGTGCCGGACAACTTCTGCGGCCGCTCGCCCGTGGGTCACCCGGCGGACGTGGATGTCGGTGCGTTCCTCGAGTCGCGCGGCATCCAGGCCGCCGGCGTCATCGTCTCGAATCTGTGCGACCGCTTCTCGCACTTTGAGGCCAAGGAGAGCCTGGCCGCGTGGTGTGCGCGCCACAACGTGCCCGGCATCTCGGGCATCGACACGCGCGCCCTCACGACGCTGCTGCGCAACCAGGGCTCGACGCTCGGCGGCATCGTCGTCGGCGAGGGCCACGAGGCGACGCCGGACTCCAGCAACTACTTTGACCCGATGGCCATGAACCTCATCCAGCGCGTCTCGACGACGGAGCCGTACACGGTGCACCCCAAGGGCGGCGAGAGCCAGGCGCGCGCTCACATTGCGCTGCTCGACTTTGGCGCCAAGGCCAACATCACGCGCAGCCTGCTGCGCCAGGGCGTGAGCGTCACGGTGCTGCCGTGGAACTACGACTTCAACGCCGTGCGCGACAACTTCGACGGCCTCTTCCTCTCCAACGGCCCCGGCAGCCCGCACTCGATCCCCGAGGCGATCGAGACGACGCGCGTGGCCATCAACGAGTGGGACCGCCCGATCTTCGGCATCTGCATGGGCAACCAGGTGAGCCGCAGCGTTGTGAAGTGTCCTGTGCAGCTGCTGAGTGTGCTGCCTCTGCAGATCATTGGCCTCGCCGCCGGTATCAAGGCGTACCGCATGAAGGTGAGTGCCGCTGCCGTGCACCGGTTGCGGGCGGGCGCTGACTGCGCGACTGCAGTTCGGCAACCGCGGCCACAACCAGCCCGTGATCTCGCTCTCGACGATCCGCGGCGGCGCGAGCACGCGCGCCGGCCGTGTCTACGTCACGAGCCAGAACCACGGCTACGCGCTCGCCCCGCCGACCGGCCTCGGCACGTTCGAGGAGGGCACGGGCTTCATCGAGGAGTGCGACTGGCCGGCCGGCTGGGAGCCGCTGTTCGTGAACGCCAACGACGGCTCGATTGAGGGCATCCAGATGAGTGAGTAGCTTCGGAGCCCATGTACTGAGGCGCTGTGCTGACGCGCGACGCCCAGCTGCCAACGCGAAGCGCCGCAGCTCTGTCGCTGCGGTGCAGTTCCACCCCGAGCACGCCGGCGGACCCGAGTGAGTTCTCTTGATTGCACAGCCTCAGCAACATGGCTCAATTGTCATCTTCTCCGCAGCGATGCGTCTGGCATGTTTGTGAGTGTCTCGAGATAAGCCGCCTCGCGACGACAGCAGCTGATGCTCTATCTCCAGGCCGACTACATCGACGAGGTCGTCGAGCAGATGGCTGTGCACGGCCGCAAGAAGGCTGCCGGCATTACCAACGTCGGCTCGATGCCCACCGCGCCGCTGGGCGCCTTTGGCCGGCCAGCCGAGACGGCGACGGCTTGAGCGGCGGCGGAAGCGCGACGTCGTGGGACGTCGCTGCCCGTCTCTCCACGAGCTTCACGACTCTTTAATTCAATGAAACATAGACCGAGAGCACCGGCTGTGGAGGCTCGCTCACAGCAGCGCTATGTGATCTGCAGAGTGGAGGCTGGCTGGCCGGTACAGCGAGCAGAGCACATGCTCCACGCGCGCGCGTGCAGCATCACGGCGGCGCGCGGCGCCGTTGGGCCCAGCGCGGCCTCCTTGCTGCGGCGCGCGGCGCGAGCGTGCCGCCGGCCGTTGTGCCTCACGCTCCCTCGTTCCCTTCCTCCACCCGGGGGTGCCCGTGTGCGGCAAGGTGACGTGCGCAGCCGGACCGCTGGGTGCGGCACGGCTTTGGCTGGCACGCCGACGAGGCTGCCTGCACCGCGCCGGCCACAGGGCGTCCGACCCCGCGCCTGAGCACCGCCGCAGCCGCCGGGCCGCCGGACGCCTCCTCGCCTCGCGCTGCCGCTTCGCACCCAGCAGCTGCTCGCGTCTCGCTCTGTCCAACGCCCGCCTGTCTAGCCGCACCAGGCCGTGGGCACTGCGACACCATCTGCAGGTGCAACACCCGTCGAGCACGGGCCGGGCCGCTCGGCGAGCCAGACGCTTGCGGTCTCTTCGCCCAGATCGCTCGTGCTCGACACGCCCTCCAGCACACTGGCGCAACGGCAGGCACCACACACTCGGCACCCAATGCAGATCTGTGATACTCCGCCGGCAATATCGCTAGGCATGAGCCAGGCTCAGCCGCCGCTCTGCCAAGCATGCTGCTGCCGCCTGCCGCTGTCTCCGCACGGCATCAGCACGGCCGGCAGCTGACAGCTCCTCGGGCCCGTCTTGTGGCTGCACCGTCCTGACTCCCTCTCGATCTTGCGTCTCGCTCCATCATCCCTCGTGCACTGATCGGACAGCACCACAGCCACTTTCGCGTCCAAGATCGCGCCACAGTCCTTTGCTCCTCTCATCTGCACTCTATACCCGCCTCTCGCTTCTCGACTCGCGCCGACACGACCCCGACATCGATACCCAGTCTCCTTTCCATGCCGCGCTCCTCTTCGTCTCGTCGTGCGCCACCAGAGGCGCCGGCTCGAGCGCCAGAGAGCGCCGGCTCTTCCTCTTCATCGGGCTCCGCCGCTCGCTTCGTCCGGCAGCGGAAAGACAGAGAGGCGACACTGCACGCTGAGTCCAGCGCCGAGGCGGAGACACCCGACAGCGACCGACGACCGGCGAGGCTCTTGCGCCAGGTCGCTGATGCTTCAGCGCTCGATGCTGAGCCGGTGCGGTCGCCACGCAGGGGCGCTGGCCCGCAGCGCCAAGCCCAAGACGGCGTGCATGCGCTTGCTGGCCCGTTCGATGGAGCGGCGGTCAAGCGCAGGCCCCCAAAGGCGGACAGCCGCGCTGCAGGCGACTCGGCCCGTGAAGGTGCGAGGCTGGCAGTGATTCGACAGCGTGCGCCATCCCCAGACGGCACAGCCCGTGAGGTGCAGAGGCCGTCTGCACGCCACACCGAAGACCATCCGCAAAGCAAGGCCTCTCACAGCAAGCCCTCGGCTGTGTCACACGCGAGCAAAGCTGCTACCGCTCGCCCACTGAGGGACCACAAGAAGAAGCACCGCCACGCCTCCGCACCAAGCAGCAGCACCAGCACATGCACCACGTCGACATCAGGGATGCACAAGACGAAGGCCGCTCACACCGCAAGTGCGACAGCCCGCATGGCCTCGGACGACAGCAACAGTGGGCTGCCGGCCAAAGGCACGAGCTTCAACGCGGCGCCAGGATGGGGCGACTTGCCTGGGGCCACTCACGCCGACCGGAGTGCCGGCTGGGAGCTGCGTCCGCACACGTCCGAAGGCTTGGCGATTACCGTCTGCCTGCTGGTGCTGCTCGGACTGGTGGTCATCTCGCTCTGGGCCTTTATGATGCGGCGCTGGAAGCGGCAGCGCGCAGCTGACCGCTGCAGTAAGGTGCATCTACACAGCAGGCACAGCAGCGCCGCTGGCCGCGCAGTCTCAGGCGCGAGCTTGCGCAAGAGCAGCTCCAGAGTCAGCGCCGATGGCTTCCTGCACGCACCGAAGCAAGCGCTCCGCCGCCTTGCCAGTGCGGCCCGCGGCGGCGCAAGCTCTCAGTCGCAGCAGGCCTCGTTCTCGCGTCTTGGATCGCCGTCTCTTGCACACTCGCCCTTCCGTCTGTGTGTACCGGAAGACGACCATGCGACGACGCCCAGCGCGCCTCTCGGAGCGCTCGGCACCGTCATGCGCACGGCTTTCGGACTCATCGAGCAGTATCCCGCAAGCGTCTCGCACGCCGCCTCGCCGTCGCCTGCTCCGTCGCCATCTCTTGCGCCTCTGGACTGCGCCTACGCGGGATCGCCGAACATGAGCAAGGCGCTTGCGAAAGGATGGGGCGCAGACGGCGCCAGCCCCCATGGCCTGACTAGCGCTGCCGGTGGCGCATGCCACGGCTTGTTGCCAGGCCGACGGCCTTCCACCAAGCGGCGCAGTCCCTTTGACCTCGCAGACTCGCCAATCCTTGCGCCCTCGGCCGCGTTTGGCTCGCCACGGCGCGGCTACACGCATACTCTGGCGCCTGGCGCCTCGTTTGCAGCCCTATCACCTGATGTGGAGCGCAAGGGTATGGTATACCCCAACTCTCCGCGCAGGCCGAGCTTGCTTCGTTTCGACTCAGGCGGCACGACTCTGGTGCCGAGCGAGTGGGCAGGTAGTCATGCAAGCCTCGAACTCGACGCTGGCATGGTCGGCCTCGGCATCGGCATGGACCACGCACTCGATTCGAAGCTCGCAGCCCCGCTCGTTGAGCATCACAGCACGCAGCCATGCGGCGAGGTACTGCCGTCGAAGGCCGTCATGCTGGTGGCGGATATCCGAGCAGCGCACGAGCGCAGCTTGAGCAGCAGCCGCCTGGAGGAAGCTGACGCATCCACCAGCACAAAGACGTTGTGCGCCGAGACACTTGAGCTGGGCCTCCTTTGGCAGCCGTTGCCGGGCGACGGAGCTCTGCGGGATGGTGGACCCATGGAGCTGCGAGTCGAAGCGGAAGGATCGGCGGAGAGCAGCTTTGAGGCCGGTAATCTCTCATCGGATGCATTCCCCTTCGGCCTCAGCGACGACAGGCCGGACCTCAGCGTCGTGGGCGGTATCACTACCAGCTTCGGCGGCCTCAACGAGCACGCCGAGGCGCCATTGCACGATCTGGTAGCGATCAGCGCCAGCTCCAGCGAGCGGAGCTTCACCGTCTACGAGACTGGGACGCACTTGCCATCTCGTGTGGCGAGAGCTCTGACCGAGGCGGGCTTGACGAGCGCGGACGAACGCAACACATCCCTTGACGCAGCTCGGGCAGTCTCTTCGGTGTCAGCGCACGATGAGTCGGTCGTCTTTGTGGGCATCCACGACGCGGAACTCTTCCCTCCAAGTCAGGCATGGCTGGGCCGCGAGAGTCTCTGTGCCGAGCCCCTCGACATGCTCTCGATGCGCGAGGAGCTCGACTTCACGCCGGCCTACAGCGCAACCTTGCAGCACATGCAGGACGTCATGGCTTTCGAGCACCGCCCTCCAGCCACATCCAGGCGCCCGCGCGCACAGACGGTCGCTACCGTGCGGCCAGATCTTGGCGCCACTGTCGAGAAGCAGCGAAGACAGCGAGCGCTCTCTTCGCCGCGTCTCGGACGGCTGCGCAATCTCGTGCAGTCTGTCGACCAGCGCGACGAGTCGCGGCTCACGCGGCTGTCCCGTGTCGCCCAGTCGGGCCCTGCGACGAGTCGTCTGAGCTCAAGCCGCACAAGCCGCGGCTCTTTCGGGACCAGACCATTCCGCACAACGCCGCGCACGAACCGTATCGCCCAGGGCATTGCTGCGACAGCCCGCGTCGCGCTTGTTTGCGCATCAAGCTCTCCAGCCGATGCCTCGCGCGTCTCAACCGAGAGCCAGTACTCGCATCCAAGCCTCTACGTCTCGCCAGTCAAGGTCGCGGCCGCGCTGAATAAGCCTCTGCCGGACACTCCGCTCCCGATGCTGCAGGCTGTGCGGATCGATGCCGCGACCGAGGATGCGCGCGACGCCCTTCTCGCGTTCTTCGCCACCAACGAGAACTTCTACGCCGCACGCGGTGACAGCCCAGTGTCGGACGATGCTTCCACTGTCGTGGGAACGCCCAGCCCTCCGAGAGCAGAGCGTGTCGTGTCCCTCGCGAGCGTCTCGTCGGAGCAGACACCCAAGGCACTGCTCATTGACACTGCTCCAACGACATTCCGCCTGCCCGCTCGCGCGCCGACCCTCGACTTCCACCTGCCGCTTCGCATTCACCCGGCCAGCACTGTTGAGACCGCAGCCGTTCCCGAGTCCTGGTCAGGCGTTGCCGATGTGCGCACGCTGAAGAAGGCGGCAGTTGACGACACCGCTTCACTCCTCTCGATGGATGAGTATGCGGCGTATGCCGGCGTCGACCTCAACTTTGAGTCCACGCCGCCCAGAGTTGCACAGCCCGGCGCCAAGGTCGCCTCGAAAGCCGCGTCGACTGACACGTCAGAGGACGAGGCTCCGCTTCGCCGCGCAGGTCCGACGCGTGAACCGGACGAGGTGCTGGACGAGGCGCTTGCACTGCTGCGCAGCCGCGAGCGCTTCGTACCCGCGGCTCGACAGGTGGACCGGCCTTCAAGCCCGCGCAGCATGACCAGCTCAGACTCGGGTCTCAGCAATGGTCCTCAGCTACTGTTCAAGACGCTCCAGGGCGAGGTTTCCGCCGTAGGGACCGCTCATGCTGCCGCAGCCGCGCCACCAGCCGATGTGCGAACGTGGAGCGACGAGGAAGCTGAGCTGGAGCGCGAACGCAGCTGCTACTCGCCGATCTGGATGCAGCGCCCGATTCTATCTTCGCTGCGCATCGACTCGGAGCTCGAGCGGCTGCGCTCGCACTCGTCACCGGGCACGCCGACGGGACGCCGCTCAAAGCCGCAGTCGACACACGCCTCGCAAGAGGGCACACCGCGTCACCATCGCACTGCCACACTCCAGATCGAGAGCCGCAGTCCCGCGCGCAGATCAGCAGCTACAAGCAGCGGCTCGCCGAAGATGCGGCCTCTGATGCTGCCCACCCGTCGGCGCGCCATGTCCACTGCCACCACGCTGCCGGCCAGCAAGGCAAGCAGCCCGCTGAGCGAGGTCAGCACGCCAAAGCTGCCGCGCGCCATCGACCGCACTGCGACACTGCGCCTCGCTGCTCAGGCACCGCTTGCACCAGTCGAGACGCCTACTCGCCGTCCACTTGCCGCAGCGCAGCTTACTGAGCGGTCTGTGCTGACCGACGACCGTGCCTCGCGGACGTCGAAGCGCGCTCTGCGTTCGCCTGCGGCCAGCAGCGCACGCCATTCGCGCAGCGCCAGTGCTACGCCGCGCAGTTGCCCCATCTCCAGCAATGCGCCAGAGGCAAAGGCGTGCGCCTCCCCTGGCCCGAATGCTGCTCGCCCACGTCGTCCGCCCATGGTGCGAGCGCGCAGCTCGACCGTCAGCGGCATCCCCACCCTCAGCCAGGTCAAGCTGCTGCACGCAGCCAGCTCGCCGCCGCTGCTCTCCAAGTCGGTGTCCGAGCGGGCCCGTCTGCGCGCACGCGAGAGCGACTATGCCAGCCCGACGATGCAGGTCTTCCGCTTCTATGACTCGCGGCGCAGCGTAGCGGTCGAGGATGCGCAGCCTCGCGACGCGCCCACCGACGAGGAGTGACTCGCTATCCCTGAGCGGCCTGGTGCCGTCTCGCACACTTTCCTTATCCCTGCTGTATTCTAAGCACGGCGCCCGCCCGCTGGGCCGCCACCCACTCTCACTCAACTGTATTTCACCTCTCGCGCAGCGTGTGGCCTTGCCCTGGACGCGGAGACCTGTGAGAGCTGAGCAGAGCGCGTCGCTAATGGCGGCCTGGAGCTCCCACGCCTCTCAACTCGCCCAAGGATCGACTGCAGCTGTCCCTCAGCAAGCGTGCCGCAAAATCGTGGCACACGGGCGCATGGTGGAGGCACAGAGATGGGAGCGACAAAAAGGCAAAAGGTAAGATGGAGACAGAGGGAATCGAACCCTCGACCTCATGCACACGCCCGAACTGATCAGAAGATGCTAAGCAAGCGCTCTGCCCCTGAGCTATGTCCCCATTCATGTTGAGCCGGAATTGAGGTGCATACACAGACACATGAAGCGCTCAGCACGACGCCGACTGACCAACATTCTGTCCCATCCACTCCAGTCGCGCCCTGTCCCTCTGCAGCGCGGCTCATCACGCCAGGCAACAGGAAAAGTCTACATTGGAAGCATGGACGCGCGCTATTGGCAATACAGCATGGGTGAGAGTCGGCGATAAGAAGGAGCGTGGTGAGCGTGCCGGGCGTCTACTGTCCGGTGTAGCTGCGCAAGGGAAGGTCAGTACGACGCACGCGACGCAGACCGCAGGCAACGCACCCCTTGGGGTTCTTGGACTGCCAGTTCCACAGCGACGAGGCCATGTCGTCGAGGTTGTACTTGGCCTTGAAGCCAAGCTCCTTCTCGGCAAGCGTCGGGTCGGCAGTCAGGTCCGGCACGTCGCCAAGGCTGCAGCAGAGGCGTGAGAGGGCGGCACAGCACAAATTGCGCGTCACGGCACTCACCGGCGGCCCTCGACCTTGTAGGGGTACTCGTAGCTGCACACACGCGCGTTAGCTGAGCTCTGCGGAATCATGCTCCACATCCCGCCCAGCCCTGCCCTGCGCCCTACTCTTGCATGCACTCACCCCGAGACCTTGCGCATGGCATCAATCATCTGCAGCACACTCATGCCCTTGCCCTTGCCGAGGTTGTAGGCCTTGTACTTGCCGGGCGTCGGCGTGTCCTTGAACTTGGCGTCGTCGTCGAGCGCCTCGAGGGCGTTGACGTGGCCGCCGGCAAGGTCCATGATGTGGATGTAGTCGCGCACGCACGCTGCGTGGGCGCGTCAGCTCAAGAGCTGCACAAAGCGCGCGCCCTTGCCATACTCACTGCCGTCCGGCGTCGGGTAGTCGTCGCCAAAGACGCGCAGGCCCGGGTCGCGGTACTTGCCCACGGCCATCTGCGCGAGCAGCGGCAGCAGGTTGCCCGGCTTGCCGACCGGGTCCTCGCCGATCAGGCCCGAGGGGTGAGCGCCGGCGGGGCTGGGCGAGAGGCATCAGCAGCGCAAGACGAGCCCGTCTCCTATTCACTCACTTGAAGTAGCGCAGGCCGATGGCGCGCCACGTCTTGGGATAGGCGTCGCACACGTCCTTGATGATGAGCTCGCTCATCTGCTTCGTGCGGCCGTACACGCTCTCGGCAGCCAGCGGCGTCGACTCCGGGATCGGGATTGTCTTGGGAATGCCGTACACAGTGGCGCTGCTCGAGTAGACGAGGCGCGTGACCTCGTGCGTCTGCATGACGCGCAGCAGCGTGATCAGGCCCGAGACGTTGACCTCGTAGTAGCTGTAGCGGGTGTCAGCCGGAGTGGCAGAGGATGAGGCAGCGAGTGCGGCAGTGCGACAGCCAGTTGGGTAGACACGCGGCAGCCACTGCAGCGGAGACGACACGTGCCAGTGCAGTGGCCAACGCAGGTGCCAGTGCCGCAGCCGTGCGACGGCCTGTGCTGCAGCCCATCCCTGTCCCTCGCCTGCCCTCGCGCAACTCACTCAATCGGGATCTCGCCGCTCTCGCCGACGGCCTTGAGCGCGGCGACGAGGATGACGCTCCAGATGGCGTCGCCCTTCTGCTTGTAGTCGGCAAAGATGCCGTCGAGCACCTTTGCGTCGCGCATGTCGCCCTTGACGACGTCGACGGTGCACGCGTCCTTGTCCTCCTGCGACGCATCGGCGGGCAGCTCGTCGCGCGCGATCTGCGAGACGCGCGTCATGGACTCGGGGAAGGAGTTGTGGAAGTTGTCGACGACTGGGAGCGTGTGTCAGCAGAGGGAGCAAGGCGCCGGCGGGCTGCGCCGCGGCCACTCACCGGTGACGGTGTACTTGCGCGTGAGGAGCACGCAGAGCACAATGTGCGAGCCGATGTAGCCGGCGCCGCCGGGGATGAGGACACGCTGCTTGGTCATGGTTGCGGGGGCGGGAGGGATCGCTGGAGGTGGTGCTGGAGGTGGTGGTGGGAAGGAGAGCCGTGCGGCGAGAGCAACATGGGCCAAGCAGGTGTGCGAGGCCGGCCGGCGGAGAAGCACACGCTGGCACGCAGCGCGCCGCGAAGCTCGCCCAAACGAACGCGCGTCGAGTGCCGACACTGGCCGCGTGCCTGGCTTCTGCCGCCACCGAACAGGCGCGCGCGCCGCGCGGCGGCGGAAGCTGGCGTACCGCCCGAGTGCCGGCGCGCCATGCGCCCGTGCGGCATTCTCGCCGCCGTCGCATGCTGCCAGCGTGAGCTTCCTCAGCCGTCGGCGGCACATGCTGCACTCATGCTGAGACAGAGCTCGTCCGGAGACAGCCTGTCGCGCCCAATCATGCGCCGGCCGTGCACGAGGGACCCAGACGCAGCAGGCGTGGACCCCGAGGTGCACCTTGCATGGAACGCCCGCCCACGGCGCGCGCCACACGCAGATCCGCGCATGCTGCGCCCGAGCCTCGCCGAGCCGCCGGCCCCGACGCGGGCGAGCGAGGCTGTGCACAGGCACCTCAGACACCGCTCTCGCCAGCTTCGTCTCTCACTCGCAGTCACGCGTCAGCAAGCGGTCGCTTTAGCGGTCTGCAGATCACAGGCCGGCTGTGGGCTGAATGGTGGGCATTGCGAGCTCTGAGTGCAGATCTAAGAAGGCCGCTCGCGACCACGTCAGAAGCTCGGCGAGTGCGGCAGCGAGTGTGCGCCGCCAGTGCGTCCGGGACTCTGTCCTGCGCCGGCGCCTTGTCCGTGCGCGAGGCCGTTGCCGCTACCGCCTCCGCCTCCGCCGCCTCTGCGCCGCGAGAGGAAGGCAGCGAACTCGGCGTCGGCGGCAGTGCCTCGCAGAGTCTGACGCTCGGCGTCGCCTCCGAGGTCCTGAGAATTGAGCGGGGTCAGCTCCGGCACAGGCACGCATCTCTACATCACTCACCATGCGTCCCACGGGCTCCTCTTCGTACGAGTACGGGAAGAGCTCGAGCGAGCCGCGCGACGGTCGGTGCTGCGATGGCGAGGCAGAGGCAGGCGAGGCGCCCGCCTCGGCCTCGCCCTCGCCGGCGGCAGCGTGGCCGCGCGAAGGGGCGCCGATGCTGCCACTGCCGGCACTGCCGCTGCCGCCGCCCGGCGTGCCACGCCCGCTGCGTGTGCCCCGCCCGAGCCCTACGCTGCCCGCCGGACTGCTGTTGTCCGTGTCGTACGCGTGCGGGCGCGCAAAGAGCGGCCGTGCGCCCGTCGAGATCGGCGCGGCAGCCAAGCCTCCGCGCGAGGCCGGCTCGGCGACAATGGGCGGCCCGCTGAGCGGACTGCGCGCAAAGTTCGGCGAGCTGGCGTTCGCGAGAGCAGCGCCGTCGCCGCCGCTCGGCGTTGCGCCAGCGCCCATGGCGGCGCCGCCTTCGCCGGAGCCCGGTGCATTGACCGAGGCAGACATGCGGCTCAGCAGCTCGTTGATCTGCGAGCGCGAGAGCGGCTGGCTGCTCGGGGCGCTGGTGCTTGCTTGCCGTGCGCGAGAGGCTCCCGGCGGGCCGCCGCGCCGAGCAAAGCTGCCGCTGCCAAGCCCGCTGGAAGCAGGATCGACGGCCGTCGACGACCCGCCAGAGCGAGGCAGCTCAGGGCGCGCAAGGCCCGGCGAGGCCTGCGGCACAGACCGCGCCCACGTCGATGTAGGCGCCTCGGCACGTCCCAGGGACCGCGAGTCGAGCATCCGCACGAGCTCTTCCAAGTCATCGTCTTGGCTGTCCGAGACGTTGCTCTGCAGGGCTGTCAGCTGGCGTTCCAACAAAGATGTGCAGCGTCGTACTCACCCGTCGTCGGTCGATGCGCGGCGACATGCGCGCCGCAGAGAGGCTCGACTCGCCTCTGCCGATGCTGCCCGGGCGAAACGCACTGCCAGCACTCGAGCCGTACTGGGCCGCATAATTCTGCCTGGCCTCAATGCGCGACTGCCAGCTGCGCGAGTACGTGGCGTCGGCGTCGCCGCTCGTGCTGTCGACGCTGGCGCCCGACGTATACGTGCGCGCCTGGCGATACGAGAACGTGCTGCTGTAGCGCTTGATCATCTGCGGCGCCACCGTCGGCTGCGTGCTGCCCGATAGCGTGCGCGATGCGATAGGCCGGCTGCCCTCTGGCTCTTCGCTGACGGGGCTGCTCGGCTTGCGCACGCCGGCGGCAAAGGCATCGGCAGTGATGCGCGGGGAGCTGCGCGGCAGAGAAGCCGTCGGAGACGTGGCCGACAGACTCGGCGCGTACGTCTGGAACACGCTGCGCAAGCTCGACGTCATACCGCCTGCGCCTGCAGCGCCAAACGAGGAGCGGAACGCGGGCGAGGAGGAGAGCGCCGATGGCTGCTGTGAAGCAGAGAGCTGCTGCGCCAGCGGAGAGGGAGACGAGGGCGAGTATGAGCCCGAGCGGAGTGCTGCAATACCTGACGCCCCGGGCACGCGCGATGCGTACGCGGGCCGCAGAGCGCCGGACGCAGACGCGGCAGCGACCGTCGGCGAAGGCGGACTGCTCTGTGCTCCATTCGCGTCAGCAAAAGCAGGCCTGACGCATGCAGCTTGGCGATCTCACCCTCTCTGAGCTGTAGCTGCTGAGGGTGCGCAACCTCCGCTCGCCGCCGATCGTCGTGCTGGCCCGCCTGCCGTGCGTCAAAAATGCCGCACCTTCGATCTGGGTGGCCGGACTGGCCAGGCTGCCACGCGTGCTCAGAGGGCTGGTACCGCTGCCGATGCCGGTGCCGAGCGCGACGCTGACTGATGGCGGGCCGCTGACGCCACTGCGCAAGCTCGATAGCCCAGCCAGTGGCTTCGACGAGGCCGAGGCCGGAAAGACGCTGGTCGTCGGCGCAGGATTGCGCAGCAGGAGACCCTCAGTCAGCGCGGGAGAGCCCTGCGGCGACGAGCCGGCGGACGAGACAGCTGTGCTGGCCCCTGTGCCCGACATCGGCGGCGAGCCAGACAGCTGCGCGCGGCCGGCCGTCAGAGCGCTGACGCGCTTGTTCGCCGTCGTGGATAGCAGCGAACGAGGTGCAGCCGCCTCTGTGGCAGCCGGCGCAGTCGCCTGCGAAATGTCAGGTGAGCAGTATGCCAAGGTGAAGCGCTTTCAAAGCAGCTTACTGCGGCTGCGCTCGGCCGCTTAGCTGCCGGCCGAAAGTAGTCTTCGTCGATGTCCAGCACGCCCACTTCCTCTTGCGCATTCTTCGGCTCCTCGACCTCGAACTCGGTCTCCGCACGATACTCGACTGAGAGACGCATGGAGCTGTGGAGTGTGAGCGCAAGTGCAGACTCGCACAATGTTCTGCTTTGTCTCACCCGAAGGCAGTCTCGATCGCGTCGAGCTTGCTCTCCTTGGTCTTGCTTGATGCGCCCGTGAGACTCTTCCCTATCTCTAGCACCTGCGGCGCCTCTTCCACCTCGCCGGCAGACATGCGCAGGCCTATCCGCAAACTGTTGTCCTCGGGCAGCCGCTCACAGAGCCCAGCAGCGGGTAGCGTTTGGAGCAGTGCGTCCAGCTGGGCCAGGCACCCGGCCAGGGCGGTGGTCAAGTCCGCCTGCGAGGCCGGCGAAGCGGGCTTGACAAGGCTGTGGCCGAGTCAGGATGCAGGTCGGCTGATGCACGCGATCTGTTCACTCACACAAAAGCCACTTTCCAGCGCTCAAGCACGATGCCTTGCTTGCTCGGAGAGCTCGGCTGCGCTGATGCTAGCTCTGGCCCCCTGAGGCGCAGCAGATGGCCACTGGGCAGCGCAGCGAAGTCGAGGATGGTTTCGAGCAGCAGAGCCGGTATGTACTCGGGCAGCGGAGCGGTGTGCAGATGCAGTGACGGCAGCACAGACTCGGGCACAAGCGTCGAGACTGAGCTCCAGAGCGCGAGCTCGTCTGCGAAGAGCGCAGCATCTGATGGAGCATCGGAGAGCTGTGCGCCTGGCGTCAGCGCGCTGCCATTGCTGCCTGATACAGCGGAGGTCGGCAGCTGCTCGGCCGCGTCACGTCTGCTGCGGTACAGACAGCTAGACGCGGACCCACCAGTGCACTCAAGGAACCAGCCTCTGCTTCACGACCAGTGCACTCACCCATGCCTGCGCCTGCTCGGCACTGCCAGTCGCACTCGTAGCAGCGCTGCCGGAGGAGCCGTGCTGTGCACGCCGAGCCGCGATGCGCGCGACGGCCGCGGCACAGAAGCGAGCGACGAGGGCATCGAGCTGCGCCCACTCGCCCGCGGCAGGCACCGGCGTGGAGCTCATTGCGGGCGAGGCGAGGCGACGAGGCGAGGCATGCCCGGAGCGGCGCGTGTAGGCTGGATGTGGAGGCGGGCCGCGAGGGTGCTCCGGCGCGGAGCAGAGACGGGCGGCGAGGATGCCGCTGTGGGGACTCGCGGCTGCGCTCGTGTGAGCTGCGCCAACTGATGCTGAGCGCCGAGGAGCAGGTGGGCGGTGCGGCGTGGTGGTGATAAGGCAGGCCGCTGGAGGCGCCCCCACGCCATCGGGAGCCGCTGCGCGCTGCGCGTCTGCATCTCGCCGATGCGCCGTGCCGCACCGGCCCCGCCTGCGCCTGCGCCCGCCGCTCCCTTGACGCGATGATCCCGCCGCACCGCCGCAGGCGCACGCCATCGCTGCGCACCCCTGCCGCTGCACCCGCTTCACTCGTCCCGTCTGCCCCTGCGGCAGGCAGCATCCGCGAGCAGGGGCTGGGAGTGCGTCTCCGAGGCCAAGGCGCGCCATTTGATAAGGCGGCCGGCCGGCGAGAAGAGACCCTCTTGGCCGAGATCGCCGAATACAATGAGCGAGGCCGAAGCTTCAAGAGGAGGAGCCGGCGTTGTATTCGCAGCACGGGCCACTCGCGGCGCGGGGCGCCCTTGTGCGCGCGCGCATGGCCAGCTGCCGTGCCCCTCCCTGAACAGGTCGGCGGGCGCTGCCTCGCCTCGTCTTACCGCACCGATGAGCAGTCCTTTTAGCGTCAAAATGTAAGGCCTTGCACCTTCTTGCGACTGCGGGAGAGTCCTAGATCAGGCGCATGTCTGGACGCCGAGCTCGCTCTTACGGCCAAGCAGCTTCAACGAGGTGCGATGCCCTGACATGCTGCTGTCTAGGCTCCTTGTCGAGCCGCAATGCGAACCTGTGAATGATCCGTGCAATGGCTCAACTACGATAGAACTGCGCCACCGAGCTGTGGTGGGCAGGTCAGACCTTCGATGTGCGAGCTGCCCTTGGAGGGCACACGGGCACACACAGCGAGGTCACGTGCCGTACGCGCCCCTGTCTGGCGCGCGCGCCGGATGGCCCCTGACGGCGACGCGCCGGCCGCTGCGCTGGGCAGCGAGCGGGGAGCAAGCGAAGGCGAGCCTCGAGCGTCATCATCGTGCTCGCGAGGCACCTCTTCTGCTGCTGCCTGCATCCGCTGCGCCTGTTGCCTCCGCGCCCTCACCTCCTCCTCTCTCCACCGGTCCGCAGCCTCGTTGCACTCTTGCCCAGCCCCTTGCTTCAAGCGTCCCGCAGCAGCAGCTCTAGTCGCCGCACCTCGTGCAGCGCACGCACACCTCCTGCCGCCGGCACACACCTGCCCTCCACACCCGCACCATGAGCGTGCGCCACGGCGCCGCCCACGACGAGGGCGCGCCGCTCGTCCTCGATGCCGACAACACCGACTACTACGACGAGACGGGTGAGTCGCACGGCGCCAGCGCTGCCGAGGCCGTCGAGGGTGCGGCGGCGGTGGAGGCGTCTGTCTGGCTGCGTGCTCTCAGCGTGCCGTCACTGCGTGCGCGTCGAGTATGCACCCCAAGTCGGCGGCACGGCTCCACGCCGGCCTGTCCAGCACAGCACAGGCCCTTCGGGCGGAGATGTTGAAGCTGCGCCGCGGATGGGAGCATGCTCGCGATGCGGCTGTGCTGTGCTGCGCGGCGGCGGAGCTGGGCGTCCAGCAACACCACGGCGAGATTTGGGCCGCGGCGCGGGCGCCCCTCTGCGAGCACAGCCTCGGAGTCGGCCCTGGGCGAGATCTGCGTCTGCGTGCGCGCGCGGCGCGGCGCGCTGCCAAGCCCCTCGGCGGCGCGCGGTGCCGCGGCACGGGAGCAGCAGCAGCGATGCGCGGCGCGCGCTGACGCAGGGTGCAAGCGCCGCCGCGGCGGCAGCAGGCGACCCCTGAGCAGGCTCGCCAGCGGCACTCAGCGGGGCCGCCTCCTGGGTCGTCTGCCGCCTGCCGGCCGAGCAAGGTGCTTCTCTCGCAAGGCACCATGCATGCGTCCGAGATCCTCGCGCCGGGCCTTGGCAGCGCTTGTGCTCGGTGCTTAGAGGCCGCACCGGTCACGCGCTCGCCGGCCTGCAGCCACATAAAGCGTGCTCGCCGTGCTGAGGCATCCTGACGGTCCCTCCCCAGGTCTCCCACCGCCGCACCGTCTCTCCTCGCACGTCGGCCACTCGCCCTACGCCGCCGCCTCGCCGCGCCACTCCTACATCGACCCGTTCAGCAACGCTCGCTCGACGGGCTCCTTCGACCTTGACAACCCGCGCGCCTCGCTGCACTACCCGCACGCCGACGCCGCCGGCATGTCGCACCAGCCGCCGAGCTTCTCCTTTGCCAACGGCGGCGCGCCCGGCAGCCCGTCGTACGGCCGCCTCGAGAGCAGCGAGCCCGTGCAGCAGTGGGGGCGCTCCGAGTCGAGCACGTCGCTGGCCACGGGCGCACAGCGCGACCGCTACATGCAGCGCCGCGAGCTCGAGGCGGGCGCGGCCGCAGGTGCCGGCGCCGCTGCCGTATACGGCTACGGCGAGAAGGCCGGACGGTCCGGCGCAGGCCCTAGCCGGCGCAAGTGGTGGATCATCGGCGGCCTCGTGCTGCTCGTCGTCGCCGTGGCCGGCACGGTGGCGGGCGTGATGGTCTCGCGGAATAGCTCGTCGAGCTCGAAGAACGTCGCCGGCGTCGTGCAGACGTCTGACCCCAACGATCCCTCGAGCTTCTCCAAGAGTGCGCTTTGCTGCTACAGCTCCGCCGCTGCTCTCATGCTCACCCCTCACGCACAGACCCGGCGCTCAAGCAGTCCTTCTGGGGCATGTGCTACACGCCGCTCAACTCGCAGTACCCCGCCTGCGGCGACACACTGCCGCAGGTCATCGAGGACATCCAGCTTGTGTGCGTGCGGAAACTGTCAGGCCCGCCGTTACGCTTGCTGACCCGCTCCCGCAGCTCGCAACTCACCAACCGCATCCGCCTTTACGGCGCCGACTGCAACGTGCCGAGCTACGTGCTCAACGCCGTCAAGCAGACCAAGGTCGACATGCAGGTCTGGCTGGCCGTGTGGGTGCCGCAGCCGGCCGACGACCCCGACGACGCCACGTACAACCGGCAGGTCAGCGAGGTGCGCAAGGCCATCGAGGAGTTCGGCGTCGAGCACGTCGCCGGCATCACCGTCGGCAACGAGTACCTGCTCAACGGCGGCCCGGCCGACGCGCTCATCACCAAGATGGCCGCGATGCGCACCATGCTTGCCGGCATGAACCTCGGCAAGACGATCCCCGTCGGTACGGCCGATGCCGGCTCGATGGTCACCACGTCGCTCGGCGCCGGTAGCGACTACGTCATGGCCAACGTGAGTGCTGCTTGTCGGAGGTGCGGCGAATGCCTACGCTGATACATCTCTCCACAGGTTCACCCGTGGTTCGGCGGTGTGCCGGTGGACCAGTCTGCCGGCTGGGTGTGGTCGTACATGGCGAACCACGAGGTGCGTCGCCGTGACATGCCCACCTCTACGCCGCGTCTGACGCCCTTCCCTGCAGCCTGCCACAGCGCGCCTGGCCGCCAACGTGCCGCAGCTTTACGTCGCCGAGACGGGCTGGCCGACGGGCGCCAATGGTGAGCCACCTGTGCTGTCCTCCCGCCGCACGCTGCTGACACTCCACCCGCAGAGACGCGTCTCGAGACGCTCGGCCCCGCCGTGGCCGGCATCGAGGAGCTGAACCGCTTCATGAGCGACTACGTCTGCGCGGCGAACCGCAACGCGACGGCTGCGACGCCCGACCCCTTCTCGTCATACTTCTTCTTCGAGGCCTTCGACGAGCCGTGGAAGGACGCGCTGTACGGCGGCGTCGAGGCGCACTGGGGCCTCTTCACGAGCGACAAGAAGCTCAAGGAGGGCCTCGTCATTCCGGACTGCTCGTGATGTCTCCTCTGCTGATGCCCTGTTACGACTGCTCCCGTCTCTCTCGCCGTGCGCCCTCTGCCTGTGCTGCGCGGGCGAGGAGCTGCTGCGCGGTGCGCTACTGTACATGTATACCTGCTGCTGCTGCTGCTGTCAACGATGCCCCTCGACCCCGGCGCATGCATCATGTGTGGGCGTGCTGGTCAGGCGCGAAGCTCGCATCTGCAGAGCGGCGGCGCCGCGGCCGGAGATAAGCGGCCCGGCCGGCCGGCCGGCCGCGGCACTGCGCCCGCAAGCGCATGCGGCGTCGCAGCGACGACGTCCAGCCAAGCCCTCGCCGGCTGAGCGTGCGGTGTCCTGGAATGCAAAAGGAGCACGCAGTGCTGCTGTTCCGAGCGCAGAGTGTGCCTCCGAGGGCCGAGCCTGTCAGGCGGGTGCTATTTGCGAAGGCTGCGATCCTGCGCCGCACGTCCGTGAGACGGCTTTTTGCGTGATGGGCGCGGCGGCGCGGCGCCGCGGGACCCTTCCAAGCGGCCCACGCCGGACTGGGCCGGTGCCTGGCGCCTCAGCTCGCTTTCGGCCGCCTGGCTCTTGCCGTCCCGCTCCATCCTCTCCCATCCAAGCCGCCCAGCAGCACCGCCGCCGCCTCTCCACACCCCCGCACCGCCGCTGTTGCCGCACCCGCCGCCGCCATGGGCCTTCTCTCGCTCGGCACGCCGCTCGACTGGCCCGAGGCGCAGGCGCTGGCGGAGCATGTGCGCGAGCACGGCATCACCCAGTTCCTCAACCTCTGGGCCAAGATCAAGGACCGCCGCGGCGACGGCCTGCTCTGGGGCGACGAGATCGAGTACATCGTCGTCGCCTTCGACGACGGCGCCCACGACGCGCGCCTCTCGCTGCGCCAGGCCGAGATCCTCGGCGTGCTGGCGCAGAGCGACGCCGAGACGCGCGCCGCACTGCCCGCCGGACGTGCCGCCGACATCCCCACGTTCCACCCCGAGTACGGGCGCTTCATGCTCGAGAGCACGCCGGGCGCGCCGTACGGCGTGGCGCCGCGCCAGCTGTGCCTCGTCGAGGCCAACATGCGCCTGCGCCGCCGCATCGCGCGCAAGCACCTGCTGCCGCACGAGCTGCCCGTCACGCTCACCTCCTTCCCGCGCCTCGGCGTCACCGATGCGCCCTTCACCGAGCCGCCGCTCGAGGCGCGCGGCAACGCCAGCCGCAGTCTCTTCCTACCCGACGAGGTCATCAACCCGCACGCGCGCTTCCCGACGCTGACGGCCAACATCCGCAAGCGCCGCGGCGCAAAGGTCGCCATCAACATGCCCATCTTCCACGACACGAACACGCCGCGGCCGTTCATCGACCCGAGCATCCCGCGCGGCCGCGACTGGTTCCCCGAGGACGCCGAGGCGGCCGCCGGCGCCGCGCTGCCGGACCACATCTACATGGACGCCATGGGCTTTGGCATGGGCTGCTGCTGCCTGCAGACGACGTTCCAGGCGTGCAGCGTGCAGGAGGCGCGGACGGTGTACGACCAGCTGATCCCCGTCGGCCCGCTCATGCTGGCTCTGACGGCGGCCAGCCCGGCGTACCGCGGCTACCTGGCGGACGTCGACTGCCGCTGGAACGTCATCTCGGCGGCGGTGGACGACCGCACCAAGGAGGAGCGCGGCCTGGAGCCGCTGAAGCACAGCCGCATGGTGATGCCCAAGAGCCGGTGAGTGAAAGTGCGAGAGTGAGCAGCGAGCTGGGCGCTGAGACGTCTGCCCAGCTACGACTCGGTCGACAGCTACATCGCGCAGGACCCGGCGAACCGGCCAGAGTACAACGACAACCCGCTGCCCGTCGACGAGAAGGTGCAGGCGCGGCTCGAGGCGGCCGGCATTGACCGGCTGCTGGCGCAGCACCTGGCGCACCTCTTCATCCGCGACCCGCTCGTCATCTTCTCCGAGATGGTCGACCTCGACGACGAGCAGTCGATGGACCACTTTGAGAACATCCAGAGCACCAACTGGCAGACGATGCGCTTCAAGCCGCCGCCGCCGGGCGGGCAGATTGGCTGGCGCGTCGAGTTCCGCAGTATGGAGGTGCAGATCACCGACTTTGAGAACGCGGCCTTCTCGGTCTTCATTGTGCTCCTCACGCGCGCGATTCTGAGCTTCCACCTCAACTTCTACATGCCGATCTCCAAGGTCGACGAGAACATGGCGCGCGCGCATGTCCGCGACGCCGTGCACACGCAGAAGTACTTCTTCCGCAAGGACGTGCTGCGCGCCCGGCCACGGCATCATGCGCGCGACGTCTCGGCGGGCGGGCGGGGCGTGCGCTCGGGCACGCCGCGCGGCTCACGGGCCTCGAGCCCAACGCGCGGCACCTCGGCCGTGCGCGGCACCGCCAGTCCGGCGCCCAGCCGCACGACCAGCCGCGCGCCGAGCCCCGAGCTCGGGCCCGTGGAGGACGAGTACGCCGAGTTCACGATGAACGAGCTCATCAACGGCAAGGGCGCCGAGTTCCCGGGTCTCATCGGGCTCGTATACAGCTACCTCGACTCGCTCAACATCGACGTCGAGACGCGCTGCGAGATGGCGCTCTACCTCGACCTCGTCTCGAAGCGCGCGTCTGGTGAGTGTTGCAGACGTCGAATGTGCGATGCCGGTCCTGACGCACGCCGCGCCCAGGCGAGCTCATGACGACGGCGACGTGGATCCGCAACTTTGTGCGCTCGCACCCGGCGTACAAGTTCGACTCGGTCGTCAGCGCCGAGATCAACTACGATGTGAGTGCGATGCGAGAGGCGCGCGGCTGCTCAGCTCCTGACCCCTCTCCCAGATGATCAAGAAGCTCGACCGCATCGAGCGGGGAGAGGAGGACGCGCCAGGGTTCCTGGTGAGTCTGGCGCACGAGCGCGCGCTCGACCTCTGCTGACACCGCTCTGCACAGCCGAAGAACTACGCGCGACGGCGCCAGGCGTTCGGCGCCGAGGGGTAATATATAGAGCCAGCATGCCACCACATGCCGGCCAGGGCCGCGTCTAGTAATCACACGAGTCACGCATTTCTGTCCTGATTAGGTCGATTGAGGTGCACACGAAGCCGGACGTGCAAGAGGATGAAGGCTGCGAGGCGGCAAGGAGGCGCGCGCGCTTACTCCTCGTCGTCGGACTGCTCCTCCAGGAACTGCGTCGGGGACGTGAGAAAAGCTCTGCTGACGCACGCATCGAGACTCACCTTGACGAGCGGCGCAGCGGCAGCCAGGAACTCGCTCTTGCCCTGGGGCTTGTGACCCTTTTGGTGCCAGACTGCGCATGCCGGATGAGCACGCGCACGGAGCAGCGCTGCGGAGCGCGCCACTCACAGATGATGGCAGAGTCCGACACGACGTCGGCCGAGTAGAGCACCTTGAGGAACGGCACAAAGTTGGCCACGGCGGCCTCGGCGTACAGCTGCAGCTGGATCTGGTTGATGCTGCGCAGCGTGTGAGCGACTGAAGGCCGGGCCACACGCATGCGGCACACTCACAGCGCAATCTGAGCCTTGGGCGTCTGCGCAAAGGGCTCGAGGATCGGCGCGTACGCCTTGGCGAGCTTGGCGGCGCGCTCCACGGGCTGGTCCTTCATGAGGCCGTCCCACGCGACGGTGACCTGTGCCGCGCATCAGCGCCCTGCCCTGCAAATCACTAGCAGCCCACTCACAAAGTCCTCAGGCGCCACCGCCATCTTGGTGCGCGACTCCTTGAGGAAGTCGATGATCTCCTCGCGCGCCGCCTCGTCGCTCTCCTCGGGCGTGTCGCTGACGCTGCCGCGCATCTCGCGCAGGCGCTGCACGATGCTGTCGCGCAGGTCCTTGGCGGCACGCTTCTGGAAGTACTCGCCCACGGGCGCCAGGCCGACGCCGGAGAAGTGGCTCGAGACCAGGTTGGCCTGCGCGCGCTTCGTCTGCGGGAAGAAGGGCAGCGCATCCTTGATGCCGCCCTTGCGCAGCGCCGAGCCCAGCGCGTCCATGTTGCCCTCGGCCAGGTACGTCTTGCACACCTGGTCGAAGAAGGTGATGGCCAGGTCGTCCTTGGCCAGCGCATCCTTCTGCAGCACGGTCAGCACGTTGGCCGCGACGAGCGACTGCTGGATGAAGAGGCCCGTGGCGATGGCGAGCTTCTCGCGCTGCTCGGGCTCGAAGCGCGTAATGTACTGCAGCAGGTAGCGCATCGTCGACTCCTCGAGCGGCTTCTGCAGGAACTTGTAGCGCCGGATCACCTTGTCGATCGTCGTGACGACGGGCTTGACATGCTCAAGAGTCGCCGTCTTGGCCGCGAAGACCGAGAAGACCGAGTTGGGCGCATCATCGAGAGGCGAGCCGCCGGGAGCCAGGAGGCCGCCGCTGAAGATGGAGGAGGCATAAGTACGGCGATGCGCCAGCATGCAGGAGATGCAACGCACGCAATCAGGATCTCGAAGAGCTGGTCGCTGTACCTGCGGAGCACCAAGCGTCAGCAGCGAAGTTTGCGATGCCTGCCTGGCGCAGCTCGCGGCGAACACTCACTTGCGGTAGTCGAGGGTGTTGCCCGCCTTGTCCAGCGCAGAGGCAAACCCGTCCCAGTCGTCGGCGGCCGAGACGCCGTCGAAGTACTTGTAGAGTGCGTCACGGAAAGCTGCAGTGCCAGATTGAGCGCTGTCCGAGGAGCGGCCTTCACTGCGGCAAGCTGCTCTCTGCTGCTCTCTGATGCGCTCTCACACCCTAGCTAGCTATCCGGACTGCAGCCTTGACCTGTATCCCGCCGCATGCCCTGCGCACCACCCGCGGCCCCGTCCAGCGAGCCGCCGCTGCGCCACTCACCCTCGGGCTCGAACTTTGCCTGGCTCTTGACGACGCCCTTGCGCTGCTTGATGCGCGTGCCGGTGAGCGTGGGCTTCTCGACCTTCTGCGGATGCGTGGGGTGTGCAGCAGCAGCAGCAGTGCCGGGGCCCGTGGGAGTGGAGGTCATGAACAAGGGGCCTGCGCGGAGGGGCGGGAGGGCGGGAGAGGGAGAGTGCTGGTGCGGGCGTCAGAGGCGGCGACGCGCGCGCAAGGGCAGCGGGCAGTGCGGCTCACGTGGTGCGTGTGCGGTGCGAGGTGGCGAGGCGTGTGCGGGCGCGAGGCAGAGGGTAGCAGCTGGTGGTGGTAGTGGGATGCGAGATGATGCGGCTGCTCGTCGTCGGCGGTGCGCTGCTGCTCCTCGGCCGGAGCGTCTGTCGTGCGCGCGACCGTCGGCCTCTCTCGTCTGCTGGCGCTCTGCCGAGGCTTCTCTCCGCCGGCACGGCTCTCGGTCTTCTGGCGGCGGGCGCGGGAACGGTCTCGCTGCGCCGCCGCCGCCGCGCGCCCACACGCCACGCGGCGCGGCGCACGAGCATGCGGGCGACAGCAACACTGCGCTGCCTCTTGTCTCGCCTCCTCCACGCTCGCCCCACACACCTCGACACCATGTCGCGCCCCGCACAGAGCAAGGCGCAGAACGACGCTAACGCTCGCACCCTGCGCGCCCTCGTCAAGCAGCCCGAGAACAAGACGTGTGTCGACTGCGTGAGTGGCACGGCGGGCGAGGTGCGCGACGCAGCCCAGCTGACTCGGCGATGCTCAGAAACGCAACGGTGAGCAGCGTGCTCGGACAGAGTAGGCCAGGCGATACAGAGAGTGCAGCTCGCATAGCTGTCGCGCGGAGCAGGCTCCAGGCTCGACGTGTCGGAGAGGCAGCATGTCCGCAGCTGCGGTGACAGCTACGCTCTGCTGCCGACGCCGCTCCGCTGCACACGCTGACCGCTCTCCTCCAGACCCGCGATGGGCCTCGTGGAACCTGTGCGTGCCTCTCGCACGTGGAAAGCGCCGCTGGCTCTGCTGATGTCCGCTCCAGTGGCTGCTTCCTGTGCATCCGCTGCTCCGGCATCCACCGCAGCATGGGCACACACATCTCCAAGGGTGCGCCGCCTGCGCTTCTTGCGTCACTTCGCAGCAGCTGAGCCTTTCGCTCGGCAGTCAAGTCGATTGACCTCGACATCTGGACGCCCGAGCAGATGGCCTCGGTGCAGAAGTGGGGCAACCGGCGCGCCAACGCTTACTGGGAGGCGCACCTGAAGGCCGGACATGTGCCGCCAGAGCACAAGATTGAGAGCTTCATCCGCAGCAAGGTGAGTCGTGCGCGGGCGTGTGGTAAATCAGTCGGCTGAGGCAGCGTGTGGTCCGCAGTACGAGACGAAGAGATGGGCGAAGGAAGGCCCGCCGCCGAGCGACCCCAGCGTGCTGGACCAGGGCGGTGCCGCTGCGTCGCCCGCAGCAGCAGCTCCGGTGAGTGCTGTATCTTCTGAACGATGCGGTGGTCGCTAAGATGGGCGCTTTGCTGCAGGCTGCTGCCGCCGCGCCCGCCGCTGCTGCCTCGTCGAGCCGCCCGGCGCCGGTCATCGACCTGATGTCGGAGCCAGAACCAGCTGCGGCACCTGCGCCGGCCGCTGCCGCCGCTCCTGCCGCCCGCGCCGCTGCTGCGGCACCTGCTGCTGCGCCCGCGAAGGCCAGTGGAGGCGGCGGAGGTCTCTTTGACCTGGACTGGAGCGAGCCGGCGCCGAGCGCCACATCGCCGACATCGCCATCGCTCGCTGCCGGCGGCGCGCGCGGCAAGAACGACATTCTCTCTCTCTTCTCGCAGGCGCGGCCCGCTCCGCCGCCACAGTCGGCAGCGGCTGCACCGGCGAATTCGGGCGGCTTCGACGGCCTGGATGCGTTTGGCGGGCTGAGCATGGGTGCGCCGGCGCAGGCCAAGCCCAGCGCCGCTAACCCGTGGGCCCAGCCGCAAGCTGCCGCGCCGGCTGCGCCGTCTGGCGGTGGCGGCGGCTTCGACGTGTGGGGCGACATGACGAGCGCCAACAAGTTGGCCACGACGCAGCAACCCGCGGCCTCCGGCAAAGACGCGTTCGGAGACTTGGCATGGGGCGAGTGGAAGTGAGCAGCACACGACTCGCAGCCCTGCTCGGACGCTTCGTCGCAAAAGATATATCCGTTTGGCACCTGTGCTTGCATTTCCATCGCGTGCAGTGAGCGGGCTAGGAGTAGCCTTGGCTGATCATCCAGCGCTCGACGTCCTTGACGCTCTTCTCGTCTGCGTCGTGCGGCACGACGAGCACGCGCAGCTTCTTGGGCGCGCGGCCCTCGCCATCGAAGTGCTCTGCGCCGACGACGATGAGGCCGCTGATGCGCGGGTCGCTGCCAGCCACCTGCGCCAGCGCCACCTCGCTGCCGGCGTCGCCGCGCACGAGCAGCAGCGGCTGCCGCTGCGTCGCGGCCAGACGCAGCTGCGCCGTGAGCTCTGGGAGCGGCAGCGGTCAGCAGATGTCCGACCGTCGCGGCGCATGACAGGCCCACTCACCCTCGCCCAGCCGCTCCACGGTGGCCTCGCCGCCCTCCACAGCAATGTTGAGCAGCTGGCAATCGTAGCCGGCGTCGCGGAAGTAGCCCACCCACGACTTCCACCTGGGTAGCGAGCGTCAGCGAGTAGAACGGCGCTACTAACTGCGGTGTGCTGCGAATCTCTCATATCTCTCCCACTCGGCGCGGCTGTCACTCTTCCACGATGCCTACTTCGCCTGCCTCGCGTCCACTCTGCCTGCACCGTTTGCCCCTACTCCGTCGCACCCACTCACTTGTCGCGGCCCTCGCCCTCGCGCGTCATGAAGACGAGGTGCACCGGCTGGCGGCGCATCGCCAGCGGGCTGGCCTCGCGCCAGAGCGAGCTGGAGGCGCTGCGGGCCGTGTTGACGCCGTCGTCGGCGCGCAGCAGCGGGGCGCAGGTGTAGAGCGGCGCGGCGGCGGCGAGGCTGAGGCCGGCGGCGCGGGCCAGACGCAGCGCCGGGCGCACGCTGCGTGCTGCCGCTGCACCGCTGCCGCTGCTGCTGGCGATGCGCAGGCTGTGCGCGCCGAGTGGGCGCAGGAGATGCGAGAAGGCCATGGTGTGGTGGTGTGAGAGAAGGAGTGGAGGGGCCCGTGGGAGCAGCGGCCGGATGACGCTGAGGCGCAGCCACCGCACGAGCCACGCCGCGCCGCTGCGCTGCATGGAGCGAGGAGGTCGAGCAACAGGCGGCGCCGCTTGCTTCCGCTCCACCACCTCGGCGGCACCGCACGCTCTGCTCAGCGCATCCTCGGCGCGGCATGCGTCCAATACATCGCCTCAGGGCCATACATGCGCCCGCGCTCGGGTCGAGAACAGGCACACCTCGGGTTCTGCGCACTCTCATCGAACGCTCGCAACTTCGCTGCAGCCAGCTCCTGCAGGAACGGTACGACATGGAGGCACCTTGCGCGCTGCTCCTCGCCATGTCTGCTCCTCTGCCGACTCTTACTACTCTCTTCAGCGCAGCTCCTGGCGTGAGAGCGGCACATGAGCTGCGAGGGCATCGAAGGTATCCCTTGCGGCTGTCAGGAGTTGTGCCTGAGCCAAGGCTGCTCTTGCATGTCGCGTCGGCGCACATAGGGCGGAAGTGGGCGCTTGAGCGAGCATTCGGCGACAGAGTTCGCGTACCTGATGAGTCGAAGCGTTGTCCACGTCGGTGGGCGCAATGAGACAGGGGTGCGCCACGTTGCAAGTGCTCTCGCAAGGGCGACCTGCGCTCCACGAGACGGACGACGTGCTGCGAAGGACGAGCTCCTCTTCGCTCTTGCGCCCAAGCACCTAGCACAGCACATCCAGGTCCCGCTGTGGCGCTCATGGTACCTTAACGCCTGCGCTCCAGGAGCAGGGCAGCAGACGCGCTGCCTTCCAGGAGCTTCGTTCGATGCGCCTGCCGCGCCCACGTGTTCCTCAGGGGTCACTGACGGGCGCAATGCCGCCTCCTGCCGAGCAGATCTCTCGTCCGCGCCCATCAGGCAGATTGCGCCGAGAGAGCGACCGGCTGCCTTAAGACGACGCTGCTCGGCTCCGGACCCCGACCTTTCGCTCCATCCTCCCTTTGCTTTCGCTCATCGTGCCGCTCTCTGACGCGTGCTTTTCTTAGCTTTCTCCACTGCGGCTGGCCGCAGTCCCTTTCTTGCTTCTTCTCACCCACACACTCGCTCGCCGCTCGTCCGCCATCATGAAGCCGTCTCACCTGCAGCAGACGCTGATGAGCTTCAAGATCCAGCCGGCGCAGACGGCCGCGCACCACTTTCCGGCGCCGCTGTCGCCGCACTGGACCGCCCCGCCGTCGCCGCGCATCATTGTCCCGAGCCCTCGCCTGATCTATCCGGCCAGTCCGTGAGTAGAACTTCGGCCAGTACGCTTCGGCTGCCGACTGACCAGCCGTACAGACTCGCTCGCCACCAATTCGATCACCATCAGTCGCACGGCCACCAGCAGCGCTACGGATTACCGCAGTCGTACGGCCACAAGCACTCGCATGGACACCACCAGGCGTACGGCCACCATCAGCCGCACGCGCACCACGGCTCTTACGCGCACCAGGCCGTGCCGCCTTCGCCGGGTCTGGCACTGCCCAGCCCGTGAGCAGCCACGGCAGACGCTCGCTTTGACCCCTGCTGACCCTGGCATGCGCAGCGCGCACCACCGCTCCTTTGACCTGTCCTTCGAGCGCCTGAACAATCGCACGATCCGCGATCTGGCGCTGGCCAAGACGCGCCGCGGCATCGAGCCGACGTATGCGCCCGAGTGTGTCGAGGAGGTGGACGAGTGGGAGACAAGTCCTCGGCGCAGCGAGCAGCGCGACTCAGGCGAATCGCGCGACTCGCGCGGCTCGCCGCGCAAGGGCATCCTCAAGCGCAACACGTGAGCATCTGCCTGAGACCGTGGACGGGGCTGCGGTGCTGATCGGCAAGTGAGCACAGGCACTGGAACAGCATCCGAGCATCGGAGTACCACTACCTGCTCCAGCCGGCGGAGCCTGTGCGGCGAGTCAGTTTCTCGGAGTGAGTACCAGGGCCAGCGGAGTAGGTGGCCAAGCTCACCGTCTCGTTCGCAACAGCGACGACGAGGTTTGTGAGCTGCCTGCGTTCAACGCAACCAAGACCAACAAGGCGCGCTACACCATGGCCGAGCCGTCGTACAAGCCGCCGGTCGAGCACCGAGTCGTGCAGCGCCGGCCATCGCTGCCCTCTCTCTCGGCCATCGGCTCTTCGCTGCGCCGCCGCTCATCGGCGAGCTCCGTCTGGTCGAGCAAGTCCAAGTCGAACCGCCTCAGCCTCAAGCCCGAGGCGCTCGTCGAGGGCGCGACGGACGACGATATCCCGGCGCCCGTCTTTGTCAGCTGAGCTCCCTCGGGAGCTTTGAGCCGCCTCCCTTCTTCTCTCCTTCTCCATCCCCGACTCCCCTAATGTCTCGCGCACTGGTGGGCGAGCCTCTCAATCCATTCACTAACCCCTCATGAGATGCAGCGCTCGACGAGGTCGTCTGGCACGCGGCCGTACAGGTACTCGACAACGCGCACGAGCGGCGTCCAGTCCAGCACGCTCGGGCTCGTCTGATCCTCGCGCAGCAGTCCAGAGGCCAGCGTGACCATCTCCTGCCCGTAGGCCAGCATGCGGACAAAGTGCTGGGCATCCATGGTCCGCCAGACCTCCACAACGACCTCGGAGCCCAGCGCCGGCCAGCGGATCGTGCCGCTCTGCGCCAGCGTCTTGAGCAGCCGAACCATCGTGCCTGGCAGCAGATGCTCAGCGGTCAGCGGCACAGTGCACGCCGCAGCTACTCACCATCATGGCCGATGAAGAGCTGCGCGCGCTTGGCGCTACCCGCTTCGATCTTCTGAAGCGCTCGTGCCAGCTCGAGCGCGAAGGCTCCGAAGCTGTACTTGACATAATCGTCGGCGCGAGGTGACACATTCCAGATGTAGCTGCCGGCCATCAGTGTCTGCAGAGCGATGCGCGAACGAGACGTGCTCACTTGTACTCGAACGTGCCTGCCTCATACATGGCGTCGGCCGTCTCTTGCGTGATGCCTGCCGGCAGTTCGTGGCCATGACACTGCCGAGACGCCTGGAATCGAATATCAGCGGCTTTTCGAAACTGTTCGGCTAGCTGGAGCGCGCACTAGGAAGTCGAAGGCATGGTCGATCCAGGTATTCCACGACGAGATGTTGCCTGTGCCGAGTGCCTGATTGATGGTGTTGAACTGCGGCTGAATGCTGTCCAGGTGGTCGCGCCATGCTTGCTCTTGCTCGATCTGCGTAGATGGTACTCTAAGCGGGCCACTCGTTCAGATTCCACAGCTCTGACCCACTTGTGTGCGAAGCTGACTGGCGTACGAGCAGGAGTAGCTCGGCACAATGTTGTCCTTTCGACGAAGAGTGTCAGCGATGGACAGATAGCCAGCCATCAGAACATACAATCGTGCTTGGCTGAGAGTGCACCGCAAAGCTTCCATGGCTCTCGTTCCTGCCCATGCCGGTCAGTAGCCCGCCCGACACCTGATCAACGGGATGTCAGCAAGGCTGGAAGGGCAGCGCATAGGACGCACCTGGTATGTGCGGGGCGCGGGTGACGTGCGAATGTAGATCTCATCTTCGGTTGGCTCCGAGAGTAAGGCTGCGGGCCCTTTTGGACCGTAGACGGACCATAGTGCACTACGCGATGTCATGAGCTGCAGCGGCTCGACCTCGTCGGCTGAGCTGCTCACCGGCCGTGGTCGACAGCATCGTCATGTCCTCCCCGCGTCAGCGTTCCTTGATCACACGAGCCCGGCCAGATGCTGCGCGCGAAGGGGTGCCAGGACTCGATGACAGTCTCGGCGTTGATGTGAGCTGCGGCTCGCGAGGCATTGCGCTGTGGCTGCGAGGCGAAGCTGAGATAGTCAATGTCGCTGCACTCCCAGCCAGCCGCCGGATTTAAGTCGCGCTCGCGACCAGGAACGAGGTTGTCTGGCGTCCGCTTCTGATGCCGCTGGACGTAGATGAGGCTGTTTGAAGGCTCCGTCAGACCAGCTGAAGCCTCACAGAACCGGCCTTCACGCACCCCACCAGCTTTGCGCCTTGCTCCTGCGCCTGTTGAGGCAGCCGATAGCTCGAGGCTTCTACACCGTGCGCCTTGCAGTAGTTGTACTGCAGCGCATTGCCGGCAATCGAGTTGCTGCAGAGAAGCCACTGCGTCAGCGCCTCCTGTCACGACGAGCCGCTCTGCGCCGCACTTGAAGATGCCGCCGAAGCTCGAATTGTACAGCGCGAGGCCGTTCATGGCGTCGAGCGGGAGACCGAGCGGGCTCTGCAGTGATGAGGGCATGACGATGCGAGCGGCCCGTGGCTCATCGTCCTTTGAGGTGCAGAGCGGCCCGATGGCACGCCGATGTGGAGCGCAGCACAGAGGCGCCCGCTCGGCAGACGGCTCGTTTAGCGCGCGAGGAAACGTGCGCGCAAGTGGCGCCGCCGCCTCGCTCGGCCCGTCATCACGCGGGAGAGGTGCACAACATGCGTTAGCGAGCGCAGCGAGGTAGGCAATGTATGTACACGAGAGACGAGCGGGCATCGGAGCGAGGAGTCAGGAAGCATGGAGCACGGATGCAGCAGAATGGTACATGAGGAGGGCGGCAATACACAGTGGAATAGCATCGGAAGCGTGCACTGGCCAGCAGGGAGAGGCAGGAGGCGGACGGAGCGGCAGAGCACGAGCTGCGAACTCGACGTGAGGGCCCCGAGATGAAGGTGTCGCCTGCGACAGGCTGCTGCGCATGGAGCAGAGAGAAGATGCCGTGACCATGATACAACCTGAGGCGAGCGCGCGTGTGCGTGTCGGCCGCCCGACGAGGGGTGCGGAGCGTCCGCGCCAGACTAGAGGAGACGGCGGCCGAGGAGCAAAGCGGGTATGCCGGGAAGTAGAGATATATGCCTCGAGTAGAGAAGGCTCAGACGCGGACGCGCTTCGGAGCAGCGGCGCGGTCTGCCTTGTCGGGTGTGCCGGCGAGAGACACGGGGCTGGCAGTGCCGCTGGCGGGCGCACTGGCGCTCAGGACGGCTGCATCGAGGCTGCGCATGGCGCCGCGCGCCAGAGAGCTGGCCAAGCGCGGCGCAGCCGAGGCACTGGCGAGGGCCAGGCGGCGCTCTTCGGCGTCGGCGGCGCTCTGAGCTTGCGGACTGGCGTGCGGGAAGGGCGAGAGCGAGCTGGGCGCCGGCGAACCGGAGGGTGCGCGGCGCTTGCGGCTGTTGGTGCGGCTCATGGCGCGCTTGGCCGGGCTCTGCAGCGGCGTGCTTGGCGATGAGTCGCCGCCAGTGAGGTCGATGTGCGCCACCTTGACGGCGCCCAGCGTGCCGCTTTGCGACGGCTGCTGCAGCGCCGGAGGCAGGTACGAGCTCATTGGCTGGTGCTGCGTGATCGGGCGCGCGCGCGGCGCCGTCTGACGGCGCGACCAGACGTCGACAAAGAGAATGCGCTTGAGCTTGCGGTTGTAGAAGAAGACGTACGTGGCCCAGAGCAAGCCACCCGTGTCATCATCGTCGTCGTCCTCCGCCTCGTCTTCGGCGCTGCTGGCGCCCCAGCTGCTCGAGAAGTACGAGCCGCGTGGCGTGCGTGGCGTGCGTGGGCCGTCCTCTGACGGGCCACTGCTGGAGCTGGCGCCGCCGCCGCGCGAGTAGTCGAGGCCGCCTTCGTACATGTCCTCGTCGAACATCGGTGTGTCGTCGTCGTGTGCGCGCGGCGTGTCGGAAGTGCTCATTACGGCATCACTATCGGTACCAGCCTCCGCGACGTCGTCTTCCGTCCACGAGTCATCGGCACCGTAGCCCTCCTCCGGGTCGGCTGACGCGTGCGGGTCCGAGTCGACGTCCGGGTGGTAGGTGTACACTTCGCACTCGGAGATGCACATGATGTCGTCGAGAATCGGACCCAGCTTCGGGTGCGAGACGGCACCTCCGGCCGCGACAGCAGCGGTGGCAGCGCGCTCGTCGTACGAGCTCGGGAACGAGGAGAAGGAGCGCGGCGCACCTCCGCCGCTGCGCAGCGAGTACAGCGTCGTGCTCAGACTGTTGAGCACGCTGGCAGCACTGCGCTCGCGGCGGAAGTCGGCCGGGTTGACCTCCGCGAACTCATGGTCCGGGAAGGCGCCGTTGAGCGTCGAGATGAGCAGCCAGAGGGTCTTGCGCGCCGCCGGCTGGTCGAGCTTGCCGAACGGTGACGCCAGGTGCTCCTCGAGGTACGACGGCGGCGACGTCGACGCCGAGCGCACGTAGGCGCTCTCGAGCGTCTTGAAGAGCTTCTTGTCGCGGTTGATGGCCTTGCACGAGTAGGCCTCGAGGCGCGTGTTGACGCGGCACTCGGCCGACTCGAAGCAGAGGTCGCGCGAGATGAGCTCGAGCTCGGGGTAGTCGAGGAACTTCATTGTGCTACACTGCACGCTGTGTGTGTGAGCATTGGGCTCGACAGGAGCGTGCATTGGAGGCTGCTGCCAGGCGGATAGCAGACTACGCGCGCGCGTTGCGGGCTGCAGGGCCGGCGCGGCGCACAGCCTCAGCGAACGTGCGCCGCCTTGCCGCCCCCCTGACGCGTCGCGCGCGCCGACGCATGGGCCATGCCATGCCCCGAACATCTTCTGGTGTGCGATTGACGACTCACGAGGTATCAAAGAAGGTATCGAGGCAAGACTAAGGCCAGAGAAGAAGAGAGAATCGGCAGCGGAGGCAGCGATGCGTGCGCGACGCGTCGGACTGGCGCGGCAGGGTCGGCGGGCAGGCGGGCGGAGCGGGAAGCAGGCGGCGAGACGAAGCGAGACGGAAGCGAGGCGAGAACGCGGCGGAGACGGAGAGCGAGGAGAGAGGAGCGAGAGAGAGAGAAGGAGGGGTACTTTGAGGAGAGGACCAGCGCGTGGAGGGCGCCAGGACTCGTCTCAGAGAGGCGGCGGAGTGGGTGAGAGGGTGGCGGAGGAGCTGAACACGCTTGGCTGGCGTGCCCAAAGGACTGGAGAAGGGTGTGCGCTAGAGGCGCGGCAGAGCGGCTGCGGGGGTCTCTGAGAGACGCCTGCACGAGAGGTCAGTGTGGGCGCCGATAAGGGCGCAGCGGCGGCAGGCTCACCCCGAGTGGTGCGCGAGCGGCGCGGGCAGCTCGAGCGGGTGCGAGTGTGAGTGCGGCACGGAGCGGCGTGCGGCGCTGGCAGCGAGCGAGCGGCGCAGTCGGTGGTGGACGAGCGGTGAGCGGTGGTCTCGGCGGTGAGGCGCGGACGGGCGGCGCGCGGGGGCGCGGCGCGGGGTGCGTGGGAGCGGGGCGGGGAGCGTGACGGTTGGGAGGGAGGGGAGCGTGTGACGGGCGCGCGCGGCGTGAGTGCGCGCCGCCGCCGTCACGGTGATGCGAGCGAGGGAACGGCCGGCGGCGGCGGGGCTACGCGGCAGCCGGCGCCGCGATGCAGGCACGCCGCCAGCCCCTGCCGGCGAGGCGTGGTCAGCATCAGCACTCTTACTGCATCCTGCAGCTGCAGCAAGGCCCGGCTCGCCTCCTGTCTCAGATGCAGCTCGTCCTCGCGACGTCTAGCGCTGTGCTGTGCAGCATGCCCTCATCTCTGCATGCTGCGATGCCGCCTTGGCTGTCAAAGCCGCCGCCCGTTCGTCGAAGGCAGCTGCGTTCTGGAGCAGCGGGCCGCGAGCGAGGACAAGACTACGCGAGCGACTCCCGCGCACATGGCGTGGCCCGTCCCTTGGGCGTGGGAGCGGGCTCGACGCGCTGCCACGTGGCGTCGGGCATGCGTAGATCGTCACCGGGCAGGCCGCCGGCGGGGGCGGCATCTGCGCATGTGTTGCCTCGGCCGTGGCGCAGCGCGAGAGCAACGCGTCCCCGCTGCTCGAGGCGGCGCTGCGCGACGTGCGCGAAAGTGTCTGCGTGGAGTGGCATGCCGTCGCTGCGCCGACGGCGAGCGCCGCCATCTTCAGCGCCTCCATCTCCCGTTCCTGTCCCGGCCCCCTGCTCGCCGTCTGCGCGTGTCCCTCGCTCGCTCTTGCCCGTCCTCGCTGCCAGCCAGCCCCCGCCGCCGCGCGTGCCTCATCTCGCCTGCGCCGACGCGTCGCCGCCGCCGCTGCTGCCTGCCTCTCCTCCACGTACCCCTCGCCCAGCATGCCCTCCACGTCGCGCCGCTCCACGCCCGCGCGCCGCGCCCGCTCGTCGTCCGTCGCCTCCAACGTCTCGGCAGCCTCGACCAAGTCGACGCGCAGCAACAGCAAGCCCTCGCTGCCCGCCAGCGCCAGCGCGGCCGCCGGCCTCGGCAGCGCCACGCCCACAAAGTCGCCGGCGCGCGCGCGTGCCAGCAAGGCTGCCGCTGCCAGCGCCGCCTCGGAGCTCAAGGCTGCCGAGGCTGCCGTCGCTGCCGCCGCCGACCCGGCGCGCCCGCAGCTGCCCGAGAAGCAGAACCCCGTGCTGCCCGCCGAGGGCGTGCCCGTCAAGCTGCAGGTCATCCGCAGGGATGCAAAGTGAGTGGGCCCATCCACGCGTCAGCCCGCTGCGGCGCATCGCTCATCGCCGCTCTGCCAGGAACATCATCATTGGCCGCGTGAAGCTGCCCACTGTCAACGGCACAGACCACGCATTCCTCCTCAAGCGGTGCGTGTCGCGAAGAGAGGCAGCGCCAGAGTGCAGGAAGCGGGAGCGTGAATGGACAGGCACGGATCGCGCACGCGGATGCATCGGTGCAATGCGCGCGCGCGCAAGTGGAGGAGCTCGCGGCAGGTTGAGCAGATAGGAAGCAGGGAGAGAATTTTGAGACGCATGCGATGGACAGGTGCAGTGCTGCGGGCCAGCTGCAGTCGAGGGCGCGAGAAGGCACCGCCTTGACTGCCGCTTTCTGTGCCGCACTGGCGCTCGAAGGAGGCATCCGCTGTTGCGTGGACCGCCAGCGCCGCCTCTACCGCTCTGTGCTAGCAACGAGGAAAATGGTCCCGGCACTCGCACCTCAGCTTCGAGCGCACTTCGGAAGATCACAAAGCTGACTCGCACTCCCACTCGTTAGCTTCGACACCAACGCGCTCGCAGCCTCGTCCATGTTCCGCATCGCGTTCCCGTACGCGAGCAGCGCCGAGGAGAAGGCTGAGATGGCTTACCTGGAGTCTCGCTACGACGTCGAGCGCGCCAATGGTGGTTCGGCGCGTGCCAGCAACTCGCCCGCTAAGCGCAAGCCCGGCCGCCCGAAGAAGCAGACGCCAGAGGAGCTCGAGACGGAGTCGCACGGCACCGGCAGCACCGGCGTGCGCCTGCAGGGCACGTGGATCCCGTGCGCTGACGCCATCCACGTGGCTGCCGAGTACGGCCTGCTGCGCTTCGTGAAGCCGCTGGTGGAGGCGCGCGCCGCCCAAAACGAGAACGGCACGCTGCTGCTCACACCGAGCAAGCACGACTCGGTCTCGACGCCCACGGGCGCGTCGTCGAGCGCGCCGAGCAGCGCCAAGCGCGCGCGCAAGGTGGAGGAGACGCAGACGGTCACCACGACGGCGGGCGAGGCCAGCCCGACTGTGACGCGCACGCGCACCACCACCGACGCCGATGGCAGCGTCAAGGTCGAGCAGCTCGCCGTTGGCGGCAGCGCGCTCACGCCCGAGCAAATCGAGGCCGAGATCAAGGCCTCCCAGGCGCTCGCCGCCGGTGTGCAGGCGCAGGCAGCTGCCAGTGTGGAGTCGAGCAGCGGCCGCAAGCGCCGCGCGACCAACCAGCGGCCCACTGCCGACCTGGACCCGCTCGCCGACGACGACGCAGAGGAGGCACCGGCAAGCAACGCCGTCGTGCGCTCGGTGCGGCGCGGTGCTGGCGTCGTCCGCCGGCGGCCCGTGGCCACGACGGCCGGCGCGCTGGCATCGGCCGGTGCCATTGGTGCCGGCGCCCTCGCCTGGATGGCCGGCGGCAACCTCGATGTCGCGCAGCAGATCGTGTCGCAGGGTGTCGCCAGCATCAGCGCCTGGTTCCTGTAGCAGCCGTGCGCCTCGCACCTGCACAGCGTCTCGCAGACCTCTCTCCGGTCTCAACGACCTACACGCCCATCATGGCCAGCCTTCCGCAGCGCTCTCGGACCTCTAGTACCCTGTGTCTCGCCCCGTCTGTACTTCCGTCCCTGTACTTTCCCGACGACGATTCCGAACACTCCCTCCCGCCGCGGCTCTCTTTCTTTGTGCGGCGTGCTCTATCGCGCGCTGCATTGGCCTCAACGCTCTTTCACGTCCGTTCGCCCTGCGAGACTCTATATTGCGCCTCCGACTGTCACGCCTGTGCCTCCACCCTACGCCCTACTCCTCTCTCTACTTTTCGCGCTCCGTATGAGCCTGATGTACCCTGAATTCGAGCTCGTGACGATTGTAAGCGCGGCTGGCTGGAGCGAGAGAAGCAAGCGTCACGCAACGGCGGAGCTGGCAGCTTTGCGCATGACTGTGCGCAGAGCCTCGGTCGTGACGGTGAAGTCTAGGTCCTCGGACCCAGTGCCGGTGCTCCAGTTGCTGTAGCACACGTCGTCAGCGACGCCACGCGGGACCACAGACTCCGCGGCTCACCTGATGGCAGCACGCACGGCTCTTTGGCCGCCCCACACAGTGGCCGACATGTAGACGAGCTGCGTATCCTTGATGGCCTGCGCCAGTCTCGCGCCGCCACCTTCGCCTCTGAAGCAAGTCGGCGCCTCCGAAGAGGCCGCGAACAGCACGATGGTGTAGCCCCATGCGCCGCACCACGGCTGTGGGCCGCTCACGTCCGGCTTGGGTGCGTCGCACTGCGGCGTGAGCACGTCGAAGCACGGCTCGGCACGCAGCCAGGCCTCAAGACGGCGCGCAAATGCCACGTTTCGCTGCACAATCCTGTCAGTGAGCGTTGGCAGGCAGCCGCGGCGCGGATTACTCACTAGCACAAGCTCGCGGAAGCCTTCTCGCCCCTGCGAAAGCAGCACGGCGTAAAGCGGCAGGGCACGGAAGCGCCGTGAGTTCTCCTGCTGGAGTCGTCAGAGGCAGTGCAGTCACAGCAGCGGAGTTGCACGCACGATGTTGCGGAAGAGAGGACTCGGCAGTGCGCCAAGGTACTCGCGACGTGCCGCCAGCACGGGGTCTGTGCTGCCCTCTCCCTCTTCCTTCGGCGGCGCTGCAAGATATGCTGGGGCAGAGCCACGACCCGGCCCACAGAGCTCGTCGAGAGGCGAGTGATGTGCGGTCGGCGAGTGACGCTGCACGAACAAGAGGCCGCAGTCGTAGGGCACCTAGAGCGAGCAGTCAGCATCGATGCGGTGGTGTTGAGCTGAGCATGCCTCACATTGAGCTGCTTGTGCGCATCCGAAGTGATTGAGTCGGCGAGGTTGAGATGCTCTGCCACCCATTCGAAGCCGGGCACGAGGCTAGCAAATGCGCCAAATGCTGCGTCAATGTGCAGCCAGGCGCCATAGCGGTCGCAGAGCTGTCGAAGAGCAGGCGTCTGGGCGGCGAGTGCGCCCGTGTTGACCTCTGACATGCCGACGACGACGATGGCGCCCTGCTTTGCTGCTGAGTCCGCCGCGAGCCGAACCTCGAGCGCGTCCAGGTCGAAGTCCAGTGCTGCGGCCCTTGCGCGGGCCAGCTGTTCGGCCGTGGCAGAGTCGGCGACGCTGACGCGCTGGCCCAAGTCGACGACTCGAGCCCGCCCGATGCCTACGATTGCCGCGGCCTTCTTGATGCTGGCGTGCGGCAGCGCAACGTACACCGTCACGGCAGGCGCATCGGCCAGGCCGTCCTCCGCCATGTCCCAGTCCGCATGGCCTCGTGCTGCCATCGCGCGCTTGAGCACGGCATCACGCCCGCATGCCAGCGCCAGGACATTCGATGACGTGGCGCCGGTGGTCACAGTACCCGTCCAGCGCTGAACAGGGAGCGAGAGCAGCGAGAGCGTGAGCTTCAAGGCGTGCACCTCGACGAGCGTAGCTACGGTCTCTGTCTGCGGGCGGATCAGCCAAAAGAGGGGTCACCCTTGGAGCTCCCGCACTCACGGGCAGATGCACTTGCACGTTAGCGTCGAGTATGGTCACCAGCTGGTCCGCCACGGCCGCCGACGGCAGCACACCGCCCTGGCAACGACATCAGCCATCGGCGAAGGCGAGCGGTCGCAGCTGCCTCACCGTCACGAAGCCAAAGTAGCGCGAGCCGGCCTGGCCCGGATTGAGTGCCGGCGCGACGTCGTCGAGCAGCACACGAGTCGTGCGGCTCAGACCGAGGCCGTGCTCGGGCAGCTCATCGGGCAGCACTACCAGCGCACGGTCCAGTGCCGCAGCCGGTGCCACGAAGGGCTGCTCGCGCGGCGTGGGCGTCGTGAAGCGTGCCTCGGCCAAGCGGGACAGCTCGGCCAGTGCGCTGTGGACAGACTCGGCATCAGCGCTGCAGCGGCGCACAGATGCAGGTGCAGGTCCACGCACGCCGAGAAGGCCTCGAATGGCTCGAGCGCCTCGATCGGGCACGGCGGCGTCATGCTCGATCTCTGACCGCTGCAGGAGACACTGACTGCAGGGCTGCCTTTGCCGTCTGCGCCTGGTCCCGTCTAGGCGCGCGGCACTGTTGCGCTTGGTCCCTGCGCCAGGACGAGCACTGCTGCGGGGCGGGCGCTCTGACGGTCCGAGCGAAGCGACCGAGCGTCTGTGGCCAGACTTGCGGCTGATGTGGTGGGCTGACGCGCGGGGCACACGGTCCGTGCAGCGGGGCCATGTAGCGGCAAGCAAGCGACGGCAGGACGAGCAGCAGAGCGTGCGAACGCGGCCGAGTCACGCCAGTCCGCCTCATCTCCTTCAACGGTGCCAGCCAGCAGGCACTGCGAACCCAGAGGAGGCCTCGTAGGGTGTGCTTCTGGGCGTTGCGGCAACGGTGCCGCTGCTGGACCCCGCGTGCGAGATTGCCGCGCGGCCTCGAGAGGCTGACGGCTGCGACACGCGCGGATCTGCGAGGTGCGCGTCTCGACGCCGCGCGCCGGCGAAGTGGAGCGAGCGAGGCGAAACTCGCCGCGCCGGCACAATTTCTGATCGGCCGGTGAGTTCGCGCGAGCGCGAGGCAGCGCCTCGCTGCCTTCTTCGCGCGCCGCTGCGGGCGACTGGCATGCTGGCGGCTGTGAGATGGCCGGCAGCTCGGCGTTGCGCTGCAGACAGGAGAGAGCGGATGCGGCTGATGCGCCAAAGCAGCGCAAGGGCAATCTGGCGCCGAGCGCCGAGGCCACTCTGACTGCGTGCCTGACGGCTGGCGGCGCGCCGCGCGCGCGTGCCTCAAATCGCGGTGACGCGGTTGGCGGCGCTCGGCCCCTCGACGCTCAAGTGCGCAAATCTCCGTCGCAGCCTGCCTTCTCACCTTCTTCTCCTGCTAGCCCTCGCTCCCGCACTCCTTCGCTCGTGACCACATCTTCCCGCAAGAGCACCTGAACGCACCTCAAGCACACCCCGGCATGCACTCGATGCTCGCCGGCAGCGCCATGCGCGCTCTGCCTCGCCGCGCTGCCTTCGTCGCTGGCTCGCGGCGCGGCGCGGTCGCCTCGGCGATGGCCGTCTCGGCATGCTCGCCCTTCGGCGGCGCCGCAGCTGACCTGCAGGCGCGCTCCTTCTTCTTCGGCCGGCGCTCCGCAGAGCAGGGCTCGTCGCTGCTCGACACGCCCACCGCCCGCGCTGCCCTCAACGCGACGCAGTTCCACGCTGCCCCGGGCGCCCAGACGAGCGGCGCATCAGCACTGAGCCCCAACGGCGGCGCAAGGCTGCCGCCCATCGCGCCGCCGAAGAAGAAGCGGCGCGGCTTCTTCAAGCGTGTGGGCCGCCTGCTGGGCCTCATCACCCTCGCCGGCGCCGGCTCGTTCGCCTACTTCGTGCACGAGAGCAACAACCCGCCCAGCCAGCTGCCGCTCGACCCGACGAAGAAGACGATCGTGATTCTCGGCTCGGGCTGGGGCGCCACGGCGCTGCTCAAGGAGATTGTGAGTAGCGCGCCAGCCTGAGTGGCCTGCACTGCGAGACGCGGTGGCCCATGTACCAGGACACCTGGCGGCGAAGGGACCGATGCTATGTGCGCGCGCGTGCGCACCGGCAGGATGCGCCCGACTGCCGTGCGCCCGCCGCGGTCGGCGGCTGAATCGGCCGCACGATCTTCGCGCGCCGCGCAGATAGACGCGCGCTGCGTGCGCGCGAGAAGGCTGCGCGCCTATCTCGCCATGCCGATGCGCGAGCGAAAGGGCGCACCAGATGTAGCACTTGTGATCTCGAGGCGAAGCAAGGAAGAGGCAGCAGTGCGAGTTGAGGGATGTGCTCGTCGGTGCGGGCCTGGCTGTCGGGCAGATGCAGGTGCTCGTCGGTGCGGGCCTGGCTGTCGGGCAGATGCAGGTCGTGCGCGCGCGCTGGGCAGCGATGTGGAGGCGCGAATTTGCGCGCTGCGGCTGGCATCCATATCGCGCGCTGGATAGCAGCGTGCAGCTGGAGCGCAGATGGGGGTACGCAAGCACTTGCCTCGCTTGCCGGACAGCTGCATCACGAAGCTGCCGAGCGCTCTAAGTGAATCGCCGCAGCAGCGGTGCGGGCCTGAAGGATGTTGCTTGGCCCCTTTAACGCGCTGAACGAGGCTGATGCGCGTGCCCTCGCAGGACAACACCGAGTACAACATCGTTGTTATCGGCAAGACCAACTACTTGTGAGCGCGCTCGCTTCTGCTCCGCTGCGACAGCGCTGACACTTGCGAATGCACAGCCTGTACACCCCGCTGCTGCCGCAGGTGACCGTCGGCACGATCTCGCCGCGCTCCATTGCGCAGCCCACGCGGCACAACACGCGCTACAAGACGCGCGAGGTGCAGGTGCTCGAGGCCGAGGCCACCAAGATCAACGCCGCCGACAAGACGGTCGAGTTCGAGGATGTCAGCAACATCTACGGCCTCAACAACGGCTCGGTGACGACGATTCCGTACGACTACCTCGTCGTGGCTGTGGGCAGCCAGGTGCGTCGACTGCGAGGCTTTTGCATTCGCGCGTGAACTGACACTGACGCTCTCGCGCTTCCAGAACCAGGTGCGCAGCGCTCGTTCAGCGGAGCTTGAGGTCCAGCGCTAACTTGATCGATATACAGACGTTCGGCATGAAGGGCGTCGACAAGAACGCCTTCTTCCTCAAGGAGCTGGCTGACGCGACCAAGATTCGCTCGCGCATCATGGACCTGTGCGTGCGAACGTGCACCTGACACACTCGGCCTGTGCTGACTGGCCGCGCGCAGCATCGAGAAGGCTTCGCTCGTGGGCCAGAGCGAGGAGGAGATCGACCGGCTGCTGCACCTGGTCGTTGGTGAGTGGTCGAGGCGCGCAGTGCCTGATCCTTGGCTGACTCTCGCGCAGTCGGTGGTGGACCCACGGGTGTCGAGTTTGCCGGAGGTGAGTCTGGCTGTGCGACCGTACTGGCGGCGCTTCTGACGCCTCCTGCCGCTCTCAGAGTGCCACGACTTTATCCAGCACGACCTGTCGAAGTGGTACCCGCAAGTCGCCAACCGGTGAGCGCGACCGCCCGAGCTGCATTCAGAGCCAGTCGCTGACGCTCTCGCAGCGTGCGCGTGACGCTCGTCGAGGCGCTGCCCACCATCCTGCCCATGTTCTCCAAGGTGAGCACGCTACGGCCTCCGCCTCTTCGCTCTGGCTGACGCCGTCTGCAGAACCTCGTCGAGTACACGGAGAACACGTTCAAGTCGAACAAGATCACCATCATGTCGAAGCACCAGGTGTGCGACCTCGACGAGGAGAAGGTGACGATGAAGAATCCGTCGGGCGAGAAGATCGAGGTGCCGTGCGGCATGCTCGTCTGGGCCGCCGGCAACACGAGCCGGCCGATCAGCCGCGACCTGCAGTCGCAGCTCAAGGACAAGCAGACGGACCGCCGCGGCCTCAAGGTCGACGACCACCTGCGCCTGCTCGGCGCCGAGGACAGCATCTTTGCCATCGGCGACGCGACGGCCACTGCATGGGCACCCACGGCGCAGGCCGCCAGCCAGCAGGGCAAGTACCTTGCCAAGATCTTCGAGCAGCTCGCAAACGCCGACAAGCTCGACCTGCAGGCCATCGAGGCCAAGAAGAACGGCGCAGACGCCTCCGAGGTGGCGCGCCTCGAGCGCCGCGCCGCCCGTGCGGCCCGCATCAAGCCGTTCGAGTTTGTCAACAACGGCGTGATGGCGTCCATCGGCAACGACCGCGCCATCGCCGACGTGCCGATCGGCGGCGCCACCGTCTCGGCCAAGGGCACGGCGACGTACCTGCTGTGGCGCTCGGCCTACCTGTCCATGCTCTTCTCGCTGCGCAACCGTGAGTAGCGAGTGGCTCCAGACGGACAGGGCTTCGCTGACCTCTCTTCGTGACTACAGGCACTCAGGTTGCGCTCAATTGGGTCCAGGTGTGGACGTACGGCCGCGACCTGTCGCGCGAGTAAGGCAGACGGCCACGATAGCGCCTCGATGGCCGCATCACACGAGCGCGGCACGTCTGGGAGATCTCTAATAGCGCCGCCTCCGGTGCACCCCACTCTGCCTCGTCCTCGGCGACGGGCTCCTTCTGTCACGCAGCGCTCGATAACCATAGACTGTTTCCTTCCTCCGCGCGTGATGAGGCCGCGCATGCGCCGTTGCCGGCGGGCTGGCCCGACGCGCGTGCGCGATGTGGCGCTTCTATTTCATCGCCCGAAGGCTCTAGGCGAGGCCGCCGGCGTGCAGCCACTTGTTCGTCATGACGAGCGCGTTGGCCGGCTGGTCCAGCGGCACGAAGTGGCCAGACGCGTCGACGATCGCGAACGTGAGCTGTGCAGGGGAGCGGAGTGCTCAGCGAAGTCACTCGGCAGGGCGCGCCTGCACCACTCACGTTGCCGTAGCTGCGGAACACGCCGGCCTCCTTGTCCTCAGCGCCGAGCCAGGGCGCGAGCGGCTGCTTGCGGAACTCCTCCGCACCGCTCCACTCGAGGTCGAGCGTCCAGGCCTCGTTGCCGAGGTGGTTGCAGATGAAGTCGCGCTTGCCTAAATGGGATAGGATGTCAGATGCGTAGCGCAGGAAAGCGGACAGGCCGCCTCACCGGAGTAGGTCAGCACGCGCGTGCCCTTCTCAAGGATCTCCTTGACTGCAGAGCAGATGTCAGTCCGAGCTTGGCGGGTCAGCTTGGCGGCACTCACTGGCCCACGTCGTGTCCTTGGCGCCGTCACCCGTCGAGGCAAAGTGCTTGTACACGGCATCAGAGCAGCCGATGAAGACGCCGTCATGCTTGTCGCCGGCGCCGCGCTTGTCGATGCCGAGCGCCTTGTGCGTCTTCGGGTCGTTGAGGAAGGCCGCGACCCACTCCTCCTGCTCGTAGTCGCCCATGTGCGACCAGTCGTACGCCGACATGCCCGTGTCCGTCCACGGGTCCGAGAGCGCGGCCTCGCAATACGTCAGCGCGCTCTTGCAGGCCAGCGTGTCGAAGCGCGAGTCGTGCATGGGCGTGTTGCACTTGTTGACGAGCGCCAGGCACGGCGCGATCTGCGCCTGCATGTCGGCGCACTTCTCCTCGGAGAAGAACGTGCCGTAGCCGCTTTTGTTGGCGCACGAGTACTCGACGTAGGCCGGGAACTGGTGCTTCGGGCTCGTGATGCCGTTGCCGATCAGGACGGACTGCGCAGGGCGTCAGACAGAACGGCAGTGGGGCAGCGAGGTCATGCTCACAGCCAGCGGCAGCGGCTCGATGCCGTACTCGGGATGCGCCACAGCCTCCTCGTTGTCACGCAGCAGCTGAGCCGCAATGAGCGGGATCCAGCGGCCGGCGTAGCTCTCGCCTGCCAGGACAGTCAGCAGAGGGCTGAGTTGCAGCGGCACCAAGGCACGCACCGGCGATGTGGAACGATGTCACGCCGTCGTTCTTGAACAGCTCCTTTGCGTGCATGCCCCAGAGCTGCAGGAAGGCGCTAGCGTCCCGTGCGGCTGCCTCGGCATCGTAGATGCGGCCCGGCGCGGGGTCCTTGCGCGACTTGTCCGCCCAGGAGGCGTACGAGAAGCCAACACCGACGGGCTGGCGCAGTGGTGAGCTCGCTGCGGGCACCGCTGCATGCGGCACGGCTTACCTGGTCGAGGAAGAGCATCGTGGCGTTGTTGTTCCACGCGTAGGGGTTGAAGTCGGTGTGCGGGCCCTTGCTGGTGTTGAAGGGCGCGGCGTTGCACGGGCCGAGCTCCATCAGGAGGCCCGTGAACGAGGAGCAGCCGGGGCCGCCGTTGAGCTGCAAGCGCGAGGTCAGAGGCGATCCTGGTTCGTGGCCAATCGCTATAACAGCGCTTCGCCAGTCGCAGCAGTAGCACCCCTCCAGCACTCACCCACAGCACCGTCGGGTCCTGCGCCGCCTGCTCGGAGCGGCTCTCAAAGGCCCAGAAGTAGAAGTGCTCGAGCGTGGCATTGGCGCTGCGCTTAAGCGGCAGCGACGCGCCGTGCTCGTGGGCGTGCAGCGCGTCGACGTCGACGTCGAGGTAGCCGCTCCAGGAGCGCGACTGGCGCTCGCAGATGGCGCCCGGCGGGCTGGTGAAGCGCAGCGTGTGCGCCGGGTAGGCCGGGTGCTTGAAGGTGTGCAGCGTCGTCTCGTCGGCCGTGCGCTCGAGCGACAGGCCGAGCGGCAGCTGCGCCGCGCGGGCCAGGAGCGGCGCGGCGGCAGCGAGGAGGAGCGTTGCGAAGCGCATCGTGCAGAGCGGAATGGTGGACGGGAAGAAGGTGGGGTGCCGCTGCCGCTGTACCGCTGGCACCTCAGGAGCAAGCCACCGCTCCCGCCGGCTTGGAACTTTCGGCCTCGCGCCCGCGGCCGGCGGCCGTGCACGCTCGCAGCCTGCTATCGATCGCCTGGCGCTGCTCCCACCGCACGCGCCCTGGTCGCGGGCGCGCGTGCGACTCCGCCTCCGGCTGCACCGGCCCGCGCAAGCGTCCCTCGCTCGGCGCTCGTCAGCGCACCGGCGAGCCCTTCCCCGCGCGTTGCGCGAGCGCGCGCGTGACTGGTGCTCGAGCGGCCGTGCGTCGGCGAGCGCAGCACAGCACGTCTCTGTCTCTCACCACCACTCGTCCGCCGCACCTGCCGCCGCCATGTCGCTGCTGCGCTCCTACGACGCCTTTCTCTTTGCCAACGCATCGCAGATCACCGCCGTCGAGAGCTCGCTGCGCAGCCTCGCCTTCTTTCTCCCCGGCCGCTTCAAGGATGCCGAGCTGTGAGTTGCAGAGCGTCGAGCAACGGGTCGCGTGGAGCTCGCACTAACCCTTCAATCCCCCGCAGTACAGCTGAGGCTCGTGAGTTTGACATGAGGTGGCGCTTGAAGGAGGCGGCAGAAGCCCGCCTGCCATGCTCCGTCCCGAGCGGGCAGAGGACCACCAGCTGACACTGTGCTGCTAGTGTCGGCCAGCTTGAACATCTTGGGCCTGTACCACGACTCGATTCTCTATCGCCTCGTCTCCTCCGGCTCGTCGCCAGCCTCGTCCTCCTCGTCGCCCGGCCTGGACTCATCAAGCCCCGCACGGCTAGCATACACGCCCTCGCCGCACGCGCGCTACACCACCCACTTCGCCGACTCGTCGCCGGCGTACAACCTCTGCGCCCGCGCGCTCGTGCTGGTGGGCTACACGGAGCTGCTCGCTGAGATGCTGGCGCGCAGGAGAGGCGGACGGAAGCGTGCCTGGGATGTAGTCGTGGGCATCGAGGGAGTCAAGTGAGTGGATGTGCAGAGACTAGTGGCAGACGCAGTGCGGTCTCGGGCAGCATGAGCGCTAGCTCGCCTGCCTGAGCTGTGACGAGCGCTGTCTTTGTGCCTTCCACGCGTTGCTGATGCTCTCGCAGGGTCGCACTGCGCCTGGCGCTCCTGCGCCTGACCAAGATGCGGCCTACTATCCAGCCGCCGATTCCGGAGCGCGAGGTCGACCCTGCGCTTCTGGAGGACCTTCCGGCGTCTGGAACAGCCTCGCCGACGCAGTGGCGCGGCGCACGCACCGGCCTGTCGCGCCCTACGCTGGCTTCTCTGAAGGCGCCGCCCGCCACGCCTGCCAGCGGCATCGCCGGCCCCACACGCGCGCGCCTGGCCGCTGGCTCGCGCAGCGGGCGCAGCGCAGCGAGCGAGTTTGACTCGGACTCTGACTCAGACGACACGCTCGTCGAGAGCCTGACGGAGAAGGACGTCAACGACTACCTGCTCAGCAAGACACTCAAGCCGGCAGATGTTCGCAGCCCCACGGAGCTGGTGCGGCCAGTGTCGAGCCGAGAGGGCCTGCTCGCGGAGGGCATCTGGATCGCGCGACCTTTCGCGTATGGTGAGTACGCCGTGGGCCTGAGGCGGAGCTTGACCAGTGCTCAACGGGCTCACTCCGTCCATCAGCTCTCGCGCTGCGCAAGTACGGCCGGAAAGCGCTGCTGCCTTTCTTCCTGTCCCTGCTGCTGGAGCTGCTGGCGCGCACGCTGCGCCAACGCTCTCTCGCTCTCGCCTCCGGTCCGCGCACGAACCCGCTGCTGCTGGCTCTCTCGGGCGGCAACCCGCTGCTCGGCCTCGTCACGGCCTTCCTCGGCGGCGCGCCGACCAATCAGGCCGTGTCGGACGTGGAGGCGGCGGAGTGGAAGCGCCGCGGCCGTGCCTTCTGGTGGTACCTTCTGCGTGGACCTGCGTGGGACGGCTGGACCAAGTCAGTATGCCAGCCTTCTTTGCTGCCTTGCGAGCTGTGCTGACACCTCCCTTCTCAGGCCGAAGCTCGAGGGTCTTGCCCGCGCGACGGAGAACCGCACGCTGCTGGGCATCGTCGGCGGCATCGTGCGCGACCACATTCCGCTCGTCGACGAGTACCACTTCTACTCGGCCACGTGAATGCGCATCGCACGCCTTGCGGCAAGTAAGATCTGGCGGCGTTCCGGGGGAGGCGGCGCGGCGGGTGGTGTCATGGTACAGCGGGAGCGGGATAGCGGGATTGCGAACTAGAGGGTCGATGAGGGACGTTGAAGCATGACGGGAGCGAGGTGGGAGTGGTGGCACGGCGTGTCTGGGTGGCCCGCACGCGGGCCGGGAATGGTGTGTAGCTGATGAGGTGCGGCGCGGACTGGTCGGATGAGATGCGAGCGAGCGGGAAGATGGTACAGGAAGGGTTGCCTGAAGGACGTCGAGGGACGCCAAGGGCAGGCCTCTGAGGTCGAGAAAGGGCGGGATATACTGGTGTGGCTTGCCGTCTAGACAGATCCGGCGTCTTGCGAGCCGACGCGGCGCTGCAGCGCGCTCAGGCGCTTATTGATCGACTTGACGACTGAGCAAGGTGGCATGAGCGGAGAACGTCTGAGAGGCTGCACAGGCGGCAACTCACACTTCTCGATCGTCGCGGCGGCGCCGTCGCTCACGTCCATGGCCTCCTCGCCAGGGTCGAGCAGCGCGAGGAGCATCGACGAGGCAGTCTCGTAGGCGAGCAGGCAGCGGTTGGCGTCCCAGCTGACGCCGACACGGTTGTTCTCCAGCTCGTCGAGGGCAGCGCCGCGGGCCTGCAGGAGATGTCAGAACAGTGCAGAGGCTAGACTGCGCTATACTCACGATCTCGAGGGCCTTGTCGAAGATGAGCTTGTCCACATGCTGCGCAGACTCTGGGATCTCGCCGCAGCGTGCACGAGCAAAGTCGGCGCGCTCGTAGCCTTCGTTGAAGCGTGCACGCAGCCACTGCACCACGTCGTTGACGTCGGCGCTGGCCGCGGCAGGCAGGCCGGGCCGCGAGCGCGCCTCGAGGAAGATCTTGACTGCGTCGATGCCGCGCTGCAGGAAGGTCAAGCTCTTGACGTAGAGCAGCAGCGCCTCGGCGGCAGCAACCTCTGCAGGTCCCGACGTAACGTGAACACTCTCGTCCGCGTGCATGCCGGCCGACACGGAGCTCGAGCTCGAGCTGGTGCGAGGCTGTGCGCCAGGTCGTTCGCCAGCAGGGCTGTCCATGCCGGCACTTCGGCCCAGGCTGCGACCGCCAACGGCGACTGATGCCTCCAGCTCTGGCGTGGTGGCGCCGGCCTGGTGCGGCCCAGTATGGAAGTACGCTGCGAGACGCGAGTCGGCGAACTCGGAGAGGACAAAGGCCTTCTGTCCGAAGTCCTCTAGCGTGACGAGCAGTCCAGCCTGACGGAGGCCAAGGATGTCAGCTACATCGTGACGACGCCCAGCAGCTGACGGCTCACCTCAGCGGCATCCGGGTACTCGCCGGAGCGGATAAGCGCAGCGCGACGGCTGGAGCGGCTGCGCACCAGAGCAGCCGCGCCGCGCAGGCTCATGCCGCTCGGCACGCCAAAGAGTCGCACGCTGGCCATGCTGATTGCCCGAGCGAGAGCTGAGCTTGTCGGACCAGCCGCGGACCACGCGACGCCGGAAGCGGCCGCGGTAGCTGCAGCAAGGTCGTGAGCAGGCGGCGAGGGCGAAGCGTCGAGCGCCGAGCCGCCTGCTGCGTTGCTTCCGCGCATCGAGCCGTACGAGCGAGGAGCAGTGCTGGCGTCGATCGGCGACGAGGGACTGCCGCTGGTGCCGGCCGGCGGCGAAGGTGCGGAGATGCGTGGACTCGGCGCGTTCGAAGAGCTCAAGCTAGAGCGCCGCACGAACGACGGCCGACGCGCTACGCCCGCCGGAAGCGCAAACGGAGCAGACGGCGGCGGCGTTCCTATCTTGGGTGTGCTGCTTGGGCTCGAAGCAGCTCGCGAATGCATAGCAACTGGCGGCACGTACGTGGCCGGACCGGGCGGAATGCCCACGGTCGCGGGAGAGAGCTGCGCTGCCAGACCGCTGCCAAGTCGGCTGAGACGGCTTGGGCGGCGACCGAGCGTGGCGGGCGGCGAGCGGGGGCTTGCGCGCGCTGCACCCCCGGCGAGCTCATCGGCGAGCGCATTGACCTCGACGCTGCGCTTCTCGACCATGACGTACTCGCGTCCGAGGAAGCTGTCAGAGTCGGCAGCCGGCGCAGCGACGCTTTGGACGTCTCCTGCGCCGAGGACAGCTCCTGGCAGATGTGTCACGCTGGAACTGGGCGTCTCGAGCACATCGTCTTCGACCGACGAGGGCCCGTCTTGCGTGGTAGCAGAGCTCGGGCGACGCCGTGGACTCTGTTGGACAGGGCGCGTGCGATCGCGCGCGAGCGCCGGAGCAGGGACAGCTACTGCCGCTGGCTGAGCCGGCGGAGACGGGCTTGCGACAGGAGGCGCCGAGGCGGCCGGCGCGCTGACGTTGCCGACGACGTAGCGACTGGCGAAGCCGCGCTTGACGGGCGGCGGGGGTGGCGCGGGAAGCGACTGCTCGCTCGGCGCAGGCTGAGCGACAGTGGAGCGTGGCGAGATCGGCGACAGGGGCGTGTAGGTGGGCGCTGCGGCCTTGCGCTCCTCTGCACGGGCCGCCTGCGCGCTCGCCTCTTCGGCCGCGGCACGCAGGCCTGCCGCTCGCTCGTCTTCCTCGCGGCGCACGTCCTCGACGACACCGCAGCGGAAGAGGCCATCGAAGGTCATGCGCTCCATCGGCTTCTGGCGCAGCAAGCCGCGCACCAGCGCCTTAATGTCGGCACTGACGGTGTGCGCCTTCTTGATCTCGGTGTAGTCGAGCATCTCCTCGCGGCGCTCGCGCTCGCGCGCCAGACTGCCCTCGCTGCGCTCGTCGGGGAAGCGTATCCGGTCCTCGCCGCGCTCGATCTTGCGCAGCAGCTCGACGTGGTTCTGCGCGCGGAACGGCGGCTTGCCCACGCTCATCTCGTACAGCACCGCGCCCACGGACCAGAGATCCGCCTTGGCGTCGTACTTCTCATAGCGCAAGATCTCAGGTGCCATGTAGAGGCTGCAAGAGCTGCGTCAGTCTGAGCCCGCTCAATCCCGGCGCTGTGCTACTCACGGACTGCCGCAGAGCGTCTCGGCGAGCGTGGCTGTTGGCAGGTTGCGGGCAAAGCCAAAGTCTGCCACCTTCAGCTGCGGTATCCCGACGCGATGCCCTGCCGCCAGGAGCTTCTCGTCTGGCGGCTGAAGCAGCAGGTTCTGCGGCGGCTCATCAGCTGTGCGCCTGGGCTACGGCAACAGCGCTGCTCACCTGCGGCTTGATGTCGCGGTGCACGATGTTGCGGTCGCGCATGAACTCCATGGCGCTCGCGAGCTGCTGCAGGAAGCTGCGCACCACCGTCTCGTTGATGCCGCCGTCCTCAAAGTGCGGAAAGGCCGAGGCGCCGACCAGCTCACCGCTCTTGGCAGCCACGTCGGTGGTCGAGCCCGCCCGGCCTGCCGCTGCCTCGGCCGCTAGCCGCGGTGCAGCGCGGATGTAGTGCGAGAGGTCGCCCGACGCGCAGAAGGGCATGACGAGGTAGATGCGGTCGTCGGTGCTGAGGCAGTCGAGCAGCTCGACGACGTGGCGGTGGCGGATGGTGCGCATGATGGAGATCTCGCCCTCGAGATTCTCGAGCAGCTTCGTCGTGAGCTTCTTGCGGTTCACGATCTTGATGGCGACGTGCTTGACGCCGTAGCCGGGACTGCCGGGCTGCGTGACGTGCGAGACGCCGCGGTGCACGACGGCAAAGGAGCCCTTGCCGATCTCACGCCCGATCTCGTACGGCCCGACGACGTGCGCCGTCGACGAGCTCAGCGGCGTCGACATGGCGGCTGCGGCGGCGGTGCGAGGCGAGCAGGTGCGTGCCCCGTCAGGGCCAGGCCGAGCGTCGCCGTGCGTCGCACTCGGTCGCGCCCGATAAGGATGTGGAGCGGCGGGCGAGCGACGTGCGTAGCGAGCAACGCTGCCAGCGATGCTAGGGCGTCACGCGCTGCGGCTGCGATGGGAGTGAGAGGGCGAGACGCCGCCGTGGGTGAGCGCTGCGATTGCCGGCGAGGTCGTGTGGGGGTGCGCAGCGCGATGCCGCGGCGAGCTGTGCGCAGCAGCGGGAGCGGCGCGGCGCTCGGCGCGGCGGGCAGTGGGGGCGAGGACTGCGCGCCGGGGCGCAGTGGGCGGCGCAGCGACGACGAGCTTGCCGGCGGGTGTAGGGATGGTGGTGGGCGGAGGCGAGGCAGCGGCGAGGTGAGGCGAGGCGAGGCAACGTCAGCGCCTGATCAAGAGTCACGCTGCATCAGCAGCAAGGCAGCGAGAGCGCGCTGACTCGGCCCGAGCCCGACCGTCAGGGTGCGCGTGCAGGCGGGGAGCGGTGCAGGCACGCAGAGCAGGCAGCAGCAGCAGCCCCGCGCCGCGCCCCGTGCACGCCGGCAGCAGCACAGCATCAGCGTGCAGCAGGCAGGCAGGCACAAGAGCATCACAGCGGCACGGCTCCACAACAAGGATCTCAGATCGGTCACACGCGGCGCACACGCAATCACGCCGCGTCGCGTCGCGATAGCATCAGCGCAGCCGGCGGTCGCCCAGCGGCAGCCTCAGGGCCTGTCCTCGCCATCAGATGGCCGAAAGCGTCGCAGGTGAGAGTCTCGCAGGTGCGCTGCCAGTCGATGCAGAGCAGAGGCCGTCAGATCGTCTTCACCGCAGCCATGTCCTGCAGTCGAGGTGCGCGTGGCTGCGGGCGCCGCTGCCACTCCTGCCATCGCGCGCGTCGATGGCGCCAGTTCATCCGCCGCTCCGCCACCGCCGCGCGCCGCTTGCTCTCCCCGCAGTGCAGGCGCCCCTATTGCCGAGCCTGTTTGCTCTCTGCGCCCAAGTCACATTGCCACTCTCGCCGCACAGGGGCAGCCACTGGCGGCCAAAAGGGGCGCCGCGCCGCGAGGAGGTCAAGCGCTTGCTGGCCGCCCGGGTGCAGAGCGAAGCGCGAGCGTTGAACAGGGCCAGCGCGCAGCGACGCCAGGGTAGCAGCCGCTCTGCCTCTTCTCGTGTTGAGCCAGGGTGGGATGGCTCGTGCAACCTCTTGCAAGCTCGCTCGAAGCAGCATGGCGCCGTCGCCGAAGCGGCTCCGGGTAGCCTGCTCTCATGCGCCCCGCAGAGCCTGAAGGGTCCGAGCTGGCGCGTCGCCGAGGCGCGGCAAAAGAGCTCGCTCCTCATCAGCCGGCGGCACGGCGATGCTCCCTGAAGCGAGCTGCATGTGTCAGCCTCGCGCTGCAGCTCACTGGCCGCCTGACGCTGGACAGCAACAGGCTTCGATCGGACGAGCAGGACAGAAGATTCGATTTGAGAGACAAGGAGGGTAGCCTGAACGGGCAAATGAAGAAGAGGGCGCAGTGAGTGCTGTGCTCGACGAGAGGCTTGCTTTGGCTGCCCGCCACTGACCTGGTGGCACACGAGCTCTCCATTCTTGGCAGCAGGAGGCGCTCATTCAAGCAGAGATATGGAGAGGAGGCGCAGATATCAGTCTTAGGCAGGCTGAAGCAGTCATCGTCCCCCGCAGGCCGAGGGCGCTGCGAGATGAGCCGGCAGAGAGGTGAGTGGCATTCGACGTCACCGCCGCGAATCAGCTGCGATGATGGCGCTTCTCTCTCGCCAGCGCAGTCGTCATGATGGCGACGAGATGGCGCAGCGGTGCTGCTCGCGACGAGGGACGCCATGCAGACGAAGGAGAGCATGCTGCCGGCGGCACCGTGGCCGAGGCCGAGGGCGCCAGTGGCTGCGTGCTCTCACGGTGCGGCGTCACTGCACGCGCGGAGAGAGCACGCGGCACGGGAGCAGTGTGCGCGCCACTCAGGGGCTCGATGAGCAACACGCGGTGGAGGCAGAGGAGGCTCTCTGCGCGCCCGGCCATCCGTTGTGCCTCCTGCCTCCGCCCACACGCTCCCCCGCACCGCCGCGACCACAGGCCGCATACACACCACCGCCATCGCAGCCTCAACCTGCACCTCTCATCCATCCACCAAGACGCCGCCTCGTTGCGCCAGAGCCGTCCTCGGCGAGCCCACCTCTGCCGTGCTCAAGTAGAATCTACAGCATGCCGGCCCTCTGCCGCAGCGCCGCCGCCTACGACTCGCTGCCGCGCGGCGCTCGCGGGCCCAATGCCGCCGTGCACCGTCTGCGAGTCTCCTCGGGCGCCGCTTTCCGCGACTCAGAGGAGTTCGGCAGTCCCAGCGGCAGCACCGCCGCCCTCGTCGCCGCCGCCAAGGACAACGCGCCTTCGGGGCGTCGTCGCCGCACACACAGCGCCGCGCCGGGCGGTGCTGCTGCCGCACTCCTCTCGCCACGCAGTCGCCGTGCTCGCAAGGACGTGCAGCTGCCGCTCGCCAGCTCGGGCCCTAGCGACGGCTGGGACAGCTCGGCGTCCGACGAGCGCGACGCCGAGGCGCAGCTGCTTCGCGGCGTCAGCAGTGCGCCGTCGAGCCCCGTCAAGGGCGCGGCTCCTCACAGTCGCTCAATCGGCGCTCCGCTAAGCCCAAGGTCGCAGGAGAGGGGCGCTGCACGAGGAATTGGCAGCCCGGGTAGCCCGGTCCCGGCGCGGAAGAGAATCGTGGACAAGCGCGTCATCGGCCTGCCCACCAACTTTCAGGTGAGTGCGCTTCTCTGGCAGTGCATGTGCACGGCGACACTGACGCCGATTCATTAGCACACTGGACATATCGGAGCCGCTTCATACGGTACGGCAGTGTCGCAAGCGAGCGCTGCCGCGCTTCAGGCACAGCTGTCCGAGGTGGCGGCAGCGCTGTCCATGGACCTTGGGCCGATGAGCACTCCTGCCTCGCGCGTCACGACCGCATCTCTGCCTGCCGCACCGCCTGCGCCGCCGACCAAGGAGACCTCGCTCGAGACGGCCGCTACGCCGCTCGCCGCTGTGGACGAGACGCTCGCCGAGCCCACGACGCCTTTCACACCCACCGTCGAGCACTACTCGGCGCCCACTACGCCCTTCACACCGACTGTCGAGCAGCCTGTTTCTCCCGCTCTGCTCTCGCCCGCCGAGATCGACGAGCAGGACGCTGGCGACACGACGCTGACGGCGCCTGATGTGGCCTCGCCTACGCGCTCCAGCGCATCCTCTGCGCACGCTCGCACTCCGAGCGACGAGACGCCCTCCATTCGTGCGGTGGTGCGGCGCTCGTCTGAGGACGAGGAGCTTGCGGACGACTTTGCGCCAGCTTTTCAGAGCAGCTACACGCCAGCTGCGTCATTCCCGCAGACCTCCGCGCCCTCCAGCCCGCGCATGGTCGTCTCGCCTGCGTCGCCGGTGCGCCGCAAGGTCCCATCAACGATGGGCCCATCTTCTTCCGTCACGCCTAGCGCCTTTGGCTCGCCCTCGCGCTCCTCCGCCGCGCCGCCGGCCGTGCCGAGCACAGGCGGCTTCGGCCGTGCCAAGCGCAAGCCCGTGCCTGCGGCGCTCGCTGGCATTCTGGCAGACCCGGCCGAGCTGGCAAGCGCGGGCCACAGCACGGACGACGACGTGCCGCTCAGTCCCGAAGCAGACCTGTCTCGCAATGCGAGCGTCCTGGGCGACCTGCCGAGTCGCTTCGGCGCCGCTGGAGGTGCAGCGGCCAAGAACGGCAGCTGGGCCGCGCGAGGCAGCACGCGCGAGAAGCTCAACCCTCTCGAGCGTGCGCGCATCGCCGCGGCCAAGCTGGAGGAGGCGCAGCGGCTTCTAGTCGAGGGCACCGGCGAGCCGGCCGCTGATGCCGAAGCACCGGCACCGCCGGGCAAGGACGAGCCAATCCGCGCGCCGACGCTGGCGCAGCAGGCAGCCTCGATCCGCCTCAACGGCAAGCGCATGGTGCAGGGCCCGACGGGCGCGTACATCACCGACACGGCAAATGGCCGCTGGAACACGGCACTGGACGAGATCACGCGTGCGCTCGCAGCTGCTGGCATGGACCCCAACGAGCCGGCGCAGGACGACGAGGAGAGCATGCGTGAGGCTATGCGCCAGGCTGATGCTGTGCTGGGCCGCCTGGGCCACGATGTATGAGCGCGAAGCAATAGATCAGTGCAGCTCGCAGTCGATGTGATGCGTGACAATTGTGCCTCATCCGAGCGCCTGTCGATACAGGTCTTCGCCCACCAGGCCCTTCAGCTCTGTGAGGTGATCTCGCAGCCAGTCGCGCACGCCTTGCGTCTCGGTCGCAGCCACACGCACGATGGCGGCGCTGCCAGCCGGCGCATTCGGCAGCGTCAGAGGAGTGAAGCTCCAGAGCAGCGGCGCCGGTCGGCCACTCGAGGGCACGACGCGCTGCTGCACCTCTGCGAAGGCGGCACGGCAGGCCTCCATGGCTGAGCGGCACTCGGGCCCCACTAGCACGAGCGTGGCGTAGCATGTGTACGGCGCACAGCGACGTGCCAAGGGCGTGCCGCCAATGAGCTCGGTGAGGTCGTTGGGCAGGCCGTCGTCCTCTTGTGCCAGGTGCAGCACATCGCGCGCCAGCAGGTGGCCGGCCACGCGCACCTCGTTGCGGCTGCGGTAGCTCTCGAAGGCCCACACCTCGGGCCGCTCCTCGTGCGAGGCATTGGTACCCGTCGCAGATGCCTTGGCCAGGTGGATGCGGCCAGGTGTGAACCAGTCGAGCAGCACGAGCGAAGACGTAGTGGCGCTACGCAGATCGAAGCGCTGCGTCTGCACGTAGCGCGCCTGTGCGAAGCACGTCACGGGATCCGGCAACAGCACGAGGCTGGCATTCGGGCGCACGAGCATCCTGAATGTCTGCCGTGTGCTCGAGGCTGGAGAAGCGGCAGGCACGGAGCCAAGCCCTTTGGCTATCCGGGTCTGGCGCATCTTGAAGACCTTGGTGCTGCCCTGCGTGAGGAGGAGCAGCACACAGCCGTGGCCCACGTCGATGTCGAGCGAGACTGTGTCGCCGCTGACGAGTCCGCCGCCATAGCTGACGACGTAGAGCACTGCTACGGCCGCTAGAGGCTTCCCATCACCCTCTCGGGCCCGAGCAGCAAGCTGCGTCCGCCTTGATGCCGCCTGCGACGAGGCACGCGGATGCAGCAGCTTGAGCGGGAACGAGGCGAAGAGATGCGTAAACGTCGCATCGCGTGCTGTCACGTTGGCACTCGGGCCGCTGGCATCACCGCCGTGCACGTTTGAGGAGCCATCGTGTGCCCGCAGCACAGCGAGGCCGCTGCCCGTGTACGTCTCGGTGCGCAGCGGCGGCGGCGCTCGCGGGAGCCGCTCGAGTACGGCGAGCTGCTCGGCCTGCAGCTTGGCCTGCGCGGAAGACTCTGCTACCGAGGAGCTTGCGCCGGGCACGGCATACGACGAACTTGCTGCCGCCATCGCCTCGACCGAGCAAGCGCACGAAACACCTTGAGCGTATGGCCCAGAGCAGGCACGTCGTGCGCCTCGCCCAGCAGCCCCTTGGAACTCGCGGACAAGAGCTGTGCTACGCCCGCGTGCTTGCGAGCGAGACCCGAGCTTGATCCTGTTCCTCGAACTTTCCGCTTTAGGCTGTTGTTTGATGTTTTGAGGAGAGAGAGGCTTGAGGAGAAGAGCGGCTCGAGGCTGCGCGCCAAAGATAGCAGCAGCCTGCGCCGGCGGCCCGAGTTCCGCCGGCGGTGCGCCTGCCGCGCTGCGAGCCTCGCCTCGCGTGCGCCGGCACCGCTCCTCGCCCCTCGACCCAGCCATCAGGTACGCTCAGAATCGAATGCAGCTGGCCGCCGGCGAGGCGCTACGAGATGCTCTTCCTCGGCCCAAGATCGAGCCTTCCGCCTTGTGCCTGGAGACGTCACTGCTTTGAGCGGCGACAGGAGACGGATAAGTATAGCGCGCCTCCTGAGCCAGAACGCCGCAACAGGAGGAAGAGGCTTCTGCCTAGACCTTCTGTGCGCCAAGTGCATCGCACCCTGAATAGCCTCCTCAACGGGCGAAGCCGGATGGGGAGCACGTTCGCGACGCTACGAGGGGGCTTGCAGAAGGAAGACACGGCACGGTCCAGCTCGCGAGGCGGCACGTCGAGATGGCGGGAGAGGGAGCGGCTCGGCACAGCCACGGCAAGCCCCCTCTCTTCTATCAAGGGGCAAGCTTCAGCCCCGACGCTGATCCGACGTCGTCCCGAGAGTTCACGCAGTTGTCAGGCTCATGCGCGTTCCTGGAGGTGCCTTGCAAGAGGAGGGAAACGAGGCCTGCGCTGGAGGCAGTGCTGGAGGCAGTGCTGGAGGCACTGCGCTGCCTGCCGGCTGTGTCTGGCCACGGCTGCGAGTCAAGCTGCCCCAGCCCCCGGACGCCGGTGCCGAGCCTCCACGGCACGGCATTCTTTGGACAAGGTGACTTCCAGGCTGTGTCTAGTGCTACACCCTGATTTGGGTGCTCTGCCGGCGTGCGGTTCCCCTCTCACGACGCGATCGATCAGGAGCTTCCGCACTGAAAGCTCGCTAGCCGCGAGGGCGTAATGGCCTCCTGTCTGCATCGTCGATCCAGACCGAAGAGGAGGCAGGAGCTCAGCTGGAGATCGCCAGGGGCACAGTGGCTGGCGTTAGTCGTTCCTTGAGGAACAGTGCAGCCAGGCAGCCCTCCTCGCGCCAGGGGCCGCTTCGTCGCCGGTCTGGCTGTGCAGCGGAGCGTGTGGGTCACCGACGGCGTGCGTGCTGGCCAAGCATTCGATTGACGGCCTCGAAGGTGTGCAAAGAGATGTGCTCGGCCGCCATGGCGTTCGCCATAGCGCGTGCCGGAGAGACTGGAGCCGTCGTCGTCGTGTATAAGAAGGACTCGTCTCGCCCGCTATCCTCGCCTCTCCTCATCCTCCTCCGTCCTCCCACATCTTCCCACCTCTTCCAAGCTCAACTCCCACCCAACCCCACACTCTTTCAACATGCGTTTCGCCTCCATCGCCTCCATGGCCCTTGGCCTCGTCGCCTGCGCCGGCTCGGCGCTCGCCGCCAACGCTGCCACGCAGTCCGTGCTCGCCGCCGTCGGCCAGATCGACACCGAGTGAGTGGGCAGAGGGCGACCCGCGCCATGCCGCAGCGCTGACCCGCTTCTGCAGCATCAACATCATGGGCGCCTCGTTCCAGGAGTTCGCCGCCGGCACGACTGACCAGGAGTCGTCCGACGCCGCGCAGAACGCCGCCTCGAACCTCGTGTCGACGCTGCAGACGGCCATCTACGTCGTGTCGCAGCCCGGCGTCAAGGTGCAGGGCTCGGACGTGCGCAAGATTGTCAACACGTGGGTTTCGCCGTCTGCTTGCCACCGCGTGCGCCTGCTGACCCAGAGTGTCGACCTCGCAGCCTCCAGACCTCGGCCGCCACCATTGACTCCATCGTCGAGGCCCTGATCGAGAACAAGGACGCCATCACGTGCGTCTCCCCTGCTCGCTCTGCACCGCTTGCCGCTGACCCTCTCCCTGTCCACAGCCAGGCCGGCCTGACGGACACCGTGTCGCAGGCTCTCCCCCCGATCGCCCAGACGTACGAGTCCTTCTTCGAGGCCGTCGTCGCCGTCGCCGACCCCAAGTACCAGCCGTCGCTGCAGGCCGCTGCCGACCAGATCAACGGCGACATCGACGAGGCCGTCGCCGCCTTCCCGGCCAGCACCGACGGCCAGCAGCGCCGCGCCCTCGGCCGCATCCAGCGCCGCTCCAACCGCGCCTAAGCGTCTCTCATGGACGCACCGTGCTCGGCTCATCGCACGTGCGTCTTGAGGTGCTCTCGGCCTGGCGGCATCTCGGCATGGCCTGCCCCGCCTGATGGCCGTGCCTTGTGCCTGCGCAGCGCACTAGGCGTGCCTGCGCCGACTGCTTCGGCTTTGGCCTCGTCTCGCTTTCCCCCTCCACCCTCCTCACCCGCCGCCCTGCCCCGTCCAGCTGTCTCTGCTAGATCGTCTCGGCTGCATCGTCATTATCCTCTCCTCCCTCTGCTCCTCTGTGTGATGCGTGCTGCATGCTGATGCGGCGGCGATGCTTGGCTGAGCTTGATGGACGGACTGCATGACGGGAGTGCGAGGCCGGCGCCGCGGTGCACGGGGTGCGGAAGCAGGCGGCAGCGAGGCGAGAGGTCCACACGCGGCACAACGCGCGGCGCATCCGCAACGGCGCGTCCCACGCGCTGCCTCAACGGCGCACCTGCAGCGCTGCGCCACGCCGAGGCAGGCGAGAGCATGGCTCAACACCGCAACAGGCAGGCGCCGAGGGGCCGACGCTGCAACTGGACTGAGTGCGGCAAGGGCGAGAGCATCGAGAGAGCCGAGCGAGGGCGAGCAGACGACGCAGCGCAGCACGGCTTGCGCTGCCTACGCCTGCGCCGAGCTCTCATGCAGCGGCCTCGCCCTCGCGCAGCGGCCTCGGAGGCTTCTGGCTGTGGGCCGCCCTCGGCCTACATATGCTGGCCCCTCCGTCGCAGCCTCCTCGCATCCCTCCCCCACTCTTTCATCTTCTCATCGTCTCCTAGGCACGCGCGTTGATCGCCGGACCGTCTCTCTTACTCCTTCTGATCGCTTCTTCTTACTCCTGGCCCAACTCTCTGCTCCGGCGCTTTGCTCTCGGCCCTCTCTCACTTCAGCCAACTTTCTTCACTCTCTCAACTCGAGGCCGGTCCTCTTCTCTCAGTACTCTCGCACCTGCATCCGCCAGCATGTTCTTCTCGCTGCCCCTCGCGTTCCTCGGTGTCGCCGGCGTGCTCGCGGCGCCCATGCCGCTCGACTCGCGCGGCCTCGTCACCGGCGCCAAGGCCAACACGACGGCCGGCGGCGTGGCGCCGCTCGGCCCCTCGTCGCTGGACGTCTTCCCCGCCGGCGGCAACTGCACCACGTCGTGGAGTCCGGCGCCGCTCGACGGCAAGGTGCCGTGGAACAACATGACGATCAGCCTCATGACGGGGCAGAACGCCAACATGACGACGCTCGCCACCGTCGCCAGCGGCATCGACGGCACCAACGCGTGGGCGACCAAGTACACGTTCGAGTGTCCCGACGTGCAGCCGTACAGCCAGATCTACTTCCTGCAGTTCAGCAATGGCTACGACCCCATGGCGTCGCAGTGGACGACGCGCTTCACCATCGCCTCGCCGCGTGGCGAGACGACGCCGCCCGAGTTCGCCACGCAGCCGACCGGCGAGGCCGTGCCGTGGGGCAACGGCCGCCTCGTCACCGACAGCAAGGGCGACATTCCCGGCGCCACCAAGGCCTCCAATGCCAGCGCCCAGGGCACGGCGGCCAAGTCGGCCTTTGCCTCCATCTTCGCCACGCCCTCGGCCGCCGTCAAGGCAAAGGCGGCGTACACGAGCGGCGCCGAGCCGCGCGCGCTCCTCTCCGCCGCCGGCATGGCCATGGCCGCCGTCGCCGGTGCAGCAGTGCTGCTGTAGAGTCCCCTCCCACCCTCGCACATACCACCAATACATCATCACCTAGCATATCAGCCGCGTGTGATGGAGCGATCGGTCCCATGTGTGACAGAGGCAAGGAGCGTCAGATTAAGAGATGCCCGCGCGAGCCGAGGCTGCGAGCGCGGTATACAGGGGGTGTGACTGGGTCGAGAAGCGGCCGGACAGGCGATGCGTACGGGCGTAAGAGTGAGCGAGAGCGAGACGGGTCAAGGCGTGTGTGTCGGTCGGTCGGTAAGAAGAGAAGCGGCGAAAGGCCCACGTGCCGAATCAGATCAGCTGGGACCCGGCGTGGTGTGGCGAGCGGCGGCGGTGGCGCTCGAGGCCGCGGCCCGAGAGGTGCGGGTGGCCGGCGGAGCCGTTGCTGAAGGCAGCGAGCGTGTCGTCGACGAGGCTCTGGATGCTCTTGGCCGGCGTGGCGCTGCCGACGATGCTCTGGCCGCGCACGGGCTCGCCGTGCAGGGCCTGAGCCTTGCGCACAGCCTCCGAGTTGTCCGGCGGCGCCTGCGCCGTGGCGAAGCGCTGGTTGCTGCTGCGCAGCCGCGACTCGGCCTGCACGTCCTGGGCGCCGATGCGGCCGTTACCGACCATGACGAACTGACCCTGCGACGGCACGCCGTTGACGACGACGAAGGCTGTGCTGGGGTCAGCATGTGCGCGGGGACGGCAGTCAGGCAGTGCTCACCAAGCGCCGGGCCGGGAGCGAAGAGTGCCGGGTTCGGCGGCAGCTGCGCGACGTTGACGGTGCTGCCCGACGAGGCCGTCTTGAGCTCGATCATGCGCTGGCCCATGTTCATGCCGTGCGTCGAGAAGCCGGTGCGCACGAGCACGACCTTGGTCTTGGACGCATCGTCGGCCGAGTTCATGTTGAGCGTGAAGCCCTGGCCGCCGTAGCCGAAGGCGTCCGGCAGGCCGTTGGCCGACGGGCGCGGTGCGTCGTAGTACTGCGCAGAGGGTCAGTACGCCGCAGCACTGGCATCCAATGAGTGCTGCTCACCTCGGGGTACCAGCGCTCGACCGAGTACTCCGTCTTCCACTTCTTCTTGGTAAAGTCGGGGTTGGGGTTGCTGCCGGCGATGAGGACCGACGAGTCGGGCAGCAGCGTGGCCGACGAGTGGTACAGGCGAGCCACGTTGCCGCGGCCGACGTTGCGCCAGCGCTGGCCGGCCGGCGCGTCCGGGTTGTAGACCGTCGGCTGGTACGACGGGTTGTCGCCGAAGCTGCGGCCCGTCGGCTTGCCCGGCGAGTTGGGGTCCGTGCTGCAGAGCTGGGTTCAGACGCGCGCCGAGCAGCACTCGTGCGGCACTCACGTGTAGCCAGCGACACCCGTCTTGGCGCCGTTGATGAAGAGCAGCTCGCCGTTGGGCAGGTTGATGAACTGGCCCATGCTGCGGCCCTCGGCGAGGCCGTCGGTGGCGCGCCACGTGCGGTCGCCGAGCGGCTGGATCGTGTTGCACTGCTGGCTGGCGGCCTTCTGCGTGACCATGACCTTGGGTCCGCCCTCGTTGCCCCAGTTGGCCGCGGAGCCGAGCGACATGCCGCCGCACTCGATGATCGTCTCGCTGTAGTTGTCCTGCGGGCGCAGCGGCAGCATCGCCGTGCCGCCCGAGGCGGGGTAGTTGACGGGCACGGGCGCGTTGGGCAGGCGGTCCTCCTGCAGCGAGTCGGTGTTCCAGAGGATGGCCTGCTTGTTGCCCTGCACAAAGACGCGGTTGTCGCTCATGAGGTACGTGATGGGGTAGAGCGAGAGCGGCACGGTGCGCTTCAGCAGGTCCATGTACGTCGAGCCGCCGACCTTGGGGTAGAACTCGTACGAGGGCTCGTTGCTCGACTGCGACGGCACAAAGCCGCCGTCGCGCATGCCGCCGAGGATCATGACGTGGCCGTCGCGCATCGGCTCCATCGTCGCGTACCAGCGCTCCTTGTCCATCTGGTTCGACTTCTTCTCGCGCCACTGGCAGTCGCTGCCGCTGCACGGCGACATGAGGCGCAGCGCCTTGCCGCCGCTCGTGTTCATGTACGGCGCCGTCTTCGCCTTGGCCGTGACGCCGCCGGGGCCGACGGCCTTGTTGCCGCCGACGACGAGCCAGCGGCCGTCGCCGAGCGTCATGCCGCCGGCGCAGAAGGGGTTCGACGTGACGTCGAGCGTCGCGAACTGGTTCGAGTTGTAGTTGTACGCCACGGCCCACGCCGGGTGGCCGTTGACGCTGACGGGGTTGTTCTCGACCTTGTCGAGGATCATGACCTGTCCGTTGCTCTGCAGGAACATCATCTGCGCCGAGACGCCCGAGTTGCCGACGATCTCCATCGTGCCGGCCTTTTGGGCGAGCGCCTGCTGCGCCGCCGCGAGCCCGAAGGCGGCGACGACGAAGGCGCGGTATGCGCCGCTGAACATGGTGGTAGAGTGGGTAGAGGTAGGCCTCGCGGTGGGCGAGCAGAGGTGGGACTGCCGGCGCCGGACGAGCGAGACGAGGTGCGTGAGTGAGAGAGCGAGAGACGGGTAGTGAGCGTGAGGTGCAAGAGAGTGTGGGATAGGCGAGGCCGCGGTCGTCGTCGGTGGAAGGGAAGAGTCAGGAACGGCCCTGCTTGAGGGAGGGGAGAGTGGTGGATGGAAGCAGCGACAGGAGCAGCGGACGGCGGGTGCAGGGCAACGCGCGCGAGGCCGGCTGCCTGCGGCTGTGTGCCGCGTGTGTGCCTCTCGCAGAGGCCCAGCTCCTGAAGGACAAGCTCACCGCGGCAAAAGCAGCGCAAGGCAGCAGCGCTTCTGCCGCACCCGCAGCACCACATGTGCGCCACAGCGGCCGGTGCCTGCGTGCTGCGGCCTGCGGCCTGTGCTGCGGTGCGGCGTGCTGCCGCAGGAGGGATCGTCGGGCAGCGGCGCATGCAGCTGCCCTTCGACAGAACGCTCTCGCCGCACGCGCCGGCCTGCGGGCCCGCCGGGCGTGCATCACGCCGCCGCTCTGCCGCCTCCTCTCGCCGCTGGGGCTGCCTGCGCCTGCGCACGCTCCCCGCACCTGCATCTGCGCCATGCTGCAGCATCGCGCATGCGCGTGCAGCGCGGCGAGGGAGCCCTATCGAGCAGAGCTGTCGTGTGCTTCATGCTGCTGCGCGGCGCTGGCCGCTCGCCGTGGCGCGTGCGGTGCGTCCTCGCTGCGCTGCCACGCCCGCCAGCCCGCTGCCGCCAGCCCGCGCCGCCGGCCCACGCCGCCAGCCAGGGGCTCTGAGCGCGCTGTCACGCTTGCCCTTGCCGCGGCGCATGGCTGCCGTCGCCTGTCACGCCCCCTCGCAACGCCGGCGGCAGCGGCGCACGGCACAGCGAGGGCGAGCTCGGTGCGGCACAGCGTGTCGACTTGAGCGGCTGCGGCTGCGGCCGCCGGCTGCTCCCTGCGGCTGGCGCTGCGGCGGCGCCGGCCGTTGGACAGGAGGCGCACGCGGCCGAGCGGACAGGCATGTGATGGTCGGCGCCAGGCGGCCGGCACCGCCCATCGCGCGCCCCGGCTCCGTCAGCCACCGCTGTGGGTCTCCGAGGTGCTGCGGCTGATGCTGCGACCCTTGCGCTTCGCCGAGGCAGCAAGCGGCACACCGATGCTGCGGAGCCGGCTGCGCAGGCGCTGCTGCGAGCGCGAGGGCAGCCACGCGCAGGGCACATGGTCCGTCGTGCGGGCGGTGTCGCTGCGCGCCGTGTTTTGGCGCGGCGCTGCGCGTGCGGAGCGCGCAGCGCCAAGCAGCAGCTCGCTGCACGCTGCACCCGCAGGCACCGCTTCCACAGCCACGCAGCACGGCGAAATCGGCACCTCGAGCGCCGCCAAGGGCCCAAGAGCTCCACAGCGGACAGGCAGAACCTTCCAAAGCGACATCGGGAGCTGCTGGTGCGGCGACATCCTCGCCGCGAGGGCGCGGAGTGGGCCCGAGACGGCGGGAGCGCCGTCATGCGGACAGCTCGGTCGAGGGTCGTTGCCGACGCCAAGCCCCTTGCCCACGAGACGCTGCTGGCTCGGGGTCCTGCAGGCTGAGATTGACGTCAGACACAGCTCACAGCAGTGCTCGCTGACTTGGCGGCTTCGGGCAGCAATATCCTGCGCATGAGATGGTCGCACGCCGGCGCCTCGGGAGGCTCTGGCGCGCGCTAGCAAGGGGACACAACTGATGGGTCCAGAGCCTCGCGCTTCATGACTCCCTTCGCAGCGATGAGACGATGATCTCCCCCGCCATGAAAGAGGGCTGCGAGTGTCACTCGCGTGAGTGAGCCCTGCGGCCTTCATCCCGGTATCTCGATGTCCGTGCGGCCAGTGGCCCAAAGGCTGGTCGTCTCGCAGTCTGAGTGTTCCATTTGACTCAGTACATGACTGTGTCGCGCTCCGCCATGCGAGGCACGAGCCGCAGCTTCGGGTCATCCTTGGCCACGGACCACAAGTAGCCATCTGTCGGGGTCGAGGTGTCAGTGGACGAGAGCAGGCGTGTGCGAGCGGCGCTACTCACCGAGGTCAGCCTCCGTCATCTTGGCCATCCACTCGCGTCCTTCCTCCGTCGCCAGTTCCTTTGCCCGCTTGACCATCTGCGTTCCGGCATCGAGTGCCGCCGCACGCACGGCATAGGCGTCCTCCTTGCGCAATTGCGGGCCCGGCTGGTTCTTCTCCTCTCCCTTGGCATCCGGGTCAGCGCCCCACTTGCGCAGCGCAGGGCTAGCGTTGGAGAGATCCAGCACGCGCGCGTGCACCAGCACTGTTGGCAGAACGTTGTCGACGAACATCGGCAGCGAGGCAGTCGAGGGTGCACCGGCAGAGGAGAGTCGCCGTGCAAAGGCTTCGAGCAGGAAGAAGGCCTTCTTGTACAGGTAGACGGGCTGTGTACCGTCGACGAGGTAGGCATCGGCAAAGGCGGGGATGTTGGCCACGAGCTGTGGGCGAAGGCCCGTCAGCGCCGGCGCGACAGAGATCCAGCCGTCCTTCCTGCGTCGCCTGCATCAAGCTGCCGCACTGCACCACGCCGTCGAGCCTCTTGTACGCCCGCTCTTCCTACCCTGCCCTGCCACATGCTCAAACTCACCTGAGCAACGATCGCCTCGCACTTCTCCTCATCCGGCTTGCTCTTGTTCTCCTTGATCGTGCGCAGCACCAGCTCGCCGAGGTCGCGCAGGCCCATGCGCTCAAGGCGCGTGCCGGCCTCATTGCACGCCTTGCACACGAGCGTGCAGACCTCGAACATGTCGCCACTGCGCGGCGTGCCCATCACGACGCCCGGAATGCCACTCGGCGCCTCGAAGTGCATGTTGACGCCGAGCAGTGAGGCCACGCCGTCCGGCTGCAGCGCCGCGAGGCCGCGTGCAGAGAGCGCGTTGGGCCCGGAGATATACAGGCCCATCAGCAGGCGAAGCACGTTCTGGTACGCGCCCGAGCCGGTGGCCTTGTGCAGCGGGATGCGGTAGGCGGAAAGGAAGTTGAGCATCGAGAGGACGGCGAGGAAGTTCTGCGGGTGCGATGTGAGCTGTGCAGACAGGCGGGGTGCCTCATGGGTCTACTCACTGCCTCATCAGCGACGCTGTCGAACTTGAGCGGGAAGCTCACGCCGTGCGCTGCGCTCAGGCGCTCGAACTTGGTCTGCTCTAGCCCGCGCAGGAAGACATCGACTGCGTCCGTGGAGACGGCGATGTCAGCGCGCTGGCGTGTGGCCGCACACGACGAGCGCACAGACGCGATGAACTGGCCGTTTGGCGGCAGCGGGGCGGAGATGTTCATGATGGGCGAGGGGAGAGGTGCGATGGCGCAAGTGCGGGCCGTCTTGTACGTGCTGCGAGGAGTGACAGAGGCGCTTCGTCTGCGGATCAGGTGGCTGAGGCGACTCGGATCGAGTCATAGGAGGGGAGCCAGGGAGGAGGGCAGGCAAGGTTGCTGCGCACAGCTTCTCCTCGTGGAGGCCGCGCGGCTCGTTCCCACGCCCGCTGCGCTGCCCGAGTCCCGCGACCGGAGGCTCCTTCTCGCTGCGTCCTCATTCCCTCGCAGGCCGTCGAGCAACATGATGAGATGAAGATGCCGTCAGTATCATCAGAAGGGTCAAATTTTTACGTGAGTAGCTGGATGCATACAACAGGTTGATCGCGGACGGTCATGTCGAAGCAGGGGCGCTTGAGCAAGCCCACAAAGCATGCGCGTGCTCCTTGCAAGATTGACGGGGCCACGGCCCTGCCCCACTCGTGCGAGGCCGTGGCCTGGTTTGGCGGCATAGAAGCCTGAGAGCCAGCGCCAGTGTCCCGCCGCGAAGTCTTCTGCTCATCATCGAAGACGTTTGCGAGGATGGCGGTGCGGCAAGCAGGTCGAAGCAGCGCGCCGACGATCTGCTGTGTCGTGCCGTGCCGGGCGCGCGGAGGCGAGGCGCGTGCGTCGGCGCTAGGCGCAGCCTGCACCTGAGCACCCATCAGCTGTGCGGCGACGCCCGGCAACACCTCGCCGACGAAGCCTGTGGCACATGGCATGGCGCCTGACATGCTCCGCTGCGCTCAATCGCGACATAGAGCGCGCCGCATGGGTGTTCAAGGCGCCGTCGGTCAGTTGCCCTCGACGGCGGCGGCTCGTGATGCGTGATGGCGGCCGCGGGACGTGCAGCTCATCCCTCTGAGGTGCACATCCGACCGTCGAGCGCCTCGTCTTGCTGTCCACGCTCCCGTGCCGCATCGTCTGATGCTCCACCTCGCTCGCCGTCTCGTCCATACGAGGCAAAGGCAGCGCAAGGCCTGGCCCGTCGGGAGCGGACGCGAGAGGGGCATGTCGCATCTCTCCTGCAAAGCAAGCTTCCGCGGGATGGAAGCAAAATCGCCGCAAGCGCACCCTCGACGATCCCGATGCATGCTTCAAGGCGCACAGAGGCGAGGTGCCGTCGGCGCCGCATGCGCGCCTCTCGCGGCACGGACGCGCACCAAGCAGCGCAGCGCAGCACCCCTGGCGCCGGGACAGCGAGCGGCACGAGAAGCACCTCGCCCGGCCCTGACGCTAACGCAAGCCAAAGCGAGGCGGCACGGCTCGTCATTCTAGCCACGCACACCCGCAGCGAGGCTCGATGCAGCATGCATTGGTGCTGCGTGCCGAATAGGCAGGCCTCATGAGTGAGTTGATAGGCGACGGCGGGACGGGTGCGGCAGAAGAGTGAAGTCGCCGCCTCCTAAGAGAACAGGCCGTCGGCGGCTCCCTTATAGGCATGCTTGCACGCCCTCGTCTCGCCGAGCAGCGCTTCCCTTCTCACCACCCACTCCGTCCCTTTTTGCTCCCCCCCCTTGACGTGGCCTTCGCTTCGCTGCTGCGGCTCGCTTCCTTCCCCGCGCTCCTCGAGGCAGGCCTACTTTCCTAGTCGTGCGCCTCGCCGCATCACCCACCACTCTCTTTTCCCTCTCTTTCTCGCCATGCGTCTCAGCCTCTTCGTGCTCGCCGCAGCTTCACTGCTGGCGACAGGCGCCTCGAGCCTGTCCATCCCGAGCACGCGCCCGCTGGACACGCGTGCCGCCGAGCCGTTGACAACGGTCGACACGACGAGCGGGCGCGCGCAGGGCGTGTATCTGGCCGACTCGCGCGTGTACCGCTGGCTCGGCATCCCTTACGGCGAGGACACGGGCGGTGCGGCACGCTTCACGCCCTCGGTGCTGGCTGCGCGCCGCGAGGGAGTCATCGACGCCTCCCAGGCGGCCTTCTCGTGCCCCTCGGTGCAGAGCGCGTCCAGCTACGCCAAGCTCGCCTTTACAGGGCAGCAGATCGACCCGCCCAGCCGCTGGTCGGAGGACTGCCTGCGCGTCAAGTGAGTGGGACAGACACCAAGCTGCCCTCTCCGCCGCTGACGTGTCGTGCAGCATCTGGGTGCCCGAGTCGGCTCGCAAGGGCACCGGCGGCAGCAAGGCCATCCTGCTCTGGGTCTACGGCGGCTCGCACAACACCGGCACGGGTGAGCATGCGCCCCGGCTGCCACTCTGAACTTCCGCTGACTCGCTTGCCAGCGACCATTCCCCTGTACAACGGCGCTAACCTCGCGCAGAACGAGGACGTCATCGTCATCACGTTCGCGTACCGGCACTCCATCTTCGCCAACCCGCTCTCCGACTATGTCACCAAGCAGAACAGCGAGAAGGGCTGGAATTTCGGCGTGAGCGGCCGCGTGCCTACTGCTTCACGGCTTGAGACTGACCTGCCTTGCAGCTGCGCGATCTGGACCTCGTGCTCGAGTGGACCCAGAAGAACGCAGCGCAGTTCGGCGGCGACGCCGACCGCATCACGCTCTTCGGCGGCTCGTCTGGCTCGACGATGATTGACGCATACAGCTTCTCGCACTACAACAAGCCCTCGCGTGCCGCCGGCCTCATCATCTCGTCCGGCGCCGTTGCCGGACTGGAGATCGCCACGGGCACCAAGTCGATCGGCAACTTCGGCCGTCCCTTCTCGGAGTGGAACACCGTCGCCGATGCCGTTGGCTGCGGCAAGGCGAACGATCAGAAGCAGTTCAAGTGCATGCAGCAGGTGCCCATGCTCACTCTTGTCGACGCCGTCGTCGCTGCGAATGCCCGAGACAACAAGATCCAGTTCGGCCCGACGCCTGACGGCCAGACGTGGTTCGCCAACTACGCGACGCGCAGCAACCTCGGCCTCTTTGCGAAGGTGCCGACGCTCATCGGCTCCAACTCTGGTGAGTGCTGAGGCAGGCCCTTGCAGAGCTAGCACTCATGCTTCCTCTCTCGCAGACGAGGCGACGCTGTTCGCCGATAGCCCCTCTAATACGGCCGTCGTCGTGCTGAGCAACCTGGCCTTCACGCCGCTGCTGTGGACGTGCCCGGCGCTGGCCGGTGCCGCCGACCGTGCTCGCGCCGGTGTGCCGACGTGGCGCTACCTCTACAAGGGGTGAGTGCCCTGTATTTTCGCCGCTGCGCCCTCTCTGACGTCGCCCCCCTCTCTGCAGCGCATGGGAGGACTTCACGCAAGGCTACCCCGCGCTCGGCAGCTACCACTTCGCCGAGTGCCCGATGCTCTTCGGCACGTTTCCTGCGCACTATCTCGGCGATCCCTCGCACGCCGTCACGATCCCTCAAGCACAGAACGACGTCTCGCGCTGGATGCAGGGCGCCTGGGCTGCCTTTGCACGCGATCCGCAGAACGGCCTGACGCAGATGGGCTGGCAGCAGTACGACAACAACCTCCTCGGCAGCCGCCTGGCTGTCATCGCCGATGGCAACAAGGCGAACGTGACGTACAGCCGGAGCACCGTCATCGACCAGGCCGGCTGCTCGCTTGAGGTGCCGGTCAGCGGCGTGCTGGTCGGCGTGCAGCAGAACATCGCCTCGCTCTGGTAGCTGCCACCTCTTCCCTCTCTAGCTCTCGCATTCGCCACGTCGCGCCGGTCTCGTCGTCTCCACACAGTCACCATCGAATATATGCTTGCCGCGGAGTCGTGTAGCTGGCCGGATCAGAGCTTGCCTAGCCGGGTGGCGCCGTCCAGCCGGATGAAGGAGCCATTCTAGAAGCGGCGTGAGCTGAGGGATCCGCCGCCGAAGCGCAGCACTCACCAGCATCGGGTTCTCGATGCACGCAATGACGGCGTGCCCGAACTCTTCCGGCTCGCCGAAGCGCACCTTGCAGCGCGAGGGTCAAGTCAGTCTCTGCTCGGCAGCCACATAGCGCCTTGTCTGCTCACCGGGAACTCGGCAGCACGGAGGATCACCTCGCGCGCCCGCTCCGGCAGGCGCTCCATCATCGGCGTGCGGAAGAGCGCCGGCGCCAGCGTCATTGTCCGGATGCCGAACCAGGCGAGATCTCTGTGCCGCATCAACGATGATGAGCCAAGCCGCCGAGCAAGGAGGTTGGTGAACGCACCTGGCCATCGGCAGGCCCATGCCCACCACGCCGCCCTTGGACGCAGAGTAGGAGACCTGGCCTGTCTGTCCCTCGAACGCGGCTGCACTCGCCGTGTTCACGCTGCGCAAGTGACCGTCAGTTCACCGTCGGTGCTGCTCTCAGCATCAGACTGACATGATGCCGCGGTCCGGCGTCTTGGCATCTGGCTTCTTGATCGGCTTTGGCAGATCCCGCACGATGCGTGCCGCAGTCAGGCGCGAGACGTTGAAGGTGCCAACGAGGTTGATCTCGACGACCTTCTTGAAGGTGTCCAGGTTCTTCTCGGCGACTCTGTTAGAAAACGGCCCTACCTGACCGCGGAGAGTCACTCACGAAAGGCTCGCCGTCTGCATTGATCGTCTGCGGAGAGGCGCAGGGTGAGCAGGGCTGACAGAAAGAGGCAGAGCCGACGCATGGCTGTAGAGCTGCGGTCGCTCGCCCCGAACCAGATGTGCCGCCAGCCGCCCACAGCCAATGTTGTCGACGAGACACCATGCCGCTGCTTCCCTCATGCACTCACCTTGCCCGCCATGCCCACGCCTCCACAGTTGACACATCCGCCGACAGTGCTCTTGGGCCACTGCTTATCGCACGCCGCAATGGCATTCACCACGTCGTCCTCCTCGCACACGTCGACTTCAGAAACGACGATGCGCCTGCTGCCCTCTGCCGCCGAGCCGTCGAGCTCCTTGGCGAGCGCCTCGCCGCCGGCGACGTCGAGATCCCACAGCCCGACAAGTGCGCCGCGGGCGTGCAGCGCCCGCACCGTGGCGGCGCCCAGGCCTGAAGCACCGCCGGTGACGTAGAAGACAGTGTCCTTGAGCTGCATGGGCGGTAAGGGAGTGACGAGGTGACGTGGTGGTCGCAAGGCAGGAGCAGCGCTGCGCGCGGCGCGAGTGCGGGGATGCTGCCCCTCCTCCGCGCCGGGCCGGCACCGCGCAAGACGCCGGCCGCGCATGTGCCACGCACGGCCTCGCGCGCGGTGCTCCTCGTGGAGACGCAGCAAACACTCGTCTCTTCTCGACACCATTCAGACGCACATCAGATGCACACACACGACAGATGCTTTGATACTTCTCATTGCACGGCTAGCCCACCAGTGCCTGCTCAAGCGTGCCTCTCGTGGCAGCGCTGAGGCCGAGGTCATGCGGCTCAAACGCAGCGCGCACCTGCAGGATGCCAGTGCGCAGCGTGTTGGCCAGCGGCAGGGCTTCCCGCTTCCATGCCTCTGCCAGCGCTGCCTTGTGCGCTCCCACAGCGGCCAGCGGTGCCTGCGGCAGCTTGCCGCCGTCCGACGCCGACTGCGCCGCAGCTGCCCGCGCCTTCTTCTCCGCCTCGTCGCGCGCCGACGCCGCAGACTCGGCGCTGCGATGCCACTGGTTCAGCTCCAGCAGTAGCTTGGCACACGCCAGCAGCACCTCCTCGGCGCCGGCAGTCCCACGCGCAAGCGCCACCGTGCCGTACTCGTCCTCGGCGACACTGGCAGAGAGTAGGCCCGTGACCGCCTGTGCCGCCCAGAGACTCAATGCGGGCTTGGCCGGTGCCAAGGTGCCGAGGACCAGCGTGTCGGACGGCGACAGCGATCCGGAAGGGATGACTGCGTCGAGCGTCTGGCGTATTGGCGGCGGCAAGAGGCTCTTGAGACGCTGAGCGGCAGAGCCGCATGCGACGAGTACCTGCCGCACAGCATCCGAGGAGGTGCAGGCCGGCGGCGCGGCCGGCTTGGGCGGCGCAGTGCTCGATGCGGGCGCGGCGGTCGGCTCCTGCTCCACTGGCTTGGGCGCGATGCGGTGCATCAGCTGGCTGAGGCCCGACGTGCTGTCCGTCGCGGTGCTGCTTGCCGACGGCTGCGGTGCGGGCGGCGCTGCCGGTGCGCTCGACGCCAGCAAGCGGTCCCACACGCTGGTGGGTGCAGGCTTGACGACCTTCTTGCTCGGGTCGGCCACAAGGACGTTGTGCGTCGCCTTCGGCAGGCCGCCTTTCTGGGCTTCTGCTGGCTTCGCCGGCTGTGCGGGCGCCGCAGGCGGTGCACCTCTCCGCGCCAGCACCTCGGTCTCTTCCTTCAGTGCGCGAATGCACTCAGTTGCGATGCCGACCCATGCGCTCGGCTTCTGCGACACAGACGCCAGCGGACCGACGTCGCCGACGTCTCGCCAGATGGCAGCCCGACGCTCGTCGCTCGTGCTGCAGAGGCTGGCCAGCTCGGCAAAGGCGAAGTGCGCGTAGTATGCCTGTGTCGGATCGGCCTTGACGCTGTCCGGCTGGCCAGCTGCCAGCCCGGCGATGAGGCAGCGCGTAGGCTCGCGCGCGAAGTGCGACACCAGCACCGGCTGACTGGCGTACGTGTCCCAGAGGCACGCCGCCAGCTCCCAGCAGACGGCCGAGGCGGCGCCGAGGGAGGAGAGGTGCAGCGCGAGTGCCGGCACGCCGCTGACGAAGGGCGTGCGGAACGAGGGGATGAGCACCGGTCGCAGCGACGAGTGCGGACCGATGATGCGCAGCAGCGTGCGGAAGAGCGGCCGACGCAGCGGCACGTAGACGGCGAGCAGTGCGGACGGCAGCGCTGCGCCGAAGGCCACGGCACCGGGTAGCCGCGTGCGCAAGGCGATGCCGAGGCGTGCGGCGAGCGTGTAGTGCAGCGAGGCCGGCTCGAAGGGAGGGCCTGCACGAGCAGCGTGTAGCAGACGTGCGGCGGAGTACGCGGCGCCGAGAGCGGCGTTGATGGCGAGCACGAGGAAGACGCGCTCGTTTGGCCGAAGCACCGCGGTGCTGGCCGCTCCTGCACCGACGGCGACGTGCGTGTAGGGCGCCCACGGCGATGACGCACCTGGCGTGTAGAGCCAGAGCGCGGCGACGTGTGCTGCGGCGAGCAGCACGCCCGACGCCGTGTGTGCCAGGATGCGGTGCCAGGATACGCGTGCTCGCAGCACAGCAGCGCAGTGGGCCGTGAGGCTGCCCGGCGCTGGCGAAAAGCCGAGCACCTTGAGCGGCGCCGGCGGTGCGGTCGGCCGGCTGACGGCCCACTTGCGCAGCACAATGAGCGGCAGCACAGCGAAGAGGAAGACGGCGAGCGAGAGCAGTGCAAGCGTCGGGCGCACTGGCGCCAGCAGCGAGGCGGGCGAGGTGAGCAGCAGCGCGCAGAGCACGAGGTGTGTGGCCAGCAGGTCGAGCACGTAGATGCGCTGCAGCCGTGACTGCAGCACGCGCTGGGGACAAGGGTGTCAGCCGAGTGGCCTCAAGAGGGCGATATGGGCGAAGCGCTGCCCAGGCGAGCAGATAGTGCTCTTTCTCGAGGCAGCGTTGTCCCCGACATGCTTCACTCATCATCTGCATCGCAGACATGCTCACCTTGACGAAGCCCTCATAGCTCTTAAACGGCTTTGCCTTCAGGTCTGCATCATCGGCAGGCAGCAGTGCCGCACTGGCCTTCTGTGCGCCGCCAGCGAGAGGCGTCGTGCTGCTGCTGCGCAGGCTGACCGCACCGGCAGCGCTGGCGGGCGGCGCCATGGAGGAGCTGCTGCGCAGGCCCAGCGCGCCGGCACCCGCGGCCGGCGGCAGCTTGACGGCCGGCGCACGCGCCAGCGCACTGCTGCTGCTGCTGCTGCCGAGCGAGCTGCGCGTTGCAAGCATGGAGCGAGGAGAGGTGGAGGTGGAAGAGAGGCAGAGAGCAGGCCGCGCGCTAGGAGCGAGAAGGTCGCGGCGCGGCGCGGCGCGGCGCGGCGTGTTACTTTCGCCTGCGTCACGTGCGCGCCGCGCCTCGCGCGTCCTGCCCCTGGCGACGCGGCGCCGTAGCCTTGCAACGCAGCCGTTCGCCCATCAGCACAACACTCGACGCGACCGCAGCGACGCCCAATGCAGAAGGTCAAGCTCCATCGAGTCGCAGCTGCCAGCGAGCATGCAAGCGTCAGCGCAGCAGCTGCCCGCGTGATGTGTGATGGAGGAGCGGCGGCGCAAGGTTCGATCACAACGCATATCTGCTCAGGGGCTGCGCCGCCCGCGGCGCACGTTCGGCACCAATGCGGCAAGCGAAGAGCCTCTGCGTCCCGAGCAGGTAGTCCGCGGCACTCTCGTCCCCCTGCATGCTGCTGCTGAGAGATCTGCCGCGAGTGCTGGCAGAGATGAGCGCTGAGCTGCACCCTGCCGCCTTTGCCGCAGCCTGCTCGCTGTCGCCTGCCGCGCTGATGGCGAGAGTACAGGAAGCGGCAAGCTCTTCCGAAGAGCTGCGCTGGCACGACAAGCTCGTGCTGACGAAAACGCTGTGCGACGCTGCTCGCTGCTGGAGGGGCAGCTGACAGCGCAGGCGCGAGGTGTGACGGCCGGCGTGCTCGCGTCGGGCCCTCATCTAGGCGAGACAGAGTGCCGTGCGCCACCTCCTCCCGCTCCCCTCCACCCACTCACTCTGCTGCGCTGGCGGAAGCGCCTCGAAGGAGCCCGTGTACGGCTCAGCTCCCGTCCACATCCTCCCTCTGGCCCGCTTTGGGCTGCTCTCCTTTGCCCGCCTGGCATGGACGACCCTCGCTTCGGCGACCGCGCTGCCCGCGGCGAGCGCTTCACCGCCGGCCACCCGCACCCGCAACACTTCTCCTTCCTCAGCCACATGATGAACCAGCACCGCGCCGCCGAGGGCGAGGCGCCCGACACCTTCGCCAGCGGCGTGCGCCGCTTCAGCGAGCTCGGCAGCGACGAGGCGCACGATGAGGCCTCCTTCGTGCGCGCTGAGTCGGCCGAGCACAGCGCGACAGCGGGCAACGAGCGCCCGATCCACCCGATGCACAGTCTGCGGCCGGGCATGATCTTCCGCGCACGAGAGGCACCCGGTGACGGCAGCGGCATGCACGCTCGCATCGTGTCGCTCGACGAGCCGCAGCAGACGGCCGGCGCCAGTCCTAACAGGCGCAACCGCGGCGGCCACAACCGCAAGGCGCGCCGCGAGCTCGAGAAGACGCAGCAGAAGGACGCAAAGGCAGCCGAGGCGCAGCAGCGCTCTGCCGAGTCGGTGCGGGGCCGCGCCGAGAAGCGCAACAAGGGCAAGGAGCCGGCGACGGACAGCGCCGAGGCCGAGGCGCAACGCCGTGAGCCTATGAGCCTCGCGACTCTTGCCGCGGTGCTGCGTGACCAAGGCTTCGCGCCGGGGGAGATCGAGCCCGTCGCGGCGCACATCGAGTCGATGATTGAGCATGAGCGCGAGCTGTGGCAGCACCAGACGCGCTTCAGCCGTGAGGCGGCCCGCGTCCAGCACGGCGACGGCGAAGCACCGGTTGTCTGGACCAAGGGTGCGTCGAGTGGCCCGGACGGCGGCAATGCTGTGCAGTCGCAGCACGCAGTAAACATTCACGAGCCTGGCCTCGACGAGCATCAGAGCCTGCTGCGCGCCATGCAGCACGCGCACGCCCGCCAGCAGGAGTCGTCGCTGCACGCCGTCCAGATGGCGCGCATGGCTGAGCTCGCCGCGCTGTCCGGGCTCTTGTCGAACGACCCGCCCGTCGCGCAAGCTTCGGACTCTGAGCCGGACGAGGCGGAGCGCAGCCCGGACGCTGTCGAGGTCGTCGAGACGCGCTCGAGCACTCCCAGCGTGCGCCCTGAAGTTCAAGGCGCGCCGGCATCGGGAGACGAGGATGCCGCCAGCAGCAAGGCGAGCGGCGCTGGCGAGACTGTGTCGGAGGTGGCGCTCACGCCCGAGGAGCACGAGCGCGCACGCCGAGCCGCCAAGCGTGCGCGGCAGAAGAAGAAGGAGCGAGAGGGCAAGAAGGTGCGTGGCCATGCCTGCCTTTCCCATGGGCCTTCGCCGCTTCTGTGCTGCACAGGACGAAGCTGACGCAAGTTAGCCCTCTCCAGGCCCAGACGCAGGCCAACAAGACGGCAAAGGCAAACGACAAGATCGTCTCGCGCGCATCTCGCAAGAAGGCGTCCCCGCAGAAGGGCGCACAGAAGTCGGCTGCCTCGCCGACGCTCGCCGCGAGCGAGCAGCAAGACGGCCGCAATGCAAGCGAGCCGCAGTGCGAGTCTGCTCCGCCTGGCTCGCCTCTGAACTCGAGCCGCGCATCCACTCCCACCAAGCTCGACGTCCTCAAGATCCTCGAGCGTTCCGCCGTCAACACACCTCCTCCTGGCGACTTTGAGCAGCCAGGATCCACGGCTGCAAAGCAAGAGGCTCCGGGCTCGGATCCGCTGTCGGAAGTCTCGATTCGCAGTCCCAAGGGCGGCCTCAAGGGTGCCCTCACGGCTCCCTCGACGCCTGCCAACTGGAGTGTGCACGTGCTCGACGTCGACACCGCCGACGTGCCCGAGCTCGATGCGCTGTCATCCGAGCTGTCGCATGCTGCGGCACTGGACCTCGCGTACGAGGAGACCTTTGCGCCTCATGAACGTATCCGCGGCAATCCTCTGCGTGCCGCCCGTTCGTTTCGCAAGGTGCTGAGCGACAGCGCTCGTGGTGAAGATGACGACGACGCGGAGATGGAACTGGCTTTCCTCGACTCGTGCGCTGCCGCTGCGTCTGTCAAGCATGTGAGCGGGCTGTCTGCCTGTCAGTCGGCGCTCACTGACTCCATCGTCAGGTGCCGCAGGGAGAGCTCGTTTCCGACCCCGACAATGCTGCAGAGCAGCTGAGCGAAGCTGCTGCCGCACACGCCACCATCCCGAATGGCGTGCAGCGTGATGGCGAGGCCGCGATCGATGCCGACTGTGGCAACGTGTCCGACAATGCGAGTATCGCAGACGCAGCGCCCGAAGCCTCCGAGATGCCTCTTCCTCCGTCGAGCCCAAGCGATGGTCTGGGCTGTCCAGTCACGCCGTTCCCGGACTCGCCGTCCATGCTGCCAGCCATGCTTCCGCTGCCGCCGTCGCCGATGCTCTCTGTCGGCTCCGAAGCGGGCTCTGTAGCAGAGGAGCAAGTCTCGCCATCGCCGGCGATGTCGCGCCCTATCTCGCGTCTCTCGGCTGAGGAGGCGCTTGACTCGCCGCCAAGCCCGGATGCTGCAGAGGCGCTCGGCACGCCTTCAGAAGCTGACTCGGGCGACGAGGCCGATCTCGACAGCGATGACGGACAGCCGCCTGAGCAGCGTGCTCTCGCGGTGCACTTCGAGCGCACAGGAGCGATCATCGAGGAGCTGGCCTCGGGCGACGGCAGCCGCGCAGAGCAGCAGCACACTGCCTATGATGAGGCCATTGAGGAGGGGCAGATCTATGCTGAGGCTGCGCGTCTTCAAGCAGCCTCGCGTGGCCTCTTCAGCGCCCTGTACCAGCAAGGCCTTCGCACAGCAGAGCTTCCTTCGCAGACCTTCGTCGGCGCATTCTGCTTCGACCTGACGACGCGTCACGGCGATGCCGAGTTTACTGGCCTCGACGTCGACCTTGCCGAACATAGCCTGCACGAGGCGTTCGAGCACGACACGGAGTCGGAGCAGAGTCAGTCGTCGCAGGACGAGCGCGACGACGACAGCTCGTCGGAGGCCGACTTCCGGCTGCCTCGCGGCATCAGCACCTCGACGATCGCGCACACGACCCCTGGCGGCAGTCCCGAGTCCACTCGCGGCCGCAAGCGCGGCTCCAAGCTGCTCACCGGCGGAGAAGTGCCGCTCGAGGCCGCGGGTGAGGACGGAGGCAGTGCGGGCCATGTCACGCCCGACGAGTCGCAGACGTCCAGCAGCGAGACGATCGAGGGCGACTCGACTTCAGACTCGGACGATGAGCCTCTTCAGCGCCGCTCGACGGCCCAAGCCGCTCATGGTGCTGGCCAGGTCGTCAGCGCCTCCCGACAGGCCGACCAGCATGCCGTGGAGCAGCGCGCTCGCTACGTCGCCGAGCAGCTCAACGCCTCGCTCGACCGCACGCTGGTGCGCCGCACGGGCAGCGTGCACGAGGAGGGCGGCGGCCCGCTGCAGCTCTTCGGCAGCCGCTGGCGCTCGGGCAAGCTGCGCGAGAAGATTCACAGCAACAGGCCCGACCCGGAGAACCTCGTGCGCAACGACGCTCGCAACTCAGACGGCCAGCTCATCAACCCCACGGTGCTCAACGAGGTAGCGCCGCTGCGTCTGCACTCGGGCGGCGAGCACAAGTACCTGTGAGTGTGGCTGTGCATCGCCTTGCCAGCGAGCCCTCACACCACGCATCGTTAGGCCGCGTCCCAAAGTGGCCAAGAACCTGCTTTCGCGCCAGGTGAGCCCTGCCTCTTCAGGCCTCACACGGCCACGGCTGCTGACACTTACCAATCAGATCGGCGTGCGCCTGCCCGAGACCGAGCCGGCCGCCGATCGTTTGCGTCTCATGCTCTGCTCGACGGCCACGCAACGCGGCCGTGGAGCTCGTCCTTGGGCTGCCTCGGAGACATCGACGCCGCCCGCCATCGACTCGCCTCCGGTGCCGGCGCTCGTCGCTGACCGTCCGCCCGACTTGCCCATGCAGGTGGGCAGCGGCCTAGACCAGCTCGACTGATCCTCTACAAGCATTCGCTTCCCAAGGCGCAGCACACTCCCTTTCCCGCACGCACCCCTTTCTCGTCGACTTTCACGCACCTGTCATCTCTCCCTCCTTGTCCCTGCCATGCCTTCACCCTCTTCCAGCTCGCGCCTTCCGCCCCAGGTGGGCACGCCGCACCGCGAGCCCCGTGAATAGGGTCAATTCGTGACAAAAGCGAGCCATGTGTGTGTGTGGGTCGAGTGTGGTGTGCGTGATGCATGAAGAGAGAGGGGAGATAAAATGGGCGAACGTGGTGGGATCGTTGCTGTGTGGGAAGAGAGCTGCGTGCGACGGCGCGAGGGAGTGAAGGAAGTCGTTGAGAAGCCTTGAGGTTTCGTGAAGGAGATCGCCAACGTTCCGAGAGGGGAGCGTGGCCCACTGCGAAGTAGCACGGCCTCACAGCGGCTGCCATGCCCCCCTCGCGTGCGTCGAAAGCATGCAGCCGTTAGATGGCCGTGACGGCGGGCGCATCAGCCTCAGGCTTCGGCACCGCGCCGCTGCCCGCCTCGGGCTGCTCGGCCGCAGCCGCAGTCGGCGGCTTCTGGCTCTGGATCGCGACTGCAGGTGGGTGGCTAAGGTCAGCCATTTGCGCGTTGATGGTCTGGCGGGCGCGCCACACGCACCCTTGAGCACAATGTCGCGGCCCTCGACGTTCTTGCCGTTGAAGTTGCTCAGCGCGCTCTGCTGGCCCTCCTCGTCCTTGAAGTCGACAAAGCCGAAGCCCTTGGTCTTGTTGGAGTACGGGCGCTTGACGACCTTGGCGCTCACGACCTCCGGGCCGCCCTCGAAGACGGCCTTGAACTGCTCGTCGGTGAACTCAAACGGCAGATTGGCGACGAAGAGCAGCGTCTTGCTCGGCGCACCGACGGGCGCCTCGCCCTTGGCGCGCTGCGGCTTCGGCGGCTTCGCAGCGGCGGGCGCAGCGGCGGCACCGTCGGCGGCCGGCGCAGCGTCGCCATTGGCGGCAGCCTTGGCGGCCTTGGACTTGCGGTTCTTCTTAGGCTTGGCGGCAGCGGCCTCGCCGTTCTCGGCCGCAGCAGCGGGTGCGGCAGCGGCGTCAGTGGCCTCATCAAGGCCTTCCTCGCCCTCATCGGCGCGCGGGCGGCGTGCAGCAGTGGCCTGGAAAGATCCGAACGTATGAGCTTGCTGAAGAGAAGGTAAGCATGCAACAAGCACTCACACCTCCGCGTCCGCCACGTCCACGTCCGCGGCCACGGCCACGCGTGCTGGCGCCACGAGCCGCTGCGCCGTCCTTCTCGGCCTCGCCAGCCGCCGCCGTGGCGGGCTTCTCGGCGGGCGCAGCCGCCTGCGGCTTGGCGCCTTCGACGTTGATCTCGCGGCCGGCAATCTCCTTCTTGTTGAGCAGCTCGACAGCCTTGTGCGCCTCGGCCTCGCTCGAGTACGTCACGAAGCCGTAGCCGAGCGAGCGCGTGCCGCGCATGATGATCTGCGCCTGCGTGCTGTGGAGGTGGCGCAGCGTAAGCTTCAGTGACACAAGCGGCGTGGGCCTCTCGCAGCGATGGCAGCACGTAGACTCTGGTACTCACACTGTGCCAGCAGCCGCGAAGATCTCCTTGAGCTCAGCCTCGGTCGTGGCGAATGCGAGGTTGCCTGGTGGCAGAGCCTTGGTCAGCGGAGAAGCGGCTCGGGCAACAGCAATGAGACGCACCAGCGAACACTTGCTGCAGACGTGGCCAAGTGTGTAGACAAGGTGAGCCGAGAGCGGCGCTGCGCTGTCTCATGCGCCACGCACCTTGGGCGCATCCTCGGGCGAGACGAGGTTCTTGGTCTTGGGCGGCTGCGGCGTCTTCGCCGGCGCCGTCGTGGCCGGCGGGTTGCTGCCAGCCGAGCCAGCGGCGGCGGCCTCTGCGGGCACGGGCACGGGCGGGTCGGCCTTGACGACTTCGGCCATGCTGGGCGAGTGGGTGTGCTGGTGGAGGTCGGCGGGTGGACGTGGGCGTGTGTGAGAGAGGCTAGCAGATGGTGCTGGCGCTCCGAGTGGTCTGGTGGTGGACTGAAGAGCGCGGCGTAGGTGGACGACGCTGCACAAAGTGACTGGACTGGACAGGTTGGTGGAGAGACGGATGGAGCAGCGCCGCCACCTTCTCGCTGAGAAGCTGCGCCCCGCAGGCGCGGTGGCGGCGGCGGCGGCGCGCTGCCAGCGGCGACGCGGGGCGGGCTGCGCGCCGTGCGCACAAGGCACGGCGCGCCGGCGTATAGAAGAGTCGCTCTCAGCACGCCTGGCCTGGCCCTTACGCCCAAGCCGACCCCCTCACAGCCCCTGCGCGCCGCCAATCTGGTGCCTGGCGTCGCTGGTACAATCGTGCGGCAGCTGACGCCACGAATGTGACGTGCCGATGGCTAAGAGGAGCGATATCACCTCGCCAGGCTCTCGTCGAATGCAGAACACAGCTGGAGGCAAACGACGTCTTCTCCAGAGGATCATGAGAGCTGGTACGCGAGCAACAACGAGCCTCGGTGGCTCGCTTTGAGCACAGCCCGCCAGACACGGCAGCAAAGCAACTGCTGGCGGACCTCGCACATCTGACAGGCCGGCAGCGAAAGCTCAGCACGAGGTCGACGCCGGCATGCTTCGAGTCGAGGACCTGTCGTCGTGACACCTCTCCCACGTGTCAAGTCCAGCAAATGATCATCGCATCTCGCGCTCTCGCACGCAGCAAATGTCTTGTGGTCCACAGAAGCACCTGAGCTGCCGGCATTGTCGATCGCCAACAACGTGTACCTGCAGAAGAAGATCAAGCGCCTCCCACGCTTGTTTGCATCTCAGCGATGCACGCATCTCCCTACTCCGTCCCGCTGTGGGCCGCACGTTTGGCGACATGCACGCCAGCATGCTTCTCTCCTTGCTGCCGCCGAAGGCGAGGCCGGAGACGAGGCAGCGCCCAGCGAGCTGCATGCAGTGGCCGCTGGACCGTGCGTAGAGGGTGCAGATCCTCCTTGGCAGACGTTCAGCTGACGCTTGCTTGCTGCCTCTCTTTGCCTCTGGTGCTCTGCACCTCCACGGTGACGGCGCCGTCTTGATGCTTCTCGCGCCCATCTTTTCTCCGACTGCGAGCCGACGGGGGGTGGTGTCGGTGCCGAGGCCAGTCCGGAGTCCGCCGCTAGGCACCAGTGCAGCGCCAGGGGGCGAGGCTAGGACGTCGCTTCGTCGTGCCGCTCGAGCGAGCAGCTCGCTCGCATGAGGTCTTTGACTCGCACAAAGGCAGCGCCTGCAGACGCACCATCATTCAGAATCAGCACGCAGCCCGCGCCGCCGCATTGCCGACGTCCCTTTGTCCACTCGGCTTGCGCAGACGGAGCCCCCAGCGCATGACGGCTGCGCTGCAAGGGCTTGGCCGGCCGCGTTAGCGTCGCGCGGCGGCGCTGGCGCGGCGTCCTGCAGGATCTGCAGCGCTTGGACGTCGTCCGCAGCGTGCAGAGGACCGCCGCAATCTTGTGCTCGCTCTGGGTCAGCTTGCTGCGGAGCTGAGGATGCTGAGCTGGTCAGAGAGGCGCTGCCTCGGCTTCGAGAGGGCGGCTCGCGATGTTGAGGCGACGGCGGCTGGTGGCGCTCTCTCTCGTGTGCCACGCGGACGCCGCCGACTTTCGGTTTTTTTGCTGCCTCGCCGCAGCGGTGAGGAGATCGTCGCCGCATGGGCCTGGCGACCATGCAGCCTCGAGCGTGCGCCTGCTCGGCACCGACATGCTGACCCGAGCGCACTTGGCGAGCAAAAGAGCGGCGAGGAGAGCGGAGATCCGGTGTTCTGCAGGTGCAGCGCGCACCATGCACGCCAGAGCCGCACGCCCACCGGCGCCGCTGCCGGCCCGCCTGCACCCTCTCCATGCACCCTCTCTCGCTCTCGTCACATGGGCCTGCAGCATGCAGGCGCCCGGCAGACGCCAACGCAGCAGATTTGCAGCTCAGCTGCCGCGGCGTCGCGCGTGCGCATCTCGGCGAGAAGAGGACACGCCGACGCTGCCATCAGCGTGCTGCATCTGAGGTTTCATCCCCTGCATCTCTCCTTTCTTGGGCTGAATTGAGAGCCGGGACAGGGCTCCACGGCATCGGGCCCTTTGTGCCGGGTTCGGCGCAGGGGGCGAAGCGGCGTCATCAGCTCCGGCCCCGGCCCCCGGGGAGGTCAGGAGGCGCAGGCGGCGGCAGAGGCGCGGGGCGTGGCGCAGCGGCGGCACGCACGCGTCGCGCGTGGAACGCGCACCTCCTTCTCGCAGAGCAGCAGCATGAGGCGAGAGGCGTGCGCCGCCAGACGCGCAGCCGTGCGCCCTCATCGGCGCACGCAGGTGCTGAGAGGGTCTGAGCAGGAGGCCATGCTCCTGAGCGTGGCTCACTCGACGGGAACGAAGGAGCCGGCCGAGCGGTGTGGAATTGATCGCGGAACGCCTGGCTGTGATGCTCGGCAGCGGCAGGCGGCGGGCGGGCAGCGCGCAGCACAGCCGCCGCGGCCGAGCGGCAGGCAGCACAGAGGCAGGCGGCCTGCAGGCGCAGCGGCGGGCAGGAGGAGCACAAGGCGCGCCGCCGGGCGCCGCCTTCTCGCGCGCCTCCTCGCCGACAGTCTACACACCCACACCTCGCCGGACCACCCTCGTCTCTCCCCTCCACCCTCACACACCCCGTTCCAGCGGCAACACCTCGCTCTGCACGCCGCTGCTGGCACCGCTCGCTGCGCAGCACGTCCAACACGTGTCGCAGCACCCGTCGCGCCGCCCAAGTGTGCTTCTCGCACCGCCGAAGCTCGGGCCCCTCCCTCTCGCTGGCGCGCGAAGGCGGCGCTCGCTCCTCTCCTGGATCCCGCACGTCCTTGGAGCCTCATCAGAGAGCTCATCTTTCGTCTCCGCGTGCCTGCTGCGCCGCTGCGCCTGCCGCATACATCCGCTCTTCTGCCAGCGCGCGTTGCGCTGCCGCCTCTCTCTTCACGCCCCTTCGCCGTGCGCCGCTCCGCACTCCCGGCACACATCCGCGAGGCCGTCGCCGTCACATGCGACGCTGCTGAGCCATCCGCCTCGCGCCCTCCCGCACTGCTCCCACGATGATGTACCGCCAGCGCGGCGGCTCTCGCCCGGCGCACCTGCCGAGTAGCAGCGGCGGATCGGCAAGCGGCAGCGGCAGCAGCGGCGCCAGTGCTGCTGCACCGCGCACTGGCTTTGGCCGCCTCTTCTCGTCGGGCAACGACATGGCCATGCCGCCGCCCTCGTCGCCGCTCTCCGTCGCTGGCTGGACGACCGAGCCGGCGCCGCAGCCGCGCTCGCCGGCAGTCTCGAGCAACAGCGGCTCCTTCTCGCCGCTCCTTGGAGGCCACGTCGGCCAGGCGCCAGCACCGCCGCCGCGCCCGACAAAAGGCCCACAGCAGCGCGTCAAGAAGGCAAAGGCCTACAGCATCTCGCTGCTGACGGGCCACGCGCAGCAGGGCAGCTCGAGCAGCACTGGCAGCGGCAGCAGTAGCAGCAACGCCAGCGCCGCTGCGGCCGCTGCACTGCCTGCCATCGTCGAGCCACGACGCAGCACGAGCGGCGACCGGCCTGGACGCCGCAGCCAGGAGATGCCGTGGATCCCGCCGCGCAGCCAGAGTGCGCTGGGCGCGTACGATTACACGGAGCCCAGCCGCAGCGCTGCGTCTGGGAGACGTCACATCCTGCAGCGCACGTACATGAACGACGAGGACGACGACGCGCCAGTACACGTCATCTCAAGCTCATCGAAGAGCCCGCCTGCGCTGCCGCCACGACTTGCAGATGCAAGCAGTCCCACGTTCCTGAGCAGCCTGAAGGCCGACTCGCTGTCCTTCCCCCAAGAGAACGCACAGCCTCGCACGCCTGGCGCCCTGTCGCCCAGCGCCGCACGGCATCTGCGCGACGAGCCCTCTCCGGTCTCTCCTGCGCGCTCAGGGCCGTCGAGCTACACGCACTCCCCTGCGGGCCCGCCAAAGAACAGACGCAAATTCTCCGTCGGTAGTCTGCTCGAGGTTCGCTCTGCCTCGTCGTCGCAGTCGAGCCAGAGCCAAAGCTACGACACCTCTGCACCGGCCTCGCGGCTGAAGCGCAAGCCGCCGCCCGCGGCCGTGTCTACCGCCTATGTCGATCGCGGCCTTGCCGGGTCGCTCGTGACGCCTGCCAGTGCACCACTTCTGACGGGCGCAGCCTCGGACTCCGCCTCTCTCTCGGACCGGCAACGCAATTACGCCCGCAGCCCGGTGCCTCAGCGCGCTCAGCCCGGCGAGTACATCTATCGCGAGCCGCCCTCGCCTCGGGATGCGCCGATGAGTGCACCGCCCTCGAAGCGCTTCATGTCGCCTACGCCTCGGCAGGAGCCGCCGTCGAGCGCTGGCAGCAAAGCGTACGCTGCACGTGCAGAACAGCGGCCGCCTGCGCGCCGCACGAGCACGTTTGGCGGCCTCGATGGCTTCACGATGGACTCGTCGCGCGCGCGAGACAGCGATGCGTCCAGCGTCGCGGCGGGCGGTAGCAACAGCGGAGGTGCTGCCGTCGTGCATGCGCTGGGCCAGATTGGCGGCATGGGTGCGGCAGTCGGCAAGCGCGGCTGGGACTTGATGCGCAGCTGGAACACCGGTCCGACAACGGGTCTAAGCAGCTCCTCGAGCGGCGGGCGTGCCGCCGCAGCACCTGCCTCGGGCGGTACGCAGGGCGGCGAACGCGCCTCGCTCGCGCTCGACATGAACGACGCGACACGGAAATGGCTCGCTGTGCCAGACGCTAACGCTACGACGTCACGCGCTGGCGGCAACCAGCGCAATGCCTCGGGCAGCGGCGTGTTCGGCATGCCTCTGCGCGACGCCGTGCTGCAGACTTCGCTTGGCCGACTGTCCTCTGCGACTGGCAGACGAGACTCGCGCCCGCTCTCGCAGCTCGACGCACTCGATCTCGGCTCCGACTTCCACGTGCCGATGCTTTCCTCACCGCCGATGGGCTCGCGTCCGGCGTCAGCGCAGCACTGCGCCGCATCGCGCGAAGAGGCGAGGGAGCGCTACCTGCCTGCCGTCGTGGTGCGCTGTCTGCAAAGCCTGGAGAAGTGGGGTGGCGACGAGGAGGGCATCTACCGTCTCTCCGGCCGCTCCTCGCACACCGCGAAGCTGCGCACAGTCTTCGATGCGCCCATCTCGCGTGCACTGCCCGACCTCGAGCTCATCGATATCGGCCCTGCGGACCTGGACATCAACAGCGTGTGCAGTGTGCTCAAGCACTACCTGCGAGAGCTTCCTGAGCCGCTTCTGACGGATGCGCTCACACCGGCGTTCGACGAGGCTAGCATGGAGGCGATCGGCATGCCCGCTTCTGGCGCAACGGCCGGCGGCGTGTTCCGCGCGGTGGCACAGCCTGGACCAAAGGCGCCTAACGGCAGCCCAAGCAAGGAGGCCGAGCGCCTCTCGTCGACACTGGCAAAGGCCATCGCGCCGCTCATTGCGCGCCTGCCGGCTTGCAACTGGTACCTGCTGCGTGAGCTCGCGGATCATCTCGCAGACTTCTGCCGTGCGAGCGTCGTGGCGAAGACGAAGATGGTGCGTCCTTGTCTCAGGCCTGCCTAGGTGTCGCTCCATGGCGCTAACGCTTGCCCCTTGCAGCCTCTTTCCAACCTCAGTCTCGTCCTCGCGCCTACGCTGTCGCTCTCCGTCGTCATGCTTCGCGCCCTCGTCGAGCACCGCAACGTGCTCTTCCGCGAGAAGGGCCCACAGCGGGATGTCGAGCTTGACGGACCGATGGCCGCAGGCGACGGGCCGCTGTCGGCGCCGCTGGAGCGACCACGGCAGCGCGTGCCGAAGCACCAGGCGATCAGTCCGACGGGCTGGACGTCGAGTCCGTACACTTCGCGCCAGAACAGCATCACTTCGCTCGAGTCGCCGACGCAGGACTGGGCCTCTTCTCGGCCTGGAGGCAACAAGCGTGCCAGCATCCTCACGCTCAAAGGTCTCGTCGGCGGCGGCGACAAGCGCGCCTCTGCAGCTAGCGTGGCGACGCTGCGAGGTGCCTTTGAGAGCGGCGACGTGACGCAACTGCAGCGCAGCGGCAGTCCGACGCCGCAGCCTGCGCGTAGCAAGAAGACCGCAAGCCCCACGACCGAGGTGCCTTCGCTGATGAACGACGACGACTTGGCGGATGCGCCTCCCATTGCAGCGCGCTTCGTCCGGCAACGCACCCTCTCCAACGCCTCGCAGCTCTCCATGACGGGCCTGACACTCTCGCCACCGCCTGCTCTTTCGCACAAGACGTCGCAGGCGTCGCTTGTGACGCGTGCGGCGATCGATGCGTATCGGGCTGGTAGCACCTACGCTGGTGACTCGCCAAGGTCGACCAGCGGATGGGAGAGCGACACTGGCTCGAGACGGACCAGCGGCGAGTCGGAACGCTCGGGCAGCGTCGTCTCGACGTCCATCTCGCGTCCACGCCCGCCAACTTCGGTGAGCTGATTGGCCAGGTGTCGACTGCACAACCACTCACACCTCTCTTCAGGGCGAGACACACTTCTTCGCCAAGAAGAACGCGCCGACGAGCTTCGTCGCGCATAGCGGCCGTGCTCGGCGAGGCACGAACGCAAGCTCGATCGAGTCGAGTGCCTCGTTCTCCTCGAACACGACCTCGACGACATCGAGTCCTGGTCCACTAGCGTCCAAGACGGAGATGAGCAGCGTCTCGTCGATCGACTCGATGCCCAAGTACTCCTCGCCGCCGGTGGTGCAGGCCGTCTTTGCTTCGGGTCAGGCGCCGCCTCACTCGCTCGTCGCGGCGCAGGAGCAGGAGCAACACCTCGAGCCGTACGCTTCCGTCGAGGAGCGCCGCCGTGCCTGGGAGTCGGGCATCCAGCGCTTCGCCTAGAAGCAAGCCGGCTCGCCATGCTCCCTTGCCTCGCCCTGTCTGCTTCGCCTCCCTCTTTGCCACTCCTTGCCCTCCTCCTGCTCACTCATCTACCTCACGTCATTGTACTCTCCTACTACACGTCTCATGCACGGTCTGCTCTTCGTCCTACCGCGTGTGCACGGCTCGACTTGGTCGAAGCTGCAAGCTCCGCGCCCCGACGCAGCAGCGAGGCGAGCTCCACGTGCACCCGCAGCAGCGGCCCCTCTCCCTATCTCGGGCTGCGCCCACCGCCACAATTGGCATTGCAACTCCTCGCCGCTGCTCCTCCACGGCGCAGCGGAGTTGCATCGCCCGACGCCCGATGCGCCGACGCCGGCCCCGCAGTCGCACGGCGGCAGCCTGAGGATGAGGTGACCGGCGGCGCGTGGCGTGCGCAGGGCGTGGCCATGGCGCCATCCGATGCTGCAGGCGTGGGAGCAAGGCACGAGCGCCGCCCAGGGTGCTGCAGCACGAGCGCAGGCACGACGCCGCCTCAGCCCCACCACACACCCCTCAGGCGCCCGCTGCGGCCGATACGCCCGTACAGGAGAGCTGACGACATCTTCCAAGCATGCGCTAGGTCCCGGCAAGCGTCTCCCCTGCGGCGGAAGGCGTCCTTGCTGCTGCCCACCAGCGTACGCACGCCTGCCTCGCCGCCTCCGCACAGGCACGCGACACGGCCCGCGCCGCCGAGCCACGAGGGCCCAGGGACGGCGGCGGAGCAGCTCATGGCGCATGCGATGGCGCAGCGTCGTGCCTGATGCCTCCCTACTATCTTCCCGCTGCTAGTGCTTGCGTGCGCAGCGGCATGGCGCAGCCGGGCGTGCCTGGCTCACGGCACGGGGTTGTGACTCCGCCGCTGGCTGCTGGACCGCCTCATCACGCAAACGGCCGACGCACGGACGTCGTAGAGACAGCATGCGGCCAACTAGGAAAGGGTCTTGGCAGCGCAGCACACATAAAAGGCGCCAGCTCCGCCTCGTCTCGCTCTTGCTCGTTCCTCACCATCCACCTCGCCTCAACCCAGCAGCATGGCTCCCGTCGCCACCTCTCCCACCGCCTCGCCGGCTCCGCCTGCGCCCGCCGCGCTCAAGAAGCTGCCCAACGACCCAAAGTACAACCAGTACTCGCAGCTGCACAACGAGCACTTCGACCAGAACCAGCTGGCGAGCGAGGAGCAGTACCCGTTCAACGACTTCAAGCCGTCGTTCCCCGTCGTCGACTGGGCGCCGCTCGAGGTCTTTGAGCCGGCCAAGGACCGCGCGCACTTTGCCGATCCCGAGAAGAAGGCACTGCTCAGCGCTGCCACCAAGGTGCTCGACGTCACCAAGACGATCGGCACGGAGCTGCACGGCATCAAGCTGCGCGAGCTGAGCGACCAGCAGAAGGACGAGCTGGCGCTGCTCATCGCCGAGCGTGGCGTCGTCTTCTTCCGCGACCAAGACGACCTCACGATCGAGGACCAGCGTGCCCTCGGCCAGTACTACGGCAAGCTGCACCGCCACGCCACCACTGGCGTCCCGGCGCGCGGCGACCTCGATGACGTGCACGTCGTGTACACGCACCCCGACGACGTCGACCCGAGCGCCCAGAATGTCTATCGCGGCCCGAGTGCTCACTCGCGCGTCGACCTGTGGCACAGCGACGTGACGTACGAGCTGCAGCCGCCGTCGTACACCTCGTTTAAGCTCTACGTCTCGCCTGAGGCCGGCGGCGACACGCTGTGGACCAGCGGCTACGCGGCGTACGACCGCCTGTCGTACCCGTTGCGCGAGTACCTCGAATCCCTCACCGCCATCCACTCGGCCGTCGACCAGGCCACGGGCGCGGCTCGCGCTGGACACGTGAGTACAGGCCGAAGCACCTCGTCTGCGGCGTGTCACTGATTCGACCCTCTCAGCACGTCCGCCGCAAGCCCGTCGAGACGGAGCACCCGCTCGTGCGCGTGCACCCCGTCACCGGCTGGCGCAGTCTGTGGTTCAACCCTGGTGCGTCTCCGCGACATCGTCGGTGTTTCTGGCCGGCATCTGACCGCTCCACGCTGCAGGCTTCGTGCGCTACATCGTCGGTGTGCCCAAGGCCGAGTCGGACTACCTCGTGGCCTTCCTCAGCGCCCACGTCTCGACGGGCACCGACTTCTCCGTGCGCTTCAAGTGCGTGTCCCTGCTTCGCTCAGCTGCGCCGCTTGACTGACGCCCGCTGCCGCGCAGGTACGGCAAGAACGACGTTGCATTCTGGGACAATCGCGTGACGACGCACTCTGCGATTCTGGAGGATGTCGGCGTGGTGCGTGCTTGCTTGTGCCTCTCCTCCGTCTCCACACACTGACGTTCTCCTCTGCCAGTCTCGCCGCCACGCGCTTCGCGTCGCCGCCACCGGCGAGGTGCCGATCCCAGTCAGCCAGGCGCCGAACTCGACGTCGCGCGAGGAGCAGCTCTTCGCCAAGCGCGGCTACAAGATCGACCGCAACGTCGCCACGGGCACGCGCCGCCAGGCCGGCTACAAGGACTGAGAGACGTGCGCATCTCGCCTTCGATTAGCTCTTCATGTCCATCACTCCGCCTTCGAGAGGCGCTTTACGACGTAATTGATGACCATCAGCTGTGCATCGTGTGACTCACGTGGCTCGAGCTCCCCTCTGTGCTGTGTCGGGCGGCCGCGGCAGCGCAGCCGATCACTCTCGCTGAAGGCCAACAAGCTCTATTACAGTCGCCTTTCCTTTTTGGTCTACTGCTTCTCCAGGGCCTTGAGCCGCAGCCGGACGGCGTTGGCGTGGGCCTCGAGATCCTCGCACTCGGCCAGGTGCACGACGTGCGGGCCCAATGCGCGCAGGCCATCGGCCGTCAGGCTCTGGCTGGTGATGCGCTTGACGAATGTGTCGGTGTTGACGCCAGAGTATTGCCTGAGGAGGAGGGGTCAGCTTTGCGCGGAGTGAATCAGGAGCACATGCGACTCACCGGGCAAAGGCGTTGGTGGGCAGCGAGTGGTTCGTGCCCGAGGCGTAGTCGCCGCAGCTCTCTGGGCTCCACTGGCCGACGAAGATGCTGCCGGCGTTGATGGTCGCCTTGGCCAGCTCCTCGGGCCGGTCCGTCTGGATGATGAGGTGCTCCGGCGCGTAGTCGTTGCTCCAGCGCATCGCCTCCTCGCGGTTCGGCACGCGGATCGTGACGCTCTTCTCGATCGCCTGGCGCACGTAGGCACAGCGAGGCAGCGCCTTGGCTTGCCGGTCAATGGCCGTCTCGATGGCGTCGAGCTGTGCATCGGTGAGATCGATGGCCACCAGCACGACTTGCGAGTCGGGCCCGTGCTCGGCCTGCGAGAGCAGGTCGGAGGCGACAAAGTCCGGGTTCGACGTGGCGTCGGCGATGACGAGCACCTCGGAGGGGCCGGCGGGCATGTCGATGCTGACGCATGCGTCCATGTCGTTCTGCACGAGCAGCTTGGCGGCGGTGACGAACTGATTGCCGGGGCCGCAGATCTTGTCGACCTTGGGCACGGCGTCGGTGCCGTACGCGAGAGCACCGACGGCCTGCGCACCGCCGGCGGCGAGAATGGCAGTGGCGCCGACGAGGTGAGCGGCGTAGAGCACCTCGGGAGCAATGGAGCCGTCGGGCCGTGGTGGTGTGGCGATGATGCGCACGGGGCACTTGGCCACCTGAGCCGGCACACCGAGCATCAGTGCAGTCGAAGGAAGCACTGCAGTGCCGCCGGGCACGTAGAGGCCGACCCGCTCGATGGGCCGTGCGAAGCGCCGGCACACGACGCCCGGCATCGTCTCGACCTCCAGCACCGCGTCCTCCTCCTCCTCGCCCGTCTCAGCCACGACGCCGCCGGAGCCCACGTCTGCGGCCTTGGCGTTGCCGCCGGTGCGCTTCTGCGCCAGGTGGAAGGCGTGGATGTTGGCATAGGCCTGGTCCATGGCCCGCTTCACCTCGGGCTTGATGCGCTTCATCACTGCCTCGGTGGCAAACGGCGGCTGCACCATCGGCGTGCTCAGCTTGGCCTTGTCGAACTTCTCCGTCAGCTCAAGCAGCGCTGCGTCGCCGCGCTCCTTGACGGCAGCGAGAATCGGGCGCACGAGCTCCTGGATCGCCGCAGACTTGAGCGCAGGCCGCTTCAGCAGCGCGACGCGCTCAGACGCAGAAATGTCGGCGAGCTTGTAGGACTGGATCTTGATGGGCGCGTTCGGGTCGACCTCGGCCTTCTTGGCAGGCGCCGAGGCGGCAGCGGCACCATTGGGCGCAGAGGACTTGGCCTGCTCAGCAGCGAACTGCGGCTTGGCGTCGCCCGTGCGGCGGATGACCTTCTTGGCCTTGCGGTCCAGGCTGGCCTCGACCTGCTCGAGGCCGACACCGGCGCGGATGCAGCGCGCAAGGGCAAAGTAGAGCAGGTCGGCGGCCTCAAAGGCGACGTGCTGCGGGTCCTCGTCCTTGGCCTCGGCCAGCTCGGCGGCCTCCTCGCGCAGCTTGGCGCCGAGGAGCGCCGGGTCGGAGAAGAGACGCGCCGTGTAGGAGCCCGGCGGAGCGGCAGCCTTGCGCGCCAGCAGCGTGCTCTCGAGCGCCGCCAGGCCAGCCTGTGGGCCGAAGCAGCCGTCACGCTGCGTCAGGTGGCAGAAGCCGGCGTGCTGTGCGCCGGCACGCTGCCGCACGCGGAACTCGACGGCATCGGCGTCGCAGTCGAAGCGCACACGCACCACCTCCTGCGTCGCGCCGCTGGTCTCGCCCTTGCGCCACAGGCCGCGCTTGCGCGACTGGTACACGGCTGCGCCGGTGAGAAGCGACTCGCGGATCGAGGCGCACGACGAGTACACGAGGCCCAAAGACGTCGAGAGCGAGGCAGAGACGACCGTCGTGGGGAAGTGGCCGTCGGCGCGGTCCGAGTTCAGCGGTGCCAGGAGCGCGCCGATGAAGTCGAGCGAGCCCGCCGGGGCCTCCTGGCCCTCGGACAGCAGCGCCAGCGCCGAGGTGCGGGCCACGACGGAGGCGCCAGCCTTGGCAGCGCTGGCCACGTCCTCCAGCGAGGCGACGGCGGCAGGTGCGCCGGGCGAGAGCGTGCCGCTGGGCGCCAGGTACACGGGCTTGCCCGACTGGGCGGCACCGAGGGCAGCGCCGAAGCGCTCGGCAATGGCAGTGGCCGCCTCGCTGCCAGCAGCCGAGTCTGCGGGCAGCGCCACGACGAGACCGGCGAGGCCCTGCAGCGCGCCCGGCTCGGCGGCAGCCGGCGAGTCGGCGGGCAGGTGGAGCAGGATGCGTGCGGCCGGCAGCGACGCGGGCGGGTTGCCGCCGAGCAGCGCCAGGGCCGGCGGCGTGTCGGCGTCGAGGAGCAGCGCCTCTGCGCCGGCGTCGAGCAGGTCCGCCAGCGCATCGGGCGCCGGCGTGTTGATGGCGGTGACGTGGACGATGTAGGGCAGCGTGGGCGGCAGCAGCGGCAGCACGTCGGGCAGCAGGTGCAGCGGCACGAGCAGCGGCGCCGCGCGGCTCACGACGCCGAGCAGCGCCGGCGACGGCAGCGCATCGAGCAGCGGCAACAGCGTGGTGCCGAGTGTGACCATGTTGGCAGTGTGTGTGTGGTGGTGAGAGGCAAACGCGTGGCCACAGCCGGCGGCCGAGTCACACGCTGCCGAATGAGTTCGCCGAGGCCGGCCAATCGAATAAGCTAAGCGGTGTAATCGGCGGGCTAGGGCTATCGGCGGTCTCCGGACGATCTTCGCGCGGCTGACGTAAGCCGTTTTTGGCTGCCCCGACTGGGACGCGCCTCGGCCATGCAGCAGCAGCAGCGGCACGCCTCACCGCCCCTCGCCCTCTCCCCACACCACCCCTGACCTCGCCCAGCATGCCCGCACTTACCGAGGCGATCCACTCGCAGTATGACTCGCTGCTCATCCTCGACTTTGGCTCGCAGTACTCGCACCTCATTACGCGCCGCTGCCGCGAGCTCAACGTGTACTGCGAGATGCTGCCCTGCACGCAGAAGATGGCCGACCTGGACTGGACGCCCAAGGGCATCATCCTCAGCGGCTCGCCGTACAGCGTGTACGACGACGGCGCGCCGCGCGTCGACCCGGCCGTGTTCGAGGCGGGCGTGCCCGTGCTCGGCATCTGCTACGGCCTCCAGGAGATCGCCTGGTGCCACGGCGGCAAGGTCGACCCGCACGACCGCCGCGAGTACGGCCGCGCCGACGTGCAGGTCGTGCGCACCGGCGACGAGCGCATGGACCGTCTCTTCCGCGACGAGGCCGACAGCGTGCCGGTGAGTCAAGCAGAAGAGCTGATAAGTGGAGGGCGGCCAAGTGCGGAGCGAGATCGAGCAGCGCCCTTAAGTAGCAGGGCGGCGGCAGACATGGCACGATGTTGGCGCTCTGCAGGCCTTGTATTCCTGCAACGCTCGTTGGCATTGCGCTGCATGGCTTCACACCTTGGCGCCCTGCTGACGTCCGTCCGCGCAGGTTTGGATGTCGCACGGCGACCAGCTCTCCAAGTGCCCCGACAACTTCCAGGTCATTGCGCGCACCGACTCTGCGCCCTTTGCCGCCATTGCGCACACGAGCAAGCCGATCTTCGGCATCCAGTTCCACGCCGAGGTGACGCACTCGCCTCGCGGCAAGGAGCTCTTCTCTGCGTTCGTCGACATCTGCGGCGCGCAGCGCAACTGGACCATGTCGACGTTCATCGACAAGGAGATTGCCCGCATTCGCGAGATGGTCGGCCCGCGCGACCGCGTGCTGGGCGCCATCTCGGGCGGTGTGGACTCCAGTGTGGCGGCCAAGCTGATGCACGCTGCCATCGGCGAGCGCTTCCACGCCGTCATGGTCGACAACGGCGTGCTGCGTGCCGGCGAGGCCAAGCAGGTCGACGAGATGCTCAACAAGCACCTCGGCGTCAACGTGACGATTGTCGATGCTTCCGAGCTCTTCCTCTCGCGCCTCGAGGGCGTCGAGGACCCGGAGAAGAAGCGCAAGATCATCGGCAACACCTTTATCAATGTCTTCGAGGAGGAGGCCGCCAAGCTGGAGGCCGCGGCAGAGGAGGAGGAGGCCAAGGCCAAGGCTGAGGGCAAGGAGCAAGAGGCCAAGGGCAAGTACGAGTTCCTGCTGCAGGGCACTCTCTACCCGGACGTCATTGAGAGCATCAGCTTCAAGGGCCCGAGCGCCACGATCAAGACGCACCACAACGTCGGTGGCCTGCTGGAGAACATGAAGATGAAGCTCATCGAGCCGCTGCGCGAGCTGTTCAAGGGTGAGCAAGAGCGGGGAGGGCAAGGCGATAGCACCACAGCTGACGCCTCGCTCTCCAGACGAGGTCCGTGAGCTCGGCAAGCTGCTCGGCATCCCGGCGCACCTTGTCGGGCGGCACCCCTTCCCCGGCCCCGGTCTCGCGATCCGCATCCTGGGCCCCGTGACGCGTGGCCAGGTCGCGATCCTGCAGGCAGCCGATGCCATCTACATTGAGGAGATCCGCCGTGCCGGCCACTACGACAAGATCTCGCAGGCCTTCGCCGTGCTCCTGCCCGTCCGCGCCGTCGGCGTGCAGGGCGACAAGCGCACCTACGACCAGGTCATTGCGCTGCGTGCGGCTCAGACGACCGACTTTATGACGGCGACGTGGTACGACTTCCCGCATCAGTTCGTGCGTATGGCGTTCGCGGCCTGTCTCTCCATCTGAGTGGGCCTTATGCTGAACGCCTCTGTCCTCTCGTCCTCCAGCTGTCGCACGTCTCGAACCGCATCACCAACGAGGTGGCAGGCATCAACCGCGTCGTGCTCGACATCAGCTCCAAGCCGCCGGCCACTGTGAGTCGGCCTGCCTGGCCTGCCTCACAGCGCTTTGCCTCTCGATGCAAGGCACCCCACACTCAGGGCTGACGTCCCCACTTCCTCTCTCACTCGCTTCGCCTACGCAACCACAGATTGAGGTGGGTCGCAGCCCGCTCCAGCCCCGTCTCTGCGCTCGCTCACACCCCTCTCCCCGCACCAGTGGCTCTAATCTTCGCATCTTCGGGGCTGCCTCTCTTCTCTCTCATTCTCTGCTTGTTCTCGCGTCACGTAAAAGCTCTGCAACCATTAGATTTATCGCTCGTGCGTCGAATGGAGTGCCCGACAGGTATAGAGGAGAGGCAGCAGCCGCGCCCTACTCTTCGCCCGCAGCCTGCGCCTGTCTGACCGAGACGCGGATGTTCATTGCCTCGTTGATGATCTGTCGTCGAGAGAGCGGCGATGAGCAATGCAACGAGCGGTCCCGCCAGCCACACCACTCACGCGATCGACGTCCAACGGCGGCAAGCTAAAGAGCATGCTCTTCGCCTCGCTTTGGTCCAGCTCCTCGAGCGCGTCCTTGCAGTTGGTGAGAATGGCGATGCAGATGTAGAGATGCAGATCCAGCGGATCGGGAATGGCAAAGTACGTGTCTGCAGGCAGCGTCAGCGCGCACGGCAGAGGCGGACAACGGCCTGAGAGAGGAGGACGCACCCCAAAGGCGAAGCAGATCGTCGATGCACATCTCAGCGGCCAGTAGATGCCTCAGCCACGCCGTCGCGAAGCCCACGACATCCACCTCTTCTTCCTCGAAGTAGGCGTACAGATCCGGCAGCGTGGTGCGGAAGAGCGTCAGGAAGGCCGAGACGCGTGCGGGAAGGGGCTGGATGGCGTTGTGCGCCTCTGCGAGATCGACAGTCAGCAGACGAGGAGAAGAGGAAGGAAGAGGGGAGAAGGACGCACCGATCATGCCCATCAGCCGCTCAAACGCAAAGTACATGCCCGCCTCGACGCGCACACACTTGACGAAGGGCGCACAGAGGAAGACTAGGTCTGCTCTGAACTCGGGCTGAGAGGTTGCAGCGAGCGCGCCGAGCGCTTCTCCTGCCGCAGTTGGTGCATGAGAGGCGGGCAGGTGCGCCCACTCGTACTCTTTCGGCAGCGAGGACGTCGTGTTTGGCCGGAGAAGGGAGGGTGCTTGAAGCTGTCCTGTGACGGAGAGCTCGAGACCGGAAGTAGCCGACCCTTGCAGAGAGACATGAGGTGCTGTGCTTGACGTCGACGTGGCTGAACTTGAAGCTCTCGAGCGAGGGACACGCGAGACGTCGGTCGAGGTGGCATATGGTCCGCAATTCGTTCCCGTGCTACTTGTGCTTTCCGAGCGTCGGCGATGAGACGAGACTTGTTCCTCATCGATGCGTTCCGATTCAGGCGCCATCCACGTCCAGCGATTCAAGTAGGCGCAGATGATCGTCTCGACCGCCGTGCTGAAGCGCTTCAACTCGGCACCTGCAGCGGCATCGGGATCGAGATCGTCGGTGCCGGGCGTTTGGTCGTGCCCGGTGCCGCCCATGATGCCGACGCGAGCGCGTGAAGCTGCTCCGTCGACGCGGTTCGGACCGCGATCGAGAGGAGAGACGGGCAGCGAGGACGAGGCGGAGCGAAGGCCTGAGACGAAGTAGTCGTCCGAGGCTGGGGTTGCGGCTTTTGTCGGCGGACGGAAAGGCATGCGTTGAGCTGTATCACATCCATAACGTCAGCTCGGTGCCCTGCCCGGTCGATTAGCGTGAGCGCGGAACGCACCGGTGCGAGCGAGCCCTCTGCCCGGCGGAGACCGCTTGATAAGTCTGCGCTGATAGTAGCGCGCACATTCGGGACGGATGCGCTTCTCGAGCACGGCGTTGTGCTTGTCGAGCTGCTCGTACTCGAGGTACTTGCTTCGCACTGAGGTCATCTCCTGGCCTGGGAAGAGCAGGGCGAGAAGGGGCGCAAGGTGAGCTCAAACATTGCAGCACATGGCCGATGAGTGCAGACGCACTCTTGTCGTCTGAGAGAACGCCGAGGAGGTACAGCCACACCTCCTGCCGAGCAGATGTCGCGTCGTCAGCAAGCTGCCAAGCAGACGGCTGTCCTAGCGAGCCACTCACACCTCGCACAGAAGGCTGCACGCCGTGTCGTGCATAGTCTCGCAGCTTGGCGAGATCGACGTGCCTGCGCAGCGAGGCAGAGAGCAAGAGTCAGAGAGCTGACTGGTTGCAGTCTCGGGGTGACCGTGCTGGAAGCGACTGCAGCTGGTAGCAGCCTAGTTGGCGGCGGCAGCCTGCGCAGCTCTGTCTGCTGCTCCACGGCACGCCGCCTCGCCAGCGCAGTGCGAGCGCAGCGCGTCCAGGCGGCGCACTCACTGTTCCGCGCTGAGCACCTCGATGTACTCCTCCACCGATGCGCCAGCTCCCTGCTCCGTGCCCGCTCCCGTGCCTGCTCCCGAAGTGCTTGCGAGGGTGCTCCTTCTTGAAGCAGCCGTCGCCGACGAGTACGAGGCGGCAGCATCGTAGCTGGACGGCCCGGCGCCGAGGCCAAGACCAGGGAGCGTGGAGCCGGACGCCGAGGCGGCGCGCGAACGCGTGCCGGAGCCGGAGCCTGAGCCGGAGCCGGCGCCGGAGGCAGAGGCGGACGCGGCGGCTGTGCTCATGCGTGTGGAATCAGAGGCTCGAGGCAGGTGGCAGGCAGTGCAAGAGAAGGAGAGGGGCGGATGCAAGGCTGCACCTCCACCACCTCGCGCGGCGCGGGCGCATGGCACGTGCCCCACCCTGAAGAGCGTGGGAGCGCGCACGTGAGCGCAGCGCGGGCGGGCGGAGCGGCGTCCGCACCGGCGCGGCCGTCCGGCAGCCGGCGCCGGAGCGCCCGCTGGTCCGGGCGGCCGCCAGCGCCGAGGCCGCGCGGGGGAAGAGCAACTGGGCGTGCGGTGAAAGCAGCAGAGGCGAGAAGGGCGACAGGGAGCGCCGCACGGCAGCTGCGACGCCGCGAAGATCACAGGCCGGCCGGGGCACAGCTGCAGCATCTGATGCAGGCAGATCAACGCCGGCGCCGGACAGCGAGAGCGAGACACCCGCTCGCTTGGCGCGCTGCCGGGCGGCGGGCGTGAGGGTCGCGAAGGATGCGCATCGCTGGCGCCCGCCGCGGCGGTGGCCGAGCCGCGCGCTCAGCAGGCCCGACGCAAAGGCCGCCGCCGAGCTCCCCGCATCTTCGCTTCCCTCCACCACCTCCTCCCTGCCCTGCAGTAAGTCGCTCCTCCTTGCACACCTCACCTATACTGACCTTCCTGCAGATGGCCCGTCTCTCCGCCTCCTCCCTCTCTCTCCTCCGTGCCGCTCCCGCACGCTCCGTCTCCAGCGCCGCCCGCGCCCCTGCCCCGCTCCTCGCTGCCGCCCGCCGCGCCGCTGCTCCCGCGCCGGCTCCTGCTGCCCGCGCCGCCGTCGCTGCCGCAAAGCCCTTCTCCTCCTCGGCCATCGCCATGGGCGGCGGCATCGGGCTCGGCGAGGACAATGTCCGCCCGCCGTACGACCAGTGCGTGCTGCCGTGCCGTGCTGCGCGCCTTTGCCGCACTGACGCCTCCACGCCAGGGTGCTGCAGGACATTGCCGACTACGTGCACTCCTACGAGATCAAGTCGGACACGGCCTTCCAGACGGCGCGTCTCTGCCTCATGGACTCGCTCGGCTGCCACATGGAGGCACTGCGCTTCCCCGGCGCGCGTGCCGTCACCGGCCCCGTCGTCGAGGGCACCATCGTGCCCAACGGCGCCAAGGTGAGCACTGGGCGTGTGTGCGCGCTGGCAGGGCACGTGCTGATGCGAATGACGTGTGACAGGTGCCCGGCACCAACTTCCAGCTGGACCCCATCCGCGCCGCCTTCAACAACGGCGCCCTGATCCGCTGGCTCGACTTCAACGACACGTGGCTGGCCGCCGAGTGGGGCCACCCCTCGGACAACCTCGGCTCCATCCTCGCCGTGGCCGACTGGCTCTCGCGCACGGCCGTCGCCAATGGCCAGGCGCCGCTGACGGTGCGCGACATTCTCGAGGCGGCCATCAAGGCGCACGAGATCCAGGGCAACCTGGCCATTGAGAACTCGTTCAACCGCGTCGGCCTCGACCACGTCGTGCTCGTCAAGGTCGCCAGCGCCGCCGTCGTGTCCAAGATGCTCGGCAACACGCGCGACCAGACCGTCGACGTCGTCTCGCAGGCCTTTGTCGATGGCCAGTCGCTGCGCACCTACCGCCACGCCCCCAACGCCGGCTCGCGCAAGTCGTGGGCTGCCGGAGACGCCTGCTCGCGCGCCGTCAACCTCGCGCTGCTCGTGAAGAAGGGCGAGATGGGCTACCCCTCCGTGCTGACTGCCAAGACGTGGGGCTTTTACGACGTGCTCTTCAAGGGCAAGGAGTTCAAGTTCCAGCGGTGAGTCGCGAGCCGTGCCTGCACTGTCAAGACGAGGGCAAGCTGACACGATGCGCCTCCAGCCCGTACACCTCGTACGTGATGGAGAACGTGCTCTTCAAGCTGGTGCCCGCCGAGTTCCACTCGCAGACGGCCGTCGAGGCGGCGGTGATTCTGCACAAGAAGATGCAGGAGGCGGGCAAGACGAGCGACGACATCAAGAAGGTCACGATCCGCACGCAGGAGGCGGCCATCCGCATCATCAGCAAGCAGGGCAAGCTGAACAACTACGCCGACCGCGACCACTGCATCCAGTACATGGTCGCTGTGCCGCTCATCCACGGCAAGCTCGAGCCGCAGATGTACAGTGAGTAGCCTGCGCCAGAGAAGAGAGGGGGGGGGGAAAGAGGGGCAATAGGGGTGGAGGAGGGAGAAAGGCACCGTTGGCTCACGCTCAATCCTCTGCAGACGACGACTTTGCCGAGGACCCGCGCATCGACGAGCTGCGCGGCAAGATCTACTGCGAGGAGGATGCGCGCTACACCAAGGAGTACATGGAGGCCGACAAGCGCTCCATTGGCAACGGCGTGCTCATCGAGTTCAACGACGGCAGCAAGCTCGACGAGGTGGCCATGGACTACCCCGTGGGCCACGCGCGCCGCCGCGAGGAGAGCATTCCGCTCATCAAGGCCAAGCTGGCAAAGCACCTCGACGGCCACTTCGACCAGGCCACGCAGAGCAAGCTCGTCAACCTCATCGAGGACACGGAGAGCTTCGACAAGATGCCCGCCAACGAGGTGAGTTGCCTGCCCCCCCCCCCCCCCCCCCCCCCCCCCCCCCCCCCCCCCCCCCCCTAGGTCCCAGGCTGATCATCTCTTGCCCAGTTCATCGACCTCTGGCTCAAGAAGTAGACAGACTAGACTACGCGCGTCGTTGCCCCTGTTCTGCTCTTCCTCTGACTTGCCACGCAATCGAAGCACATGCTTGATCTCCCCACCCACTGCCCTTGTCCAGACGCTCTGGCTGCCCGCTTCAGCGACGCGAGAAGGGCCGAGTGGAGAGACGTGTGTATTACGCGCGCGGGCCGCTGTGAGACGAGAAGCAAGCAAGGCTAGTCGTACACTGCGAGAGGGAAGAAAGAGTGGAGGACGGAGGGGGGGGGGGGAAAGAAGCATCGTCAGCTGGCTGGACTGAAAGCCGGCAGGCACGAGAGCAAGCGAGAAGGTGATCGGCCCAGGAGCGAGAAAGCGCAAGATCGATGTGCTAGCACAGCCGAGGGCACGGCATCTGGACCATCTCCCGCGTCGCGCACTGCAAGAGGAGGGGGGGGGGGGGGGACAGCAGAGTCTGGCGCTCTCGTGCAGAGAGGCGAGCTGCTGGGCCGTTCGGCCCTCTCGTGCTGCGCCGCCCAGTCTCCTGTTGCAATGCATGCGACGCCTGAGCATCCAGCCCAAGCAGCAACGCCGAGAGTTCGAGCACACCGCATTTCGAGCGAGCCGAGCACAGTCGCAGCGATGGGCAGGCCCTGTCATGCGTAAGACCGGAAGCAGGGGGATGGGAAAAGGAAGGAGGCGAGGGCAGCTGCCCCATCCTCCACTCCTTTCCCGTTCCCGTTTTCTTCCACCAGAGTGAACTTGACCGCCACATCCTCTTGCGGCCCTTCGTCTACAGCGAGGAGCTGCGCCCGCCTCCTTTGCCCACAGCTGGCCGGACGAGGCGCGACTCACCATGTACAATTGCCCCCGCCATCGTCCAAGCCAGCACATAGCCCGGCGCGAATTCGCTCGCACCCTCCGCAAAGTACGTCACTTTGCCCAGCAGGCCCTCGCGCCAGCTGGGCAGGTAGCGCGGTGCCTTGAGTGGCCCGCCGGCGAAGAGCAGCAGCAGCGCGTTGACGAGGAGGAGCGAGGCGAGAAAGAAGAGGCCGCCGGGGATGGCGCGCAGTCCGAGGATGCCGCAGAGGGAGCCGGAGAGGAGAAGGAGGATGGCGCGGATGCTGCAGGCGAAAGAGCCGTGAGTGGGGAGGGGAGCGCGGAGAGGCAGGCAGGACGGGCCAAGCCCCTGCGCGCAGGCCGCAGTTGGCAAGTGACACGCAGGCGAGCGCTGAGCTCTGCCTTGGCCAGCCGAGCGCCAACGAGCTTCTGCTGCTGCTGCAGCTCCGCGCGCCGAGCTTTCTGCGCTCTTGCAAGTCTCCTATCTCTCCATCACGGCGCCCGTAGCGCTGCAGTCGCCTCAGTCTTCTGCCTCTGCCCCCCCCCCTCTTCTTAGTGCCCGTCTCGCAACGCACCGGAAGAGCACGCCGTTGTTGTGCGCCAGCGCCGCGGGCGAGAGCTGAGCGGCGCTGAGCTGTGCGGCTGTCGGGGTGCTGTCCATCGTGGCGATGGAGACGGCGGCGCACGGAGGGAGGAGAGTGGGCGGTGAGGTGGTCAGGAAGGAGGCGAGGCCTGCGAAGCCCGTGCGCGCTTCAGCACGGCTTGAATCGGCGCATTAGAGCGCGGGGCCGGGCTTGTAGTCGAGCATTACACGCGCCGGAGCCGGCTTGTTGTGCGAGCAGAGGGCGGACTACAGAAATGCGCGTCGTGCTTCAACTCGCGAGTACATAGGCGCTGGCAGGCCGCGCGGGCCACCTGCGAGCCTCGCCGCTTGCTGTTCCCGTGTCCCTCCCTCTCCTCCTCCACCACCCATCGCTGTCGCTGCGCCTGTGCATCGCAGTCTGCTCCTCGTTCGCCCCATTGCGCCGCCACGCGCGCGAGCCACATGTCTCCGCGCCCGCCGGCAGACTCAGCATCCGACGCCTCTGCCGCCGTCTCGCCCGCCCTCTCGTCTCCCCTCTCCTCTCCCTCGCCCACGCCCTCGGCCAGCTCTCTCCTCGCCGCCTCGCGCATCTCCCACCTCGAGCTCGACTCCGAGGCCTCCCCCTCGGCACACTCTGCGCACGCCACGCACACCACCAGCGCACGCTCGCCGCCCGTGGCGCTGCCCTTGACGCCCACGCATCTCCTGCGCTCCTCCGACGACGCCATGCTCAACCCGCTCGCCGAGCAGCGTGCGCGCGCGCGCAGAAGCAGCAGCAGCAGCAGTGCTGCAGGCGCCGAGCGCCACGAGGACGACTCGGCGCTCGACTTGCTCGTCGACGCGCACGACGATGAGGGCAGCGAGTCGCGCGGCTCCACCGCCGAGGCGCAGCAGCAGGAGCATGCCTCGAGCGCAGCAGCAGCACATCACCTCCACTCGCATGCGCACATCTCTCGTCGCGATGCCTCCGTCGGCCTCGACCCCGACGCAGACGTCGATAGCTTCATCACGCATCGGCCCATTCTCGATGTGCACCCCAACGCCACAGCCGGCACTGCTCTGCCTCCTCGTTCTTCCTCGCCTAGTTCTTCCACTGGTCGCTCGCACCGCGAACATCACCACCATCACCTCAACCACGGTGCCAAGACACAAGAGCATGAGGCGGGCATGCCGGACACGGCAGCCACCGCCTCGGCGACGGGCATGCCCAAGATCATTCCTCGCAAGCCTCACGGCTCTCAAAAGCAGCGTCGCCTCTCCTCTTCCTCTTCCTTCTCCTCCTCCAGCTCTGCATCCGAAGGCTCGCAGCCTGGCGCACCTCAATCCGGCTTCCTCACGCCCGCCGCCTTTGCTCCGGGACTCACGCTGCAGCGTCGTGCGGCGCTTCTGATCTCGACGATCGCCATCAACATCGGCCTGCCGTTCATCAACGGCGCCATGCTGGGCTTTGGCGAGATCTTTGCGCGCGCCGTGCTGGCGCCGTGGGTCGGCTTTGCGGCGCATGCGGTGGGTGTGGGAGCGCCGACGAAGCCCAGACAGCCGGCGACGCAGGACAGGGCGTTCCAGGCGGGCCTGAGGACGGGCGCGCCCGGAGGCACGGGCATGGGCACGAGAGGTGGCTGGGCGAAGGGAGCGGAGGGCGTCGAGCTGGAGGGATGGAGCGTGGAGCGCTAGGAGAGTATCAGAGCGGGAAGGAACTGGCAGATAGCAGACAAGACGGTGCGCAGCGGGTCGAAGGCCCATGCGGGGCCGCCAGGATGTAGCCTAATGAACACACATCATATCTCGCCAACCCTCGTTTGGCGACAGAAGACAGGCTGTCAGGAGCAATCGCTGCTTGAGAGAGAGAGAGAGAGAGAG